ACCGGCCTGTCAGGAGAGGGGATGTGGGGCATGGGCTTTTACGGTGAACCGCATACGTTCTGCTCAACGTGGGCAAGAACACACTCTTTCCCTTAACTATTGACACCCTTGATGCATAGCAACCAATGTACAAACTGGGTCATAGAGGGTTAGTTTCGACTCAAGAATTCTTGTTTGATTAATTTTGTCAAGAATACTATTCTTGGTGGATAGGGAAGAAGAGAAGAAAGAAGACAAAAACGGTTTCTGGCAAACAGAGCCGCCGCTTCGTTTGCACATAGGTTAGGCTTAAGCATTGGAAATCCTCAAAACTGCCACCGGACGAATCAGAATTTCATTTTTGAAAAGATTTAAACTCTCATAGAGTAAAGATACTGGTTACAATGCTGGCAGTGTGCCAATGTATGCTAAAACTGGTGTTTGAAAAAGGCTAGGCACCAGATGATATTAACTGGGCTTTGATTGTGAGCCATACCATGTTAACCAATACAATAATTTACACCTTCCGCTACTTCAGTATCCTCGAAATTTAGGCCACATCGACATAGTTCTATTCATCAGGCATGTAAAGTCACCTTTACGCTCTTTTTGATCATGTGCGAGACCAGGCACCACTGATCTATTCAATTTTAAGTGCCACCCACGATTGAGATTCGAAGGGTCGATTTCATTTGTCCAATAATTTATATTCAGCAAGTTCGTACTATGATCTATCGGCTTCATGTCATAGCCGGATAGTGCGGCATTGTACCCATGCATAAGAGATTTTGTGACATGCACAGCTTGAACGTTGACAAATTTAAGCCTGTAGAATTCTTTTGACAGACGCATTGCGGTTCTCTCGATTGATGGCTTGTCTTGGCTGTTTCCAAGAACAGACATATGCCACTCATCCTTGAGAGACAGGGACGCGGATGATCCAACTTGAAAAGTCTATTGATGTAAGCTTAGGAGGCGTCACTTTGCTTCTTCCAAAGTATTTGAAATAAGTGAACGACCTCCCCAGTCCAAAATGTCACAGGGGGCAATAGAGAACAAATCCTGTATTGGAATGGGGAACAAGAAGAAGGAAAAAAAATTGATGTTCTGAACCGGAATAAGTCTTCGGGGGCCGGAAAGGCTTGAACACTTCTCGCCTTGTGATACTACACATAGAAAAGCTGAGGCCTTCAGGACTATCTGTTCGATGACGAGTCCTTTCTGCCTGAAGCTAGTAAAATTCACAAAAATTAACATATCTACACTTACCAAGGCCCAAATCAAAGTGTATGACACATACTATTGTGCAATTCGCCTGATTAATGCAAGGTGGCCTCAGGGGCTCCGTTCTTCATCACCCATCATTGGGATATAACCATGGCCCTGAGGCGTAGCGAACCAGCTGACTTTCTCGTGACTGTCGCACCTGCCTTGTGAAGTCCTAAACACGGCTTGCGTTATCAAAATTTTGCTTAGCTGCCTTGCGGCTGCCCAGCTGGATATCGATGTGTGGATGCTAACCCTGAGAGCTTCAAGCCCGATGCCAGGCAGAAGTTCTAACCTGAAAAGATCCACATGCCGAGTCCCCCTTCCCCTGACCCGTTGTTTTGGCAACGCCCCATTTTCAGACATGTCATGAAAACTGGATGAAGGCATCCGGATCCAAGGCAAGTGGCCACCAGGCTTGAATGACAGACTGCCTATTAACATCTACAGCCGTACCACCTAGTCATCGAGACACCTGAAGCCTAACGACTAAATCTTTCACCGAATTCATAAGCTCCATCTGAAATAAGGCCCGAATGCAGCCAGAATTCAATGCGAAGCGGAGCGTTTGTCATCGATAGGGTGAAAATACGAGTTTCGAGAACCAATCTCTTCCCAGTTCTTGGTGCTGAAGAATGAGCTTGCGGCGTCTATAGTTTCGTCAGCTTTCAGCTGGGAAGGCATTGGACGGTTGGCATCGGGCAAGCCAAATATGACATCTCGAAGCATATTGGCTGCCCTCTTTGCCCCCCGATGTTTCCGCTCGACTAATTACCGTACACGGGACGTGGTGCACTAGCTCATCTCGATGGTAGTATGCGAGCTCTGTTAAATTGGGGCTGTGAAAAAACTGTCCCATCCATTCCGGATTTTGGGCCGTCAGATTTTGATGTTGTTGATAGCGATATCGGCATCGCCGACGGAGATTCAGCTCCCGGGAGACATGGTAGGCTGTGTTGCTGAGTGGGCGGCGAAAGCGCAGTGTGGCAACTACAGTACTGGTACCTGTATGAACCCATTGCCACCACTTGAGCACGGGCTTGTTAGATGGCAAATTTTTGCTGCAGACATGAGAAAGCCGGCCAAGAATTTCACATTGCTAGAAGCAGAGAGAAACTTGTCGTCACTGACTCTTGAGGCACCAGCTTGCGCTTCCCTTGGAGTTAAGCTTGCTCTCCGACGTGAAAAGTGCACGAGGTGACTATGCTAATGTCAGCCCGAAGCTGATGCTCACTGGAGCTGCTAATAAGGCTGCAACAAATGAAACCCGCGGCTAACCGCGAGGTACTGTAAGACGCTAATGTTAGATGCATCGTCATCTCAAGGATTAAGAAGGCATCTACCATAAAGACAATAGTATAGGATGGAAACGATTTTGAGCAGATTCATGAAGGCTCACCGAGGGATGTGTTACCGAAAGGGTGCCCGCCTGGAATGTTGGGAGCATTAGATGAAGTCATGGTTATGAGGAGGGGAATGGAAACAACATAAGACGGAGAGCTATCGGTACCTCAATTGGAAGCTCGAGCCTCAACTCAAATGAGCCAAGAGAGCCTGTCTGCATGGAGACCAAAAATGGAAGTTGGTAAGGCTGGATAAACATGAGTGAGGGACTGTGGTAGCGTTTTGTACACAAATCGGATACGAGCGGGTTAGTTGGTGCGGCGGACTAAAACGCACAGTAGGCTTACGGAGTCCAAATGGCACAATGATTAAGGAATGCGCTGTCAGCGCCAATCTGCATTTCTTCCTGACCAGAAGTGCACTTGGTTAAACTCGCAGTCATCACATACATAGTATTTGCACCTGACATAATAACGCGACACAGGCGCAAACATGCATTTGCACAAACAGCACACTCGAGAGATTGTCCTCTCAACTTACCATCGCTAACGCAGCAGACATTCCAAATCTGGTGGTCGCGATGCCACAGGCCACCAGGCCACCAGATTACCTCTGCAGCACGAACGAACCTGTCGAAGCCCGCCAGCCCGGTGCTTCTGCGACCTTGAAATCTGACTGAAAGAAGCAGAATATTCATGACAGCTTGGGCTTGAGGTTGGAATTAACGGGAAGGTTTATGTTGATGCAAGGTGAGCAACCAGCGAGTCTTTATAGGTAAGTATGGTAGGGAAACATCCATTACATAGTACACGGACAGATAGCGAGGAGCAGGGTGTTGGGGATGCGTAACCCCCCGAAAGGTCTGTTGAGCCTCAAATGGCGGACCATGTAGTGCGCCTGCAAAATCGAGGCAACCACGGTACGTACCCAGCCTGGCAGAAACACCCACACTAGGGTAGTCATACATAGGTACTCAAAGGCCACGGGGTGGGGTTAACTGACCTTTGGTCCGCTCGCCCATCCGTCGTTCGCCAGCAGTCTGTTTTTAGATGTTTTTCCACCCAGTCTTCTCTCAATAATCCCCAGCAGCCTCGTTGGCGAACAGTAGCAGTTGGTCCGCCTAGACATGTTCTCAATCTTGTCCTTCAAGACTTAAGAGGAGCCGACCAACATAATATACTTTTCTCAGATCGATTGTTATTTCTCAAGAGACTGCGACCTGCTGTGGAGATATTTTGTACAATTGCTGTCCGTCGATGTCGCGCTCGCTGCTGCAACTCAACACCTACTATGGGCTCCAAATCACATGGCGGCACATTCGACTTGCACAACCAATTCGCTGGTTATCAACGTGCCAACGATACGAAACGACGTAAATGCCCCTTATGCGAGCATGTATTTCGGTCAGACTCTACGGAAGACGTCATTTTACGCCATTTCGAGGACCTCGGCCATAGCAAGCTCGATACAGCAGGAACCGATTTGATTAAACAAACAGTTATACAGTATGACGTTTGAAGCAGAGGTGTGCCTTCAGTACTGACATTTATCAACTTAGAATAAAAGGCCGTTATCGGGGAAAGACACAGCCAAACCAACCGCCATCACCACCACAACCCGCGCACGATGAACCCGAGGTCCAGACGAGTTTACAGTCAACGAACGATGTCGACATAAAAGCGCAGCCATCTGATGATGGCCCAGCCAGGGTTCGCGGCGGTAGCCCGACCGCCTCCGAGAAACAAAAGAGAAAAGACGGTGAACATAGATCAAACACACCGAAGAGGTCTCGGGCTCGCCACCAGCGGCATACTTCTGTTGCGAGCCGTGGTGATGATAGTGACTTCCAGAGAGGCCCGAGCCAGAAGTCTGGCAGACTGTGGATGCCGGAACAGGGTACTTCTCACCCTCGCAAGGCTGACACTGGGCGACACATGGATCGAGAAGCTGCCGACTCTCCGAGAGCCGCATCAAGTCATACTTTTGAGCACCGCCATGTTGAAGACAATACAGAAGTCATGATTAAACAGCCCGAAACCCGTCCCATAAGCCAGGAACAACTAGTTGCTGAGGTAAAGGGTATATATGCTGGGCTTGTTATGGTCGAGAGCAAATGCATTGAGGTTGATAACGCACAAAGCTCGACGAAGGATACAAGTCCCAAACTCAACAACGAGCAATGGCAGGCTCTGATCGCGCTACACAGAACTTTATTGCATGAGCATCATGATTTTTTTCTGGCCTCGCAACACCCTTCAGCCAGCCCGGCCCTTAGACGACTCGCAAGCAAGTACGCCATGCCAGCTCGAATGTGGAGGCATGGGATCCATTCGTTTTTAGAACTCTTGCGTCACCGTCTTCCAGCATCACTGGAACACATGTTAACGTTTATCTATCTGGCATACTCTATGATGGCATTACTGTATGAGACGGTGCCGACGTTCGAGGATACCTGGATTGAGTGCTTAGGAGATCTGGGACGCTACCGGTGAGTAGTTGCATCCTGCTGGCTGGCTCTACTCGAGGATTTGCTTCCGTCTTGACTCCCTTGCTGACAACTGTAGAATGGCCATCGAAGATGATAACCTCAAAGACCGTGAGGTGTGGACCTCCGTCTCGCGCCACTGGTATTCTAAGGCTAGCGATAAAGCCCCAACAACAGGACGTCTATACCACCACCTCGCCATTCTAGCTCGCCCAAACGCTCTGCAGCAGCTCTTCTACTATGCAAAGAGTCTATGTGTTCCCATCCCTTTTCTGAGTGCTCGGGAAAGCATTATGACACTCTTCGACCCGCACCTCAATGGTAGTCCGACAAGATTGCAAGAGATTGATGCTGCGTTTGTCCGTGCTCACGGGATTCTCTTCTCTGGGAAGAGCGGCGATCAGTTCGCATCTTCAGTAAACGAGTTTATTGGTAGTCTTGACGGCCACATTGCTCGCAACACGAAACGATGGACAGAGAACGGGTATTATATCGCTGTTGCTCTAGGATGCGCCTTACTTGAATACGGCAGCGAGTCGAATTCTATCATGATGGCCATCAAAACAAGTCGCACGGAGGATACCGACGTACAGATGGACGACTCCGAGACATCCGTTACAAGCCAGAAGTTCCTTGACGCCCTGGACTTCGTTACCCGCACCCACAATATCGTCTTCCTCCGCTTTGGGGACCCAAACGTCAACCCCTATCTTCATGTCACGCTTTCCTTTTTATACCACATGTCTCAGTTTCCAACAGCAATAGGTTATCTTGAGGCCAAGATGCCCTGGAAGCTCATCTCCCTGATGCTGAACACTCTCTTGAAAGAATGTCCGTCAGTGGATAGGATCGAGTCAGAAGACTTCCCCCGACCCAACAAGGAGATCCCCAGGCCTTTACCTGAAGACTTTGCACAACGGGGGCTGCTGTGGGTCGATAAGTACTATCCCGACGACTGGTTCTCATCGAAGGTTGATGATGACGAGAAGTACTTTGAAGTGGCTTCAATGACCGAAGAGCGTCAGGACAGGTGTCTTTGGCTTGGTTGCCGCCTCGCGTCGTCGGGCAATTGGCTAACTTACGATAAGTCTACAAGACAATTTGGCGTGCCTCCGCAATATGACGTAGAAGTCCCTGGTGTCGGCGATGGTTCTGCAGCGCAGCCACAGGGAGCCAACGATGACGATGTGATCATTCCTGATATTCAAGCCGAAGGTCCCTGACGGTTGTGGATTGGTAAGTTGTCTTCAAGGGTAGCGCGGCGTTCTGGGTACTTGGCATATAAACAATCATTGGGGGATACCTCTGCCATGGCTCTGTCTATACATGCATGCAAATTGGAGACATGGCAGGGGATCACCCACTGTTTTCATCGACGTTTGTCTTGTGGTGTTGCTCCCAAAGAGGATGCTGAGCTGGGACGCACAAGATCTCGGTATCGGACCGAAAGAAAAACACCACTGAAGCCATTTGAAACAAATTATACGTTCTCGCGCGCGGGGAAAAGCACTGCTATACACGCATGCTATAACGGTCCCAATCCCGGCGCGATTCTACATCGCCTCAGGAAAAAGATATCGGGGGGAGGCATATTTATTTACGCAAGATCTCTCAACCGAGTACACATATACCATTCGTTGTGTAGCTTATTTCACATGTTCAAGCATTTTACAGTTCATGCCGCTTACCATTGTTCTGAGGTCTCGTGATGGCTCCGGGATGCAGTACGGCCCGGCCCGGAAAGATCGGCGATGCAGCCGGTAATCGCCGGCTTCTCTGCAGGCGTTTTCGCCGATATCGTTTGGGTCAGATGCACTGACCGGGTGAGCAAACACCAGCAACGAAACAAATCGTTTCTGTTTTCCCAAATTTCAAACTGAAATGCTTTGGCGATTGGGAATGTATCCATGGCTATGGGAAGGAGGTGAACGAGTGAATACAAACAAGTCTTGCCTAATCAGCAACTCTCAATGGCCGGAACGCTCAATAGACACCATGTATTGAGGCAGACTACCCAGTAAGTGAGGTCTGCACAGGTTCATGCAGAGAGAATTAGTTAGAGCCTGTATGGGTTAGTGTTGCCTGTAATCACAGAGGTACACCATGGCACGTCAGGTAGTTCTGATTCCAGATTTTCATAGGCCCTCGGTGGAAGCAGGATGCGCCCCAGCCACCCAAGCTTACGAATGCAACGAGAGGCGCCCCAAAAGTAAGGTTTCTATCCCATATTCTGTTCCTTTAGAAAACAAGGCGCCCGAAGTACGAATGTCTGATATTACGAGATATTACGATTTTGATGGGGAGTATTGTCGTCGCCCGGGCGGCGCAGTGCAAAGGCAAGACATGAGCACACCCTCGGGAAGGGTAAATTGTCTGCCCCGAGAAGTACAGCATGCCACGAGCAGGCGGACCTGAAGTTCCCATACACGCGGAACCGTTATTTTTGTTCATCATGTTCACCGAACTGATTGTGCAATTCCAGCAGGCTCTTAGCCGGAAGTAGATCCAAGGGTTCCGGGGATGAATGGCGACCAACCAGCGCTACACGGTTACAGATTCCACATCCCCGGCGACGGCCTCCGCCAGCCCGCGTTGTGACGCGCCGGTTCATAGCCTACTTGAGAGGACTGGGAGCCTTGGAGACCGCAAGCGGTTATGACTGGTATCAACCCAAACAATTGCTGTTGTTTGAGCCGCGAAGGCAAAACAGGGGGTAAGAACTAATATCTCCTTGCTTTTCCGAGAACAAACCAAACCCGGCGTTGCGCTCAGGGCGCTAGTGCCTGGTTGCCTCGTCTCACGATCGCCGCGGATTGGACTATCCGTGATGTCAGTTTTACACGAGTTCGGGCACAAGCGAATTTTGTCAATGGCCGTGTCGGACTCTGACGGACCATTGATGACGAGGAAACAGGGCTTAGACATAGCATGACTCCAGGCTTAGAATAGGGTGGCTGTGGCAGATACTTGTAGACTGTGAAGATTCAATGGGTCCCAATCGTTCTCAGAGCTTGGGCTCCGGGGCCGTCAGACCACAGGACCTCCGGCCGAGCCGAGAAGGGAGCTAAGACAGCCGGAGTTTGCTGAACAGCCTGGAGCTTAGTTATCGGCTGGCCTAGTATGGAAGCGAACACCATGGACGCCTTCCTGTCTTCTGGAATGACAATGTCCTTGGCCGACCCTGGGGTGAGGATTCAGGAGCTCTGCCTTAGCGCAAGGCACGGATACTATACCCGAAGCTTTGAATGATTGATTACATGCATCTGTGAGATGGGCAGCTCCCGACTGGCATACGATGTCTGCCCCCCACCACGCTGCCTAGCGTTGCCCACTATCTTGCAGGAATGTGAAGGCATTGCGGCTTTTGGCTGCCTTCCAGATGCCTTCTTTCCACACATGCTTACCATCCCTTGAGATCTACAATACAATACGTCAGCCGACAACGGCGCAGTAGGCTTCCACGGAAATGTTCACAGGCTAATCATCATCTTGCATCGAAATGCCTGCATGCCCCCCTTGAATTCCACGCGTGTACCTCGTGGTCGCCGCATCCTCGATCCCCAACCCCAAGCAATCCCGCAAAAACGCAACGATTTCATCAACGTTCTCACCATTATGACACAAACAGCTCACCACAAAAGTGGAATAGAAGCAGAAGAAGAAAAGCAAAGAAGAAAAAGAAAATTGACCTTTTGTTATACGCTAACAGATCAGGCTTCGTTGAGAGGAGATTGCGTTTGACACCTCGTCTGGTGTATTCATAGAAGATTGGGTTGCGCTTACGATTTACTTTAAGCGCTCGTGTAATTACGGTTCAATTGAATATCAACGGCAGCGCAATTCCGCAACTATGCTTGTTGCGCCCGCAACCAACGCCCCATGATGCATCATCCATCACCGAAGTATTGCACCATCCCGTCGTGCATTCGGTGAGCAGCTCTCGTCATTAGACTTGTCGCCTTTACACCGAGGCAGCCATATCTCGGCGCCTCACCATCGTCATCATCGAGATCTTCGCCAGAGAGAGGGGTTGCTGTCATGTCAGAATTGTCATAAGATCGTAATCTTATGTCTCCTGGGAATACTTATCAATGATATCCAGATCTGCGAAGGCCTTCAACCGGAGGGTCGCACGGCGTTACGCACCGACACCGGGCTGGAGCTACATAGTATGTATGTATTTCAACTTGATGACTGCGGGGAAAGGCAATCGCTTGCATTCAGATTAGCTTTTGACTGCCCATGTTCGCAGTGAAGGTTCGCTGGGAGTAAGCTGTTCCAAATGGCATTTGATGAACAGTTGAACCGTAGCAGTAGGCAACAGGCAGCAGGCAACAACAACCGCTCCCTGATAAGATGGAGCCTATTACCAACCAATCATTTTTATCACCCACACCTACACCGTCTCTCACCGGTAATTCAAAGTGCAGTAGGGAAATGAGGGGAAGCTACATGTCAGGAGGTCTCTCACGAGAAAGAGTCTTTTCTCCAGCGTAAGCTAGCAATACCGGACAAGCTTCTGCGCGAATGCTACATAGGCATCGAACCAGCAAGGACACAGCTAGAAACACATAGCGCCTTTCGAGATTGAATATTGAATACGTTATAAATCAGGCTGGGGCTTGCGAAGCGCCGTAATGCACGGAATCCAGCCTGATCTCGGATGATACCCCATCTCGGTACCACCTGACGACCAGGGGCATTGCCCCCTGTATCACAAGTCCACTTCAACGAATGTGTGCCCTCCCTCATCCATCCTTAACCACATCGTCTACAAGCTACATCGTTGCCTGCTGACGGTATGGATCCTATCACTGCCATTAGTTTGGCATCAAACATAATATCCTTCATTGCTTTCAGTACCAAGGTACTTCGTGGGGCAAAGAAAGTCCACGAAGCAGGGGCCTTGGAGGATAATGACACCCTTGAAACTGTCGCCTATCAGATGGAGACATTCATCACGAAGCTACTTGCGCCGAACCAAGCAAATCTGATTGGTACTGACTTGGGCCTGTCCCAGTTGGCTACTAAATGTAGGGACTTAGCCAATGATATTTTGCAATTGCTTGAGAGCATCAAAGCAAAAGACCCAACATCGAAAAGGCAAGCCATCTGGTCCGTAATAAAGAATGTGAAGTACGATGAAGATAAGAAGAGTCTGGAGACAAGACTCAGTTCGTGTCGAAGCCAATTAGAGATGCAAATCAGCTTTCTTGCAAGGTGAGATACCGCCAGTGGCCCGACACAAGCTCTCAAAGTCACTCATCTCCAAGCAGTCAGGAAAGCAGAACGAGGCTTCAAAACGTACTGGAAGCGTGTTAGGACACTACCCGTCGACTTGAAGAGATTTGGAGGTCGATCTCTCAATTTCGCAACGCCATAGAAGTTGGCGGCTTCAGCGATGTCGCTAAATGCCAAATGAAACAACTCTGTCAAGTTCCAGAAGACACGGTTGGAGTCCTGGCTCAAGAGCGTATAATACTGAACGGTCTCAGATGCTGGATGAAACCAGTGAATGAGCGATATGATACAGTTTGCGAAGCCCATTCCAAAACCTTTGAGTGGTTGCTATCCGAAACAGAGGAAAACGACGCACGGAATGATACACCTCAGTCGGATAATAATGATCTCTTTCTATCATGGGCCATCTCCAGTCTAGACTCAAGACCTTTACTTACAGCCAATAAAGGCGAGTTCGTTGCCGATGAAGACGATATTTTGGCAGAATTCGGAGATTGGAGACAGTTTCATGGTATGAACCAAGGGCTGGGATCGTATAGCGAACCTATTGGTGGGCCAGGTTTAACAGATGATGCCAAGGCAAGACGTTCAGCCAGGGAACTATTCAAAGGATGGCTTACCTCAGGAGAAGGAATTTTCCACTTTTCTGGGAAGCTTGGTGCAGGAAAGTCAACACTAATGAAGCTGATATGCTCCCATGAGCATGTAAAAGCTAGGCTTGAAGCATGGGCTAAAACACGTAAGTAGTCGTACATCCCTTACCCCAGCCAAGAGGGGATCACATCTCGACCACACTTCTAAGTAAGAAACAAGCAATCGCAAGCTTGTCTTCGCACGTCATTTTTTCTACAATCTTGGGACAAGCCATCAAAAGTCATTGGCGGGCATGTATCGTACATTGCTTCACAATGTTTTGGAGTCCTGCTCGGAGTTGATCTGCCTAGCCTTACCAACTCATTGGGATAAAGCTAGCTCCAGGCCTTGGCAAGTTGCAAAAAAAATCTGCGTTTCCGATCGGGACGTCATCAAAGCCTTTAATTACATCGTTGAAAGCAGCAAGATCAATGAAAAGCTCCGACTATGCTTCTTCATCGAAGGCTTGGACGAGCTCGAGAGCACTGCCGAGTTTTCTCATCGAGATTTGGTTGAGTTGTTCCATGATTGACACTAGCGCAGCCTAGGACGTATCAAAACTGTTGTCTCCAGTCGGGAACACAACGTCTTCAGAAACGGGTTCTCGCCCTCTTACCGAATTCGCTTACACACACTGACGAGACTGGACTTGGAGTGTTTCGCCCAAGATAAGCTCAACGGAATTCAGGACTCCGAAAAAATGGGCCAGATTGTTGACAAGATTCTCGAAAAAGCTCAGGGTATCTTTTTCTGGGTAACCCTAGTTGTCAACAGCGTGCGAAAGCACCTAGAAGATGGGCTTGATCTCGACGACGTGGCTGAGCAGATTGACTTTCTACCACCAGAGATGAATGATCTCTTCGCCTACATCCTAGACTCGTTAGAAACTTGGGCAAAGAGGAAGGCGTATCGTACCCTTTCCATGATGCTCGAAGCAACAACTTGGGATCTAAAAGTCCCTATTCTGGGTTATATTTTCCTGGACGACTACGAGAAGAACCCTCGTCCCGACTTTGGCCTAAAACATACCATAAAGTTTCGCAGTGGGAATTATGGTGTATCTCTTCAATGGACAGAGACAAGACTGAATGCCATCTGTGAAGGGCTCGTTGAGTGTCCCCATCATTCATTGTCTCCTGAGGGACGTAGACAGCCATTTCTACGATTTGGCCATCGTTCAGTCGAAGAATTTCTCTTGCATCCAAAGAGAAAGCGTGAAATGCTTTTACATTTGGGTAGCTTCAGTCCCCCAGAGGCTCTGTCTCATATCATTCTATTATCCAGAAGGAGCGCCGGCGTTTTCGACGATCTCTCTTCCTGGCGTTCCCAAGGGTTTCGCGACTTGCCGCATATTTTGATAATGCGGTAGAAACACAATCTGGACAAACAGCCATGGAAATTTCTAGAAAGCCTGGAGGTGTGGCCAGATGAGAGCGAAGACCTTGTGCTGCTAGAGCACCCTAATATGAAACCATGCGTACGGCCTATCCTTTCACTCATTCCATCCCTTGCTTCGAACCGCGCGCCTCTCGTTGCCACGCCACTTTTTGTCCTTACACTACCCGGATATGAGGAGTACCCAGTGTGGAAGATACGAAATGAGTCGAGGAGCTATCTCAGCCCTAGAAAGAACTCGCTCGTCATCGGCTGCGCTTTTGAGTACCATCTACACGAATGGGTTAGACTGTCAAGGCTAAAGCCGGAATCTCATAACATTGGCCCTACTCTTGTCAGAGTATTGCTTGAACGTGGTCTCGCATCTTGGGATACGAAGATGGAGTGGACGTTGCCAATGTTCCCAGACGATTCCGATCCGGCGTTGACTCTCCTTCAGCAAAGCTTTGTTATTGCGAGTATGCGGACCAACGAAAATAGCGCTGATTGGATAGGAGTCATAATCGAAGACCTTCTTCGCCATAAACCCGACTTGGATTTTTCCTTCTCAACCAAGCGCCACAAGGTAGCCCTTTACTTGGACTTCGAATATAAAAGCAATGGGGCATCGACGTTTCGAGGATTGTGCAGGAGGGCCCTCGTGAGGGACGCCGTTACAAATTGTGGACCGAAGCAAATCGTCGAAAATTACAGTCTTGGTAATAGGCACTGTATCCTGAAGATGCTGGAAGACCAGACGAGCCAAGCAAATCCCAAATTTGATGGTGCCAACTCGTCAATCGGTCCGAAGTATAGACAGAACCAGGATTCGAACGCTACGACGACAGAGGCTTCACAAATATGGACGACAAGCCACTCTCCAAGTTTGGGTCAGGTTAAAGAACTGGAGCTACACGAAAGGATGACATCGAATGGGGGTTTTGGAGAGGTATTGGTGTGGAATTCAACGCTAGCAAAATACAGCATTGCATGTTTGATTGGCAGCATGTTTGGTATGTAGTAACCAAGTCTGCTGAGGCCTCGATTAGAGTAGTAAAGCTCACAATAGCACAGGGTTCACCGCGAAACAGGTGATAAAAAGATGGTGGTAAGTTTAAAAGTGTTCAATTCCTGATGTTGATGGAGGGCGGGGGCTGAATCATTCTGATACTATAGCTAGGTAACAATGCTTGCGGAAACCCTGGTAAAAGCGCAGACAGATTGAACACGGGTTATCGGATGAAAGTGTGGTCTGATATGGAGCAAGACATTAGAATATCGAAGTGATTATCTAGCACCTGGCGACATGGAGGCATAGCCCAATCGCTTTGAGGCCTTCGAGAAATATGTGGAATAGGTCATGCTGTTAACCAATACGCATTTGCGATTATATCAATCTAGGTAAAGAGACATTGAGAGAAAGACCAGACTTTTCTTCTGCGTTCGCAAGAGTTTTAAACCATAGTATAGCAACATGATTTAAAATTGTGATGACATCCTCCATATTAGAGGCGAAATAGTAGCATGGGAAAGAGAACTGGGTGAGATACCAGACGCATGATACTTGCCAAGAGCTGTTACGCTTAAGACGAGCTAGAGTCGTTCGACACAGAGCTACTGCTTTATGACGATGTAAGAGTTTGTCTCACAAACCAGATATCGTCGCACTACCGCGATCAGCTAGCTGTATGTCCTTGAAGAGCATGTGGCTTCTCGCACTGGTATCTAGCTGGAGGTCTTAGTTTGATACATCGTCTCACGGGGCAAATCCCATACCAGGCAGACAGTGGGCGATACCTATGTTTGATTTTCAAACAACTGACTAGTCTGGTCAGTGGATTCTGTCTACCAGATTTGGCCTTACTAGACCATCCGTCCGTGCTGACGGTAAGCACAGAGCTTGTCTGACATTTGAAGACACAAGGGCAAGATACTAATATCTAGGAGTTTGTCAGAATCTCTTAACCATCCAACACCAAGATAGCCCAATGAGCCAAATCGAAATTAACCCTGACAAGGAAAAGGGAGCTAAACCGTACCAGTTTGATATTGCAGGCATAGCCATTAAAGCACGCGTGTGAGGTATTCTGGGAGCCTTGATTTAGTAGGCCTTGAATCCAAGCACCAGTGATATAAAATTCACATCCGCCCTTGACAATACCCCTCACTATCACTACCGGCCGTGTGAGTGCGGTATCCGATGGATCTTTTTGCTGACAACCCTCCAAGCTGTTGGGGCTCTTGTGGTGTCCAAAAGTGACAAGGAATTACCTGAGGAAGGTGGCCTCCTAATGCATACGTCTGGCAGTGGGTGGGATCTGTGTTAGATGCCTCTGACCAATAGCGTAGACAATGAGGCGAGCAGCTGAGATCAGCTGAATGGCGGGGTAGACGTACTAAGGAACGCTTCTGACCTTGAGGGATTTAGTAGTTGGATGACCTGTCGATTACCATGGACGCCTTACGAGGAGTTACTCCTAGAGGAGCGGGCTCTATCTTGAAATGGCACGGCGGAGTTGCCAAGTACTCAATGTAATATTGATTGCTGCCTGCGCATTAGCAATCGCTTCAACGTAGCATTGATGAGTGGCTGTTCTTCCTCTGACCCGCTTGTGCAAGTGATCCACAACGCAAGGATATTGACACCTATCCAAGGCAAACACGACGCATCCGAAACATTGAGAATAGTCACCGTACATAATGATTTGCGATCGAAGCTCACAGACGAAGGAAAATGAGGGTGCGGATAACTCCCTATTTTGTTCGGTCCGACCATACCATTCTTTCTTTGGTATGTCTTGGCTAATAAAGTGACAGATCATGTCCTTATGAAACTAACCAGACATATCCATTTCGAACCAGAAGGTACCAAGTCTGGACCCCTGTTCGCGTAAGCTGGTGCCTCATCTGTCTCATCCTGCCATGGGATTTCTCTCTATGAAGCTCTCAACAAATCTTAAACCTGCTGAAGTAGATTTGCTCAACATTCGACATCGCGGTCTCTTTATCAAAGGGTGAATGGTAGCATTTCCCAGTCATCAAAGTAATAGACCCAAGGCGTAGTATAGCGCCATGTTTCTACCTGTTGTTTATGAGGAAGCATGCATGCTTTAATGCCGTGGTTTCTGCGACGTGTTTTACACACGCTTCCAGCCAAATGGTTTCTACCGGCGATGTTAAGCGTCGCAAGCCCCCAAACTCCGACGCCCGCAGCTATCTCACATATTGCGAATAGGAGACAGTAGGATAATATACCCTGAAAAGGGTAGGTCTACGTCAAGAGCGACAAACCTTATGATACGCTATCCTGCAGTACACGTATACAACCCAAGGCAGCAGCGGAGTTTGCAGAGGCCTTCAACGCTATTCACTGGGAGACGTTAGTCAGTAGCCTTGTTTTTTCCAGAGTTGGCCAGCGACATGATCGCGCATATCCTTATTGTAGAGGATTGGATGGCGTGCTCGATCTTCTTCCCCACCCCCTAAGGACTGGGGCACCTTAGAGAATCTTCCTTAAATTTGTATAGCCTTTGACTGGATATGCCACTCACCGAAAGACCTTGGCATCGCATCGAGCTATCATCTTAGCCGAAGGTGATATCTCTCGAGCCTGCTTCTTTGTTACCACATTGATTCTAGCGTCAGCATCATGCCGTAAATGACCGGGTTACATAGCTGCATATTCAAATGTGCCGTACACCTGCTTCCTGTCACACATTATGGCCTCAATTCTGTGCGTTCATCTCAACGGAAGTTCTAGTGTTGTTCGTTTTCTTTCTCTTCTCGAAGCTTCTCTATCGGACAATCCAAAGCCAGAAAGGGGGCAATAGACGGCGAGACACTCGTTGAGAGCCCGGAGCCTGCATAATCTTCTGCAGGTGAGGTTGATGGTCAGCTAATACGCTTGGAAGACAAGTGAAAACCCATGGGAAGGCGGCATGAGTCAGGGAGTAAAAATAATCCTTGATTACAAATGACAAGATCTTGCCTTTTCTTACGTGAGACTATGGATCACAACGACACATACGATAAGAATGACAGCACAGTGCAGGATGTGTTCATGAACCCTGGAAAGCATCATACCAGAAATGATTGCGTAAGCAACACGTTTTGGTCTTTTCAAAATAACAACCGATGAAGTTCCAGGCAAACTGTCCCGTCCCGGAGAACAGTCAAAAAGTCGTGTTACATAATTGCTTCATGTAGGCTTTGCTGACTCGCTATTCTGTAACCGCTGTAAGTGATCATTATCAACATATAATCCATTATCATCGTGGATGCCAGCAATCACTTTGGCAGTCGAACATCAGTGGCCTCTTCATTGTCTTCTTATGTATAATTCCAGGCTGATATTTGTCACCCCAAGGTAGACACAGGTCTGTCTAGTCACGAGTCGCTTGGATTTTACGTCAGTTAGTACACGCTTCGCAATGTAGCTGTTTGCTGTTTAGATTCTTGAATTTGGGGCTTTGGGTAGCGGCGTATCAAGGTTCGAATCCTACAAGTTCATCAGCATGGGAGGCGCCGGAACAATGTTGCTTAGGAGTTTTAGGCCGATGTTAATGATCATTTTGACCAAAATTCCAACTCTGCAATGAAAGGCCCAAAAATTTGAAGGACTATGGACGACAAAAACACGCAGAAAGCATCGCTAAATGATTGTCGAGTTGCGTTCGCAAGTTGTTGAAAGCTAAAATTTAACTACTATTTTAGTACCCAAAGCCGCTTTCTGAACAACAGTCACTACTTCTGATATTATAGGTACTGTTGTCCTTTTTGAGTCAGGATTTATGGAAGGAAATTGAAACTGGAGCTCTTGGGCCGTCAATTTGATTGTAAATCCCTTAGGTCCCTTCTGAGGCAAGCTGCTTGTGCCCCCGTGACACTTGCAGACCAATTTCGATCTCACATGGTAGTACATAACCAACAAGCGTTCCATATTGCGGAAGGAGAAAGAGGAGAACATATGGAGTGAGCCGGTTGGATGATCAACATACATCGTAACTGGATCTTCAGGTCGACTTTGACCGTACAAAACGGACTTGACACTATGCAAGGGCCAAACCATTACTGAAATATATTCCAGCGCCTATTCTAGAAATAAGAGTGGTCCAACCGATCTGTGGTTTTACAAGCTGAGATTCATTTCCGATGATGTGTTGTCATTTGGTGGGTACAAAGCTGGGCATGCAGCCTAACGAGCTGACGCCATACCTGCCATGGCTGGAGGGCCTCGCAATTCCAAATAACATTGTAAGATGAAAGCTTTCGATGCATTTAATTGAAGCTAAACGTATATTTCCATTAATTGAATGAAAGAAAGGAATTATGAGTTGTTGACTTATGGTACATATGTGTTGTCGTAGTATTTCTGGTCGAGTCTAATAAAAATGAATAAACACACGCTCAGTTATTAACGTCACCCAGTACATCCTCCAAAACCCAATACGAAAACATCTCACGGCGACTCAGCTTGTTGCACTTCATCAACTTAATACACAGTGATATGTTCATTTTTTGCCTAAATCTTGCCAGGACCACTCGCATCCAGCTCAGCAAGGCATTGTGGGACAAGCATTTGAGCCGGTCCTCGGGGTCTCTCGTATTGCTGCCCGTAAAGCTCGTGATATGTTGTGGCATACGAGTACTTGTCTGGCTCCATAGGCATCGAAGGTCGCGACTCCGTGACAGGCGGTGGATCGGAATCCCGTTGCTGTTTTCGCTTTCTACGCCATAGAAAAAACGCGAGCGCAGTAAGAACTATATCTCCCGCACCAGCACTAACACCAATACCAACAGTAGCAGGTACTGGTAGACTGGACACATTGGACGTTGCGGTTGCTCCCTGAGAAGGCGAAGTTGTGTTGGTGAAGGCTTCTGATTTCGCAGTTTCACGGGGCAAAGGGCTGCCAACGGTGTCGATTTGTTCGGTGGGAGTGGTTGTTGCGGTAGTGTTTTCGATACTAGCTGTGGAAGTTGACGTAGTCTGAGATACTGCTATATCCAGAGTCCACCCAAGAACAGCAATTGCGCCGACATAAGTTGGTCTTGCGATAGTTGTCGTTGCCATCGTCCAGTCTCGTGTGTTGGTGGCCGGTGTTGACGCATAAGTGATGACAGCGTGGGTTAGGAGGTTAGACCGGCAGTCGCCTACGATTGAACCCAATATTCCGTTTGCAAGAGTGTGATCTCTAAAGAACAAACCACAGGTTAGGATTAAGGCAGTTGGCAGAACAATTTTAAGATTGGAAAAGTACATATGGCGGGCAGCACGTCGCAAGCGTACTCACGTCATTTTTGACAGACGTTGCAACTGTAGTCCATCGATCGGACAATTCAAAGGCCCAATGCTGACAGCTGTATGGCCTTCGCCGCCGTTGATTCCCAAACGACCTTGTTCCCACCATGTTGTGACTGCTGCTGGCGCACATCGTACTCTCGTATCAACGTCGGTGCCAAAGCCTGGATCATAGGCGACGAGACTGAATCCATCCAACCGACAGATAGTCGAGCAGCTGGATGGAGGTGTAAATATTGTCGGGAGGGCTATGAAAGACGTGACGGTACTGGCTTCATTAGTCTCAGGGGGATATCCTTCGGCCATCTTGACCGGAGTCTCTGAGGTCTTCTCAACAGGAAAGACAGGATGAATTCAAAGAAGAGATTTACACAAGAGTTGACCACGAGAAATTGAGCCGGATAAGGGTTCACTGGACTTGTCTGACTTGCCGCCGCCACAAATTGAAGACAAACAAGTCGAACTGCCGGGCTCGAGCGACGACACCATTATGATCCGTTGGATGTATGGCTCCGGTCCTTGTGATTTTACGTCGCTCCTTCTTCATTCTGTTGGTTCAAAGACATACCTCGCTTTTCTTGTGTTTATTATTGTTTGCTCGCAGCGGGCTGCACTGCACAATGACCAGGCTTTGAAACCAACGCATATGCTGCCCCCTTGGCTATGCGGACGAGTTGCTCCAGCACCAGACTATGCCAAGGCAATCCATCCAATGAGTGCCTACGGCCGTGATCTCCACCGTAGCGCTTGGGACAACAAAATGAAGACAAACAGAGAGTTCCAACATCGCTTTTGTGGAGCTTTGACGAATAACATCTTGTGAGGTAGTGAAAAACAAGGTTCTTTTATCGCTTCCAAGCCATCGGTAACCAATGGCATGACAGCACATGATAGCAGTCGCATGTTTGCTCCTATTACCATCGGTCCAACCTTGTCGCTAGTTTTGCAAAAGATGCGGTCAAACAGGGCTCCCTGTCGAGATTTGGTGCCAAGTCAATGTGGACTGAGAAGAAATGTTTGTTGGAACGACATTGGCTTTGCCGATATGAGTGGCAGTGGTCCACTGGCGGTATCGCCAAGCTTCCTCCCGTTGCAGGCGATAAGCAGGGTGGTTGTTGGATGGTTGTGCTAGACAATAGTCTTGTTGTCTCTTCTTTTCATGGACGGGTTCCCCTCCTTGAAATCAGAACTCGAACGTGCAGTCAGACCTTTGTCCACTCCTAAGCAAAATAAACTATTACTATGGGTTCTTCTTCGAATAGGCAAGCGCGACATCTGCCCACAATGACCAAAGTTACTGGCGTAGTCAACGACGACATGAGAAAATCCCTACACGCATCTCCTACGAGAAAGCCAACTTTGAGGCGCAGAACCCACAACCTTCTCATCATGCTGTGTCTCGCAGGACTCGCAGGCGTGTTACCCGCAGGATACTTCTCATATCATGCCCTTGGGCATACCCATTACACCCCTCAATCTCAGTTTGCCGACTGGAATGACCAGAGAGACAAAGTAAAAGACACCTTCATGACAAGTTAGAATGCGTACAAGAAGTACGCTTGGGGTAATTGATTCAACCCCAAACGATGTTTTAGTATAAAATTGGAAAACAGGCAACAATGTGTTCCATCCCGTATCGAAAAGAGGCGAAAACATGTCCCCGAAGGGCCTCGGCTGGATCATTGTGGACAGTTTGGACACAATGATGCTCATGAATCTGACCGAGCCCCTTGCTGACGCACGGAAGTGACTGCATTATAGCCTCACCTGGAATCAAGACCAGGACATCAACACCTTCGAGACGACGATCTGCATGATGGGTGGGCTGCTCTCGGCTCACTACCTATCCACACAACTACCACATATCGCCTCCAAAAGGGATTCAGTGTATCTGGCAAAAGCTGTCGACCTCGCAGACCGTCTCTTGGTCGCATACGACTTCAGTTCAGGTATATCTTATGCCAGTGTCAATATTGGGAAGAGGGAAGGAATCGTTTCTCATGCGGACGGTGGTGCTTCTTCTACGGCAGAGGCTGCCACTGTTCAGCTCCCCACAGGTGTAAAAGGACCTTTGTCACCAAAGATGGATCACCTTGTCTGTTTTCTTCCCGGAACAATTGCCATGGCAGTAAGTTCACGAGACCCCTTTCTTGCTCACTTATCTGACGTTATGCGTCAGGCCACGGAAGGACGTACCTTAGCCGAGGCACTTCGTGACCCGAATTGGACCATACACCATGAGGGCGACGTTAAACTAGCCATCGAGATCATGGACACATGCTGGGGCATGTGTGCTGTTACCGATACCAGCCTCGCTCCTGAGATCACTTGGTTCAATGCTTCCAACGCAGATCTTCAATCTCAGCCTGGTGACAGATGGTTGCGGACGCAAGGCAGCGGTACGCACCAATGAGATCCACCTACGCGAGAGAGATATTAGCTAATTGATTCCTCAGCCCTATCGAAGTGGAAGGAAGATTACACCATCAAGCCTCTGGATGCACACAATCTTCAGAGACCAGAGACGGTTGAGAGTGTCTTCATGATGTACCGCATCACAGGGAACTCAATTTATCGCGAGTGGGGCTGGAAAATCCTCCAATCTTTTCAAAAGCACACCATTGTACCTGATGGAGAGGGGTACACAAGCCTAAACGATGTGCGAACGGCCCCACCGGAAGCCAGAGACAATATGGAAAGCTTTTGGCTGGTGAGCATTGAACTTTATGACATTTCTTTAAAAATATAGAGCTCCCGAACGACACACTGACATGGTGTATGTAGGCTGAAACTCACAAGTATCTATACTTGCTGTTCTCGCCAACGGACTGCATGCCACTAACCGAGGTTGTCTTTAACACAGAAGCCCATTCATTTCCGAGATTCACACCGAAGGGGTCTTTGAAGACTGGCTGGTAAAGAATGCCTCGATAGTGCTATAATCGAGTTCACTCAAAAGCTGTTGGCTGCGAGAGCCAGGATTGTGTAACTTATGTAGATGAATAAGAAGATGTTGCAATTGAGTTGAGCTGAGAAGATGCACACAGAACAGTGATGAGTCACGAAGGGGTCAGTAAGTCGTGTAAATGCTGTGTGGATAATGTCGGAAACTTCCTGATCTTGAAGGCTTTAGCCCGCTACTTGACGTTTTTCGAATCGGCTTCCATACTCTAATTCGCGCTCGCTGAGAGTTAATACCCTTACAACGACTAAAAAGTGACTTTTGTGCTGCTCTAGGGTTGCTTTTCGAGGAGATAATGGTTGTCTATTCGAGAGTGGAGTCACTCTTGATCCGGGTCCTCTTGCCCTGCGTCTACGCGCATTTCCATGAACATCTATGGTCATTATCTCTGTAATGCATCGTGAAAGAAAGTCTGGCAAGTCTTTCAAGATTAGATAAGCCGCCTCTGCATTATCTGGAGGTTTATTTATTCTATTTTCCCTGTAGGTTATAAGTATCAGGCCGTCCACGTTTTCAAAAGCCAACCACGTCGCTTCTCGACATATAGATAAACCATGGGAGATCGTCAACGCCTCGCAAAAGACCCTCTTCTCTGCTTAAGGACTCTCATGCTTTTCTCCAGTAGTCTCTGTCGGCTGAGCTATTGTTACGATGCTTTCCCCCCCCCGACCGATAGGGAAGTTTTTTTTTTTGCTAAGTGTCACATTACATGTTGATCATAACACAGATGGGGAACGCATCTAAAAAGTTCGGGAAAGACGGCCTGCCGGACGGCAATTAGCGGCAATCCATGAAGTCTGGGGGTAATTGACTAAACGCTGTTCGATGTGACTTTCGGTTGGCAAGATTAGAATTAGAGCCCTCCAAGCTCGATACCGATCACGTAGAGCGACAAAAGAGAATGAGCTTCTCCCTATGGTTTGCGCGTCAACGCAAGCTCATTTTGCCAGAAGATCGCCTGAATAGCCGCATAGCCGCAACTCACAAAGCTCGGGATTTGTGCCGATTCAATAGCCGTTCCGCCCGCACACTTCGTCCAATAACAGCAAATTTCTCCGAATTCTCCAACGCTGCATACGTGCGGGTTGTTTCTTTGGACGAGTCATCATGCAGTGCGCCACTTTAGTTGACCCATCACGCAAGTCTTGACTGGGATGAAGTCAGTAAATCTTGAATTCAGTAGGAGCTACAGATATTCGAGGCACCATGGCCTAACCCCCCTACCCCGCGCCATCCCCCACCCATTGCGATGTCCTTTTTTTGTGGATGCGGTGGTGGTTCCCCCACCATCCCCCGCTCTCCGTCATCGGTGATTCTTCCCCCGAGGTTGGTAAAACATGACACCCCTCGCTCACTTTCATTAGCCGATCTGTTTTCCGACGCTTCACGATCATCTGCTGTCTCGGAAATCCCTCAGAGCTTTTACAACCGTATGACTTCCTACGCATCTTGACACTTTCCATTGCTATGAGAGCCCACTGACACAAAGCTTCAGATTCCACATCACATCACCATCACCATGAAGCTCCTCTACCCCACCTCCCTCAAGCTCGACGTGGACAGCCTCCAAGGCTTCTCCGTCGACCTCGTCCCCTACGATGTAAAAACGTCCATCCCAGAGGAGCACACCGATGCCGAAGCCCTCGTCACTTGGACCAACACGGCCGACAACCTCAAGGACGCCGCCTCCCGCCTTAAGAACCTCAAATGGATCCAGTCCCTCGCTGCCGGTCCCAATGACGTCCTCAACGCCGGCTTCGATACCTCCAAGATCACCGTCACGACCGGCTCCGGACTGCACGACCACACCGTTGCCGAGCATGCCCTTGGCTTGCTCCTCAACGCTGCACGCCGTTTCTACGAGATGCGCGACTACCAGCTCCAGGGCAAGTGGCCGGGCCACCTCGGCGGGCCCCAGCCTGATCGCCCCGCGGGTGCTTTCACGACTCTGCGCGACGCCCGCGTGCTGATCTGGGGGTTCGGCAACATTGCCAAAGCACTGACTCCGCACCTCCGTGGCCTCGGCGCGCAAGTCAAGGGTATTGCGCGTAATGCTGGTGTTCGCGATGGTGTCGAGGTATACGGCGAGGACAAGCTAGCCGAGCTGCTGCCCGAAACTGATGCGCTGGTCATGATCCTTCCTGGATCTGACTCGACGAAGAACGCCCTGAACGCCGAGCGTCTCAAGCAGCTGCCCAAGCACGCGTGGATCGTCAACGTTGGTCGTGGTACCTCTATCGACGAGGACGCATTGGTAGATGCGCTAGAGAAGGGCGAGGTCGGCGGCGCGGCATTGGACGTGTTCGTGACGGAGCCTCTCCCTGAGGCGAGCCGTCTGTGGAAGGCGCCGAACGTGATTATCTCGCCGCACGCGGCTGGTGGCCGGCCACAAGGTGCCGAGGCGTTGATCGCTTACAACCTGAGGCGGTTCCGTGCTGGTCAGTCATTGAAGAACATTATCTGAATGAGATAGGTCGAGCAGGTTCAAAAGTGACGTTCCTGGTAATAGACATGATACAAGACTAATTACACGAGTATGCATGACCAATCATGGTCTGAGGCCTATGGTCCTTCCTCCGTTCCAACTGGGACTGTCTGAGACACAACAGTGTTCAGACCAGTCAGTGGCCGCATAAGGCCGTATCATACGTGAAGTTCGGACACTATGGTTATTAGATCCCTTTGTCCCGTTCGCCTAGTGCTTTCCTCCTTCCAAGAACACGATATGCCATCGCGCTTCCTTGTCTACTTGGGGACATTTCTCTTCCACGAAACGACAAAGGCTTTTGGAGCAGGATAGAACTCAGATTTCCAATATTGCAGCATTCCATCTTGCCTCGTAAGCTGCCCAGTTCTAGGTCGCAGCAGTCGCGGAGAAGCTTGCAGCGATTCTCAGCCGAAGTATGCCCCCCTCTTCTTCCAGCCAGCGGCAATCCAAGTAACAGACGTGTTCAGTTTCTGAGATCCACGTACCACGGTATCAATACTAGCTTCCGTGAATAGAGCATAAGCTGTTCCGGTGTGAACTCCTGCTGGGTTGCAAGGAAAACAACTTGCGAAGACTCATAATTGTCATATTCTGTCCGAACCCTAAATTCTCTGAACCCCTTGATTGGCGTGCTCATACTGCTGATAGTAAACTCCCTATACCATTTGAGTGCATCTTTCAGGCTAGTGACATGCTCATCTGGTTGATGTAGTTGTCTGACACATTAGGAGCATAGCTGACAATGATGGCGAGGACAGGATTCCCCCTCTTCTTGGGTCATTCTAGTGGAACTACGGTTACGGCCGTGGAGGCAGAACCTTATTCCAGTTAATATGAGATCGATGTTACAATAGGAATGGAAAGGCCCTCATCTGAAGAAAGGCAATCAGCTGAAGGTATTGACTATTTACTGAAACACTGGCAGAATCGAAAAGCTTTATCCGTCAATTCTCTTGCTTTGCAAACTCGCAAGGGTTCATCTAGGTCGTGGCGGAACGAAAGCAAGCATTCTAACAAATTTCCATGAAAGTGATTAAAGAAGTGTATCGACAGATGAAGTCCATCTGGACTCGTTGCTTTCAGTTCCAGAGTCTCTAGACAAAAACACTCAAGTCCACGCCGTTGAATATAAATAGAGATTTATCAAAGTCGCACGAAAGGGGTTTAGTAAAAGGAGGCGTAGGACGTTTGGGATAATTACTGGGTTTATTTCAATTAGCTTAATTGATATAGTTACTGTTAAGCATGAAAACGATGATCAACCCTTTTTCCTCGTAGAGAATCTGAAATATCTACAAAAACGTCCGAGTTCGACCAATGTCCAGCAGTTAGCGTATTCTTGTTGTTGGAGCCAAATTCCATGCCAGGTCTTACACTCTAACGCATACAACTGACTAAACCGACCAATTTCCGTTGTTGCCCGCCCAAATCTACTTTGTTCCTATTCAGATAGGGCACTGGGTTCAAAATACGACCCCTACATTGTAGCATCGGCTTTTTTAATGCTCAGTTATACTTGGTATTATTATTTCAGTTGCCAAACTGAAAATCGGCTTTATACTGAAGCTTAGGGTTAGCTTTTAGTCAACATCTACATCCTAACCAGATAATAACAAATCGGGGAAGACGAAGTTTCCATTTACGCAGCTCATTCTGATTAACTTAATAATTCATTCCGTACTAGTTTGAGGACTCCTAAGCAAATCAACCCAGGCGAAGAGCGCATATAGGTCTGTATTTGTTATGCCACAACCGATACATGTCGAGCAATGATAGCAACAACAGTTCGCCACAATTCATATTACACGGAGTCAAGTAAAATCACCTGATGAAGAAGCATAACTCCTGCCCAGTGACAAGACTCGGTCCCGGAATGCAAGACCGAACTATGGGTTCGGATCCGACGCCAAACGTCAAATGCCCCGTACCCAAGCCCTCTGCCAAAGATTTCCATGCACCTGGCAGCAAACCAACATCATGCAAAGAGCCTCAGCTATCGCAGACCCGCGTGCGCTTAGTAAAAACTTTTTAATCCTATGAGGTCTACGTATCCACATCTCCTCTGGCTTGATAGTTGGGCGAGATGTCAAGCTTTAGGTTGCCAATACTATGGCATATCTCGGATAAAGCACCTCTTGGCTGCATATACAAGCGATAGTTGCGGTCCGAACACCCTGTCTGCATCCTTTACCGCCGGTTTCAGGACCAATCAATTCAGGACGACAGCCACTTACCCCGGACTTTCCTTATCTTGCTTCTCCGCCTCCGCAAGAGTGATAGTGTATCAGATCCTCTATCAGGAGAACATCGCCAAGCCTCCCGTTGTTTTTCTTCCTCATATCTTTGGGTCAACGCCTACGCCATGACAAGTTTGGCCTACGTTACTAGAAGTAGCATCATTGAGCATTAAAAGTCCCCTAGTTCGTGATAAGGCTTACCAAACGCCGGGTGTATTGCCCGATGAGGATCGACCTCAGCAAGCATGTAACCATTCAATACAAGCAACGTGATGAGAAGGAAAGCCTGGGCAGACCTGCATTGTATCGCCTAATTGGTCCAATGTCTTATCTTATGCTGGCGGAGTCACCACATGGCGTCTGCTACGCACCAACGTCCCAGGCCACGGAAGGAGACAAGGGCCGAAATATTTAAAAGGGAGAGACCGGCTCTACTGCAACCCAAAGCTGTGTACACCACAACTCCCGATTGCGTAACTTTTTCGATTGTCCATCGCAATGTCTGACACCGCTACGCAGTCCGAAAAGAACACTGGCGATTTCGCGTTGGCGTCAGTCCGTCCAAGCACCAACATCGACGCGGAAGCAGCGCATGAATATGTCATCGATCCTGCAGCCGAGGCGAGGTTGGTTCGCAAGCAGGACCTGCGGGTGCTCCCCATGATATTTCTCATGTACTTCTTTACTTTTCTTGATAGAACGAATCTCGGCAATGCAAAAGTAGCAGGCATAGAAGCAGATCTGGGTTTGGGAACGTATGGCTTCAACATCGGCGCCTGTCTTTACTATGGCATCTATTTCTTTGCCGACATTCCTGCATCTCTGAGCGTCAAGAAGTTTGGGTTCATCATGCTGCCCATTAGTTGCATTGCCTTTGGCATTGTCACTCTCTGTACTGCTTTCATCGAAAATGAAGGAAGTTTCTTCGCAATTCGGCTGCTTCTCGGTCTTACCGAATCTTTCCAATTTCCAGGACTCAGTTACGTGGTGTCTCGGTTCTATCGCCGCAGAGAAGTGACGACTCGAGTCTCATTCTTCATGCTTGGCGCAGCTGGGTTGGCAAGCGCCTTCGGTGGTCTTCTCGCCTCTGGTTTACTATCACTAGGAAGCATTGGCACCGTTTCTTCGTGGAGAAACATCTTCTTAGTTGAAGGGTAGGTATTTCTGTTTTTCCTCAAGTACTTTTATACAAAACATTGCTGATAGTGTACTTAAGGGTAATAACAATTGGTGTTGGAATTATTTCTCTATACCTTTTTCCAGCCGATCCTTCCAAGACGCGTATCTTTAATGAAGAAGAGAGGGCCCTTGCGATGGCTCGCATTTTCCACGACCAACCGGCCATCCGTGAGCACAAGGAGAAGATCACCTGGGGACTCATCAAACGTGGCGTTGTCAACGTTAATGTTCTTGTGGGCGCCTGGATCTACATCTGTGACCAGATAACAGTACAAGGCCTGTCGATCTTCACAGTCACGATTCTTAGACTCAACTACCCAGGCCGCTCCACCGTCGAAATCCAATTGTTGTCAGTGCCTCCACCTATTGTTGGAATGATATTTGGCCTTGGCGTCGCATATGTGACTATGAAGACACGCATGCATGGAGTCGCCATTGCGGTATGCGCAGCTTTGAATGTCATGGGATATTCCATTTGGCTGGCGTCAACGAACCCGCAAGCGAGATATGCCGCCATCTTTCTTAACACAGCGGGAGGTTTCAGTTTTGGCACATTGGTGGGTTCAAATACAGCTACAATGGTAAAAGTGCGAGAGAACTACCTGCTTACCAAGTTATATGCAGGTTCTCAGCTGGACCTTGGCTAATGCAGCTCCTGATACGATACGAAACGTAGCAAATGGCGCCGTTTCTGGCCTCGCCAATATTGGTACGCCCACTGGCATCTGATGGTCACAGCAACCAACTGACACGCACACAGGATCAATCACCGCTACTTGGAGTTATATCAATACCGATGCGAAGACCGGCTATCGCATAGGCAACAGTCTGAACACGGCTACTGCGGCCTCTGTTATCATCGCATCCCTGGGACTTGTATTTTACCAAAGATGGGAAAACAAGAAGCGTGCGCAGGGTGGCCGTGACTATCGATTGGAGGCTTCCGAGGACGAAGTTGCTACACTTGGCCATCTTCATCCAGAGTTTAGATACATCAACTGATGAAAGAATGAGACTGAGTTTTACTTAGTTATAACCTATTTGAGTAGCTTCAAGATTCTTGAAGCAACAGACTCCAAAATCTCAAGTATCTATATTGAGCTAAGAATCAGATCGAGTTACTGGCAATGAAAATCACTGTATACATACGAGTTGGTCAATTATCACGCATGTGTGAGATTGCAAATCATACGGAAGGTAAATAATTTTAGCAATTACCTAACACAGATGCAGCCATCCATGGAAATTGTCTATATTCTGACAGCAGTGAGCACTGTTGCAACAAGAGCCTCCGCCTCACGGAGATGTTTGTCAAAGATACGCTAGTCATCTCTTAACCCTCATCAAAGTATGTTCAATCACAGGTCTTATAATTACCCTGCCCTGTCGCTACCCTTCCGCGTCAGCAGGCAGAGAGAATGAGTACTGCATAAAGCAAAACCCCCAAGTGGTGTAGCGACAGGCTGCTAACATTAGTAGCCTTGCGAATGAATTGAGAAGTTGCGAATCCTTGGATTTGTCACAAACTGCTCTTGCACGTTCAACCTTTCACTTCGGCAGCCGTTTGCTTGGCAATACATTATGTGGGTCGGTGCTCTTATTGCGAACAATCAAAACCCGCATGCAGAATGACATTTAACAAAAATCCTCTGAGATAAGATTGTCGCTGATTTGGGACATTAAAAATGGTGATAGCAAACCAAGTCGGCAAGCACAACATCCAGGCTGAAAACCTTGCACACACAACGCGATTTGCAGGGTGATGATCAGAGTCATTGAGTTGTCGTACCGTGTTTACAGGGTACTCGTATTAACAAGCAAAAGCATAATTATCGAGACTGTGGTGCCAATGCCCACAACCCATAACCAATCGGTGAGTTGTGTGTGCCTCTACCTAATCTTTCTTATCGACCGGTGCCGGAGAAATCAAACCCGTCTCTCAAGACCATATTAATTTGTGTGGGTACCTAACACTACTTAATTTCATGAGTATGTAAATTGTGAAACGGTGGTCTCGTATATTTCGGGAACATTTCACACCAGAGAACCTTAGATATGAGCTTAAATCCGAGTTCTACTTTCATTGATGACAGGGTGTGGGTCGTCAAATCACACTAGCATTTAGGCGATACTTACTGCCGACAGCAACGGACGATCTACTCCGTCAGCAATGAAACAATCTTAGGCTATCCCTGCTTCCTTGCGTATTATTGCCCATAGCCATTCTCCTGATTAATCATCGAACATTTCCTCAAAAAGAATTTAGCTAGCTGCGATCATGTTGATGGCATCATTTTGGAGTTGTACACAACTCTAATTATGGTCACATGCATCAGTCAGCATATTTGCTTCTAGGGGAGTTTATGACATATGGCTCTTGTCCCAAAGATACGGCATCCCGAATGTATGAAAGGTTGGTTGGACTGTGGCCCTGTAGAAGTACCGCTGACTCAATTGAGGGGATGCCCTGAGTCAAGTTGGGGCTGATGGCAGGGGGAGGGGGGATGTCTCGTATTCAAGGGGCTAGTTTTCAACCGCTCCACTGATAGTTGTGTCACCAACATACTGATCTCAACCGGATTTGAAAAAAACATTGAACTAGAGCAGGATCATATGGGTCGGAAACATGACTCGGACCTAATTGTTACTAGTAGTTTCCAGCTACTATCATCATGAGCTAGGAAATGTCATGAAGTTTTGCGAATCCGAGGCCTGAGCTGCTTGACTCAGTAGCTTTGATCATTCGCTGGATCCCTCGAACACGTCTGGCCTTAATGCCATCACCTAATACTGTTTTATAATGCGCTCGGTCGCTTTAGAGAATCTGAATTAAAATCTCGACAGGGGATTATGGTTGATTCTTGGCTCTAGATAAAACCAGATCCTTCATCTGATTTACCAATTCGCTGGCTGATTCTAATCATCGCCGACTTTCAGGCTCTAGCCCTCACTCGAGCTTCTATCTCCTTAATTAAATATACGACTTGGGATAAAGAAGCATGGCGTTTGACGAAGTTGATATCCTCTCTCTAAACCATTGGGCTTCTGGAGTGGGACACAGGGCTCAGCGTCTCACAGGAATCGCTGGGGCGCCGGTGCACAGCTACATTAGATGGGACCTCCTTCAGCTCAGAAAGATGAACAGCAGCAGAGATAAAACATATTCATTCCGATAAACCTAGCTTCCAATCAGCCTTGTCATTACGTGCCATCCACTTCTGATACGAAGGTCATATGGGCTATTAGCTGATGGGCGGGCTTAGTTAAAGTCCATCCGCGTCTGATTGCAAAATAAGTGCACTATATCTCGCGCGGCCTACTTATGCACTACATTGCTATCCTTAATAGATCGCCGTGTGTTCACCGCCAAACAGTATAGACAACCCAATTTTCCGTCAGTTGATATGGACGTTCTCCGGTTTTCATGTCTGCTCAGTGGATCATCCCGCCTGAGGTAGGAGTTCCCACAGTCTGGAAGCCAATCCAGCTAAATATGGGCCTTTTGCGCGCTCAGCATGGCCGGACTCGGCGAGCTTCGTGGTCTTTATATCACGTGCTCAACTCCTACTTGTAATTACCCGGGTTGAGGCGGGCTGACAATACATCAGAAACCCCGAACGGCATAAAGACCATTTTACTCCATCCAGCATCGAGTTTTAGCTATCCTCATATCTTATAACATTTAGTTAAACGAATAGCATTCAATAGACTCACTTGATGCACTATTCTTCCAGCAGTGGCATTTGGGGAAAGACCGGGGTTGTGGCTATCATCATACTGTGGTGGCCTGCCACAACATCCCGGCTCCGCCCGCGTAGCTATAAGCTTAGAATTGTACTTTGATGAGTAAATTGCCTGCTGTGCCCGGTTAATATAAAGACAGCCTCACATTGGTTCAACATATTTAGGCAGGCTGAAATGGGTGTCACACTACCCGTAGAAATATGAACTGAAGTGCTGCACAACTTGCTCAAGTGGTCCAGAGTAGAGTAAGTGTCAAGGGAGCCCTTGCATGCTCTGCCTACAATTACCCGATTGAAACCAGGATCTTACATGTAGGGAAATACAGATTTTCTCCCATTTTGAAGTGAATGACTAGTGATATCTCATTGATTGGCAATATCCTCGCCGAAACAAGACACAATGATTCGTTGCCTGTTTTCCATGATTATGCTCACTAGCTCTGGTAAAACAACTGTCAAACTAGTTCTATGAGGTTGCACGTGGCCACTTGTACGGACAAGAAGGACCCAAAATGTGTGTCGGATTTATCTTGGAAAGGTTTAGATCCATGATCCGTTTCCCCACGGTTTTGGGACAATCGGATCCCGGCAGTGACAGGTCTTGGCTACAGGGCCTGAAAGCAAGCTAGCGTAGTATTCTGCATTTCTGTTGGTTGCCATCGGACGAAAATTTGACGACAGGTCATGAAGAGCGCAAGTGACTACTACCATTTTGGATCATGTCAAATGATCAAGAAAAGATTGAAGAGGAGAAAAGGGGTTCAATGAAGTCAGAAAAAACGTCCGCTAGAAGAAAGCATACCTTGCGTGAGAGAGTCCAAAGTTCCCTTTAACTTTGGCAGCTGCGGCAGGTTAAAGACTGGGGCCGCAGCGGGTGGAAATAGGCTCCTGGCTCGTGCGGTCAGAAGAGTCAAACCAGCTGTGGATAAATAGGACACAGGAGCACGCAAAGTGTTATTATGTAGGTAAATTAAATGATTTTAAGAAATCAGAATCTATATTAGAAGAGGATGCTGAACTCAGCATGTCCAATCCTGGGCGCCTCCAATATGATACCATATCCAGTCTGCAACTCAGTTGGCCTCAGCGCCTTGTGCACCGCACTTCTTCTCGCAGTAGTAAGTCATCTGGAAACGAGTCTGGATTAGCACTGCAATTTCAGCACTCCAACACCCAACTGTGATAAACCTACCTCATCACCGCCAATGTGCCAGCCACCAGAGGTGCATTGAAGGCCATCCTAGTCATCTTGAGTTAGATTGATGTTCCCATTAGACTCGGGAAGGATGCTGCGGAACATACAAAGGTGCAATCGGGGCACTTGTCCCACTGCTTGTTGCCGGTATTGCGATTCTTGTAGTAGTTGCAAGCACACTTGGTCGCATCGGGCAGAATTTCGTAGTCCACGAAGGACCCATAGCCGAGACCGTAGGGCGTTCCGTTACCAGTGCTGCCATACTTTCTGGCCGTGACGCAGACAGCAGCATTGTGTAGCTTGGCGGCGGCACTAATACCACTTGTCAGTATAGTCATTCATAGCTCTGACATCTAATGTGAGGAACTTACACGGCGGTCAGGGCCGCAATGGAGAAAATGGTGGTAATCTGCATGGTGCTTTCGAGTTAACTTTTCGAGGATGCTTGAACGATTAGGACCTGTCGTGGAAAGAATGCAGGACTTCGTTCTAGTGAAGATGTTGTTTGGACTTCTCGACTTCCAAAAAAACGAGTCGACCGGGGATTCAAATACATAAGTTTAGACTAGCAGTCGTTTGCGGCGACTCGAGGCAGTCGAATCTTCTGACTTGATGTTCTACTGCTATCTTGTCGTACGGGGTTGGACAATCTATTGCACACAGACTATTGAAATACATTACTCGTTCTTGCAAGGGCGAGTTCAACAAATCTTTTGTTTTACTTGGTGTCACTCGCTATTACTGGCTCCAGATGAAGACTATGTCAATATAAGTAGTTGATTAGCTAACACCTGTTCCATACTAGGCTGTTTGCTCAATCTCTGCTGAGTCGCGTTGAATGGGGGCTGCCAGACTCGATAGAGAAGGTAGCCAATTCAATATGGTCTCAACAATCACTTCCGACGGTCACCAGACTATCACTTACCCAATTAAATAATTAGGAAACCACACGATTCGAGCTAGACGTAGCACATGGGTCTAGCTTCTGGAGAAGAGCTACCCCTGTATGCGAACATGAACGCCCCCCCCCCCCCAACTTCCCTGGACTATCCACCATGACTCGCAACGTTTAAACTGAATTCGTTTGCATGGGTATGCTTGAGATGACTTCACCTCTTTGAATGAACTAGACCGCCAAATTGGATGGTGTGATCTGGCCAGCAATATGGCCGTGATGCAAACAAGACTCGTCAAGTAAAGGCCATAAACTACAGTCTCGTCGAAGATGACTTCATGTATAAAGTCTTCGCAAACCCTCTCATCTTGGTAAACACTTCTCACTCCTCACCACACAACACTCCAGCACTCAATCATCCTCCATTCATTCTTTCCAAGATGGTCTCCACTCGCTTCTTTGCCCTCCTGACGGCAGCCGCTGCCGCTGTCAGCGCTGCCCCGATCGCCGACCTCGAGCTGCCTACCAATATCACCGAGGCGGCCGACCGTGATTTGCGCAACGGCGAGATGGTTGTCTTTGGCGCTGAGGGTCGTTGTAAGTACACCTCTGCCTCGGTCAAAGGTTTCTCACTGACATCGCGACCACCGTATAGCCCACATCATCACTGAGGACACTTGGCACCTGCTTCTCAAGACCATGGACGTCTTGCCCGAGCCCCCTACTATTGACGAGGAGTGGCTCAAGGCTGCTGAGAACTTCACTGAGATCCCCGTCAACATCACCGAGGGCGGGCTCGACAAGCGCGACTGTAACAGCAACTACCAGACCGTCGTTGACCGCACTGAGCGCTTCGTCGACTGGGACGTGCAGATGTCCCCTGTCGTCATTGGTGCCGGTAGCAAGGGCATCGACATCACCATCTCCAAGTCCTACTCCATTGCCAATACGGTCCAGGTTAGCGCTGGTATCGACCTTACTCTTATCAAGGACCGCCTCAAGTCCAGCCTCGGAATCAACTACTCCCGTACCTGGACTACTACGCAGGGTTACCTCATCCGCGGAACTGTCGACGATGGCTACACCGGCGTTGTCATTACCCGCCCCTGGACTAACCGTCGCTACGGACGCACCTTCCAGGGATGCGTCGGTAGCCTTCGCCAGACTGGTACCTTCATGGCTGACTCCCGCGAAGAGGGATCCTACGAGGGTGTCTCTTGGGTCGGTGGCGCCATCACTGCCTGCATCAAGAGACAGCGCTCTATTCCTCTGACCCGCTGCAACGGATCTGGCGCCTTCCGTTAATTGGATATGTGCTGTGGTCGATGTTTGGCATCCGAGGAGGTACTTGGTAGTCACGGCTGTTAGTGTGGAATCAGCATCGATACTATTATCCGTGACCCGCCGCGCATCTGCGCACAAGTCGGAATGGCAATGCTCATTGGCAACTTCTAAACTTCAATAATCTTTTTGACATGTAGCTTTTAGAAAGGTTAGCAAACTATAATGGCCGCACAAAGGGCTTTAATAAAGGAATATTATGCCTTGACTATTCGATGTTGAGTGATCGTTTATTGGTATTGTAACCTTGCCCAGTTTAATCCTACATCAAATGACCTTATGTTGTGAGAAACCTGCGGTTTGTTAGTTCTGCCTGGCAACACGGGCTGGACCAGCCAACGCAAAGACCAAACACCTAAGTGTCTAAATCTGTCCAATTTCCAAACAGAGTTGGAAATCACATTAGAAAGTTTCAGGACCCCGTCCAACTTGCTTGTTGTTCCATTCCTTTTTTGCTCTCCCTTCTCAACCCTCTCCCGACCATCACCTCTGTCCCCATTTTCTTTTCCTTTCCTCTAAGAAAATCTTCTCGCTCGAATTCAATCTCCTCTTTGCGCTTTACGTCTTTTTTGTACTCATACAACATACTTGGGTCGTCCAATCTCCATGCGTTTATTGTTACGCAATAGCTGTGATGGAATTGGTTTCTCTCATCTAAATTCACCGTGTTCCTTCAAAGCAATGAGGATGCTACAAAAGCTATCACAAGATAGCTTTGATAATCAAAAACTTAATTTATCTTATGCTTAAGAAAGGCATGATTAACCCATGGTTACATAGCCAGTAACAGAAACTTCTGGTTGATATCATACCTTGTTTCTTCATTTTTTCAAAAATCAACCAGCTTTATTAATTTGCGAAGACCGTCTCCATTATCGCGGATTCTCTAGATGAGCAAAGAAAAGACATGAACCCTTTCACTCCGCTTTCTTTGGACTACTTCATGTACCACGAGGCATAAGTGAAAGTATAGTATACATCAGTACCAATTCAAAGGGGACACCTATCCAATAGTTCGCTCGCTCAACGATAACATTTTGGAATATAATCATTCCCACATAAACCCAGATAAGTACTGGGACAGAAAAGTACTTTCGCTTCACGACGTGCTTGTTGTTTAGACCAAGATCTGCAACAATAATGTAAAAACAATGAGTAGGCTGATAAACCCACAGAAGGCTCTGCCCCAAGAGAACAAGAAAGGTCGGACTGTTAGATGTAACGGATAAATGAGTAAAAAAGCTGGTAGTTGCCGGAAGCACTTGGAAACAGGCAAGTGCAATGATTGGAACAGTCATACTTGCCTTCGGGTAGTATGACTCTAACGATTCGCTGATCACCTGAATGGTGATTTCCATGTCTCGCGATTCCTTTCTTATAATCTCAAGACACTGCGGCAGTGACATATCTCCAGGTCGGTCATTGTTTGGGTCTTGTCGACAGGGGCCTGGTACAATATCTGACGAAACGCTCTGAGAGGTCGACCCCTGTGGCCGGATCGGCAGCTCTACTTGTTGCGTATGTCTGGTATCTGCAGTCGAAAATCCGTTGTAGTTACCATTTCTTACTTCAGTAATAGTGCCGTTTAACAAAGCAGGCACAAAGGCTGCGGTAATAGGGCCGATAAGGAGGAATACAGGTAGGACTTGACCAAAGCCCCACTCATTTTCGTTGACGCTGGCGGAATTTCGGGTCTGATAAAGGCGCAGTGTTCCCCAGCAGGTCGACACTACGAGCCAGTAAACCTAGAGATAATTCGGCCCAAGTCAGTAAGCAGTTTTCCTTCGAATGCCGCTATATTGGTTGTTTCAATACTCACGTCCGATAGTTCGGAGGAGAAGAGGTCGACATATGTCTGGCCAATCACGAAAAGCGATACTTTGACAACCAGCAGATTGTGCGCGGCCGTCATGGCCTTCATGTCTGAAGCCTCTCTGGTAGGGCTTATTAAAAGCTCCAGGTTCTTGTGCATCCATTTCAACCAGTGCTGGCGGAATTTCGTGCAGAGTTTTGCTTTGGTGGCGTGTGACCAAGATTCGATAAGCTTGACTGACCGCGTAAAAAAGGTCAAGACAGCAATAATCATTGACCAAAGCGCAGACTGAAAGGCTAACGTGTCACGAAAGTTCTTGATGTCAGATGCGTTCCCCTCTTTTCCGTCACAATCCAGCGTGTCTAATTGGTACTGTTGCTGCCTGAATTTACAGCCGTGCTTGTTGTACAGGCTGATTGCCGTATATGGGTCGTAGAAGCAGCGAGCATTCGATGCTGGCATGCTTGCCGTTTCCTCATCATGCATCCAATTGAACCACATGGTCGGGCCAAGAGCTGTAAGGAGTCCTATCCATAACATCGTCATGAAGAACAGTCTCAGTCGCCGTTTTGCTTGGTTTCTGTGTAGGTCCCTCCGGGAAACCGTCAAGCAGGCAACATGGGTCAGATGAGAAAACCAAACCAGGTAGGCAATAAGGTGCCAGTGATATGCCGAAATAGAGGACCTGACGAGGTTGAAATAACCGCTCAGGAGGATGCCAAGACCAGTGAGAAGTTGTACGTCGCAAATGCTCTGAACAGCCTGAGAAAAATCTTAGCCTCTTGAAGTGAAAGCGCGTTGAGGATGTATTGAACGATTTACTTGCATCTTTCAAAGCTTTGGCCCACTTGTTTGCGTTGCCGGTGTCAACCAAATACTCAAGACGTAGAGGCCATCGCGGCATGGATGTGGGAAGTTTTCTATCTATCCAGTTTGAGAGATGGGTAAGCGCCTTCAGCGCCGTCTGATCAACAGGATTTGGGCCCCAATCTCTCCTCGCTTCCAGTGACTCTGCGTCCACATTTCCATCTTCGAAGGGATTTTCTTCCGGGTTAAACACTAGAAGGTAGTGTAGTACGACTAGAAGAGTTGAGGTCCAGGCTGTCCCGATGAATCCGACCAGTACCTGCCAGTGACTTGTATGTCAGTAACCAAATGTATTCCAACAACTGTTGAGAAGCTATGTGGTTTCCTCACTCCGATACCACCAACATCCGGGTTGGGCTCTAAATCCCCTGGTGTTTCGAAACACTGGGAAGGCCAATTGAATGCCATGCTAGACACAGGATTCGCACCAGTCGCAACAGTGGTCTTAACTGAAGAGAACCTGTTCTCGCACAATTACGCGAGACACATGATTTACGCAGAGTATTTGACCTTGCTTAAGATTGCCGGGTTATACCTGTCAAAACGTGCGGATAAATGAAATAGTGGGTGATACTGTGGATATTGATATCGATCGTCTAGATGCCTAAACATCCACGTTGGAACAGCCCTCGAAAGTTACTTTAGGTCTTCTAAATAGATTAACGGTCGGAAAACACGCAAACCAGGCAGTGCGTGAGACTCGACGTAGCCTGCTCTAATATATTACAGTGGCCGGGGACGATTCGATGAGCTTCTTTCTTGGCTGCAGGGTAAGCCGTTGAGGCCTCCTTATCGTCCTGTGGCTTTCTCACCCATCCAATCACCGACGATCATCTCTTGCAGACCATCACGCCACATACGTGGCAAAGCACGAGACCCATCAGAAACGTGTCGCATAGAGCTGCTAGAGTTGTATGGTAAGTGAGGCAATTCGAGGAAGGCTGGATGTGCATCGAAGTGATTCTACCTTGGGTGGTCTTTCTCAAGAAGCCAGAGGGTCGAATAGTGAGTAGGGGGTAGTAAGCCCGCAACATTAGTATCTGCAGCTTGTGGCGGACTAGGTACAGCCAAGCGAAAATGAGGGATTGTAGATATAAATAAGTAAACATTAATGGCCAGAAGTTCTTTCCTCCACACACGATATCGCCTCAAAACTCCGTTCACACCTCTGCGCAGTATACCTCGATCTTTGCCCATTTTTAGCGCAGTATACCTCCTCGCTGTAAACAGATTCCCGACCTAATTTTGCATCATCACAGATACGGCCCCAAAACCTCCATGGTCTTCTCCCAAACCTTTCCCTGCGCCTCGCCCCTCAAGTTCTTCATAACATTCCCCTTGTCACAAGCCTCGCACTTGTGATTCACCAAAAACAGCCCTCTCTTCCCCTCCTCCCCCCTCGTGTTCCTCCACCCCTCCACCCCGTCCCTGAGCCGCGGCCCATCTCCGCCCAGGTCCCCGCTCGTCGCGTTGTAAACATGCCTCTGCCCCGCCTCTTTCTCGTCGAACCCCATGAACAAAAACAACGGCCTTAGCAGCGTCGTCAACGGGACCGGCGAAAACGTGCTGGAAGTGTGGTACCTCGCCATGTTGCCCGTGTCCACGGCGCCGGGCCAGTTGTGCACGAACGTGACCTTGTCATTGCCGGGCTCCGCCGCCAGACGGTCGAGGAAGAGCGTGTTCATGACGCCCATGTGCGTCTGCGTCCGCATCCCGCCAAAGTTGCCCGGCTTCTCGAGGTTAAGGTCATCGAAAAGGACCCCCTTGCTGGAGAGCATGCTCCCGGCGAGGACGGTGAGCACGCGCGGGGCCGGGGAGGCGCGGAGGAGCGGGAGTAGGTGCAGCGTGAAGAGCATGCGGCCGTAGTATTCCAGTGAGTGGGTGACGTCTAGCCCCTCTGTGGTATCTGGATCCAATTAATGAGCATCGCCGCTGTTGTCTCAACGGGTAAAGCGGGATAGGTGCTGGTTCTTACTATTTCTCCCGCCAAAAGGAGCATACCCCGCCGTGAGGCAGAGGAAATCGAGTCGCGACTCTTTGGCCTTGATTGAGTCGCAGATTCTCTTCGTTTCCGAGAGGAGCGAAACCTCCCCTTCGACCCAGATGAGCTTGGCCGAGGGATTCTTCTGGCGGAGGTCTTCGAGCAGCGGTTTCATGGCAGCTTCAGTGGCCTTGCGGCCGACAATGTACGCCTTCAAGGGCAAGCCAAGGGAGACGAGCTCGATGAGGGTGAGCTTGCCGATGCCGGACGTCCCGCCGACGAACAGGACGGTCTGTGGTATGGTTTTCTCGCTGAGTTGGGCATTGGATTGCCTTACTTGGGTGATGGTGACCATGTTCCTTGGTGAGAAGCAAAAGCTTAGACTGAGAATAGATAAGTTGGGTTGTTTTTGCTGCTGTTCTTGTTGTTATGTTACGAATGGGCATTGAGTTGGAACGAGAGTATCTCAGCGGCTTCAAGAGCAAAATCATTTTATAGACGTTGGAATATCGTTCTTCGCATAGCTTCGCATTTCGGGAACGGTTAGACTGGCTTACGTCCTTGACCAGGATCCTTCAGCTTGACCAATGAGATAGTATTCTCATTGATCATGACTCTTTGATTTCCATTCATAAGTCTATTGGGCACATTTCATGTCTGCAATCTGTTGAAGTGGGCAATGTGGCTGCGCGCATAACGAAAGTGCGGCAATTCGGCAAAATGAGGGATACATATCTGGGACGGATTTTGCTAGCTAAATACGCAAAATCCGATGGCATGTGCATCTTGGTACTAGGCAAAGGGGGGGTGCGCCGGAAGAGGGGACTCTCCCACACACAATAGTCAGATTCACAAGCAATAGTCACAACAAGGATATCCTATCAACTGACGTTCTTCGACACAATCCAACTTCAATTTGTTCCTACGGAAGAAGACCGTTCATGCCGTAATCCCGGCAGGCCAACTGCTGGCATGCAGTCCTTCGCATTCCCAATCCGGCTTGCGAAGGCCCCACTCTAGACCGGGCCCGGCGTATGTGCTTTCGGCCGGTGGCCCCACTTGGATCTATTGGCGAGGACTAGTGTTGGTGGCTCAGAAAGATGGCGAGCCTGACCATCAGGAGAGCTAATGAGTCAGCGGAGGAGTTCGGGGTAATCATATCCTGTGAAGTGTTCCTCAGGGGCAAGTCACCCGCCCAGGTTTCCATAGGTTCTTCACTTTCTTCTCTACCCGACCAATCAATCTCGCGAGCTAAAGAACCAACGTTTCGAGATACGGGAGCCGGGGGGCGTGGCCACTCTGCACTGTTAGGGGTCGACGTTTCAATCCGCTGATCATCAGTGGAAAATCATGTCGGCGAGGGTGATGGTTCTCGATCAGGTTAGTGCGCGATGCCACGACTGACTGTACGTGTTAGGACTAAGGCGTCACCTCTCTTGGAGAGGTAGTTGTATTTATGTTTAGCTGCCAATATTGGCCACGTTTGTCTTGGGCGATTGTCGAAGGCTTCACAAGGGCTAAGGGCCTGGGCAGCCAGAAGCTTGTCTTGCTTGTTTTCCTCGGCGGACAAGATGAGACCTACAGTAGGGGGTGGAGAGCCCACGGCGGGACGAGCAGCCAAGTGCCAAGTACTGCAGGATTCAGTGGAATTAAAGACGCCGAGAATGTAACCAAGAAACGGTCAATCGCCGGTTTTCAGCCCTGGAAGATTAGGGGCGTGTCCAGCAAGGGCCAAAAGCAACCTGGCCGAGTTTGATGCGGAGAAGACCATTGGTTGCAACGTAGCTAGTCATATCGCAGGGGTGAACTTCGACCGGTGGATGCCTCATGGAGTCGGGAATATTTTGGTAGCGAAGCCATCGGACAATCCTCGAGCAATTTGAAGAACGGGGGTCAGGCGTGTGGTCAAGACCCCTTTGGGTTGACGAAGTGTGAAAGATGTTGAGACGTAGGCCGTGCTCATCGTGGACCAGAAACCTTTCCAAGAAAGGGATGTTGCTATCCACGAGCACACGTCTTTCGCCGGGACAAGCCAGCCATTACATATGTGATGCGTACATGGCCTTGCCAGACGTTCTGGCGGAGCAGCAAGTGCCTGAGTCTTTGCATTATCTTTCGCTCAATGCAGGATCGCTCGAGGAATGTTCATCAAAGTCACGTTCTGAGTCTCGGCTCCAAGCAGACGGCGCTCGTGCAAGTGGCACAAGCGACAATTATCTGTGTTGCTCAATGGATACCTTCTATCCTCCGCGTCCCTCGCTCTTGGTTGACTGACAGTGTGGACGCTGCCGATCTTGCGGAAGTTGTACGAGCCGACTGGAAAACCGGCCGGAAGGGCGGTGCTGACGAAGTATGAGCAGAGATTGTCTTGGCTCGCGCTCGCTGGCTGCCGTCTGCGTGGTTTATGCGTCGCAGAAGACTGGTTGGAAACCCAAGGGCAGGTAAGAGGTGACGACTGCTTGGCTTCCAAGACGGCATTCGGAATTCGCCAAGGCTGTGCTGGGCGAAAGACGTCGGTGGGTATGGTGGCCGGCGTCGCATTCACATTGAGCGTCCTCGCGAGTGATGGAGACGTGAAGGCTGGGCAACTTGGCAAGCCATCGGTAGAGACAGGGCCCCAAGCAAATCACGAAAACGAACAAGAGGGCGGCTCCTGATTGGAATAGCTCGTCTCTCCCCGAGCACAAAAGTGCGGACCATTCAGCGGTTGAAGCAGAGGCGAGATCAGGCCTCCCCGGTGGAAAGTGGGCGCGGATGCTCATTGTGGGGATTGGGAACTGTGTTCCTTCAGTCAGGACGATGGCGAGAGAACCGGCAGGCAGGCGTTAGGGAACGCTTCTCGGGCTCCCATGTGCCACCGTAGTCGTCCAAACATCAGATGCGGTTCCAGTAGGCGCTGGGACTTGGCGCGATGGGGGGTGCGTCCGACGTTTGGAGCGCGCCAAGGAGCTTCAGATGAGGGCAGGCGGTGCCGACGGTGAGGTCGACACACGGACAATGGAGAGGGCGGAGAGGGATGGATACGTAAGGCCGACGGATGAAGCGTGGCGAGGGCGTGGGAATGGACGGTGAGTGGTCGAGAAGAACAGGAGAAGAGGCGGCGGGACAAGCAAGTTACTCCTGGTAGGAAGGGCGGATGTCACCTCGATGGCGTCGTTAGCGACGAAGAACGGGTGAAGGTCTGATGCGGAGAGCGGAAGCTTGGTGGCTTGTCGCAGGCCCCTGGTTTGCTTGGGAAGCGTGAGACGTGCCCAGAAGAAATCAGGAGGTGCAAGACTTGGCGAGGCGCGGCCGGCGATGGGCGGCTGGCCTATGGTGTACAGCCAGCGTGTAAACAGGCGCTGTAGAGAATTAAGCGAGGGGATTGGCGGCAAGACAGGGAAGGGGCTCGCAGCGCTGTACCGCCTGGATGGCACGCTACAATGCCACAGCGCGCACCGGCCATGCCTTTGCTTAGTCAGACCCTCACACACACACACACATTTTCTCTATCTCTCTCTCTCTCACTCTCTCTCTCTCTCTCTCTCACTCAGTCAGGGTCTCGAAGCTGGGGGGGACGACTGGGCCTCCTGCATGTCGAGGCCTGTCTTCCCCCATCTCGCCAGCATCTTCCGCCGACATCGTCCACGGTTTGACTTGGCGGCCATTCGAGCGCTTGGCCCTGCAAAAATCAGCTGTTTTCCTCCTTCGCCACTTCTTCTTGTCATCCCTTCTCACATCCAACCCCATGGAATCCAACGTCTCATCGGTCTTAGCGCGTCTGTCAAACCTCTTGTCGGGTCCTTTTGTGAATTGTGCTGCTGTGGCTGCACCATGCCGGAAGGCAATTGTGACTGTCGTGCGTGTCCGAGTTTCCCCTTCCACGACTCTTGTCACCTACGGCTCCTGCCCTTCCTTCTCGCTGCGGTCTAGAACTAGCTGCTTCGCGTCCCGTGCGTCGTCTCAGCACACGACCATGGCCGCAAAACCGGCCAAAGCAGCTGTTGTGTCGTCCGAACAGAGTCTCCCTCCGCCTTGAAGAGAGAGAGACAAAGAGGCGGGCGACGAGCGGGTGTGGGTGCGGACCCAGACCTTTGGCTGGTCGTGCATGCCTTAAGTGGGATAAGGTTTAGGGTGCTGCCAATGAGCGATAAGGTTCTTCCCAGCAGATGCTTTCCCCTGACTTAGGCACGCCTGCCATCCGGTGGTTCCTTCTCGGTGGCCCCGTCTCCGCTCCACTGCGAGGGCCGGAAGGTTAACCTGAAGTGCAGACAGGCATCGCACCTTCCACTTCTTCTTCCCCTCCCAACTCTACCTACCGTATGTAGGTAGGTACTGTACTATGTAACGTCCTCACCCAGCAGGGGAAGGAACCAGCGAGACATGGCACGTGGTACAAGGAAGGTGCGACGATGAGGCGGGGTACGCACCCTCCCTCGCCCGCCGCACCATACCATGTACTACCTTTTCTCCCGTCAGTCCAAGGTCGCGCCTCCCCGCCATCTTGGTCTACTGTGTGCAAGTCTTGGGTGCATCTCTCGGCTTCTTGGGCACCCAGAGCCTCATTTCTTGTCCCTTCTCTTGGACGCATATTTCTCCGACCTCACGTCAACGGACGCATGTCTTACCGACGATCCTTCCAAATGCTTGTCTTTAGTCCCTTCGTCCTCGCGTATTCTAAAATCGCCATCGCCGTCATTGAGGATTGCGTCCCATGTTGATGTTAACAGCTGGTTCATCGTCTCAAGAGGGAGATCTCCAATAAGCAACTTTGGGACGGGCCCAACGTCTCCGTCCGAACCAGCCCTTTGCTCGACTGTCACTCCAGCTCCTACATTGAGACTCGTGGGACGCTCGCCGCAAGGATCCTCTCTACACCCGCCGCTGTGGCCAATGACTCGACCGACAAAGTGGCCATATTCCCCACACCCAGTTGAACCCTCCGGAGCCTGGCGGTTTCACCCTGGCGACGCACTCCCCTCCTGTCACCACAACCAGGGTCGACAGAGGCCCCAGTCTTCCGCTCTCTTGCCCAGATGCCAAACCCCCGTCTATTTTCCAGATGACATGCAGTCGCATTGGATGGAGAAGCTTGAAGGCGCCCCTGTTCTGCGCCGGAAACACGCTTGTGATGCCATGGAAAACAGAGGCGCTCACCTCCAAACACAGGGAACCCTCCACTCGCCAACCAGTTCCTCATTTTGCTTCTGAGCCTCCCCGTGCTCCTCGACACCCTGGATGAAGCGCCTGCCAAGATCCTCACCATGATTCTTTTCATCGTTGCTTGCCCGCTTCGCCCATCTCTGCATGGGTTCAAGGGCCGTGATGCTATTCTTGGACTGTCCAAGTCGATCGTCGTGATGACCAACCCTCGACTACCGTCTGCCAGATCCAAACTATATAGACATCATGCCATCTTTGACACTGACACATCCTTTTCTCAGTCCATCTCGTTTCTTTCCATCATCAACTTACCTGTCCTTTCTTCACCATTTACTTCTTTCCCGTTCGTTTCATTTCTTCCCCTAGAGGGCTGGCCGTACGTTTTTTTCTTCAATAATCTACTTTTGTAACTCGCTTCTATTCCTTTCTTCAATCCTTTGTAGGCCCCCCACGCGCTGGTCCCGTAACCTACCATCATTACAATGGCTTCTCGTATCTTCACCGCCGGCCTCTTCGCCGCCTCCGTCTCTCAGGTCCTCGCCTCGTGCGCCTACGGAACTCACATCGACCCCCGTGCCGAGGGAGGAAAAGTCAAGGTTAACAACTTTGCTTACACCGGTAGCAATGTGAGTTACACAGCCTTCCACTGTATTTGAGAGTCCCCAAAGACTAACAGGGCTTGGCAGGGTCCCTTGAACTGGGTTGCTTTGGACACTGCCGCCAACACTCTCTGTGCCACTGGAACCACCCAGTCCCCATCGACATGGTCGCCGGCGCCTTCAACGTCATCCCCGGCAGCTCCATCAACCTCAAGATCCCCGACATGGCCGAGGGAACCGAGTTTGAGAACCTTGGAACCACGGTCGAGGTTATCGCCAAGGGCGGATCGATGCAAGTCGGCGGCAGCAACTTCACCCTGCAGCAGTTCCACTTCCACCTGCCTAGCGAGCATCTCGACGCCGGAAGGAGCATGGCTATGGAGATGCACATGGTCTTCGAGGGCGCCAACCAAGAGATTGCCGTCATTGGTACTTACATCGACGTCGAGCAGGGTGCCGCCGCCGCCGCCCCTGTCGCCGAGGCTCCCGCCGCCGAAGCTCCTGCTGCGGGAAATGCCACCGCCGAGCGCCGCAGCAAGCTGTCCCGCCGCGCTGCAGCTGCCGCTGCCGCCGAGGCCCCCAAGGCCATTCCTCTCATGGGTACCAACCCTATTCAGGCCGAGGCCGCTTCGTCCAACTTGCTCGAGACTGTCTTCTCTTCCCTCAACGCCATCAAGGAGCCCGGAACCGTCACCGAGACTGGCGCCCTGAACATGCAAGAGGTCGTCAGCCTGCTCTCTGCCGGCAGCTTCCAAAGGTATTGTCCCGTGTTTGGTCCTAAGAATATTGCGTTGTTACTAACCATCTCCTAGCTACATGGGTTCCCTCACCACTCCTCCTTGCAGTGAGGGCGTCCAGTGGCTCGTCTCGACCCAGCGTCTCATGGTCCAGCCCCAGACTTTCAACGCCGTCCGCGATGTCATCGGCTTCAACTCCCGGTTCCCTCAGAACAGTCTGGGCAAGGAGAACATTCTTCAGGTGGCCCAGAAGAGCATCGTCAGCGCCAACATTGCCAACCCCGCTGCCGAGGCTCCCGCTGCTGCGCCTGTTGCCGCCGCTCCTGCAGCCCCTAAAGCCCCTGCTGCCGAGGCTCCCAAGGAGGCGCCCAAGAAGGCTGCCAAGGAGGCTGCACCGGCTGCCGCCCACGCTTAAAGCACAAGTTCCGACCGGCGACGACAGCGAAAGACCCAGCGTCGGGATGGAGTTTGGAGACTTTCTCGGCTCAGTGGAATATACCAGGCTATACGATGATGCTCGATGTCTGTTTTGAGTTCAAATATAGCCTGATGTTATGCATTTTGATGGGCCAAGGGGGGAAGCTCCGACAGAAAGAGAACCCCAGGTACAGCAAGTGTAGTTGTGACAAGACTACCATAACGCCAAGCTGCTGCACGCATGTCTACAAAATGGACTAAATTTACGGATAGTCTGTACCTGGGCAACTCTTTTTCTCCTCATTTCGTCTATCAGCTACTGAGGCTGACGTGTAAACTTCAATGACTGCCTTGTAACATTCTCTACATATCTGGCAAATAGGGAGATGGTCCAGTCTTCCGGGTGAGATGAGAGATGAAGTGTTTAACAACATCTAGACAGAGGGCAGGTGCGAATCCGTGAGGAAGATACCAAGGGACTCTGTAATCCCAACGCGTTGTATTCCATTGAGTCAAGATAGCTAGTAATGATCATGTCAAGAAAAGAGGCCATGTGCAATACACAAGCGTTCTAAGCAAATTTTGGACCAATCTGAGAAGTGAATGCGGATGATTCAAACTGGAGGCAAAGCCGCTGAACCCGCGAGTCAAAGCTCGTCCAAGGAACCATAGATAAGGAGATTCAACTACCGCATTCTCAACCGCAACGAGTTCTTCCAAGCCAGCAACGTTTGGCCAAGATGCCAAGACCACCCAAATAGAAGCGGGATGTGCGTTTTCCCCCCTCGTCTTGGTGGAAAATCAGGACATTATCTAAATTCTCCGGGCTTGGTAGTTGCCCACGAGCTCAGCTTGGCGGCTCAGCTCGCGCGGCGCTCTTCTCTCATATGGGCGTGGCTTCTTCGCCTGGCTGTCGATCGAGCCGTTGTGCGCAGAAGTGGCAGGGAGGGGCATGTTGCGATGGGGAGTGGTCTGCGTGTGTGAGAGAGCCGCGAGTCGTGGTGGGCGGGGGCACAACACACCATCACCCCGGATGACCCAGTGTCTGTTCCGAAGGCAGCTCGAGTCGGTCGGTTCGGTAGGCAAGCGAGCAGAAGCCGTTGTCATCCGTACCCACGTGGGGCTCGCGCCGAGGGGGGGGTAAGTGTGGGTGTGGCACCGATTCCCCATTGCGGTGGTCCTTGGGGCCAAGACGTCAGGACGTTTCTCGTAGTCTTGGAACGTGTTGGCTTGGTGGCATATAGATTGGGTATTGACAAAGGCTAAGCCCTGCAGTGATTGCCGTGACGGCACACGTCTCTGTTGCGTAGTCGAACACCATGCAGGATTTAGATACGACTGGACGTTGTGCTTGATCTCTTTTTTTCTTTCTTCCTTCTTCCTTTCGTCATTTCGCGCCACCACGGATATGGTTATATCCGAGCGAGCTGGTCGTGACAGCCTGGGCGGGTGTTCGCAGGGATGGGCGACGTTATGATGGAGGGGTTTCAAGGTTTCCCTGATCTCTCTACCTTCTTACACCGGCCGGTAAATAACCTATCCACCGATTCATGTTCGAACTGGTCACACCTCCTGGAAGCAAGGCCGGATTCAGCTGTGGTGACGGGCGCGTGTCTTGCAAAACGAAGTGGTGGGTGTTCATGCAAGGTTTGTGCAAAGTGTCCAACACCATAATCTCAAAAGGCTCGGCTCGTCGTATGACACTGCGATGAATGAATGACCGGTGTCCCACACAAGACGTTCAAGGTGACTGGATGACAGGCGGCACTCCGCATAGAGGCGGGTGTGAGGGGTGGGTGATGATGAGGGATGATGCAGGATGGCTCATCCGGGCGGTCGGCTCCATTTCTTTCGGCACCGGAGCCGATAATGTGGGGTCGATGGGATTTGGTGCTTACCTCGGTGTTCAACAACATGTCTTTCGGCGCGGTACTTTGAGCGTTTTGAGAAGGTGATAAACAAGCGTAGTCCAGGAAGATTCGATAAATACCTGGAGTTGAATGTTTCGTTCCAGACAACCCGAATCATAATCAACAAGCCGTGTCCAGCGTCGTAAACCACATATCCAAAATGGACGACCCCGCGGCCCATCTCGCGCCCCTCCTCACCCCCGACGACCTCCTTGCCTTCACAGCCTCCCTCTCCCTCCCGCCGCCGACCCAAACGGAGCCTCTGACCGTGACGGCGGCCTTTCACCGGATCTACCTCCTCCACTTCCCGCCCTCGGCCGCCGCGGACCTCGCGCCGGCGAGGGCGAACGCAGACGGCACCATCACCCTCGTCCTGCGCGTCTCGGGCCGGCACCTCCCACGCGTCAAGACGGAGAACGAAGTCGCGATGATGCGCTGGGTCCGGGAGAACACCTCGGTCCCCGTGCCGGCTGTGATACGATGGGACAGCGGGTGCGCGAACGTGTTGGGGTGCGAGTTCACGCTGTTGGAAAGGGTGCCTGGGAGGAGTGCAAATGCGGTGATATGGGCGCTTGGCGAGACGCAGAGGAAGATGATGGTCGGAGAGATTGTGAGGTTCCTCGCAGAGTTGTGGGAGAAGTCGGCATTTGTGTGGAAGCATGTGGGCGGGTTGAGGGTCGACGAGACGGGAGAGATTGTGCCTGGGCCGGTGGTGGATGAGTGGTTCTGGATGGCGCCTGATGTCGAGCGGTATTGGGCGGGCGGGGAGGAGTCGCCGGAGACGCTGAACCCGATCGGGGGTGCGTTTTCCGGGTGGGCAGAGCAGTTGGACAAGAGTGTTGAGAAGTACGTCTACGCGATCGAGAGGCACCCGTCGCTGGAGTGGATGAGGGATCTAGTATCGAGATTGGGGGCGTATAGATTGTATGTTAGAGAGTACGCTGGGGAGTTGAATGATACGAGATACGTCCTCGCCCATCGGGATTTACATCTCGCCAACGTCATGGTCGATGAGGAGGGGGCGGTGACGGGGTTATTGGACTGGGAGTTTGGAGGGGTTGTACCGGGGCCGAGATGGGATCCGCCGAACGCGTTTCTGTATCCCTGGGGCGGCGAGGGGAACGAGGCGAAGGACGAGAGGGAGCAGATGAGGGGGTGGGCGAGGGAGATTTGCCAGGAGAAGGGGATAGAGCTGGAGGTTGTTACTGGCGTACCGTATCAGGGGATACAGGAACCTGCACAGAGGGTTGTCAACTTCACGAGAGCGATCTGTGAGGTTTGTCCCAAGGGTGAGGGAGAAAAGGCGAAAGCATGGAGGGGGTCTTTGGAGAGCGAGCTGACGAAGCTGGGGTTGTAAACCCGTTCCGATAGATGTTGTGTTGCGGATCAGAAGCCCATACAATCTCGAATACAATATTTAGGCCGCCGAAGGATACTTGGTTTGGTTACCTGAGAAACCACATTTCAGGGTCAATACAAGGGCATTCTACCTCGCAAGTTTAGATTGTATGCTTGCCAGCATAATCCACGAGTTTCAGCGACCCAATGCTGCGTTAATGTATCAACTATCTTGCGTCAAAGCATGCAAGCTCACACGTGAGTTTTGCTTCATGTTGATGCTAAATCAAGAATATAATACGCCTTGCATGAGGATAAGAAGCAAAGTGTTTTGATGAAGATTAACACAACAAGTGCTAGCCTCCACTATTGGTAGGCAAGTATTCGGACTCAATATGTGTGATACGGGAGATCGAAGAGAGGGAGGATATAAAGTAGCATCTCCTGCGACGCCTCGGAATACCGCCAGTAGTACGGTAGCCCGAATGCCGACCTCTCATATCGGTAGACTAATTAGCTGACAAGGACAACGCTGTAAAGGGTGGGAATGACATTCAGACTACCTTGACATTACGGCAAACAAACCATCGATCGCAGGCTCTTGCTCCACAGTCACACACTGATGACTGAGGTAACATATATGTAAATTGTGATGAGAGATTGTAGCGACCGCTAGTCAACAAACATCTCCCCCTTTCTTGCCCAGGCACCATTGCTCAAGAGTTATGTAGCTGTTAATGCAAGAATCATGAGATGGAAAGGGTTGAACACCCTACGTACGATGATGTGGGATACATTGTAGACCACGTTGTGGCTCTTTGTTAAGTTACCTCACCTGTCCTCCTCATTTAACCTTGCGAGCTCTCGCAGGGACCCGGGATTGTCCCCGCCCGTACACATAGATGCCGGACATCACCGGCGCTAGGTCATCATAGATATGTATTGAACCTGCCAGGCCAGAAAGGTGTTCAACCCAGTCAACAGGGTGGCACAATAGTACAGTAAGCTTGGGCTGGACTATATACAATCGGTTTGATTTGAGCGATCTCTAGTAGGGACAGTCCATAACCCTATATGCATCTTCAGAACTCTTCTTTCTATCCGACTTTGAGAACGACGTCGGGGCTTATCGGCGGCTCTCTAAAGCAGCACGCCCGGCGCAGAGCTCTTGTTCTGATAATCTCGCCGATAGTGACAAGTATGCCTTTGACGAGACGCGATCTTTCTTTGACGATGTGAGCGGGCTGTCTCAGTGAGTGTTTGCTGTCATGCGCGCGCCGGCTACCAGATCATGTAAGGCTGGCTGCTTCTCCGGCATAGACCAATCAAGTTTTCTTTCGCTTGGTCAGTATCATTCCCGACATAAAATTTTCCTGAAATGATTGCCAAAAGATCTTCCAAGATCATTTGCAGCGGCGGTGTAAAGTTACACAGCACGCCAGGATGGAGATAAGCTTCCTGTTTTGCATACTAGGTACGGGCTTAGAGCAAGTGGGGGTCACTGAGGAAACAAGCAGCACAATCAAGGTTACTCGTGCAGCCGTTGCGAATTCATGCTTATTCCGGTGAACCACATACTCCCAAGTTTCATGTGTGCGCCTCCTCACGCGTGTAGATACGTTGCATTCAAACGTGTCTCATCTCATCGGGCCCACCCGACAGCGGCCATCATCGGCAGGATCTGGGGAGGGTGTGAAGATGCGGAGTCGACGTCGACGGCGTCGTCTAGCGTGCGGGCGAGTAGGGGTGGCACCGGTAAATGGGGGACGCCAATTCCGCAACGGCCTGCGGGCTTGGCTGCAACTTCACATGGGCTTAATCGCGCGTGGAGGCTGGGGTTTTTCGGAGAGGAGATAGAGAGGGTGAGAGGGTCAGCCTGCAGCAGGATACAACCCTGCTCCAAGGTCATCCGGACTCGCGATTGCTTGGTTATCGCCAGCCGCCAAAAGGCATCCTAGATAAACCCGCGTTGGACGTGTCCGACTTTCTTTGTCCCTGCCAACGACACAACTCGACCATGCTCACCTCGTGACGACCTTATTTAGGACTTCGACCACGTCATCGGTGGGTGAGGCTGAGGGGCCTTTTCTCCCTCCAGACCCCAAGTGCCGGTCTGCTCACAAATACGGCCTCTCATCCGCTGCTTATCTAGCAACCTCAATACGTTTGAGAGATAGGGCTTTTGTGAGCTGCGGGCATCAAATCATGCCCTTCCCGGTTCTCTCCAAAGAACCAATACCCGGACTCGCCTTATCAGCATCGGGTCTCGTCGCCCTCGCAGACCTCCAGACAATCGCAAACCGCACTGCACTCACAGGAACGTCCTCCTGGTTCGACGCCCTTGTCCTCGCCCCGGGCCTGCACTATCAGCAAGCAGCCGACGGCGTCGCGGGAAACAGCAGCGCCGTCGCCGCCGAAACCTCTGCGGCCTTTGGCTTCGGCGGCAGCGGCAGGCGGAGTTCAGGAACCGCCGGCCTCTTCGGCACGCAGGCGCTTCCCGGCGGGAAAAGGAAGGATGTCCGGGTCACGAACCCGGGCATGTTGCTCTTTCTCTCGAGGCTGGGGGTCCAGGAGGAGCGCGCGCGAGAGCGGGAGATGAAGAAGGAGAAGGCCGGAGGGGGCGGGGTCGAGGCGTTCGGGATCGGCGCCGGGGGCGGAGAAAAGGTTATCACTCTCGACGTCGGAACGCTGGGTCACCGGAAGCGGAGACGGGGCCGGGCTTTTTCCCACGACGCGGACTGGCAGTTTGAACGTGCAAGTAATCTACTTTACCTCGCGAGCCCGGTACTCACGCTCGCAGCCTTGATCATCATGATTTTACTGGCAGACTGTGAGTGTTGCCCCCCCTCCCCCCTGTTCTTTAGAAACACACTATGGTCGTTCAATCTCATCCTTGTTCACGATCCTTTCCCGCTCCTTGTCAAACCAGATCTCCAGGAGAGAACTCGTACTAAACATCGCCCATCAGGGTGGGGGCTCGCAGCGATCCTAGCTCTCATCGCCTCTCGTATCCTCAACATCTACATCATCAAACAGCGCACGCCTCCCCCTCCGCCGCCGGCCCCTCGGTCCTTGGCCGCAACTACCCCGTCTTACACAAAGCTCTCCGAGTACCTCATCCCACTCACCCCAACACTAAAGGTCCGCATGCGCGGTCCGGCGTCCGACCTCGCCGCGCTGACGACGGACGCCTGGCTCCTTTCCAAGACGGCCGTGCAGGGCTACCTCGAGGCCACGGCGAAGCTGGTGGTGTACATGGTCGCCATCTTCAGCGGCAACATCTCGCAGGCGGGGAACCTCGTGCTTCTGATCTTGTTGCTGGGTAGCGCGGGCTTGTTGGGCCTGAGCAACGGGTTCGTGAAGGGCGTCAAAGGGAAGGGACGGGTCGCTAGGGTGTGGAACGAGGAGGTGAGAGATGAAGGGGCTAATGGGACACGCGGCAGGCGGAAGCAGGAGGGCGATGGAGTTGACGTTGCGGAATGGGATGCGCAGGTGGGAAGGATCATTCGGGATCCCTATCCTTTCGAAGGGGAAGTAGAGTATTCATAGCTTGGGGAGGGTAATGGCTAGGAGTCAAACCGAGTTCAAGACCATATCAAGGACACATTAGAAACAGCGGCGCTATGGGTAATGAGATGGGAGCCCGAACATTGTTTTAGACTTTACATAGTAATTGCCTTCTGCCAGTGTGTATCGATCAACGTTTTGCCTCTTAGTGGTTCAATTGTCGATGCCAGAGTTGCGCTTTTGACTGCTGCGTCAAGTAGTTTAAAACATCGTTTGGAGAAAGCTGAAAATCAGATCTTACAGCAGTCACTTCATCCTGCAAGTCGGAACAAAGAGCTGAAGTATCTAGCAAACTCGATATCTCAAACAGTCGATCTAGAAAGTCACAATTCAACAGTAACTTTGAAGCCCATCCTAGATGTGGCGGAGCCAACGAACAACAGGCATATCTACACCACCAAGCCCGAGAACGGCATTCCGTTCGTGCCGTTTTAGATGACCTTGTTACTTTGAGATCTGATATAGGAGGCTCAATACATGTCCGACCCCGTTCTCACCGAGTATGGCATCGTGGTGTACATGTGCCTGAGCTCGCTGCTCCTGTTAGCCAAGAAAGGCAACCTGTTGGTATCACAGGAATAACTGGGGTTGACACTCGAGTCAGTCCAGCAGAAAGGCATATAGGCACGGGAGGTGGTAAAGGGGAGTCCCGCACCTCTATACCATGCATGTGACTATAACAGATCTTTGCGAAACGGGACAACACCAGAAGTGGCCAAGGAACATGTCCGCAGACGCGCCCTGAGGCAAGATAGAAATGATGCGGCACTCAGCCTTTTTGTGATTCCACCTTCTACCTAGACATTAAACTTCAGGCGATACTGTACAAAATAAAACATTCGCCATGTTTTTAGTGTTTTTGTTTTACCTGCCATCCATCCACCCCCCTGCTACTCCATGCCGAAAACACAACAAAGGTTGAAAATTCCAAAGAGGGTATATATACCGAAAGAGAAAACAGAAGAACAAGAAAATACCATGCACGCTCTCCCTTCCTCGTAAATCCGCCTTTAGGCCACAAAGGAAACAACGCTGATACGAAACACACACACTGGGGAAAACGAAGCTGAATAACAAAAAAACATGCTGTAGTGGTATAATAGATGATGGGAAAAAGATAGCTCTCGTTACAAGGACCGGTCGTTCGTCGGCGACTCCTCGCAGCACTTAACAATCTCGCAGAGAGACCGCAGCACGAGCGGGTCCACCTCGTTGACCGACTCCCCCGCGATAGGACCCTCGTTCCCATCTACGCGCAGCGTTGTGACGAGCCGCGCGATGCACCGGTGTAGGCCGTTCTGCAGCTCCCGCAGCGGGACTTCGGACGTCGACGGCACCGCCGTGGCGGGTGTTGTGGATGCCAGCGGCGTCGGCAACGGTGGCAGCGGCGGCGTGGGGAAGGTGGACTGCCGTGAGGACGCGCGCAGGCCGAGGAACATGCTCGAACGCTTCCGCAGCGGCCTCGGCGGCGGCGGGGTGGCGTCCATGTTCGCTTGCAGACCGAGCAGGCTCGCCGCCTTCTTGGGGATGGGGTCCTCTGTGCTGGCGGGGCTTCCCGGCGTAGGAGGTCTTGCTGTAGCCCCATGCGGGAGGTTCTGGACCATGGGCGCGAGGTAGTTGTACGCGATGATGTGGGCGTAGAGCGCGTCACAGAGATAATCGGAGCCGTGGGGGAAGACGCTACGGATGCGGGTCCATTGGGGCGGAGTGAGGGTCGTGGTCGAGGGGGACATGGTGGAAGGGAGGTCGAGGTTTGAGGAGCTGCGGGAGCAGCAGCGGCGGTTGCTGATGCTGCCGCCGCCGTTGCCGCTGGTGTTGACGCTGGCGCTGCCGCCACCGTTGCCGAGGTTCGAGGTCCGGCGGGAAGAGAGCCAGCGCCAGCGTTTGGGCGAGGTCGGGGGCGTATCCGGGCGGAGGGCCTCAAGGGGCGGTTGCCGGACTTTGCGGGAGTAGCTGCGGATCGTCTCGATGGAGAGGCTGGAACAGGAGAGCATTGTCTCGGGGAAGCATGTCACGGAGACGCGGATGGATTCCATCACGTTGGGTGGTAGAGGGATGCGGCGGCTTTGGTCGTCTGAGGGGGGCGGCGGGATGTCGATCGGGTCCTCGAGCCATGTGTACGAGGTGCTTACCGAGGAGGTTGGCCGCGATCTGGTTTGGGCTTGGGAACGGGGGCGAGGTGTCGGGGTGACTACCCGCGAGGCGCCAGGGCGGGATCCCGAGCGTGGTGTCACTAGCAATGGAGGAGCCAGGCCTTGGCGACGGGTGGGACATTCGTCTTCCGCGTCGAGGTAGCGGAACCAGGGCTCGAGTTCCTCCTTGAGGTCGGATATGATGGAGCTGCGGTCGGTCCCCGGCGCAACAATGTGTTCCGGGACGCCTCCTGAAGAAGCGTGCGACCGCGAACGAGCGCGAGGAGCGATAGCTTTGCGGGCATCGTCTGTAAACGAGACGCGATGCTTCAAGGATGAGCAGCGTGTGGGAACCGCAATTTCGACAGGGCTAAAGGAATGCAGCGAGAGATTTGAGTGCCGGGTCTGCTCCTTGCCGGCCGCCGTTGTCGTCGGGTCCAAATGCAGACTCCGCGCACGGCTGGCTGGCCGCGTGTAGCCCTCAAACGGGTTGGACAGCCGGCGGGTGGTGGCTGCGGCGTTGGCGCTCTTGGCCCGTTGCGGCGACGCTTCATTGATGGACCGGTCTCCTAATCGAGACAGCGGCCGCACCGGCTTCATAGGCGTCGTGACCGGCGATTGCGCTAGGCTCTTGCCGAGTTCAGGATGATCGGCCGGAGCGTCCGGCTCAAAGTCCATCCAACTCTCGAAGCTGCCTTCGACTTCGCCCCCAAAGGACACGACACGTTTTTGCGAGGATGCGGTGGTCGCGGGCTGGCTCGAAGCGGATATGGTGGTATCGGCCGTCAAGACGGACTGCTGGCGAATGTGAGGTGACTCGGCGGCGTCGTCTTCTCCGTCGACATCGTTGCCGGCCATGCTGAAGGAGTCACCGCTCGAGCTCGAGGCTTCGTCGGAGATGTCATGCTCGCTCGCCCCGCTGGCGGAGCTCTTCTCGTCGATGGCGCCCAGAGGTTGGAACTGCGGCACGCTGTTCGGGTGGCAGGACGCGCCGAGGACGGTTGGGGGTTCGGCAGTGCCGTGCCAGTCGTCTTCGTCGGATGCGAGGGCGGGCGAGGGTGCGCCGGCCGTCATGTTCTTGGCGGCGAATATGAGACTCGAGAACTCAAGGTCCTGGGCAAGCAACTCTGGCAGGTTGCAGTCCATGGTCGGTTCCGCGGCTTCGGCCATGGTGCCGGTTCGGATGCATAAATGCTCAGCCTGATATCTGGACAAGACGATTTCGGTCTGCGGCAGGGGTCGACGATGGCGGTAGTGGTGGTGAGGTCGGAACTGGGTTGGCGAGGCCGGGTCAGGATGACAGGCGATCAGGTGCGAGCTGGAGCTGGAGCTGGAGGGCAGGGTCAGTGGCAAGAGGTTTTTCATACTCCGGACGGAGCGCCTTCGCCCCAGGACCGGCGAACGAGATGCTTTAAGGGTTGTTGGAGAGATGTTCCTTGCAGGGAGGGCCTCTCTCGTGTGTGGGGCAGGGAAGGGAGCTGGAACGTCTAACGCGAACATGGGGTGCATGCCACATGGGTTGATGCTCATGCCATTGGGCAGCGCTCTTCGAGAAAAGGGGAGCACTCCAAATCAGGGAGGGTGCGTTGCTCGAGAGCTTGCTCAGACCGTAAGATGCCCAGGGCAGATGACAGGGAAGAGGATGGGGAGGACCGCGGCCATGTATGCAATGCTCCAGTGTGAATGGACACCCCCAAAGTTGTGCCCGTCTGTGGGCAGTGGGCAGAGGCCGGAGCGATAGGGCAGAGCAGAGCAGGACGGGACTGGAAGCTCGCTACCAGGGATCAGTGCTCGATGGTGCTGAGTGCGAGAGACCCGAAAAGGACGTTGTGTTCGGGTCCGAGGCTCCCCAATGGTCGAAATACCTAGGCAGATGCTCGGGGATGGAACGAGAGAGGACTGCTTTGAAGATTACTTTGAAGATTGCTTCGAGGATTGCGTCGAGGAATTGTCTTAGGGGGGGAAAGCTGCGTATGCCGTGACACCTCAAGAGAACCACAACAACAACACAACAACAGGACACGCCGAACGGCTTGCTGCACCTTCTCGGATAGCGGACGAAGGGGCCCGATTGGAATGTAGGGTGTCCATTGTTCGTTGTAAGACAGGGCTTCTCTGCCGCGGTCCTATTTGCCCTCGCCTGCGCCGTCAGTGCTCTACATGCATTGCAGCAAGCCGTCCCTTCGCTCAGCGCTTTCTTTTTCTCCTTCTCTCCCGCGACCTCCCAGATTCAGTGAGGCAGAGGAGCCCACCTGATATCCGCCGAGCTGCTGCTGCAGCGAGGCAGCCCAGCCCAGCCCAGCGGGACTCGGAGCTCGCGGGATGGGGATAGGGCAGCCAGGTCAGGGGCGGTACAAACTGCTGGGCGTTTGAACGTTGAGAGAATGAGAATCATCATCAGCAAGCATCTGCCCCCCATTTTTGGTCCACATCTAGCAGGCGAGTCGGAAAGCAAGCAGAAACAATACCACCAGTACTACAGTACATAGTTTGGGTGGGCTCGCCTTCGGCGTTCAATAATGCTACACTAGCAGCGGGCTCTCAGTGCAAATCCGCTCTACATCCGGCAGTTCGCTACCAGTTGGAAGCAAAAGAAACAACGACATTATTCGCCAGAGAACTTTGAGTGGTGGGCTCTCATCAAAACACGTTCGGCCCTCGTAAGCCGTCCCAAACCTAGTGAGCGTTCATGACACATGGCCGTGTCCACAGGAATCTGTACGATGGAGGCTTAAACGTTTGTTAGATGGAAGCTTCGAAGGGTTTTCTCCCCAACCAAGCCGTGGATTCCGTGGTACGCTATGTACCAGGTTACATCGAGAAGCCGAAATGAGAACCATCGATGAAGGGATAGCACGGAATCGATCACAAAAACCTGGCTGGTGGGATGATCGAAGGGTCGCGAGAACAGACCCGACAACCACGAGTGCCGGTGTCCAACGCCCTGGTCCAAAGGCCCGTCATCACTTTTGCCATTATTGGTGCAACCGTCTCAGGGCGGCCGAGGCGTGCGTCTGTGTTGCTGCACTTGGCAGGCTGCAGCTAATACGTCTTGCATCCCGCAAGCGCAGGCATTGGTGGCGACGAACGTCGCAGATACAGCGGGCTGTGATGCAAATCGTATCACAGGCGGCGGTCCTGACGTCTGTGCAAAAGACCATCGAGTCTGGCCTTGGAGCCGCCGCCAATTTGGAAGAGGGAGATTGCCATCTTACACCAGGGGTTCCCAAATGGCGAGCACTCCCGAACGGTGGCAGCTCTCCGTCTCGGCACTTCTTGGTCGAGGGACATTGTGTAGTGTAACGGTCGATAGATGTGCGTGGCGATGACGGGTTGAGGGTTGTCTCTCGGCTCTGCCTTTTGTTGTCCCCTTCGGGATTGGAAAACCCTGCCAGGATCAGCAGGAAATTGAGGGTAGGCGCAGCAGAGCAAAAGGAGACACAGGCCGTGATAGGATGGTGAGAGGGCCACGTCCCTGGCAACGTGAGCCAAAATGGCGATCTGGATCCCAGGCCACTTGTTTCCCTGTCTGGGAGTTTGCGCAAATCGCCAATCCAAATGTAAGCGTGTCCTGTGATCCCCCGGGGTAACCCAGCCGATTGACCGGCCGTCCACCGCACAGCATCCGTCCATTGTCGATGAGGTGAAATTCAAATGTCGCATTACGTCGCCTCTGCCGCGAATGCATGTTGCACGCGTTAAGCCATCGTGGAAGTCTGCACCGTGGTGTAATCTTGTCAACACACCGGCTTTCAAGCAGACAGACGGGGGCTCTTGTGTGCAAAGTGTATTACTGAAGAGAGCGAGCATCATTAGAGGAGACTGGAATGTGAAAACGGTTCGCGGCCTCCACTGAGCGGCCCATGGCAATTGACATGGAGCCCCTGCATGGACCAGGGGACACAAATAGTCAGGAAGCCGCCCCTGGGGAACAATTGAAATTGGCGACCCAGAGACGACGCCCGACGTGAGATCGCGACTGCGCGTCTTCGGAACGGAGCAGTCGCAAGCGGAGCGCGGTGCTGAGGAGGGGGGTGCTGACGGGTTGACAGCCTGGATTGACTATTGCTCATCCGTGCGTCCCATCGTTAGTGAAGAGTGACGGATTTGGCCCGCTGTCCATATTCCGCGTCTTGTCTCGGGATGTTCAAAGGGGGCGCCGCGCCTGTGGCCGGCACGCAGCAACGTCGAGGAGACCGGCATATTGAATCGTGAATCAGGACCGAGCGCAACACTTGTACAAGCACACGCGCAAGGCGACCAGCTGAGGGCGGGGGGGGACAAATAGACCAACGCAGAGTTTTGCGCAGCTCCTCCTGTCTCCATGTATCAAGAGGAAACAGTGGGCCGGATATCGGGCGAGCTGCAGGTGAAATGTGATTGTATCCGTACCATGTATGCAAATGCCGCTGGTCACGTCGAACGGCCACGCGGGACCCGGGGGCACGAAGCTGATAAGATAGCCGGCAAACTTGGGATAAAAAAGCAACGAGCTGGGGTTTGCGGTGAAGTGATACGAATAGGTAAAGGCGGCTGAGGCGGTTCCCAGGATGTAAGACAAGAGCGGTCTTGGAGTATCGGCAGCTAGCTATTCTGTTGAAGCCGAATGAGCTGGCTGGAGGTTGACGAATCGAACATTGGACCGTGGTTGCCGAGATGCATCTGGTGGCGCGGGCTAACGCTGCAGCTGATAAGACAAGTCTTGCTCGAAAACGTAGTAGAGACGTTTGACGATGGTGTTGTCGTGCAAGTTTGTTGTCGGTAAAGAAGGTGTCATTGGACGTTGACGACGGGTTGGAAAGTGGAGGACGTTCTATGCAAGGGAAGCTAAAACTTCAGCTTGCTGCCGCGTCGTTGAAGCCCGCCACTCAAGCTGGAGAGTTGCTTCGCACACCGCGTGGGGCGGCCTGTTAGCGCTGTTAGGGCGGGGAATGGAGCGTTCTCGAGCTGTAGAACCGCTGTAAGGGAGGCTCCGTGGCTGATGCTCAGCGAAAGATCACAGGCTGCATCTCTCGTCTCTGCGGCGTCTGGTCACGAGCCACCTCACGTCCCATAGGCACCAGTACCGTGAGGTACTAGGAACTCGACTGGCGCTACAGTACGTCGCTTAGCTCAGCGAAGTTGGTCCTACCTAAGATACTCGCCTACCTGGCTGCTACCTAGGTCTGGTACCTGTACCTACTTACTTTGGTACCTGTGCCTACTTGGTCACCCACAGGAAGGAGCTCATCCGGCCATAGTGGGGCGCGCGCCTGCCCTCCGCGGTCCAGTCCCGAGGCGGCGGTCCACCCGCTCCGTCCACTATCGATAATGGAATTTTTTCATTGTAGCTGGCTGTGACTTTCAAGCCTCAACGGCCTCATCTCACCACACACCAACATACCTCACCGTCACTTCCCCGATAGCAGTTTTTCCCCCAAAGGTCTGCCATCTGCTGTCTCAAAGCCACAAGCACACCGGCGTGTCATCTACCAACCGAATAAGCAACCCTCGCGTAGTCTTGTCGCGGGCCATTGGGCACCGGCACCTCAGCACTTTGGGTCCCACGTCGCTTTAGCCTTTGCCTTCACCCTTCGGGCCATCATCACATAGATCCGAGTTCAGCACCAAGCCCCCGAACGTGGGCTCGAAGATCCAAAGGATCCCGCTAGATTGATCGCCGTCGAGCTCTTCTCAAAGAACCCGTGGCATTGAGTCACTCCTCCCCTCCGGCCTCCCCCCCTCGCCATCGAAATTCAACGCCCAACCAGTCGTGAGTCGTCTGGTCCGCCTCCTGATTTTTATCCCTTGCGTTCTTTCACCCGAGCATCCGGGGTCAGAGCCGCTTTCGGACAGCCCGTCGCAGCACCTGAGTGGGAACGCGACTTCCCGTCTTTCACCACATTCCGGAGCGCGCGTCGTCGTCACTCGCTGTTCATCTCCCACCATGTTGTCGGAAGAGTTTTACTCGTCCATCTGCGGCCCGCCCATCGCGGCCAATACCGCCGTCTCCAAGGATGTCGGCATCTACGCCCACACGCTGAGCCCCAGCTATGCCGTCAAGTCGACGCTCAAGAAAAGTGCAACCCCGCCCAACTGCTTGGCTGTTAGTGACTCGCACGTCTTCGCTGCCCAGCACGAAAAGTCCCAGGTCCATGTCTATTCGAGGTCGCGGGGCATCCAAGAAACAACCGTCACCTTCCCAGAGCGCATTCGCAGCTTGGCGTTGATTGACGATGTCTTGGCATTGGGGACTTCCGAAGGCAGACTCATGCTGTGGGAGGTAAACATTTTCCTCTCTGGGGGAACCCAAAACGCTTGTCGCTAACGAAACAACAGACCTGCACTGGCCGCCAGCTGACCACACCCCCATGCCACGTCCAGGCCGTTTCGTGCCTGGCCGTCACACCTCACCACATCCTCACCGGCTCAGAAGACTCTAACATTCATGTGTGGACCCTGTCTCGTCTCCTGGAGCTGAACGCCTCCATCGAGAGCGAGCCGGACCGTACGCTCTCCAACCACAGGGCCGCCATTACATCGCTCGCCATCAGCCCCAGCGTCAACCCAGAAACCAACATCTGCGTCTCATCCAGCAAAGACAAGACCTGCATCATCTGGAACTATCAAACGGGCGAAGTGCTGCGCACTCTGTTGTTCCCGGCGGCTCCGCTCTGCGTTTCCATGGATCCCTGCGCTCGTGCCGTCTTCGTTTCATCCGAGGACAGGTCCCTCTATCTCGTCGAGTTGCTTGGAGAAAAGCCACTCATTGGCCCGAACTGCGCTGAATCTTCGTCGACCGTCGTCCAGATCAACTCACCCATTGGAATCGCTGATGAAGATGCAGGCCCGGCTTCGTGTTTGGCGCTGAATTATGATGGCACCACTGTTTTGTCCGGCCACACTAGAGGCAAGATCCTACAATGGCAATTAACGGAGAACGGCCACCCCACAGAGTTGACAGACGTCAACGCCTCTGTAACGAACTTGGTGTTCCCGCCGTTGCTGCAGGCACCCCGGTCCACCAAACCTACTGCGGTTATCAAGCCCACCCAGGCCGAGCGACAATACACATTCACATCTCAACTGAACACAAGTCTCAAGCAGGAGACGAGGTTCGGCAAGATGCTCAATGGCTTTGGTTTACCCAACGACATGCTGGAGTCCGCTGTTCTCGCGTTCCAAGAGGCCCAGGCACAGCCCAGTACAGAGGACGAGGAGACGCAGAAAGAGACTGACGAGTTGTGGGAAATAATCAATGAGCAAAGGGCGCTACAGAAGCTGACTATGCAGCGGTATTTCCAGGCCAGATCGTCTCATACCTGAAAGTGTTTCATTTTCCCCTGCAAACAATTTTCAGACGGCGGCTCGAGCCTTCAATTGACCTTATCCAAACATTTTCACTTTCCGTTCGCCTCTCGAGTCATTTGACGATTGTCGCCGGGATCGCATCCATCTGGGGCCAAGAAGACAAAAATTCAAAGTCTGATCGTCCTTCTCGCATGAGGGGCACGAATCAGCCGCGGAATCACTTGTGCGTAGCAAACGCCCAGAATTTTACCATGATGGTCCGCCCTGAGCAAGATGAGACGATTGTTTGGAGGTGCCCTCACGCCTCGAAGCTTAACCCTCGGATATCGGCATCCTGACCGTTCATTCCCTCACAATGCTTCCCGACATGAGGCCAGCCTGACAGTACGGTTTGCGGCGCCTCGTCCCGGTCCCCAAGGTGCAAGAAACTGCACTTGTAAGAGATGTTCCCTCCCCTGCTACAGGTTCCCATACGCTCAGGCTGCCGTTCACCCAAGTGTTCGTTTTAGATTGTCACTGCCAGACAGACAGCCCACTGGATCGTATTGAAACCGGTTTCGCATTCGTCGTGGCCAAAGCTGGTACCTTGCGTCAGTGGGGTCCGTCATGACTGGACGACAGCTACTAGAACATCAACAAATAGCCAGACGTGTCGCTCGGTTCTTTTGGCTTAGGTTCGACTCGACGCGTGAGCGAGGAAGAAGTTTGACGAAGACAACGACAGGAGAAGACACGATGAAGCTAAGCGCCGTTGCCACCCTATTCACTGCCCTTGCGGCAGTGGCCTTTGCAACCCCTATGACACGGTCGCACAAGCACGTTGTGCACGAGGAAAGGCACCCCGCAAGAAGAGAATGGGTCAAGAACCATCGATTGCACTCAATGGCCAGGCTGCCAGTTCGGATCGGTCTTACCCAGTCGAATCTTCACCGTGCAAACGAGTTCATGAATGATGTGGCACATCCAGACTCTCCCAACTACGGCAAGCATTGGACTCATGAGGACATCATCAACATGTTCGCCCCAAAACAGGAATCCATTGCTCTCGTCATGCAGTGGCTTGAGAGCGAGGGTATCAAGAGAAGCCGCGTTGAGCTCTCCAAAGGACGTAACTGGGTTCAGTTCAACGCCACCGTCGGCGAGGTCGAACGGCTCCTGAAGACCGAGTACCACGTCTACAAGCACGAGCAAGGGCACATGCACGTTGCTTGCGACAAGTATCACGTTCCGGAGCACCTGGTGGAGCACATCGACATGATCACTCCATCAGTACACTTCGACCGACGCATCGGCGAGCAAAGGAAAAATAACCAGCAAGAGCTCGAAGAGCACCATGTTGAAGAGCTGAAGAAACGCCAACGCAAGAAGAGGGAGCTCCTTGAGAAACGGCAAGTCGAAGCCACCGCTACCACCGGCAAGTCTGCCGCCATCCAGGGTTCTCCTGACGGTGGCTTTGGGCCGAAGCAGGGCGTAACCGTCATGAACGCCCTCATGGACCTCAATCAGTGCGATTCTATGATCACCCCGGACTGTCTGCGTGCGCTCTACGCCACGCCTCCCGGCTCGTTGAAAGCGTCCAACAACACGCTCGGCATCGTCGAGTACACGCCGCAGGCCTTCCTCCAGTCGGACTTGAACATGTACTTCAACGAGTTCGAGCCCCGCCTCAAAGGCACAAGTCCCATCGTCACTCTGGTGGGCAATGCCGTGGTGCAGACCAAGAACCAGAGCTTCAACTTCAACGGAGAGTCTTCACTTGATCTGGAGTTCGCCATGGCTTTGATCTTCCCCCAACAGACGACGCTTTACCAAGTCGGAGACTTGAACCAGGGTGCCAGCTTCAACAACTTCCTTGACGCCATTGACGGCAGCTACTGCACGTTCCAGGGGGGCGATTCCAAGGATCCTAACATTGACGGACAGTACGGCACCAAGGTCTGCGGATCAGCCCCGCTGGTGAACGTCATCTCCACGAGCTACGGTTTCAACGAGGCAGACCTTGGCCGCAAGTACGTCGAGCGCCAGTGTGCCGAGTACATGAAGCTCGGCCTCCAGGGCGTCACAGTTCTGTACTCATCCGGCGACTCGGGTGTTGGTGGCAATGGCAAGCAATGCATCGATACCCAGACCGGCGCCTACAACGACGGCAAGACCGGTATCTTCAATCCCTCATTCCCCGGAGGCTGCCCGTGGGTCACATCTGTCGGCGCCACACAGATTCTGGAGGGTTCCACTGTTCACACTCCCGAGAGCGCGTGCGAGAAGGTCATCTTCTCTGGCGGAGGCTTTTCCAACGTCTTTTCCCTCCCCGACTACCAGAAGCAGGCGATGGACAGTTACTATAGCAAGAATGCGCCGCCGTATGGTGCGGACCGGTACAACAACTCCAGGACCGTTCGCGGTTTTCCGGATATCGCCGCCAACGGCGCCAACTACGTGACGGCCGTCAACGGCAAGTTTTCGTTGTCTTTTGGTACCTCTGGTAAGTTTCCCAGTTTCTCGCCTATGGGCATATATTGACAATCGCAACAGCATCTGCACCTGTCGTTGGCTCCATTATCAACATGCTCAACGAGAAGCGCATCGATGCCGGCAAGAAGCCGGTCGGCTTCATCAACCCGACACTCTACGCGCACCCAGAGATTCTCAACGACGTAACCAACGGCGACAACCCGGGCTGCGGCACCAAAGGCTTCTCTGCTGTGGAAGGTTGGGATCCCGTTACGGGCATGGGGTGAGTGAACGACCTCCTTTCCAACAACAGCGTGACCATGCGACTAACGTCCGTCCACAGCACACCTAATTATCCCGAGATGGAGAAGCTGTTCCTTAGCTTGCCTTAATTGTAGGTATTTGGCAAACCCCGCAGAACATACACCTTACACATATTGGCACGGAGTATACATAACAGCAGACGCGGTTTCGGCTCTCATCTCAACTGTGCAGGCCAGTCAGCTGCAGGGACGGGAAACCATAAAGATAGCTAGCATTTGTAGATAATTAAGCATTTAATAGAGGTACCTACAGCATAGACATGCACAGTAATGTTGAACGAACCCATGAGATCACTCAGAAGCCAGGTCGTTGTGACGGAAACCATTGTTCATGCCATTTCGCATGAGATGCGCAAATCCAGACTCTATCGATGCTCGTCCGATATATCCGAAGTCAATTTTTTTGTGCTGGATGTCCCTTCGTAATTCGGGCGACGCGAGTGGTTCACCAATCCAAAGACCCCGAATGCCCGAAAAGTGACGAAAATCGGAGGTTCAGGATCGGCTCCGGCACCCGTTGTGGTGGCGGATTAGTAAAAATGCCGCGCGCCGAGCGCCGTCCGCTGCGCTAAACGCCGAGGGGGAGAGGGACCGCGTTTGCATCATAGGTGCCCATCGCTCGCCTCTGGACTCTGAAATTATTCCCAGCTGCGCATCCACGACCAAACACCCGGACCCCCCAAACCAACAAAACTTCCCGCCACTGCACGAACAGTCACCGATATTTACCCCCAAGCGCACACGATGGCGACGGCGATACAAGCTCTCAAGGGCGATGCGCCCCAGCAGGTGCGGTCTCTGGTACGTCTGGCAAAATTTCGTAGCAGCCTCTCCCGGATGCCCATGCACGATGCACAAATCCCTTTTTTTCCCGCCGCAACGATTCCGGGAGGAGCATACCAAAGATTTTGAAGAGAATGAGATGGCGAGAGAGATCAGACTACTAACGAGGATCCGATGCGCAGTACCGCCAGCTTCTGAAGACGGGCGACCAGTTCGCCGCCTACAACTTCCGCGAGTACGCCAAGCGCCGGACGAGGGACGCCTTCCGCGAGAACCAGAACGTCGAGGATCCCCGGCGGGTGCAGGAGCTGATCCAGAAGGGATTGAACGAGCTTCAGATGTTGAAGGTTGGTACCTTCCTCACTCTTGCTTCTCTGCTGGGTTTGGAGCCGCCGACGACGAGCAGACGGGGGTGGCGGACTAAACACGGATGGCGATTGAACTTTGCGAGAGAAGCTCGGGGGGCTAACATTCGCGCGCAGAGACAAACAGTCGTCAGCCAGTTCTTCCAGTTCGACCGGTTAGTAGTCGAGGGCGGTGCCGCGGTAGGTTTATCCCAAAGCTCCGGAAGTAATGCGGTGGTGATGCTGATGGTTGCGCAGGGCAAGCAAAAGGGTAACAAGGGCGGTATTGTCAGACAAAAGGACCAGGGGTAAGACTTTGCGCACCCTCTCCAACAGCCCGTCACTTTGAGCCACAATACTGACAGTCTACGTACGTAGCTGGGACTAAAAGCGTATTAAACACCGTCGGAGATGTCGTCTTAATTCACGCCGAGCCATACCAAGATTCGGACGTTGTACTATATCACTTGTGGAAGAGAGGAGGGAGTGTACACCACCAACATGCTGTGCGGGGCCTAGAAGGGGGGCGGACCTTGGATTTCTCTGATGATGGGAAATGGGGAAGGAGGAAGGTTCCCAAGTGCAAAAGCCTCTACTCTGGGAGTATTTTATCTTTTGACCAGGGCTTTTTGGAGCATGTAGACATGGCAATGGAGTTTCAACGAGTGCTGCGTCTTACTCATTCTTCCGTTTCCAAAATGGATGGCTGCGTGATGTTGGTGACGGGATGACTTAGGGTGTTGGCGATGTTGCGAGAAACGGTGAGGCTTCTTGAACAAGACGTATAGCCGCCAGCGGGATGGTAAGAAGCGGAAACTTTCTTCGCGGTCAGGAAGTAATCAGCATGTGTACAGGATCCAATACAAGTTTTGCAAGCCCCTTCTTGTCATCTCGTATTCGGCCAGCTCTGGACTAATAAAGACTCTGAGCTTGCCTGTAGGCTTCTCACACAGCATACTCTGCGCCGTCCAACGTCGAAACGCCAATGACACAACTATATTGTAGTTTGGTCGTATATTCTAAGAGTTCAGATTACTGCAACGAAGACAGCGCGTGGGAAACTTAGACGAATGTACAGGTTTTGAGATCATCCAGTGTCTTAAGACTATTTTAGGGATGGAAAGGTAGTGTAACCAGATCCATCAAGAACAGCAGGATCCGCAAGATTGTCCAAACTCGTCACTCAATTCATTTTTACTCTCGCTATTATGTGCCTAACAGTTTTGTAGCAAAGGAAGTTGCATCGCTAACACTAGCGGGCAAGATGATTTGCGAGAGCGTTCGATGCGGCCAGACCGAGACCTCACCGCAACTCACCGAAAGCTTGGTCATGTGACCTGTCCCGTGATGTCAACGCGGTCGTTGTCTTTAGAGTTCGCGACAAGGCTAGGCCACGCAGTGGAGCCAATTCAGGCACTCTGGCTGCAGCTCAGCTTGTTCATCGACGATATACTCCAGAGCGCCTGCGCGTGCCGCATTGCTTCCATTCAATTAACGCCATAAATTGCATCATTTTCATCGCGACTCCCTCTGGTCGGCGCAAAAATCCTCAGCTCTTGTGACGAACGCTACCAAGCTCGGATTTGCCGAGTCCATTTGACCCTCTTCGCGCGCCTCGCGACAATCTCGATTTTCTTAGGCCTTTCGGCTGCCGTTGGATACCGTGACTATATACTGCCGTATTAGTGTTGAAAAATGGCTCCAGGTGTAAGTCCAATCTTTTGAGCAACCAATGCGTGCCTGCCCCATGATTTGCGACGCAAAGCAGCAGGGTCTAACACGTGTATCCCCGACAGACTCGACGCGCGAACCGCAGCGGGTACGCCGAACACGATGACTTCGAGGGCCTTCCCGTGCGCCAATGGCGACATGAGTGGGTGAGCGTCGAGCCACCCGCGCCCGCCGAAACGACGCAAAAGAACGACATCTGGGATGTTGAGCTCCCATGGGGCATGCCGAAAGACGCGGGCCTACTGCCTCAACACAGCCAGGACTTGCTGCGCGCGGCGAGATCAGGGGTCCTCTACAAGAGACCCGCGCCTGCGGAGGAGGAAGAGGCCGAAGCCGACGCCGTGGCAGAGAAGCCGGAGAAGAAGGAGGACGAGTCCAGCACCAAGGGCTTCCAGATCAAGGTGTGGAAGCAGATCAACCGCAACTCGGAGGGCTCCCCAGTCTCGCACCTCGCGAAGCGCAGGAAGGGCACGGTCACGATATCGTCCAAGACAGTCAGCAGTCATACGCCTGGCGCAACAGTGACCAAGGCCACTGTGCGGAGAGTCGATGCTGCTGGCAATCCGTACACGCAGGAGATCACGCTGCACGAGGGCCAGACGGTCGAGGGCGAGATCATCTCGACGACGGTCGTGCCAGTTGCAGCCGTCGACCCTACGCAAGCGCCTCCTCAGCGCGTGCGACGGCCGCCGCCGCCCAAGAAGAAGAACAAGCCCGGCCCGGGCCGTGGGCGCAAGAAGAAGATCCTGCCACTGCCTGCGCCGGCGCCTGGCGCGCCGGGTGCTGTGACTCCAGTAGAAGGAGCGCCCGTGGTTCCCAAGGTCGAGGGAGCTGATGGGGCAGAGACAGTAAGTTGATAGGATCCGCATTCGGAATTTCGCGACTAACTAGAGTTGCAGCCCGTCAAACAGGAGCGCGAGGATTCGAACAATCCCGATAGCGAGATGGCCGACAATGACGACGACGAGGGCGATGACGACGGCGACGAAGGCGATGAGGATGGCGACGAGGAACAGCGCGACGGCGAGAACATGGACAGCCAAGACCAAGAGATGACCGACGCCTCTCCCTCCGTGCCCACGCCGGCAGTTGACGCCTCGGCCGAACTGGCCGACCCCGAGTCCCCCGTAACGAAGCGAGCCGCGCCACCCGTGAACCCTATCAACCTCGTCCCTCTTCCGGCTATACATTTGGCGAACTCGTCACCCAAAGGCAGCCCTCTCAAGAACGTTGTTCTACCTTCTCCGACTGAGCCATCAACACAATTCTCCGCCATTGCAGAGGCGCTGGCTCCCACAAGCGAGCCAAAGGCTGAGCCCAGGAGCGAGTCTCAGCAGCCAGATGTACAGGCAGATGTGCAGGCAGATGTGCAGGCAGATGTGCAGGCAGACGTTTCCATGACCGATGGACCTGAAAACGTCACAGAAGCACCCGCGGAACTGTCGAATGCGACTGTACCCGATCAGCTCCCTCCCGTCGATACCACGACAGAAGCTGCCCAAGATGCATCGACATCTCTTCCTCCTGCTGACAAGGTCGGTGACATTGTCTCGCCGATGGCAGAGACCAGATCTACCTTTTCTCTCGCAACAACGGCCGAGACCGAGGCTTCAGGTACCAGGCTAGAAAGTGGAGACCAAACGGTTGCTTCGAACGAGGCACCGCAAGACGCCATGGTGTTGGACGTTCCTGAGGCGCCTGAAGCATCAGAGGCCCCCGCTGTTCCTGAGATTCCAGAGGTCATCTCGACTTCGGAAACAGCGCCCGCCGAGGAGCCATCAGCTCCTGTTGTTGAGGATGTCACGGAAAAGAAGGAGAACAGTCCCCCAGTTCCACCAACGAGCATCGAAGAGCCTTCTACTTCAGCGGCCGAGGAAGAGTTCGGCGCTTCAGTAGTCGAGGAGATGCCACCCGCGCCCGAGCAGCTCGCAGAAGCAATCAAGTCGCCAGTGAAATCTCCGCTGAAGTCACCTGTAGCTGCGTTAGAACCGCCAGCTCCTGTTGAACCTCCTGTGGTGGAACCGGCCGATGTTCCGCCCGAAATTCCAGTGGATGTTCCCGTAGAAGCACCAGCTGAAGTGTTCGTTGATGCGCCGGCAGCACCCGTTGATATTCCAGTCGAAGCACCTGTCGAGGCTCCCGCCGAAGCTCCTGTTGAGGCCCCCGCCGATGTGCCGATTGACGTTCCTGCCGAAGCCCCCGCCGAAATACCCACCGCTGAGCCCGAGGTAAACCCCTCAGCGCCTGCCGAAGTCTCGGTGCTACCCGAGGACGACGGCCCGGATCTGCTAGCCGGCTTGGAGACGGAGCTGGACCGCCAAGCTGAAATCAGCAAGTCCCAGCTTCCCGAGCCTCCCGCGGCCCCGCACCCGGAAGCGGCTGAGCTGCCCGAAATCGCCAACCCCGTGCCCTTGCCCGAGGTTCCAGCAATCGAGCCAGAGAAGCCTGCGGACGAGCCGATGGATGAGCCAATGGAGGAACAGAAGGAGGAGGCGGAGGAGCAGAACCGGGATCAGAACAAGACGCCTGAGCCTGTTACAGCTCACGAGCCCGAACCGGTTCCTGCTCCTGCGTCCACCGAGGCCGCAGACCCGGCGCCGGCTGCTGAGGCTCCCACGAGCGCGGAAACGGTGCCCAAGGATGAGGTGGAGAAGACGGAAGAGACAATGACCGATGCACCTGCGCCCGCGGCTGACGCCTAGTTGGCAGAGTTTAGGGGGGTTATCGAGAGCTATACTTGTTCGATGGTGTTGGGTGTCGTCAGTGTTTGAAGGCGCATGGAGTCTTCAGAGTGTACGTGTATGGAGTACTGTTAGATGTATGATTCTGCACATGGGATGCGCGCCAATGGAGGGGTGGTCCATATTCAATACCGCTGTCATGATTTCAAGATTGGCCACGTTGGTGTCTGACATGTTTGTTTCAAACAGCGGCCCATCTCATGCGCGTGACTTGCATGTAGACGTTGTTTTACACGAACGATTTACAGATATATGCTTTATGTACAGAGATTATCAACCTATTACATCCCCTGAACCTACCACTCCAGGACTATGCTGTCCCAGATGAAGCCCCTCCAGGTCGTGTTCCGCGTCAGCTGGAACGTTACCTCGTTCTCGCCCTGCTTCAGCAGCGCGCCGGGCACGGGGAACTGGAACAGCCTCCACTCGCCCGCCGCCGTCGCGCTGCGATACACCGACGGGTCGTTCAGCAGGCCCGACGTCGAGTCGGCCCCGACGGCGCCGCTCGTGAGGTTCCCGACCTGCTGCCCGTTGGCCAAGATGGTGCTGCTCGCGCCGGTCGAGTACCCAGCCAGCGAGACGACGAGGTTCGCCTTCTCGGGCGCCGGGGAGGGGATCTCCCCGATGCGGAAGCTGATGGTGTAGTTGCCCTTGTACGTCTGCCCGTAGCACCAGTCGCTGGGCTTGGAGCACCCCGCGCGGAAGACGATGTCGGCCGGGCAGGAGGCGATGATAGCGTGGCCAAAGTACGGGTCGCCGCCGTGCGCGAAGCCGAGCGAGGTGCGGTCAAAGTCGCCGACCTGGAAGAGCCGCTTGCGCTTCGAGACGGCCCAGTCGAGGGTCCCCAGGTCCGTGGTCTGGGCGTCGTCGACCTTGACGTCGTTGAAGATGATGTGCGTGGTGACGTCGGCGAGGGCGCCGCCGTTGGACCAGGCTTGCAGAGCGTAGCCGCTCGCGGCGGTGCGGACGTGCGGGATCTCGAAGGCGCCCTGGGCGTCAGCGTAGGTGGTGTAGTAGTAGTCGGAGCCCATGTCGAGGGCCGTCTTGTTGGGGTAGTTGTCGCCGAGGAATACGGCGGCGCCGGCGGCGGGGCGGCCGTCGGAGAGGAGGAGCTTGCCCTTCACGGTGCCGCGGGAGTGATAGGCGGCATCGTCGAGCCAGGGGTAGGGCCAGGCGGCGAACTCGGAGGCGGCGCGGGACTCGGCGTCAGATTTGGAGCCGTCGTTCTGAAAGGATGTCAGGGCGGTCCCGGGATGAGACGGAGGGTGGTTACTAAAGTACTCACCAGGTACCAGAGCCATGGGCCCCACATCTTGCCGTCGGGGAACACATCGACGGCAGAGACTTGGAAGTGAGTGCCGTGGATCATGTTGAGCTGGACGGCGTCACCCGTGGCGCTCTCACGATGGACCTGGACGTGTCAGTTGGAAGCCTAGGCAAACCGGGATGAGAGACCAAACGTACCATGAGCTCCTGCTTCAGGTGGTTGCCATTGTAGTAGTCCTTGCCGGCGTTGATGTACCAGCTGCCCACCTCGTCGCCGTAGACGCCGTAGTACTTCTGCGTGCGGATGAAGTCGGAAAAGTCGTACTTGGTGATGTACCCGGAGCCGTCAGGCGTGCGCCAGGTTTCGTCCTGAACCTTGTTCTCGGGCAGGTAGTCACTGAGCGGTGGCAGCGGCTTGTCGTGGAGATCCGTCTTGCCGTTTGGGAAGGTCGTGTTGTCGAGACGCCAGAGGGTGCGGAACTCGCCCAGCGTGGGCAAGTTGTGATTGACGAAGTACTGATAGGCGCCCGCGAGCCCCTGGAAGATGACCCAGTGGAAGTCACCGTCGACGGAGGTGAACTTTACGTCGATGAAGGGCTTGCCCTCGTAGTTGCCCTTCTTAACGATACTGGCCGAGGTCCAGGCGATATCGTTAGCGGCGCCGTCTGTGTGGTTGTCAGTGAAGGGAAGCGTCAGGTGCTGTTTGATCGGGGCGATTCCGTACTGTAGCTGACGTAGTGGCCAACGGCGTTCCCAACGAGGTCGCGGTCCTTGTAGTTGAGCTTCACGCCGTACCTGAGGCCTTGTGTCATGTTCCAGACATCGTTGCCAATGACCCACGTCTGGTTGTTGACCTGAGTGAGGAAGGGCTCTGCTTGGGTTGGTGCAGCAATGGTATTGGAGACGAGACCCCCGAGGGCGGCGGCGAAGAGATTACTTCTCATCATGGGCTTCAATGTCAAAAGTCGGAGACACAAAGACACACACACTGATCAGCCAGAGTCCGCGATCCCGCATTTTTCCAAAGATGGAGATGGCGAGCAACTAAATAACCCATTCGCGACTCAAGACCCTATGCTGGAGCCAACCCCGAATAAGCATTGAGCCGCGCAACCGGCACGCCGGCACCGTTCTTCTCCTCATTTTACCCCTCGTTGATGAATGGGTTCCTGGGGAGGCCTGGAGGAGCACATGGCTAAATAACTACTAGCTTCGGCTCGCATGCGCAAGTGACGATGGGGAGAAAGCGGTGTCGGTCCTCGAGGAGGGGAACGGACGTCAGCTGTCAAGGGACTGCCAGGTTCTCCGCAATGGAGCTGTTGAGCAGCGGCGAGCGGTGATAAGTGGGAAATTCAACAGAGCCCTCGTCCTCTCGGGAGAGCAGGAGATTAGGAGAGGTGAACAGAGCGCATCTAGCTTTTCGAGATTGCCAAGCAAACCCCGAAGTCTGGGGAAGCTGAGGAACTGGACAGTGTGGAGAATGGACTTGGGGCCAAGGATTGTCCCGACCTCGGGGTACTGAGCACCGAGGGTTGGGGTAGATGCGTCCGTTGACCTGCCCGAAATGCTCTTGTCCCACATGGTAGCCATCATTCGTTGTCATTCGGGCTGCCGGTAACCGGGCGAGTTGGAAACCGGGGGGTCTGGAAATTATGTGCCTGAATATGTTGCATTGCAGCGAGAAAGGAGAAACGCAGATAAACAAAGAGACGAGGCTTGACGTGTCGAGTTGGTGCACTTGTATCCTTTGTCCTATACACCTCCTGCTCAGACATATGCAAATACTTGCAACTTTGTGGATGCAAAACCTACAGGCAAAGCAAACAAAGAAAGACGACAACGTCAATGTCCGAACCTGAGATGCCAAAGAAAATAGCTTGGCGGGTTGTTGCGATAACCACTCTGTGGCATTGCAGTTTTCAACTGTTGACAGGGGATGCGACGGAAGAGGAACAGATAAGAAGGTACCAGCCACGCACTAGCCGCACAGACTAGACCGGTTGCATCCCAGCCCAGAAGCGAGCACGTCCAGGTGAAGTGGGAAAAGTAGTGGCGGGCTGATGGGAAATCGATGAATGAGTTTGACGAGGGAGAAAACAAAGGCGGAGGAGGTGACATCAGGCAGGAATGGTGCAAGGCAGCGATTCCTGCGTTCCATATGCCTCGAGGTTTCCTTTTCCAGCGCACTTAGGTAATCGGATCTCTCTGTCTCTAGTTGGGCTGGTCCTCCTTGGCGAGGGAGGCATCAAATCCAGAGCCGGAAGAACTGGGCTCACCCATCAATTCTCCAAGACACTTGACCGTTGTTACAGTCGTTTTCTCCCTTTCTTGGTCCGACATCTGGAATCTTTTCTAAGTTTCTCATGGGGTTTTCTGATAGTTTGAACGGCCATCGCTACGCAGCGTGGCTCGTCTGCCCAAGTAGCACGGTGCCAAGATCGACGATCAAACAGCAAGCATCTGACCATCACATCTCACAAAATCCTCAAGCCCAGACGGCGCACAGAGGACCCTTACGCCTGGGTAGAGCACCGTCCCTATCGGTCTCGATGTCTCACGGCACGCCAACTGGATCAGATGGATCCCGAGCCGGGGCCAAGGGAAAAAGAAAGTGCCAAGTCCGCGAATGACCGGATACTCAACGGCTCGTCTAATGGCAACGACCGACTACTTACTATGTAGTATGCTTTCGGCGCCCGGGTGGCCAAGATGGGCAGACACACGGCCAGGTGGTCGACCGCCTTGACACCGCGTTGTCAAAACCACAGGCCCAACACTATCGATGGACTTTCTGACGGCGGGTTGATATGCACACAATGATACCCACAGTCGTTTAGCAAGCCCCTCACGCCGCCAAGCCAGCCCTGTCCTGTCTCAAGGTCCGCGGAATGGCCCAGCAGCTACGACAAAAGAGAGTTGTGTCTTAGCTAGCGGCAAGACGGTCCCTGCAGGGGAAGACGGCTGGCGCACCATCCGCACTCTGCTCAACTGGACCGACCGAGAGGCTGTGGTAACCAATCGTCTGTAAACAGGACCAAGCGTATGGCCCGATCGCATTGAGGGCAATATAGCGTTAATTTCTCGGCAAGGACATGCCTACGGACGAACGCCTCAGTTCGATTCGACGACATCTGGACTGGCACTGCGGATGCGGATGCGGACGGGGGATCAGGGCGGCGCGCCGGCCGACCTGCCGAGAATAAAGAAACAGGAAGGTGCCTGTAAACGAGTGCGCAGGACATTGATCAACCCTTTGCGATCCCGATCCGTGATCTCGCGTTCCCGGCTGGCCCCCATCCGACGCTACATTGCGGCCGCGGGTGATTCCTCAGTCGGAGGTGTTTTCCTAACCAGACTTGTCTCCGCATGACGTTAATCAAGCTTCGTCGAAACTGACTCGCGAGACATGGCGCGGCGCTGTTCTCTCCTCTCTCTCAATACGCCCGTCGCGCCTTATCCCAGTCCCTGCGTCACACGAGAGGCAACAAGCTAAACCCTTGGCCGCCTCGACTCCCGCGCGATATCAAATGTCTCTTCGGAAGCAAGACCCCGCCACTGCCGTGGTCTCGACGCACCGTTTCCTTGAGATGTGGAGCATGCAACAATGCCTTCATCCCACTCTCCCTCCCGCCCCCCCTGTTCCGACCCCCAATTCAACACACACTGTTGGTCTGTGCAAGACTCAAAGAATCGGAGACGCATGGTCCACCTCCTTGTGAGCTTGGCATCTCCCTTGATATTACACGTGGATACCGAGCTCGCCAACTCATCCACCATTCTGCAGTCTTCAAGCCTGACAGCTGCCGAATTCGTGCGCCCCCCCCCCTTCTCCAATTCTTTCTGGCAGTTGGTCTCGCTTCGCCCCCAGCTCACATACTTGTAGATTCCGTCAAGACGCACAAAGTAACGCTTCCCTGGAGTTGGGGTCCGTTTGACGCCATCGAATTCGCGGCAGACCAAGTGCCGATCGTTGACGCGCCTTGAGCTCGCAGCCGGTAAACTCTAAACCCACGCTTGAACCCTTCAGGGGGCCAAAAAGTCCTCGAGCCTAACAGTTTGGGCTCTCAATATAGGTCGTCCAAACCTACGCTGGATTACCGTCTGTGTGGATATACCCGCTCTAGTGCGTCCTCTTCGACATTTGGAATGCCGTTGACGCCTCAAATTCATCGTCCGCCCTCCTCTTCCCACCACTACGGGCTTGTCTCCTGCAGCCTATAGTCCTCAGCTGTCCCCACGTCCTGTCAAACAGCCCCGGGTTCCGGAGCTGCTGTTGGTTTGGGTTGCTTCTTCGTCTGCCGTCTCCGTTCTCCGCGAATCCTTCGCGCCAATCTCCAGGTTCCCGTTCCCGTTCCCACCCATCGCAAAAATCAGTTCCACATCCCCCCGCTGCTTCGGTCCGCCTGTTTGCCCAGCACTGTTTACACGTAGTCGCCCGCCGACAAGCAGACTGTGAAGCTGGGCCTAGGCGTCTCGATGCACCATGGACCACGATGAAGACGCCAAGCCAAACATGATGGCATTAGACATGAACTCTAATATGAGCGCTACCGGAAGCGTGAGGAGCGAGTCTCTCGGCGCGTTCGACCCCGTCACGCAGCAGAACGGGTCAAAACCGCCCATCAAGCGCAGAGCCCCAATTGCCTGTCGAAGGTTTGTCCCATATATCCGCCACTGGGCGAGCCCATGACTCGACGAGCTAAACATGGACCAGATGTCGTCGCATGAGGAGCAAATGCATGCACGATAAGGCAAAGCCGCCGTGTAAATCTTGCGCGGAAGCTGGCATACCGGCGAGTGAATGGTACGGACAGCATCGATCCATCTCCTCGGCCGAGTCTCGAAGCTAACGGACGGCAGCATCTTCCCCCAACGTGGTCAACCGGATCTGGATCGTGAGTATCGACACCCTCGCATGAGAGCTGAGAAGACTGCCAAGCGAGAAGCCGACAAGGCAAAGCGCAGCGCGTCCGTCGCGTCCGTCCCGCGGGGGCCATCCGCGCCAGCACTTCGGAAACCTGCAGACGAATGGGAGTTCCTCCCGCCGCTTCCTGAGATAATCGACGCTGTCCACATATTCACGCGCAAGTACTTTCAGCTAGGCTTCATCCCGAAGGAGCTATTTCCACTACAGCTTCAGCGAGACCACCGCTCCGTCAGCGTCTTTCTCCTGCTCGGCATTCTCAGTGTCTCTGCCCGCTTCTCGCCGGCCTTGGCCCACAGGTACCAAGGGGAAATGAAGGCCGTCGATTACTTCATGGAGCGAGCCAGTACCATGGCGTTGGACGAGTTGTATCAGGAACCTACGCTAGAGCGTTGTCAGGGCTTCTATCTACTGAGCCTTGCCCAGCAAGGGAGTGGGTGGAGAAACCGGAGCTATGTAGGTCACCTGAGATGGAGGTGCAGAAATCGGGCTGACGCTTTGCAGATCAATATCGGCATTGCTACTAGGATGGCCGTGTTGATGCATCTGCATCGCGAGGAGTTCTACAAGATGAAAAACCCTACTAGAGAAATGATTATCAGGGCGGAATCGGCACGGAGAACTTTGGTGAGTCCAGGGACCAGAAACAAGGGAAAGGGACCATGCTAACAACCCTTAGTGGATGTTACACAGTTCGTAACCAGTATCATATGCGCAAGGCGCCTGCTAACCGCATCACAGGCCAAGACAACCTTCATTGCGGTGCCCTCTCGCCGGTTTCTCTCGCCGCGAACGACATCACGGCGCTGCTTCCTAGCAATGAGGAGGACTTTGCCTACGGTCGCGAGCCGCTGTCCCGCGCAGCCCTCGAAGACACACCGCCAGCGCGCGAGAATCCGTCCCTGATCCATCAGCCGTCCCGGTCTCTATTTGCGAGCCTGATGCAGGCACACTACTATTGGGGCAAGGTCGCCCGCAGGGCAATGGCAACCATGAAAAGCGCCAAGCCGTGGGATCCGACGAGCGAGTACGCGATCATGGCGAAACAACTAATGAACTGGGAACAACAGCTTCCGCAAGACCATCGGTGGAGCATGGTCCTGCTCAAGGGGCATAAGTCGGTTGGCGAAGATTTGGTAGGTTTGGCGTCTGGAGGCAGGCTGGAGCAGGCTAACGACCGTAGGCTTATTTGGGAGTTACCATGATCACAAAGCTCTGCAACATCGTACTGAGAAGGGCGTATCTGGACAAGTTCGTGTGCACTCGTCCTGTATCTTTGTACAAGCTCTAACCGAAGTAGTATCATCAAGACGGACGAAAAGGACCCCCAGCGCCGAGCATTCTTCGCCCATATGTCCGACGACTTATTCCGCAACGTACGGGAACTGTACGAGCAGGTTGACGCCCAGTTCAGTGTGCGTTCATCGGAGGAGGGCGTCGGGGCTCAGATGGCATCGTTCTGCGTCTACAGCTGTGGCCTCTTCTCTACCTATCTGGTTAAGTACAGGAATAGTGAGCAGCCCGTTGTCAAGCAAGTGTGAAACCCCAGCTAACGAGCCTAGTCTGCTCGGACAAGTCCATCGTCGCGCAAGCCCCGAACATGCTTCAACGCTGCATGTCCATACTCATTGAGTCTAAGCAGACCTGGCCCTTGGCCTCGCGCTGGCTTGAATCCTTGGAGCGTTTCTCGCGTGATCCCAAAGCAGCCGCCTTCAGCCTCGAAGGCAGCATGGCCGATGGCGTATGTTTGACTGGGACATCCATGCCCACGCGCATCACGAATGCTAACCATCTTGTCCAGAACGACCGCACCCTCCGCCCGCTGCACCCATCGCCTTCAAACTTCACAAAGGGCCCACGCGTAGAAGCACCGAAGTATCAGCTTCCCGGCCCGCCGGCAACGCCCTTGGACGAGAAGAAGCCGCCACCGCCGTCGCTACGAAACAACAGCACCAGCAGCAGTACATCCAACATTCTTCCTCCCCCGAGCCCGTCGCCGAGTATACAACAGCAGCAGATGCACCAGCAGATGCAGCAACAGAACAACGTCCCGTTCCCACTCCCGCCGCTCATAAACACGCATCAGCAGCCGCAACTTCTTCATCAACCCCATCAACAGCCACAGCACCATCAACACTCGCCACAACACCAAACCCTCTCTCCTCACCAGCACCAGCACCAGCACCCTCAGCACCAGCACCAGCACCAGCAACTACATCATCCACCGCAACACCACCAACAGCAGCAACGCCCGCAACAACCACCAACACCCCAACCTCAAATGCAACAAGTACCTCCCGAAATGCAGCACCACTTCTCGTCTCCCCTATACTCCCAGGCTCCACCACCATACAGCCCGAGCAACGGCATGGGCATGCTTGTGCAGGCCGCCACCTTCGACGCGACAAATCCTATCATGGGCGCCCCGCCGTCGACAAACCCGTACGACCCGACGGCCGCGGCCGCTGTGGCCGCTTTCTACAACTCGCCGGGGGCTGCGTCCATCGTCCTCGGCCCGGGCACCGACGGTTTCGAGTGCGAGCTGCAAAGCTGGTTCGACGGCTCGGCCCCCGTCCAGGCGACGAGCTGGATCGGCAACGGCGCCGCAGGCCTCGGGTGGTTCGGATCCACTACGCCTTCGTAATGACATCTGTACCGGACGGGTCATGTATTCTTTATTTTCGGGAGGGGACCTCTGGTTTTTTTTTTCTTTCATCGTTGAAAACCAGCAGCCCATGCGACTAGAATCAGCACGGGGCTCCTCATTTATCTACACGTAGACTTTCAAACTGTATGAAGACGGGGCGAGGGGTCAAGGAACCAAGGCGGCTCGTTCTTTTCACGCATCTTTTGCGGGATATCAGCAGACAGATGCAGGCAGGCAGGCGTTGGGTCACTTAGACTCTTTTTCTTTCTCTTTCGGCAGGATAGGCCTAGGGAATCCAAGGGGCCGAGTGTTTCTTCTTCTTTTGTCTTTTCTTCTTCCTTGTATAGCCTTGCGTTCCTACTAGAGACCTAGATACCAAAGTGATTCTGTTCTTTATTTCCCAACGATGAGCCTACACCATGCCGCGCGGTCTGATGGACTCGATGAACCCTCAGCCAGAGTCTTGGGGGTGCAATAAGTGCTAGAGATATCCCAATGCGCCCACAACTAGATTATTGGAATGGAAATGAGGGGAAGAATACAGGACACATCCGATATCGATGTCACGGTCCATACGTCTACTTCGTTGCCATGTCAGAGAATAAATAGGCATGCCAGCCCGCTTCAGCCTTGTTGGATGAGAAGGCGCGTGTAAAAAGGCGCTGGGGGGGGCAGCAGACAGGATACATCTCGGAAGCCAACGCCGACTACTTCGTGAATTAGACCAAACACCCCTCCAGGGCGTTGGCGGCAGTCACCAAATGATCACTGGGTCTGGCATCACGTCTTATCACAACGCCACAAACACGAGAGTCACGCAGTCCATCAGATGAAGGGGGCAAAATTCCATTGAACGCTCTCTCCTACGACTATCGAGCAGTGCTAGACAGAGACCACTTGGTCCCGTCGCCGTGCTTTGCTTTGCGTCGCCTGTGTCTTCCTCTGCTGGTTTCTTTCTACTCTCCTCACTGCGCCTACACTCTCCTGATCGGCCCATTTCGCAAGGCCTTTTCCTCTCCATCCCACCCACGGCGCGCGAAAGCATCGTTTCTGATGAAAGACACTCCGACGAAATCGCATCCAAGCATGGCCTAGAGAAACGTCTCCCGACCGGGGGGACGAAGACTCCTCCTTTCCTGATGGACCTGATCACTTGACCAGGTTCACTTCTTCCAAGAAAGGACGCGGCCGACTCCGAAATGTGTGTGTATTGACGTTGTTCGTGTCCCCGTCTCTCATTGTTCTCATTTCCCCGTCGGAAAGATGAAATAGCAAACTCCCGGTTCCTTCTGAGGGAAACTCCTTCTACATGATTTTTGGGTCGCCACCGCGCTTTCTATGCGAGGCGTACATGACAATGAGGACTCCTGCATTCTCTCTCTAAACCAGCCATCCGTCGCGAAAATCAAAGTCCAGAAGATACAGCCAAGGGGGGGGGGGGGGGGGGGGTGTTGGGATTGGGGGGATTGAATCAGGGTGTAGTGTCATGAAGTGATGTGGTGTGTGCTGGCAAGGGGTATTTGGGTGAAATTAGTCCTGGGGTTGGTGCAAAGGTGTCTATATACACAAGAGAGGACCCTGTGTCATTCGATGCTGTGTTGTGGCAAGAGTTTGGGATGTTGGCTGTTCTCTCTCCTCAGTTTGACGCAGATCCGGGCTTCGACACGTTGAAGCCGGCTGCTCCAGGATATGTGCTGGGCTTGGGGGATGGGTGTGGTGTAGATAATCAAACAAGTCGAAAAACAGCGTCGTGTTCTCGAGGCGCTCAAGTCTGCGACATGACGTTGGCGGAGCCGCCAAGCTGACGCTTGACCTGCTCACGAGCCCAGCGGGCAGTCTCGATGGTCCTGGGCTGGAACTCGCGGTTGGTCTTCGTCTCCTTGATGAGAGCGGTGAGCCACTCTTGGCGGAAGACATCGACAAGCTCGCCGTTAGGGTAGGCATCGGCGAGATCACCAATGACACCCATGGAAGCCCTCATGAGGGCCTCGCTGCGGTTCATGTCGCTGGCGATCATGTTCAGCAGCTGGAAGATCGAAGGCACGTACTGCTGGAGAGCAGGAGCTGCGAAGGTGTTAGCGAAGGTTTTTATGAATCAAGATGATGCACATACTCTTGTTGCCAGACTTCATGGCACCAATAATGCCACCCCAGGCGTCCATGATTCCCTCGCGAAGAGAGATCACGTAGTCGTACATCTCGTAGGGGCCCTCGGGACCGGCGTTCACCGTCGCCGCTTGCTGCAACACTTGGGCGATGACGGACAAGTAGGTCTCAAAGTGGCCACCGATGGCACCGGCAATGTCACCGAAGCACTGCAGGATCGCCGGCTTGAACTGGTTGCTCAAGGCAGTGCTCTACGAGTATTGTTAGTAAATGCATCAACACGCACGGGAGACGGCGAGCTGTAGTCATGTCGACAGTAGCGACAAATACAAGGATACAGACAGAAACGAAACGGCAGAAGGGATGGACGGGCCAGGGGATGTAACTAACCTTGAGGTTGTGCAGCAGGTGGTTCATGAAGTTGTCGCAGTACGGCTGGCTGCGCTCGCCAAGGGATCGGGTCAGGTCACTGACAAGACCAATGGCCATGGCACACAGGCCGGGCTCCTCCTGGTTAGAGAGGGCGTTGTACAGGAAGGGAGTGAAGGCCTCCATGTACTTGGAGAAGTCCTCCTCCATGGCATTGGCAAGGGCGCTGATGGTAGCGAAGACTCCGTCGGGCACGCTGGACTTGTTGCCAACAGTGCTGAGGATCTGAAGGAGAGTCTGCATGATGCGGTCGCCCTGGGGAATGATCTCCTTGTCCAATCTTTGGACAATGGCCTGGAGCACTGTGCACAAGCTAGTCTGCATCTCCTCCAGCATGATTTTGTCCTCGACGCTAACAACCTGGCTCTGCATGGGGATGGTGCCCTCCAGACGCTCGATGATTACACCAGACAAGGAAGCGATGGGCGCCATGCTCTCGCTGGCGGCGTTCTGCACGAAGACGTTGAGGACTTCGTAGGCGGCGGTACGAACGTAGGAATCGCAGTCGGGGCGGGCCGTCAGAGCAAGCAGGTTGGTGACGCTCTGGTTGAAATGGGGGGTCAGAGGGTTCTGGGCGGCGCTGAGGTCGCCGGAGAAGCGCTCGGCCAAGTTCATGAGGGCCCAGCAGCACGAAGATGCTATCTTGGCGTTGCTCATGAGTCCGTTGAACAGAGAGCGGATGAGAGGGTCGAGGTGCTGGTTGGGATCAATGCTGTCGGAAACGCTCTCGGTGATGCGGCCAAGGGCATAGGCAGTCGAGTCCTTGACTTGCAGGGAGCTGTCGTCCATCATGCCGATAAGGATAGGAAGAGCCTGCTTAACGATGGGGTCAAGGACCTTCTCATCGGGGCCGTCCATGATGGCGCCGAAAGCAGAAACGGCGGCATCACGGTGGTGCCAGTCTTCGGCACGCAGGTTGCCCTCAACGAACTGGAGGACGGGGCTAATGATGGCAGCACCGATAGCCTGGGCGTAGAGAGCGAGACACTGGTAGGCGGCGCGGGCCAAGTTGTACTCGTCGTCAGCCGCATCCTCGTCCTGCTTGGTGAGGAGCAGAAGGAGAACGGGCACAACTTCGTTGGCAGCTACGCGAGCGAAGTTGTAGAAGGGGCGCATCTGGTCGGCACTCTCAACCTGGAAAGGGAAGGTTAGCAATTGTTGCTAGGCAAGGAGATCCTGGTCAACCATACCTGAGCGTTGTCGTCCTCGATGCCAATCTCCTCCTCGCAAACGGTGCTCCAGAACTCGACGGCGAGCTTGGCAACGTCCTCATCCGAAGACTTCATGCCCAAGATGGTCAGACCAAACAGGGCCTTCTCCATGTAGAAGCGCATGTTGTCGTAGTAGAGACCCATGATGCGGTTCAGGCATCCAAAGGCGCCCTGCTGTATCCGAGAGTCATCGGCCTGGGTGGCCTCACAGACAACCTGCATGATGTAGTTGCGCTCGCCCTCGTGCTTGAAGTTGTTACCGACGAACTCGAGGGAGTCACCGAGAGCCGTGATGGCGGCCAGGCGGACCTCGAGGCTCGTCTCCTCCTTGCGGGCACCCTGGACGACGGCAGTCAGGATGGCGTTGGAGTGGGCGATCAAGGCAGTTCGCAGATCGGGATCTTGACTCTCGCAGATGTAGCCGATCGTGGTCAACGAGGCTTGTTTCTGGTGCTCGCCACCCTCGCTGACGTTCTTGACGAGGATGCCCATGAGGTCCTGCCACTGGCCCCTCGGCAACTCGATGGAAGCGATGGAGGAGATGACCTGGGCGGCAGCCTGTCCGGCCTGTGCGTTGGACGAGGAAAGGGTTTGCAGGGTCAGGTCCTTGACCCGGGTCTTGGTCTCGTCATCGGTCTGCTGGAGCCATTTTGCCTGGAGCTCCTGGTGGCGGCTGAAGTCACGGGCGGTGAAGGCGTTCTTGAGGGCGAGACCGGCGGCAGCACGGATGGAACCATCGGCGCTGTCGTTTGCAAGCTCTTGGACGAGGGTTGCGAGGTATAGGGGCTGTTGGGAAAAGTTGGTTAGCAAATTTGCCGGCGGCGGTGGGGGGAGAAGACTCGGCGTCCAAAAGTGGGCGGGCACGTACGAAGTTGTTGTCGGCGGCTTGTGTGAGTTGCTGCTCGGCAGCGTTGCGCAAGTTCGCGTCTGGTCAGATTGTTAGCCTCGTCTTCTTCGCTCGGGTGGTGGTCGTGATGCGCGTGGGAAGGACAGAACGCCTAGGCAGGGCAGGGTCTATCTCAATGCTTGGCGACCATGGAGGAACAGGAGAGGGGAGGGGGAGGGGGTTTGGTTGATGGTGGATGTGCTCTGAAGCAAAGGCAAAGTCGTGATGGGGATGCAAAACTTACCAGGTGACAGCGAATTGGCCAAAACCTGGTTGATCTCTGAGCCCGACATGTTTGCCGCTCAAAATGTGGTGTTTGGTATGTAGAAGGTAAGGCTGAGCCAGTGCCGATGTTTGGAGGTGTTGTTCGGAGGGGGGGGGGCTCGTTGACAGGTTGGTTGCACGTGTCAGGTGGAGGAAAGGGTTCGAGGCACAGCACCTAAGGACAGAGCAGCAGCACGGCGGGCGACGCGGGGGTGCTTTGTGCGGCGGCGGCGGTCTAGACAACAGGTTCAGAGTTTGGCGCGGTGTGTGTGAAGCGGGCGCCAGGGGGGTCGGCAATCGACAGCGAGCGAGTGCGGTTGAGAGAATGAGGAAAGTTGACCGAGCTGGCGGGAGAGGGAGGAAGGTAGAGATGGGTAGGATCGCTCTGGAATCCGTATTAAAATGATGCGCCAAAGACGAGGCTTGTGAGGAAAGTCTGGAGAGAATTAGAGGGCGTACCGTAAGGAAAAGATGGCCGTAATAACAACAGACGGAAGAGTGTGTGTGGGAGGAGAGTGAGTATTTTTTTTCTCGTCCCTTTGGGTTTGGTGAAAGGGAAGGAAAAAATAGGAGCGGGACCTGGAGAGGTTGTTGACGATCAGAGTGCAGGTGCAGAGCTGTGTGCTATGCCCAGTGTCCTATCTTCTGAGGTACCCGGCCTGAGGCGAGATGAGCAGCGTCGTGGTGAGTGAGGAGGTGTGTGTGCACTGTAACGGACAGGGACGCAGAGGGACACGGGGAGGGGGGAGAGAGACGACGGCGACAGCGGGAATGGCAGAGACAGTGGCAGAGGGCAGTGGGAGTTCCGGCTTCTCCAGGTGGTGCAACAAGCTGGAACACTGGACCAGTGGAGGTTCAGTCGTCAGTCAGTGTTGGAAACGTCCAGGTTGCGGTGCTGAGAATGCCAGGTATTCCTGCTTCTATTTTGGCACGGGAGGTACGCCGAGCTTGACTACAGTGCGACGTATGGTTCGCAAAGGATCCCTCAGCTCAGGTTTTGACGCAAACCGCCACTTTCAACAGGCCGACGGGGTGAAAGTGGGCAACCGAAGAGAAGAAGAAAAAAAAAAAGGGCGTTTAATGAGTGTGGGGAAGGAGAGAGCGCCTGATGCAAAAAACCGAGGAGGGGTTGTTTCCGCGTGCTTCTAGCTTGGACTCTCCTGCACTCTGAGGACGCTCTCTGGGAGACCCTGGATTGGTTGAAGTCACATAGGTAAGGGCGACGGGATGTCTTCAACGTCAAGAATGCGAAGCGTCTGTTTGGATTCCCTCTCTTTGCTTTCCTGTTCCTTGCCAAAGACTTGAGACGGGTTTCTGGTCCAACAAGCAGAGAGACGATCTGTATGGGTGACTGATAGACAGGCTGAGTGACTGACTGAGATGATATGAACCAACCGAGGGCGGGGAAACTAAATCAAAATACTGGATGCGGGAGCATGTTTTTTTCCTTTCCTAAAGCGGCATCCATTGGCACAGTGCCCGCCCGGTCGCCAATCGCCGGTTGCCTGTACGTACCGACTGCTGCCTAAGACCTGACTTCAGTTAGGCAGCCATCAATGAGTACTCAGACACACACCTTGCACACGCGTGAATCAGGAGTACCTCCAGCTTTCCTCCTATTCCACCATCCGTATCTGCCCCTCCCTACCCGCATTCGTGAGTAACCCCACACAAAGGAGGGAGGGGACTCGCATTGGGTGTCAGGGCTGCAGCTTGCGCCTGCGTTGCCGGGCTGCCTGCTGGAGCCTTTTTGTTGTTTTATTTTTCCCTCTTGGTTTACATTGTGCCAGAATGAGGACTCAGAAATGATGCATGCCATGCATAAACTAAAACCGCAATGTACTTATCCGCGGCCTCAAACCTTCTCCTTTCAGGAACACGCAATCTAAACATTTTCCCCTCGTTGGTTCGAGGAGGCGGGCCGCGACCCAACTCACGCACTTGTGCGTCGGCCCATGCTCCGTCCCCTCAAGCCGTCCGGGACCTTGAGACGACGGCTTGGGTTTTCTTACCGAACCCAAATTTTGCAAGTGCGTAAGGCTACCCGCCTTATGTCGGCGTTCTATGAAGAGGGGTTTGGCTTGGGTGGATGGCAGCGCCAGAACCCTCGAGTCATGCTTCAGACGTCATTCCACCCAGGCACCTGGGATCCGAGCGCTCGCCTGCCTTGGCCGCCTGGTGTGTCATTTGGGAACACGATGCTGGTGTACGGTGGACACCAACAACGAGCAAACGACGGCTGACCTAGACACGATGCAAAGCCGATGGCAGTGACTTTTGATTGCACGAGAAGGCCCTTCAATTGAAAATCAACGAGGTTCCCAACTCGATGTCGTTTGAATGCAGCGAACCATGCGAAGTGACCCCCAGTCTGAGTGAAATCACAGGTACCATGCCCCAACGCCGAAGATTTCGAAAACGACAAACTCAGAGTCAGCCATCCGCTTAAAAAACCCCTGCCATATGCCCAAACAAGAGACAAGCTCAACATTATATGGCTTTAGAGCATGGCTATGTGACTAGTCACCAATCGGCCCTTGGGCTCATATCGATGCTGAAGATGTCGGAAATCGAGGTTTACCGAAGGAGTGCACAATATTCACAACTACCTTGTAGCCATGTATCTTTTCAAAATACCTATCGTCTCGGGCCGTACCGTAGTAAAGCCTCCACCTCACGTCTGAATCAATCGACACCTTCACCGATCGCCAGTTGGCCCTCACTCTGAGCAAAGACATGCGGAGGGTGGTAGCAGATGGAGCGAAGGCGATGGTCAGGGCTATGACGGCGTCAACGGTGGGAGCCGAGACTTCGCGTCCATCAGCGACATCGTGCGTCTATCTCAACCCTTCTAGACTTTAGGACGGGAGCTTTGAACTGTTCATTGCCCCCATCTTGCAAGACTGCATCAGACCGTTTCGCACGCTGGACATAGCTTGTGAGTAAGGCGTGGCCTAGAAAGCCAGAATATGGAGAGATCCGGGCCTGAAACACCCCTTTCTACCTGGTTTCTGTAGACTTCTAATGTTAGGCCACTGCTTGTGAGAGGAACTGAGACGTCGACCGATATCTTATTTCACATAGTTCACAGTATATATTTTACCTTGTCATATGTCATCGTCTCCCAACCTCGAGCAGGCTGGATCTGCGCACCGCTTAGCAGCAGGAAAGCCATTCCGCACCATGTTCCTAGAGATTGTAAGCAAACTAGACTGTCAGGCATGCGGCTCTACTGAATCAAGTAACAAATGCAGGCCCGCAGCAGGTTACGAATGGGTTGGCCACCTTACTCGAGATCGATTGGTACGACTAGGCGTGCCCGAGACAGTGCAGTTGCCCGAGAGTGGCCGAGGCTGACAAGAGAGTAACAAGGAGCAGCATTGAGCGAGCGCATATCTCATCTCAGCAGTGGTATGAGAGATCTTTTAAAGCTCGATCCAAGTATGTGGATGTCTCGATAACCGCATCGCGTGCTGAGGAAGTCTCTCGCTCAGCAAAATGAACCATCTGAGGCTTCAACCGGGACGTTATAGTCGCTGACGGTCTCTCTTCCTGTTAGATGCTTCATGTCATTTTTTCAAATTGGTTTAACCTGACTTCAAAACAAACTCAGTCACATGCAAGACGCTCCGCATTGGGTAACCACAAGTTAGCTCTTGTTCCACTGCTACTAAAGACAATAGGAATGGGCCGATACTCGATCTCGAGACCAACGCAACCTCTCACCCAGGCATTCCCACCACTTGATGTAGTGAACCAAGAGCACAAGTGAGCTAAATCCTGCCCCAAGTGTGTACAAGGGCCAAATAAACACGTGGAAAGACTGGTAGCCCCAACGGAGCCCCGAGCTGTTAAAATGGGCGTAGGAGACGTCCCGGCATGCCAGACCCCGCCCCTGGGCGATCTGGTTTGGTTCATCACCTCAGAACTGTAGGTATAAGGGCTCGGGAGCAGAGCTGAGGCTGAGAGGAGATGCTCTTCCCATCACGGACTTACGCATGGCTCTTGCGTGTGTAAGCATGACTGCGGATCTTGCTCGCCACCGGAAAGCTGCGAAGAAGATTCCCAAGCACACCCTGACAACGCTCAGCGTGGTCGCCAGAAGCTGCTGGGTGTATCTAGGCAGCTAGCACAAGCGAGCCATCAGCCGATATATACGTCAGCTCTCCGATGCCAATGCACGTGTCTTCTTCCACAAGGGCTTGTATCCCCTCTGCCAGCTATCTCGTCTTACACAACGAGGTGTCACAACGTGGTCTTTACAAATTTCCATTCATTCGTTGGTAAGAGCTATTCCCGATACAAGGAAAATGCCTCGTGACCCATGCTGCTACACCGCCGACAGATGACGAAAACCCCCGTCAGCCGTGCCGGCCATCTGCTTTTGATCTTTTCCCCCTCCAGATGCATTTTCGAACCAAACTTTTTCATTTCCTTGAATGCGTATAAAAAGAAAGCCATGCCACACCTCGCTTGAGACTCGAACACTCCCCACCTTACATGCCGTTCGCCTTCTCCTCGAGAACCGAGACGACGCTCGGCGTCTCTTGCGACGCGCCGTTCGTTCCATTCGCAGAGTCAAGGTCCAGCTCTTTGCTCATAGATCTTGTGGGAATGGGCTTGGCGAAGATGGGGCTGCCCGGGCGGCTGCCGACGAACTGTGGCACTCCGTGTTAGCAAGAGACAGAGACGTTCATTGTGGTCAGGGTAGAGGCACTCACGTTGCTGGCGGCGCTCAACAGGGCGATCAGAGAACTCTGCACCACGTCCTCGTGGATACCGATACCCCAGTATCTCTGCTTGGTGCCCGTGGCCGTGCACTCAATGTAGGTGGCGGCCTTGACGTCGCGGCCGGCGCCAATGGCGTGCTCCTTGTAGTCCTCGACGTCGAGGGTGACGCCGACGCTCTTGAGGGCGTTGGCCAAGCTGGAAATGGGACCGTTGCCGCGGCCGCGCAGGTTGTACTCCTTGCCGTCGATGGAGACGACGCCATCGAACACTCTCTTGAGGTTCTTGGTGTCCTGCGTCTTGCCGGGCTGGGGAGGCGCGGGCGACTGCGAGCGGTCGGGCGTGATGCTGTAGTCGACAATGGTGAAGCGCGGGTTGTCGCGGAGGTAGTAGGTGGACTCGAAGAGGTCCGTGATCTCGTCCGAGAGGAGCTCGCGGCCGAGCTGGTCGGCCTTGTCCTGCACGACCTTGGAGAAAGCAACCTGCAGGCCGCGGGGAGGTCGAGCTGGAGCTTGCGCAGGATAATCCAAGCGGCGCCGCCCTTGCCGCTCTGGGAGTTGACGCGGATGATGGCCTCGTAGGTGCGGCCGATGTCGGTGGGGTCGAGGGGCAGGTAGGGGATCTGCCAGTACTCGTCGCTGGACTTGACGGTCTGGTCGCGGACCTGGAAACCCTTCTTGATGGCGTCCTGGTGGGACCCAGAGAAGGCGCAGACGACGAGGGAGCCGCCGTAGGGGGCGCGGGGGTGGACAGGGATCTTGTTGCAGACCTCAACCATATCGATGACGCTGTTCAGGTCGGAGAAGTCGACGTTGGGATGGACACCCTGGGTGTACAGGTTTAGGCCGAGGGTGACGAGGTCGACATTGCCGGTGCGCTCGCCGTTGCCGAACAGGCAGCCCTCGACGCGGTCAGCACCGGCCATCTGAGCCAGCTCGGCAGCGGCGACGGCGCAGCCTCTGTCGTTGTGGGGGTGGAGGGAAACGGCGATCTTCTCGCGCTCGGTGATGTTTCTGCAGAAGTACTCGATCTGGTCGGCGTAGACGTTGGGGGTGGCCATCTCGACGGTGGCAGGCAGGTTGAAGATGATGGGCACCTCGGCGGTGGGCTCCCAGGCGGCCTTGACGGCCTCGCAGATGCGGATGACGAACTCGGGCGAGGTGTCGGAGAAGGTCTCGGGACTGAACTCGAACTGCCAGTTGGTTCCCGACTGGGAGGGGTCGTCCTTGGTGAGGGAGCGCACCAGCTTGGCACACTTGACGGCCAGCTCGACGCTCTCATCCTCGCTGAAGCCAAAGACTATCCTCCGGAAGCACTCGCTCGTGGCAAGGTAGATGTGGACGATGGCGTTCTTGGCGCCCTTGAGGGACTCTACTGTGCGCCTGATGAGGTCCTCGCGACAAGGGGAGAGAACCTGGAGGTATACGTCGTCGGGGACAGCACCGGGGGTCTCGATGAGGCGGCGCGTGAAGTCAAAGTCGGTCTGCGAGGCCGAGGGAAAGGAGACCTCGATTTCCTTGTAGCCCAGGTCGCAAAGCATCTTGAAGTAGCGCCACTTCTCGTCGCCGTTCTGCACGCAGGAGCCTGTGTTAGCGGCATGTCGACGAGGTGTATGAGAGGAGGCATTCGAGGAAGAGAGAGACGTGCCATTGGGTCAACCAAGCTCTGGTTGCCATCGCGCAAATCGGTCGAGAGCCATCGCGGGCCTTTGTGATGGTCTTGGAGGGCCATTGGCGGTCGGGAAGGTTAAGGGGAGGGAAGGGCTTGTACTTCTTCCACGGTTCCTTGAGCCTGTCATCGGAGAAGTGGTTAGCCTGGAGTCTTCTACAACGCAACTTTTCGCCCCGTGTGTCTTGGGATCTTTTTCGGGCGTCCATTGAGTCACCTACATGGGCATCTTGGGCGAGTGCGGGGCAGATTTTGCGGAGGTGTAAGTTAAAAAAAAAAAAGGTAGGGCGGATCTTTTCTTAGTGGGATGGCGTCACAATGGGCTTGGAGAAAGAAAGTATTTCAAACTGCAGAGAGAGGAAGAGAGGTCCAAAGCTGCAGAGGGTATTTGTAGAAAGGTTTGTGAACAAGCGCTGGAAATCACAGTCATAGAGGGAGGAGGGAAAGGTTTTGAGTCACAAGGTTCGTCAGTCGCAGAGAGTCGGGAACTACGAGGACGGAGGACGGGACGTGGAGAGGAGCGTGGTCGACCGACCAAGCCGCTCCATTTTTCGACCCGCCTCCACCAAGCACAGCTTTAACGGGAGAGGTACGTACACTTTTGTGACGGATGGACTTGACTGACTTGACGGACTGCGGGTTTACACGCCTTTAACTTTGACAATCTCCATGTACTTCAGCTGTTTCTGGTGGTCGATTGGATACAGCACCCAGTTTTCTGGGCAGATGCAGGCCTAGCACCGATATTCCAACGGCTCCTCTTGCTGCTTCGTGCATGTCGTCAGGCTACCCTACATAGTAATAATAACTGCCAACTCAACTGCATGCAGGCAACGAGGGAACAATTGGATTGGATAACGGCCGAAAATCTTTCAATGTCGTGTGCGTGCCGCCACTGTGCTCTCCCGCAGTGCATCTAGTCCGCCATTGCTGGCTCCTTCGCATTGGACGAGATGAAGCAGCTACGCTGCAGTGACAGTGCGTTGAACTATTTTTTTTTCCAATTTTTTCTCCCTCCCTCTTCCTCTCCCTTGTCGTTCTTCTCCAAATTCAATGTCATTGGAGTGAGGGGCCACGTCCGAGTCCCCCTCGTCTCCACACCACGCCCTTTGAGCGATACTCAGTCACTCTCATTGGCTGGCCCCTTTCGCACGCAGCCCGAGTTGGCCGGCTGCGGATGGCGGGGTTGCATTTCGCTCTCCATTCATGCCGCAGCGACCACCACCACCACCACTACCGTCAGCCGTCTTTCTTGCAGGCGCCCTGCCTTCACAGACACACAGATCAGCACGAGAGGCAACAAATGAACTAAAGGGGTCTCCCCTCCACCCTCAAACCGCCAGTCGAGAGTGTGCTGCGACGACCAATGGCTGTCCGCCACCACTATTGCTTGGCCATCATATCGAGATGTCGTTTCCCCAGCTTTGCTCTCAGTCAGGACCTTACGTTTCGCTCTGGTCTACGTCCGATTTCTCCATCTTCAACTGGACTTCTAGACCTGACTCGTTGGCTTTACAATTTCCTAGGAACGACGGCCATCCCTTTAGCGCCAAGCCACAATCTCTTCCTGAACTCGACCTGCAGAATCCACTTCGCAATATTGCATCCCAGTTTCCTCTGCTCATGATGTGCTTCGGACAAGACAGGTAAGACAGAGTCATTGAGGGTATGCCGAACCTAACCGATGACCACATCCGATCATCGCTCGCGAACCTCCAGGTTTTCCGCGGTTTGATGCTGTCCAATCCACACGGCCGACTTATCGTGCGCCCCGGAGAGGGTCGGCGATGGGGCGCCCACCCTGCTTAGCCCCCGATGACCGGCCTCTTTGCATCGCACCAAATTCCCGTGGGCCCATCCCCGACGGACAAACAACGGCTAGCCCGTGAGCCGTCACCTCATGACCGCGCGGGTGTTCTCCACGATCGATGACACATGGAGGCTGATCGATGGCTTTCCTTGATCCATCGGCCCGACAACTGCCAATAGCAGAAGCCCCATTAGACTTGTTGCGGCTGTACGAGACTCGGTCATCCGACGGATGCCGCTGGATTGATGAAGAGGCTCGAAGCCCCCACAAGCCATATTTTAACGTCTTGGGAGCCAAGGTTGAATATGCAATCCATCCCTGCTGCCACGTTGGTATGAGGGAGCTGGGAGTTATGCTGCCAATCACTGGAAGCGAGATGGACCATATAGTTTTTGAAATCCGATTAGACGTCTTAGTCTATGTCTATCTTCATGACAGGCGGGTGCTATGTACAACAACAGAGTCCATCCAACCGTCTGCTTTGTCTCGCAGTGGGAGATGTAGAGGTTGTAGGCGGGATATATACGTCCAACAATTAGACAAAACATCTCCCCTAGAAAAGCCAGGTGGGAGAGAAAAAAAAATGTGAGAAAGACCAGAGAGACGAGAAAAGGCGTGAAAAGCCCACCATTTCCATCCATCTTGTCCGTCCCAATGCGTTGGTATGAGAAATATATACACTTGAGAAAAAAACGAGCCATTAAGACGAGGCGTTGGCCGTGAGAAGCATGAGCCATGTCGATCCGATCTGACCATGGCCTTGATCTGATCCTGATGATCCGTAAAAAGAAATCAAAGAGACGAGACAAAAAAACACCGCGCTTTTCCCCGCTTGGTACCGTTGACGCCCAAAGGATTGATATCGTTTCTTGCTTCGGTTCATTTGCGAATGGTTCGTTGTGGGCGATCTTGATTCCCCACTCCTTTACCACGTGAAACTCTCCTCCACAAAGTCGACCACAGTGCCTTCATCCTGCACCTCTCTGACTGCCGCTCGCACATCATCAGCCAAGGCTCCAGGTCCACAGATGTGCACACACATGGCGCCTTGCTGCTCTGAGACCTCGCGCTTCATCAGCAAAGGGATGTTGGGGCGGCCAGGGAACATCTGGACCGTATTGGAAGCCGAGACAATCTGCTGGGAGTTCTGAGGGCGCGTGATGTAGAGCTGGATGCGGAGGATATCCTTGCGGTTGGGCAGACGGAGGATGGTATCCATCCACGGACGAACCCACTCGAGGGCCTCGTAGTCACGGACGATCCAGACTAGGGTGATGCGTCTTGTTGCCACGCTCCCGTTGTTGTACCCATCGATGAGAGGCTTGAGGTAGGAGATGCCGTGGGTGATGCCGGTGGCACCGGCAAAGAGGACGGCATGACCGTAGGAGTCGAGCGAGTGATGGCCAGAGTAGGGTCCCTCAACCACGGCCTTCATACGGATAGCGCGGTCACCGCTCTGGCGGGCGACGTTGTAAAGATCGCGAGTGAATCCAGTGTGGGCACCAATGATGAAAGAGATCGAGGTTGTCGAGTTCTTCTTGTAGATGGCAGTGAGCTGAGCCTTCTCCTCATCCAAATGCAGGGCGCGGTGGTCAGGAATGTGCTCAACCCAGCCGATGGAGAAGGGATGGCAGTCCCATGGCCTGATGTCCTTGAAACGCAGATAGGCATGTGTGCCGGGCTTAACGTCGACGTAGCGCGGAAGGTTCATGGTGACACGAGTGCACTCGCCGGGGACAGCCTCAATGATGGCGTCAGTGAGACCACGGTCAGACCAGTTCATATAGGCGACCCGAACGATGCGCGCCATGCGCTCAAGGAACCATAGGATGAAGATGGCGATCATCCAGGGGAGCTGGGGAAGTCCACCAGGCATGCCAGCGACAGCGCAGTGGATGTACGTCATCAGGAAGATGAAGAAGGCGAGGATAATGTGGACGTTGAGAAACGTCTCGTAAAAGGCGTGGCGAACTGGCGAGAAGGAGAGGATCATGATGACAACGAGGGCGATAGTGCCAGCCATGCCGGAGCCGATGAAGAGCTCGTTGGACATTCTATGCCAAACACCATCCCATCCACTTGCGGCAACTTGAACAATCAACCAGGCGATGGTGTGAAGGACGGCCTCAATCACAGCCATGCGGCCAATCCATCGATGAAGGAGATTATAAGTGTCGAAGCTTACGTGGAGCATGCCGATGAGCGGGTTGTTGCGGCCGGCAAGGATGATGAGCGGCACCATGTTGACGATGGAGAGGGTGCCGGATCGGCCACGGAGTTCGGCGCAGAACGAGTAGATGTTGGCGTTTTCCCAGTTCAAGAAGAACATGTAGACGATGTTGCTGGCCAGGTAGAAACCCAGGATGACGCTGTGCATGCGTGAGGGTAGGGTGCCGATGCCAATGGCGCTGGAAAGCTTGATCTCCTTGTTGTGACGCTTGTTCCAGAGGGGAGCGTAGATGAGGTGCTTCTTCAAGCTGGGCATCCACTTCCACTGAGCCGTCTTCCAGTAGTTCTGTCTCTCGCCCTCGACGGACATGGCCGACACATGGCGCAGCTGAGCCCAAAGGATACGGCTAATCGTGATGACGAGGACGAGGACGGCCATGCCACCGAAGCTGGCCCAAAGCATGTCCTTGAACAGCATGTTGACGGGCTGGTTCACGCCAGCTAGGTTGGAGGCGTAGGGAGAGATTGTTGAGGTGGCCGTGGCCGCCCCAGCGCTGTCAGCGGCATGAGCACGCTGCTCAAGCACTTTTGTGGGGATGAGATCCGCCATCAGGCCGGCGAGCCTGCGCCGGTGAGAGTCCATCGGGTAATTCTGATGCTGTTGATTTTGTTGTGTTTGATGTAAATCTTAAAAGGTCGAGTTTGAAAGGCGAGTGAGCGTTGGTGTGATTCCCCAGGGAAGGAGTGACCCAGATTGCGATCGACCAGGGGTGACTTGGGTAGTTGAGGGCTAGTGCCAGGCTTCTAAATTTAGGAGGATGTCGAGTCGCTGAACAGTCAGGCTCAGCAGGATGTTGCTAGAATCGTCCCACTGAGTCGTGAATGAGACGTCGTGTGCTGTTTTTGTGACTGACGATCGGGTTACAATGTCATTGTGTGTTGGACGAAGGACAAGTGACAATGTAGGACTGGTGGCAGCAAGCCTGTTCCGAAGCAGAGGCGTCTTTGTAAGTACCAACACAGTGTCAATGATGACGTGGGGTGATCGGTGTCGTTGCAGGAGACGGGTCACCAAGGAACGCGCCCAACCTTGCAGTCAATGGTCGCGTTACTGGGATGACAGATGTCACGGCTGTAATATACCGGGACGTTGTCGTCGAGATGCAGATGGTGAATATCCTCGTGCTGATCTTCTACAAATTGTGTGGAAGCGAGGGCAGTTGGTGTATTGGCGATCCCAAGGGGGCTAGGTCGATCTGTATCTGGCCGAGCAGGAGCCGGCTCGACGGGAGAGAAGTGAGTGAGGCCTGAGCAGGTGGTGTGATGTGCTCGGGAGGGCTATGGGATTGACGTATTGGGAGACGGGGGCCGAAGCAACGTCAATATATTGTGCGTCTCTTAGCTGGCCCTTCGCTAGGTCTCGTGCCGCGTCCTTTTCGGAATCGAGGAGCCCGAATCCCTTCTGTTGATGGTGTGGGGAAGGAGTGGATGAGAGTCGAGTGAATGAGATGGGGAAATCACAAAAAAAGCCCGAAGCTAAGAAGCTGAGTTTGCCGGATGACGAAGAAGTGGAACAAGACAACGGAGACGTTGAATATGTCTTGGATGCGTCGCGGTAGCGGGTTTCGAATATTGTGTTGTCTTGGTTGTAAGAATCAAATGAGAGTATACCGCCGCTGACGGAATTTGAAGGAAAGAAATAGCGTGGATTGTTCGTCTGGTTGAACAATCAAGCGCTGATTTGTCGAGAGAAAAAAGAGGGGAGCGGATGATTCAGCTGGTGAATCTCACGTGGTTTGAGAGAATGTGAAGTTTTTGGTTGAAGGAAGGTGCAAAGAAGCAAAAAAAAGAGTGTGTGGTTGAAGGAAGGAGCGATCGGTGGCGGCAGGTGAGGTGTGTAAGTTCCTGAGCGAGGCCGGTAGGTCGGGGTCACGGTCGTTGTTTCCGTTTTTTCGACCCGGTGTTTGGTTCGAGTGACCTCAGAGTCGTCCCCTGCTTGTTTCGTTTTTTCTGTTCCTTTGTTCCTCAAAACGACAACCCTGAAGAGAAGAAGAATAACGTTGTCGAAGTTGTCCAGCCTCTTTCTCAAAGAAGTAAAGTAATCGAATTCCAAAATTCCAGCAAAAGCGAACCGTCTCACCAAATGGAGACTGAAGATAGTCAGCGTGACAACGGGCGAGGAGAAATAGAGAGTGGTTGGGATCACAAGGCGCGGAGAGGGCGACTAAGGTACTTTTAAGAGACCGGCTGGGACGGGCCACGAACGACCTCCTGCGAGCCATGAGAAGGTCGGGGGACCCACGGTACCGCCGCTGAGAGGCTCCTCTGGGTCCTCTTCGGGGGCCTGGACTGTCGAACTGGATGTGGATAGGATGTTACTAACTGGGAAGGGCAACATGGTGCATTCCCCCTGACTGTGGTGGCGTGCAAGGGCAAACGGGAATGACTGGATCGACTGGATTCTATCCCACGTCTGGCTCATCAATTCGCAGGTACCCGGATCCCCCAGCACTCCCAGCTGGCCTCGGCAGGTATCCGTGTTACCCCCCGTACCACACCATGGCGAGCCAGCCAAAGCCGGCCAGTCCACCAGGATACCGATACGGGCATGTCTGCGCCAATGGCCTGCGCGAACATCCGTACGAACGATTGGACGGAGCAGGGCAAGACCAGGCATGGTGTGGCTTGGTACCTGCGTTGCCCGCACACACGCGGTGGATTAGCCAAGTACCCCTTTTTCGCGCGCCTACGTACGGTGTGCCGGTCCTGAATTATCCCACCTGGACCGTACAGATGCAGACGCGCGACGCCCTGTCGTGTAGACGAAAAGAGGAGCGACTTCCAGGATGCATGGCAGTATCTGCCTACCGGCCTGTCAGCCTAACCTATTCCAATCCTTTGGGATCTGGAATGGGATCATTCGGTTTGCTCATCGGCCCATGCGCTGGCGTTGCTCATGCTAGTAGCAACCGATTACCCTGGCGGAGATGGCAGATGGTGCATAGCAATCAAGGCAGCGATACAGGAACAGGAACGTCCCCTAACTGCCAACAGGGCTAACAGGGAAGTCCAAGAGACTTTGCACTTTGCTCAAGACTCGAAGGGAGGAACGGGGCAAAGGAGGGGTCAAGGCATCTGTCAAGAACAGGCAAGTCATCCAAAGTAATCGCAGGGATGACGCGGATGGGCAATACGTACAACTCGCGCACAGGCACTCTATTCTGTACACACACATGGACAGGCTTCGAGGGAGCCAGTCCCTGGTCGCCAATCAATAGCATACACTGTTACCGTTCGCTGAGGCTGAAGGGACGGCCCCTGGCTGCATGGGTTTGCTGATTACCATGATTTTCATTCGCTTCCTTCCTTTCTCGACACCTTAATTGCTCTTCCAGTGACCATTGGTCATCGAGTCTCTTCTTCTCTAGGACAGCGACGTCGTTCCGTTCACGACTGGAACGTGATGAACCAGATGGACCCTTTATCACTATTGAAACGAACGTCGCAAATCGTATTACTTGACAATTTGACTCAGTAGTCACGAACTGCTGAGGATGAACCAAGGGTCTACATTCCAATGCTCTCCGATGGCTTCCACAACTAGAACACCGATAGCTCGACGTGCAGTTTCAGACTCTGTGCTTTGCAGAACCACTTTGCATACCAAAAGCCCACTACAATCGACCAGCTGTGGGGTTGCCATGGCTTCTGCTTAGTGACCTGGCCGACTTTCGTGGCCCAATGTGTCCCGGCTTCTCGCCAACTTCTTGGCGGCAGACCAGTTCGATTGGCTAAGAGCAGCTCGTTATGAGCCAGTGTGGCATCGCTCTTCGCGTGCTGACTGGACCTCGCCCCCTGCAAAAGGGCTTGACAGCCAACCGGGATCTTCGCCAAGGGGCGAACGGCCACAGGCTAGGAAATGACAGGGGGAGACACCGGACGAACAAGGACGGGGGCTAAGGTGATCTCTGACGCTCGGCCTATCGCTTAGTGCCACTGCGGCCTGCCAACCACACCAGTCCATGATCCATCTACCCAGAGATGCCAAGCAAAGTAGCCAATCCTTTTAACGGTTATGTTGCTTTCTGGTACCTGGGAACTGAACCCGACATGCCTCTTCGGCCTTGCATACCTATTGCTTGCCGCATGGCACGAATCTGCAAAACTCGGCGCCCTGCACACTAAGCTTGAACTGCATCCACCGAAATGACCGAGAAGGACGGGTATTTCGGGTATCTTCTGGGCCTCTCCTCCCACTGGACCACAATCTAACAAGGCCCTGCTCTGCCCAGCCGCCATGGAGCATGTTCAGATGAACGTAAACTGGGAAAAGAAATTCCAGCCATTGGCTGGACCGTCGCCATTTCCAGTCAGAAATCCTTGTATGCTGTCATTGGACTCATTGTTCGAGCCCTGGTGGGCCGACCGTTGTCGTCGAACAGTCCAGCCAGGCGATGGCCCCAAAGCCAGAGACACCATTCTATCGTTCTCTCCTTCGTTTAGATCCCCGTTGGTGTTCATCGTCTGCCCGTCTTCTCGGACCCTCTCTGACGCCAGGCTGGATATGGCAAGGCGGACTTGAGCCGAGACCCCAAGGTGGTCGGTTGAGCGCCACAAAGCAACGATCCATCTTGCGTACGAAGTGCTCTGGCGCATCCAGATGATATCCGAGTTCCGATATGGAGTGGAACAGTAACACAGATGTGATGCACGAGCCGGGCCATATGATGCGCAATTATCGTCGTTTCCATCTCCCGCCTTACGCCTCCACGGGCTTGACTTCCTTGGAGGGCTGGAAACGCGGCACCCAACGCTTGGGTCATGACGAACGAGTGGAACTCTAAGAGTTGGAAATCGTACCCCTACCATCACGACTCCTTGGCCGAGCTCTGAGAGCATGTGAACCAGCCCCGCACCCACTTCATCAACGCTCCGTCTCAGTCATAACACCTCTGCCGTCCCTCTCGGCCGATTGTGCCGTGGCATTTACGTGACGGCATCTGACGACAGAGGCCCGACGTCTACCGCCCCCTTCCTTACCTCATCTGGCCGCTCCTTGTTTTCCAGTCACCATTACTCAACACCCGAGGCAGCCGCCCATTTCAATTTCCCTTACGACCGGGTATCAGAATCAACCAACCGCCCGTTCGACAGCCGTAATCTAGCCGCTTGATGAGAACGAAAGTTGTACGCTTACTGACGAACCTCAGGTTTGGTCCTGTCACGTCTGCAGTTCGCGGATTTTGTGTGGTTCTGTCAGTGCCAAAGCTTTGTGTGTTCCTGAATGCATCCGGCTCCATTGACGTAAGGTTCCCTGGTCCTTCGCTTCGCCCCCAAGGCAGAGGGCATTCACAAATCCTTGTTAGAGGCTGAGTGACAACCCCGACGAGGATATCCCTCCATGTCTACTACTCCTTCAGACCGCCAGCGAACTTTTCTTTTTTCCATGGCGTCTTTGGGCCTCATATTACTTAGTCACAACCGCGAACAAATTGCGGGATGCGACGGTGTAGCCGTGCTCCGCCAGGGCTAGCTCAGCTCAGCGGGAAGCCCCTGTCAAGCGCCGTTCCAAACAGATTAACCAACCCGATCACCCTAGCACCTCGCCTCGGAGCCAAAGTCCGTAAAGAGGCATCTACCCCGACTTCCCATCTTGGCTCCCTCGCAACCGCCCAGCCGGGTCATCCAGATGGGCCGCAGTACCTGCACTGGAGGGGCCGAGGATGGCAGCGGGCTTCTGCGAGACTGAGAGACGAGCCGCCCGCATTCAAGCCGCCAAGGAGCCTGGCGACGTGCCCGGGAGGAGCCTGGAAGACCGAGGTTGTGGTGGACGAGGAGGGGATTGGCCCCCATGAAGTCATTTGCACCTTCGGTGACCTGTCGTTTCAACGATATTGCAAGCCCCGTACGCTTCAGGTGAGCGTTGGCATGCACTAGCAGACAGACAGAACATGTGCAGATGAGGCCGAAAGATGCGGCCGGCTCGTGAGATTTTCCTCGGGTCTGCATCATGCCTTTTGAGTTTTGGGCACTGGTTGTTTGCTTGCACCTGGCTCCATCGCCGAGTCTCCTGCCATCTCCTACCGCCTCCCTCGGCACCGAACCATGCCCTCCCCTGATGCCACCCGAGACTTGGGAGGCCCTCGGGCGCTTCGCGGATATTGGGCTCACCGAGATAACCGTGCTGGCCATCATGGTGAACCACGGAAGGCTTGGATCAACCTTCTTCGCACGTCTCCGCCTTATCTATAACCCGCGATCCTTGAAACAATATGAGGATAATGAACTGCCTGGCCACAAGGCCGCGTGGTAGAGCGCGGGGGTCCCTGACGTAGACCGCGGGCGCACATGGTCTGAAAGATAGTGGTTGGTATCAAATTCTTCCAGAACGTGCTCGGAAGCTTTGAATTAGGGAAGACATTTGTGCACAGCTGGTACCAGCTGGGGGATCTGGACTTCTTCCGTGGATTGGCGAAATCTGGTCGAACAGAATAGATGGATGACTCAGCTACGCGTGACGAGGAGAGCTTCCTGGATGACATAATGTAGCTCAGTATGACTAAGCCGTTCATCCTTTGCCGGTTCATCACGTGCACCTGCGCCGGCCCATCGGAGCTCGCAGCTTGACGACCGCTGTCTACGGTCCGGAAAATTCCATAACATCACGGCCAAACATTCAAATCACCTCTCCAGCCATTGAGGCCGCAATCATGGGTGCCAGCGAGTCCAAGCCGTCGTCCAACACGCCCCCACACCTGTGGAAGGCGTAAGTCATTACCTTTCCCAATTGCCCGTCCCCTGTGTCGGCCAAGGGTATCGTCAACTGACCAAGATTACGCAGCAGCACGCCCAGCGGCATCTCACACGACCTCGTCGAGTCTCTGCAGACTAGCCATGAGGTAAGTCCCTACCTCCGTGTCCCCGAATACCCTGCTTTGGGCTTCTAGCAAGCCCAATCGTACCTCTCCTCCGCCTCGGCGTTCCGCCATCGACGCCCCCAATGCGCTCTTTTCCTCAAATCGAAACCAAGAAAGCTAACCGATGACCACCACCCGAACCACAGACCGACCTTTCCCGTTCTCAGCTCACCGAGCTTCAGATACAGGCCCGCGTCGCCGAGGAGCTGAAGCGTCTGCAGGCCAAGGAATCGGAAGCCCTGAAGCTCGCGCACGAGAAGATCGCCGCCGAGGAGAAGCCCGCGCCTGAGGGCCAGCGCAGCCACGAGAGCGTGGCGAAGGAGATTGAGGCCCTGCGCGCCAAGCTGGCGGAGCGCAAGAAGGTGCGCGACCTGCCCGAGGGCGTGGAGACGGCCCGCAGCAACGTCGTGCGCTGCCTGCGCGAGAACGACCGTCGGCCGCTCGACTGCTGGAAGGAGGTCGAGGCGTTCAAGGAGGAGGTGAAGCGGTTAGAGAAGGGCTGGGTTGAGAAGGTTGTCTCGTAAGGGAGCACCGAGGAGAGTTTGTTGAGGACTCTCGACATCTGATTTCTGCGTTATTATGGTCCATGGAAAGAGGGTGTGTGGACGACATGCTAGCTGGGAATAATAGAGCGGCAGCAGTAGGGTGATGGGGAATGCGAAAGTGTACAACAATCATGCTACTGGTGGGATAGAGACAAAAGTGTATAGATGGCGAATGAATTGGTCACATCAGCCCATGGAGTTCGTATTCAGGCAGCCCGACCGGGTCCTCTGATGGAGGTTCCCGGCTCTCAGTCTGAGACTGAGAATGCGTTTGCGTCTTCTGTCTAGCGGCCAGCAACTCTTCTTTGCGACGTAAACCCTCGGCCCTCTTGCGCTCTCTCCGGGCAGCAGCGTCCTCCCACTCCACACCCCCTTCGCCCAGCTTGGGCGGAGGCCCCGCCAAGGCGTCTTGCAAGGCGGCCCGGAACCTCGCGATCCTTGCCGCGTTCTCTGTGAAGCGCTCATTGGCAATCTGCATCAGATCCCGCAGGTAGTCCACTGAGACGGTGCAGTGTCGGGCATCGTCGCTATCGTCGACGTAGCCGATCAAGGACTCGAGTGCTAGGCCCATTGTCCTGACCCCCACCATGGGCGTCACCGGCGACGATGAGTCGTCTTGCAGTTCGGTGGCAGTGATGGTGGGGAGCAGGTTCAGGGCGCCGCTTTCCCGGAAACCGGCTGCGAATGCGCATTTGAGCAGGAGCTGAGCGTGCGCCAGGGAAGCCGTGAGGACATGGAGAATCTACGGTGGGTTTGGTTAGTTGGCCATGTGAGCGCCGTGTATGCAGGATGTGGTATGGAAGGTTCCAAGGTGACATCGGCCTCGACGTGAGGGAGTTCAGATGTGGCAGGCAAGGAGTGGGAAGAGGTGGGTGTGTGCATGAGGTGAAAAGGACTGCATACCATGGGCTCGAACTTGAAGTGAATGAGCCGCTTTCTCCGCCGCCCAGGCTGAGCGCTGCCCGACTCTCCGGCCACGCTTTGGGCGGTTGCCTCCTTCTCGCCCACGAGACCTAGCAGGTGCAACAGCTTCTCGTCGCCATCGTTCGATTCAGGTACGGGATCATGCGATACGAATAGCCACGTGCCGCCGCCTCCCTTTCCCCCGGGGCCTGCTATCGTCGCGATGGTGCTACTGTTGTCGTCACTCTGAGTTGCCGACTGAGAATGGGGCTCGCCAAAGGCGGCCGTCCCAGTGGAAGCAGAAGCTGGCACCACTGCCGCCCTGCGACCTTCGAGGAAAACGCTCACTCGCCCCGCGCAGCTGCTCGTTGTGACAAAACCGTCAAGGGCATTGAGCTCGTCGATCAACTCACGGATGCCGACGTCCACGGAGCCCTTGGGCGAGGCGTCCGTGTACTCGGCGTCGGGCACGCTCAGTTGCTCCAGGATCTTGTGCTTGCGAGTCGTGAACGAGACCGGCGGGGAGGGCAGATGTTGCCTCACTCGATGTTGCTGCGGCGCCATGATTTCCGTGATTTAGTGGGGTTGCAAGGGAACATTCAGAAAAACACAGGGCTTGTGAAGTATGCGTCGCGTCTGTTTGTGGTCCGCGGCCGGCAGGATCCGGGGAGACTTCAGGCGTTTGGGCTGCTTTGCTTTCGGGAAGAGAGGCCGGCGTGTAAGTGAGGTCGACTACCACAGAGTTACCCACGACGAAAAAAAGTGTGTGTGGTGGTTGCAGGTCTGCGATGTACCTCCACAGTGTCTGTTATGAACGCATGCACAGTGCCCTGTCGGGATGCGAGCCGACGGACCAAGCTTATTTCATATTACCCAACCCTCTCGATGCCACCTCGCAGGGCCAAGTGAACCAGGCTATTTCACGGCTGAATCAGGCTATCTGGCGGTGTAGTGGTGTTGCGGTTTTAATATCAAGTCTGACTCTGCCAAGTCAGTATTTATTGCCCACATGTGCCGTCCTGGTTGTCTATTCGGTTGACGGAGCCAGCAACTTGGAACTACATAGAGCATGCCAGTTTTTCGAGCGGTTTTATATGATACCAAGACTTTTGCAGATTGCCTGTTTCCTTCTTATGGTGACTTCGTCGCTTCGTCAGGACTGGGGGAGACGGGCAGTGCACTTACGTGACCCGGGTCTAGACCATTGCCTCGATTCTTACACATTCGCATGATCTCGGCTTGCCTGCAAACCTCTGTCGGGCTTCACGTGAGCCGTAGTGTAAAGAGACAGCCGAGTAATTATTCGTTTAGTGGGATGGGTTAAGGCATTAAACTTTTGACAATCTGTATTGCGGAACGTTAAGAATGTACAAAATAAGTTTCCATCGAATCGGCGTACATAAACAGCCAGCTCCCAGCTGATCTAATCAATATCACATAATACTACAGGAGATAATAAAGAACGCCTTGAGTATGAATCTTCTCAAAATAATATTACCTCCAGGCTGCAGGTCCGTCCCGTACAAAGTCATTTAATCTAAGGCAGACCGGAAACGAGTGAGAGCGAACTGCGCACTAAACCAAACAGCGCCTTGTTGAGTAGCATTCTCACAAGTCCTCATACATCTTTCAAGTTCCATGAATTGTATTGTTACATGAGAATGGCGGTATGGCCCAACGAGGAGAGCCATCGCTTTTGTTAACGGACGTCGTATCTGTCATCGCGACGCTCAAGTCGTGCGCATTCATCCTTGACAACAATCGTTGCGATAGAAGAGCCAGAGCAGCGACCGCAAAATATCCGTTCGTTTTCTTTAGCGTGACTCCTGACCGATTTTCGCATTGTGGAAGGTGGTCACGAGACAGCATGTGAGCCAATATATTTGTAAGATAAGCTTTTGGAGGGGCACGTCAGTGTTCTAGCAATATTGCGGCAAATTGTATACACTATCTGTTAGGGGCTTATGGGCCGACATCTGCAGTTCCCACTTATATCCCGGATGCGGGGTGTTAGCGGGACGCAAAGTTGGAGCCTCACAACGTCCTCTCTTACTTCTAACTCACATCATTCAAGTATCTTCATGTTGATTCATCGTGTTTCGATTATCCTATCTACGAAGTAGGATCGAGTACCTGCGAAACGCTAGATACCTACTGGCCTATGGCCTAAACCCATCCGGAGCGCCAGCATGCTGTCCTGTACCGTCCTTTGGTTTTTGAACCCCCAAAACGCCGTCATGCATCATATATACAGGTCATTATAAAAAAGCAGAAAAAAGAGAAGAAAAAAAAAGAGCCCGCTGAACGCTTCATACGGATGCAATGGCCTGCTCCTCCTTCTCGGCCTTGACGACGGGCGCGATGGCGGCCTCGCCCTGCTTCTCCGCCTCGGCAGATGACGACGGCGCAGCCTTCTTGGCCTCAACGGCCTTGCGCTCCATCTCCTCGAGGTACTGGGCGTACCGCGACTTCTTGTTGTGAATGCCGCACTCGGTCTTCTGCTGACCTTTCCAGCGACCGGCACGCTCGTCCTCGCCATCCTTGACAGGAACGGTTGAGTGCCAGTCGCCGATGGACTTGTAACCCCGGTCAAGCAGGTCGTTGTACGGCACGTTGTGGGTCTTGATGTATTCCTGCACCTGCTTGAAGGACCAGTTGACCATAGGGTTGATCTTGATGACGCCGCGCTCATCGTCAACCTCGATGATGGGAATCGTGTCGCGGGCACCGCCCTGGGAGCGGCGACGGCCGGTAAGGATAGCGGCAACGCCGAGTTCCTGGTACGCACGCTGGAGGGGCTCAACCTTTGCGATCCAGTCGTACATTTCTGACTCGGTCTCCCACAGGTTGGGACCGTACATGGCCTCGAACTCTTCAGTGGAGTTGACGCCGTAGGGCTTGAAGATGTGCAGCTTGACGTTGGGGTAGCGTTCCTTGATGCGGTCGACGAGGTTATGGGTCTCCTTGAAGTGGTAGAGGGTATCAAGGAAGATGAGGTCGACGTTGGCGGCGGCGGGGTTCTCCTTCTGGATTTTGGAGAGCATGTCGAGGGTGACGAGGCCCGTCAGACCGAAAGCCGTCGATTGGAAAAGGTTGGGAAACATGACCTTGGCGAAACGGAGGATGTCGAGGGGGTGCATGTTCTCAAGCTGGTCGTTGAGGTGCTTGAGGTGCGGCTGGGTAAGTGAGATGAGTGGGAGCGCGGGAATGGATGACGCCGTCGACGAGGCATCTGTGGCGGAACCATATCCGGACTCAACCTCAGCGCGGTCCAGTTTTGCGGTCTCGACGGCGTTCAACCGAGGAGACGATGCCACAGAGGACGTCCGGGTCGCGGATTCGACGGCAGACGACATTTTCGAAGTGTCTGAGGAATGGTAGAAGAATTGGGTGAAGACGTGTGCGTTTGGGATACACTAGGGGTGTATGACGAGTGTGCTTGTAAGAGGGTGTGTCGAAAACCCGGGGTATGTTCACTCAGCACAGTTTTGGTCAAGAGGGATAAACTGAAATACAGATGACGCAAGAGATAGATCTAGGGAAAGGTTCAGTTTCTGAAGTAGAGGAAGAGGAGGCAGGAGGTTTTGTTTTATGAGGACGAAGAGGTAGGCAAGCAGGCAGAACTTACACCGCAGGAAGGAGGCGGGAAGAGTATCATATTGTTGGGCATTGGGTCATCACCAAGCAATGTTACTAATTTGGTTTCCGCCGGTTTCTCAAACAGCACCCGATCGAACCAAAGGCCGACGGACCTCCAGAGCCCGCTCAAACTATTGCGCAATCGCAGCTTGTCCGGAGCATCTGGGCATCTGGATTGAACAAGCGTCGAGGAATTTGCATCTCTAAGCACGAGGCGTGGTCTGGGAGTAATCACGACATCGACGCTAAACCTTTCGTGATGAATGAGACAAAACATGATTGGTTACAGGACGCAGGGTTGGCTCCGTACCGTGGACATCCCGCAATTGCGCCATCGCCCCGGGAGCCGGAGTGGATTTGGAAATGGCAAAAGTTTGCCCTCCAGCCGGCTCCGGCAGCCGGGAGCCGTGACCTCATGAGTATACATATTGGGGCCGGTTCCGCCGTATCTATCAACATCATGAATGCCCCTGAAATGATGCTCATGATGAGCGTTGGCGCGAAAACGGGGGAAAAAAGGGACTCGTTCGAGCAGGAACACTGGCGTAAATTCGCCATGATGATGCAAGAAGACGTGATTCCGCCCGGACCACTAGTCGGCTTGGCCTAGTGGATGCGGCAACGGCACTCGGCGGTCGGCCGGCACGGTAGTCGGCGGTCTAACCGGCCGTCGGCATGAAGGTTGCCGGAGACTGTTGTTCTGTGACCGCCAACTTGAAAACGGGCGTCAGCATCCCGCGTTGGCCAACGAATCTCTATCCTTGACACCCGACCAGTCAACCTACGAGGAACCAAGGTATCATCCATGATTACCCGCCGCGGAAATTTCTGACAAACCCACCTTGGGTTTCAACGAGAGATGTGCCTCAACCTTTATCACCGCCCGAGGCCTCGCTTGCCGACGTCTTTCCCGAGGATGTTCGCCGTTTTCGGCGCGTCTTAAACATGATGCCAGCTTTGTCTGAAGAAACCTAGTTTCTTCACCACGATCCGTCCGTGACTCGGAAACAATAGGCTTCCAACGGGAAACGGACCAAACCAAGACTTCTTGGCGATTCGTTTCTTTGGACAACTTTTCGACAACCATAGGCAAGTCCATTCGCTTGACCAGACACCCGAGAGGCCACTTGGGTGACCGCTCATCCATCTCACGTGCCAGTCCAACGAACAATCAAGACTAGGACGCCGGTTGCGGATGCCCAGAGCAGGAGCCAACACTCTGGACACATCACATTCAGTCATCCGTTTCTGCGTCTGGTGGAAGCGTGCGACTTATTCCCGCTTGGGTCCATTCTCTGTCAGCGGAGCCTGCTCCTGAACCTGAAAGCCATGGTTAGTTAGCGGCTGCCGCGGCGAGCGGTGAATGTGCATCTTACCTCTTACTGCAGACCTCATCAGTTGCCAGTTGCCAATTATCCTGGCAAAAGAGGCTGAGGCCAGTGTGCGTTCTGCGCACGCTAGTACGGTGATAGGGCTGTGCTGGCATCGTCCCTGACGGTCTCCCACCCCTGAAGACTGACGTCGGCAAATTCGGACGAGGCTGATGGTCCCGCAGATCCGGGAGTGACATCTTGCTCAACTCACGTGTTCGGACTCCGGCGCAAGGCGTTCCCCTTCGGCGCGCCGCTAAACCTTGCCGCAAGCCGATCTCAGAGTGATGTAATGAAACTTCACCGTATTGTTCGTTCCTCACCTTAGCTTGCCATGTCAAAATTTTTAGAGGGGTAAACACGTGATTTTGGCGTCCACCTCTCCGCTGGATGGGACGGCTGCAGCCAATCAGGCGCTGTCCAACGCCTCGGACACGGGAACAGTGGATCCTAGCCGGCTCCGGACCAGTGACGGCGAGGAGGGGCACACACAGTCAGACTCACAGTGCCAGCGGGCGGGCGCTGCACCAGCCTCCGCCGCGTCCAGTGTCCCTCACTCGTCTGTCGTCCAACTAGACATACATGTTTTACTTTCGAAACATGAGGGACGGTTTGCTGAATCTTTAAGGTTTCCTTCACCAAGCCGCGCCTCCGATCTCTCTCACTTTTCCCATACCCTTGCCTCTCTGCGCCATCCCTCGCTAAAGTCGCTGCTGCTGTCGCTGACAGCTGTGTCGCTGCAGGTTGCTCCCTCCTGCATCGTCTGTCTCTTGCCTGTGCCCTGTTGCGCCCGTCATCCCGACCCAGCCTGCTCTGTCTACCCAGCTTGCGACCCCCGCCGCAAAATAGTATCCGCCATGGCCGACGCAAGCCCCGCCAAGTCGACGACGTCGCCGCGACCTCAGCTCGCCTCATCCATGAGGAGCAGCTCGTTTCTGCGCGAGCACCAGCAGTACCGGCCTCCGCAGCATCCCGAGAGTCGCTTCGGCATCGACACCGTCGTCGAGGACCTGAGCAACGTAGCCGTCTCGCCGCCCAAGCACGCTCACAACCATAACCACAAGCATTATGCTGGCTTCAACGGAATTCCTTCCGAGGACAATCCGCCTACCATCCGCAGCGGCTTGAATCACAGCTACTCGCACCCGAACTGTGCGCCTGTCGGGGGCAAGAAGCAGTCTCGCCTGGTCGCAACGCTATTCTATAAACCGAATGGCGACAGCCACGCGACCGCAGCATCTGGTGGCAGCGGCGTCGCATCGCCGCCCAAGTCGACCTCCGAGAACTCCAGCAGTAAGGATTCTCTTCCGGCCAACTTTGCGCCTACGCAGGACCCCGAATCCTTCCCGCTTGAACCCCCGACGCAGGAGCCCGAGAAGCTCGACCACTTGTATGGCTCGTACGTCTCGCCCATGTGCGTGACTTCGTTCCTGCACCTGATGTCGACCTTTCCTCTGCCCGCTGGCGAGACCGACTACAGCTCGTCGCATCGCTGCCTTGATAGCCAGGAGAACCCGCGAGTCGTGGAATTGACCCTCGACCCGGCCCCTTGCCAGAGCTACCTCAGCCTGACCGACCTGCGGAGACACGAGCTTATCTACCGTTTCGAGAGAGAATGGAGCGTCGACGTCGCGCTGCAGCCCGACACCCTGTGGCGCCGCCACCCTAGACTGGTCGTTTTCGACATGGACAGCACACTCATCACGCAAGAGGTGATTGACCTGCTCGCCGCGACCATCAAGGACCCGCCCGACCTGGCCGCGCGCGTCGCAGACATCACCCACCGCGCCATGCTCGGCGAGCTCGAGTTCGACGCCGCGTTCCGCGAGCGTGTGCAGCTTCTGAGGGGCCTTCCCGCGTCCTTCTTCGAGCAGCTGAGACCCGTCCTGGACGTGACCAAGGGTGTGCCTCGTCTGATCAAGGCCTTGAAGCGCCTCGGTGTGAAGACCGCAGTGCTTTCTGGTGGATTCCTCCCTCTCACAAGCTGGCTGGCCGGAGAGCTAGGCATTGACTACGCGCACGCCAACGAGGTGGTCATTGATGACGCCGGCAAGCTCACGGGAGAGGTCAAGGATCTTATCGTAGGCAAGGAGAGGAAGCGCGACCTCTTGGTCGAGATTGCTGGCAAGGAGGGCATCGACCTGTCGCAGGTCATTGCCGTAGGCGACGGCGCGAACGATCTCCTGATGATGGGGGCGGCGGGATTGGGCGTTGCCTGGAACGCGAAGCCGATGGTGCAGATGGAGGCCGACACGAGGCTGAACAGCGAGAGCCTTCTGGATCTGCTGTACCTGTTTGGTTTCACCGGACACGAGATTGAGCAGCTTTCTTCGTAATTTGGGAGCACGTAGACGAGAGAGGTGAGGCGCAGGCCCTGTGGTGTTGTGGGCAACCCCAAAGGCATTGCAGTCTTTTTTGGGAGTACTTTTTACACGCCCTCATGATTCAATTGCACGTCATTGAAATTCTGGCGCAAAAATCGCTCGGATGTTCCTCTCAACAGCCGTCAGAGCTTCAATCTGACGAACGCGAGCCAATGGGTGATGTTGCCGTGATATTGGTGACTGGTGTCAAAGGTGGAAATCGTGGTAAAATCTGAATTCTCCCTATCTACACATGAAAACCACCTTCCGCCCGTTGCACTGCTCGCGCAAAAACACTTCTCAACACAGGTATCTTCAGAGTTCTTTAAGGGTAGCCGTCCTTGCCCCACTTGTTGTACTTGTCGTGCAGTTCCTGTGTCATATTCGTCAGCATGGAAGCGTTCTTCTGCTTCAAATCCCGAGAAATACACTGCGTCTGGCCTAAACACCACGAGCAGCTCTCCATCGAAGGATCTGGGGAATCGTGAACGCACCTTGGGGAGGGTAACGTCGGGGATGATGACGGTGTTGACGGCGCTGGGAGCGTCCTTGGGCTCGTTGCTGGGGTTGCCGCCGGGGTGGTACTTGTACTTGCCCGCGCCTTCGGTCTCCCAGGGCATACCGGCCTTCAGCACGGGGCTCTCGGAGGTAGAGGAGGTGGGGGAGCGGCCTGCGCGAAAAAGACGTTAGCGACTGTCGAGCGTGCCGAGAAGGGGGGCGATGGTTCGTGGAGACATACCGAAGTAGAGGCCGGCACCGCCGAGGGCAGCAACCATAACGCCGCCGAGGATCTGTATAACGAAAATTCAATTAGCCTTCAATTGTTTTCTTCTCCCGCGCAAAGCCGCCGTAGCCCGAACCATCCACTTCCTCTTGCGAATCAGTCTTCGTGGGCCAGTCACATGTGCGTATGTCGGCTGGCATCGAAGTCCGGCTTCGCAGGGAGAAGTATTGGTGGAGAAAGGCGTTTGGTGATGTAAGGGTTTCGGCTGGATGGAACTGGGATATCACGCACGATGAGTTCGGGGTTGCGCTTGGACTCCTGGGTGAGCTGCTGCTTGGCCTGGGCCTGCTGCTCCTGAGTGAGGCGGCGGACCGTCGTAGAGAAGGCGCGGCGGGCGACGAAGGAGGCCATTGTTGCGGTGGTTGGACGTGTGGTCGTTGGGGAGTGGATGTTGTGAGGTGAGGTTCGGCTGTCGTATGATTTCGGAGCTTCAGGTTCGTTCGGTCGAGACAGAATCCCAAGGTTGAAATTCGGGAGAAACGATTGGCCGGGCTTAGGGGCGATCATGATTGGCCAATCCAGAGTTATGTGGGCATTACCTCATCCTGCAGCGTTTTATTGCATTTTATCTGACTAAACGAGCTTGGGAAGATACCCGGCGTGTCTATGTCTGTCCGTGCGTGTTCTTCCACGTTCCGTACTGAACGATTGTTTTCGTTTGGTTGCGCCGAAAAGCAGCCCGTACAGCCAGCGGGTAGAACCAGCTGCTTTTCTGCAATGCTGATAGGACAGAGAATCGCATTGCTTCTGGGCTGATAGCGGCCCTGTGCCGTCTGATGCAGCACACTTCTTGGACGACACCACAGTCACAGGGCTCCACGAACATTAGCAACGGCTCCATGAATATCTGGGACACCAGTGCTATCCCATGGACTGCCAGGAGAAGCCATTCCCCCAAAGCGCGAGAATGCAATTTAGATTAGTGGCAAGCCGTTTTAGTCCAACAGGAAATATCAAAGTAGTTGTTTGGAGAAAATATCAAATTAGCGTCTCATGGCAGTCTATGGAATCCAAGGTGAAGGTATGCCAGTCTGATGTCTCAGAATCGTACATATCAACACCATGTTTGCCTTTCAAGATATGGTTTATAATGTTTTCTTTCAACAGTACTATATCAATTGCTTTGAAATAGCCCCCAAATGCTGAAACACACCACAATCATATCATCTCAAAGCTCTCCAAACAACTGTACTCAGGCGTATATTCCGCTGGCATTCGCTGGTCATCCGCCTGTGGGGAGAAGCAACCACTTAGTTCACATACACTTTCGCGCCTAGTTTCCAGTGACAGTCCCTGTCCTTGCCAAGCACTATACATCCGATAGCCAAGAGCGTGACAACTTCTGAAGAAACCAAGGCGGTCCGGCGATTTCTACCACGAACGGGCTGGAAGATTTCTCCGGAACACCATCAAGTTGAAGTGGTTTAAGCAAGCTCGGGACCCATTAGAGTGGTGGTTAATGCGCCTTTAAGTCCATTGGGCTCACCTTCTACAGGTGGTGTTATGGACAAGGAGATAGACATCGTTGTGGTTATTGGCTCCTATCAGAAGACGTTGCTGACCCATCTAGCAAAGATGCTTGCCAGCAAGCCTGTGCTTTAAGCAGCTGAGAGGGCTGCCGAGCTCGGTGCATTTGCCGAGACACGCAGGTGTTGTCAAAAACTTGAATTAATCATAGGACTGTTCGAGGAATGGATTGGACGGGATAAACCATGCAGCGAACAATATGCCATAACGCGACGGACGGGACGATTTTATGTGCATGCCCGTGTCAATACTATCAGCATGATGAAAACCATGAATTTTCAAGCAGCGAAACCCATGGACAACAAATGGGGGCTAAAGCATCTGGAGCCAACAGATAATCGTGATAGGCGTGTGTAATTGGTCTGCTTGTGCCGTGGCTCAAGCGTCTCCCTAGAAATTGATGCGGGATAGAGATTTCCCGAATGGGGACCAACCCGGCAGGACGGCAAGATCATTACGGGAACCCTCAGCGTTACAACAGCTTCAATGGCTCCAAAAGAGGGGCACGACGCGTTCCAAACTGCCATATAGCCTACGGGTCAAGAGCAAGACCAAAACAACGCTTAGTATTGCGGACATGTCGTCGTTGGAGCTGGAGACACAAAGGTCAAGAAGCATCGGGAGACTGCAGACTTAAGCAACAACCAAGGCTAGAACGGCCGTAGTCTGTGCGCCCTTTTGTGCCGGCGCTCAATGATACTCTAGTTGAACCATTTGTCCGTCGTCCCAGGACTATTATCCTTCCTTCGCCGTAGCAATGCAAACCATCGCGGGCGCGGCGCGGTGTTGGTCTGTTGCTGCCGTGGTAATTTAAAGCCAACGCCTAAATTCGGCAATTGTAATCAAATGGGGTCTGGCCTGGCTGAGCCCGCACTGCATAAAGATAGCGGCCAAAGCCGCTAGAGGGGCTCGAGCGCACTCGCTACCGTAGATGTGAGGAAGGCCTGTGAAGACTTGTTAGTGATGACAGGCGGCAGCTGCACGTTGCGTCAACGAGGCTAGCCTCTTCCAGAGCATTATGCAGCCTTGTGCATAATGGATGCACAAAGCACAGACTCTCAGGTCGTGCCTGGTGGCCCCTTAAGGTGGGTATCCCAGTCCGGCCCATCATAGATTGTCCCCCGTGCAACTGTGCCTGCTGCGCTCCAATCCTCGTCTCCCCCGTCTCTCGAGGTGTGTTGGACAAACCCCATGCTTTTTCCCTGCGCCGGCTAGGTCGATTTCAGGTCTCGAAAAAGAAACACCGAGGCAAGACAAGTTCCAAAGTCTGGTCGACCTTTTCTCTTCGCTTCGTTCTTTGTCACGGCTCGCCCGCCATCCCATCCTTCCTTTCTCCGTCCTTCCCTACTAAGCACGAATTCAATACGACGCGAATACTCATCCGTTCACTACTTCGCCTTAATCCACGGGCCCTTTCTTATTCCTTCACACGACCTTTTGATACCGACTCCCACCACAGACCTTTGCGCTTGAGCCTTTTCCAAACTTTCTACGACGCACCTGCCGAGCAGCCCGAGCCCACCGTACCGCGCGACGTTCATCACATCGTCGCCGTCAAAGCGCCAAATTTAAGTCCGACTACGACTCTTCTTGACCTCTCCCCGACAGGACCTCGAACCGAGTCTTTCCGATTCCACCATCTCTCGATTACCGCGTCAATAGCGACATGTTATAGTGGAGGAAACCCGCAACCATTGAGAGAAATATTGCGCCGTCGTGCATCCGATAGCAGCGCTCGACGATGACGTCCAAAGACCAGGCCGCTGGTGCCAACGCTTCGGCCGGCGATGATGGCTTTCCGAAACCACAGTTTCCTGGGCGCTCCGACCGACCAGGCCCGCCGAGTATCATCTCGTCGCGAATGACCGATATTGCATCCGACGATGGCGGGGAAGCCGCAGCGCAGACCCTCTCCGAAAACACTGGAAGAAAATCAGCCCTGGCCTCGGACTCCGTCTCACGCCCAGGAACCGCGAAGACGGGAATGTCTGGACCCTGGGAGGGCCGCCGACGAGGCCCGCCTCCACGGATGAATTACATCACGAGTCTCAACGAGAAGAGGGGCAGCACCGGGGCTGGTAGTGCCGCTGGCTCCATCAGCAGTCGGCCGCCAAGCTCAGCAAGCCGCAGCCATGTGCCGTCCCTCACGTCTTCGGCCTTCTTTCGTCCCATGAGTTCACAGAAGCTGCAGGCCCAGCGTGGCGGTTCCCGGCCCGTAACTCGTCAACAACCTACATTCGAGGACGCCGAGCACGAACCCGGCCAGAGTGCCGCAGCAGCCGCAGCTGTTGCCAGCGGCGGACCGAATGCTCGACACAGCGTAATTTCCAATCCTGTATTGAATCCTGTCGCCCGTCTTCAACGGCAGCTCAGCGACGACGGCGAGATGCGGGCGCCCCCATCCCGCGGAACCGAGTATACTGACCAGGGAACCTACGATCGAATCACTGCGAACACGAGTCCAACACATGGCCACTATGCCGCTGGCAGCATGTCTGAAAGTGTTACCCCGTTGCAACGAAACCAGCGCAACAGTCGAAACCTAAGCGTCAACGTTGACAGAGGCTATAAGGAACGGGGCAGTCAACCCAGCCCCGCCAAGTCTCCGCGGTCTTTCCGCTCCAGCTTTCTTTTGCCGGGACGGAGTGATACGGGCCAGAACAAGTCCAACCGGAACCTGCCAGGCGGAGAAAAGCTTTCTTCAACTGCCTCGACCCCTCAGCTTAACACAGTCGACTCGTCCAGGCCTGCCGACAAGAACAATTTGAGGATGTCACGGTCAAATCTTGGCTATGTCTTCCAGTATTTCGAGGGCAACACCGTCTTCTGCATAGGCGGGCGGTTCCAAAACACGAAGCACAGGCCGGTCAATGTGGCTACCGGCTTGTTCATTGTCATTCCGGCAGTCCTCTTCTTCGTCTTCTCCGCGCCTTGGATATGGTACAACATCAGCCCCGCCATTCCCATTACTTTCGCGTACCTGTTCTACATTTGCATCTCTTCCTTCCTCCATGCTTCCGTGTCAGATCCCGGCGTAAGTTGTGACTCTTGCTGTGGTAATGCCATTGCTGACAGCTCCTAGATTCTGCCTCGAAACCTTCATGCCTTTCCTCCTGCAGAACCGACCGAGGATCCTCTCCGACTTGGCCCGCCGACTAACGACTGGACGCTGATAAAATCGGCCGAGTCATCGACGGCCGCCATGGAAGTTCCAGTCAAGCATTGTAGAACATGTAATATTTGGCGACCTCCCCGGGCCCATCACTGCCGCCTCTGCGATAATTGCATCGAGACTCACGACCACCACTGCGTCTGGCTCAACAACTGCGTTGGACGGCGCAACTACCGCTATTTCTTTGCCTTTGTGTCCTCGGCCACATTCCTCTCCCTCTACCTTCTCGGCGCCTCGCTCAGCCAGATCCTAATTCACATGAACCGGTCTGACATTTCTTTCGGCAAATCCATCGATGAATTCCGTGTACCCTTTGCAATGGTCATTTACGGCTTCGTCGCATTCCTGTACCCTGCCGCCCTCATGGGCTACCACATTTTCCTCATGGCGCGAGGCGAAACAACCAGAGAGTACATCAACTCCCATAAGTTCATCAAGGCAGAGCGCTTCCGGGCCTTTACCCAGGGAAGCATGCTCAAGAACTGGATTGTTGTCCTATGCCGGCCGAGGCCTCCCACGTACTACCAATTCAAGAAGGAGTACAACGTCGGGGACCAGCGCCTCGGTGCCTTCCGCGATCAGCCCAAGCACGACGCCCAGGGCATGGAGATGCAGAACGTGAGGCCATCAACAGGGTTTCAAGGACCCGTCTCTTTACGCAATGAAGCAAACACATCCACGACATAATTACCCATTTCTTTGATTGTTTTTCTGCGCGGCGTTGTTTATGGGAGCGATCATAAGTACAACGGATCCTGGATACCTGTAATGTATGTTTTCAATTATACCCGGCTTTACCTATTAAAGCAGGTAAACAGGCATATGCCCCGGGGCTTCTTTTCTTTAATATGGAGAAGGGGAAGCCACATTATTCCAACGGGGCAAGAACGCTTCGGAATCGGAGCTTGTAGATAGACATGCAGCAGTCGCACTTCGTTGCGCTCGCACTTAAACACTAGTTGACGCTCATAATTAAACCTGCTGGTTTCATGGTGTGTATACTTCCTGGTGAATCATTGTTCTGTTTGCTGTCAGCGACCAACAGTCAGGTGCCAAACATGTCTTCACATCACTTGCTTCAACAAGGCACGCTTGTGAATCATCCATCTGTGCTACCCGAGCAAACATTATAAAATGCCTCCCTGCACAGCTGACAGGACTCATCTATACAAAAGGCAGACGCGAAGGCAGACGCGAGGCAACTTTACGAAACATCTACACCAAACCACAACTCTATCATAATCGTAGCCACGAGAGAGGACATAATCACAATGGCCTACGTTTTCGACGGCTACTCGGAAGCCAGCTCGGCTCGGAACAGCCCCCGGAACCAACGACAACCTCTGACAGGCAGCCGGCAGCGACGAAGAGAGCAGGACGGACCTACCGGCAGCGGTGGCGGTTCTGAAGGAGTTTACTTTGGGACGGGCCGCTTTTACGAGGAGAACCTTCGGAACGAGCAGCAACGGCAGCGGGAGCGGGAGCGGGAGCAGCAGCAGCAGCAGCAGCAGCAGCAGCAGCAGACGCCGCGGTATCCTTCTTCTGGCCCTTTCGGCGGTCTGAACGGGTCGGGATTCTCGACTGGAAGTGACTGGCCTACGGACGAATGGGGTCAGGTGTTTGTGGAAGTTTTGAGAAGGACGCAGAGGAGACAACAAGGAATGGGTGATGATGGAGGCCTTGGGATGGGGTTTGGGGGCGGTGCGATGGGAGGCGGACTTGGGCAACAGGCCCCCAGAGCCGGTGAAGATATCCACTTTGAGGACTTTTTCGGTGGTACTTGGGGCAGTACCGAAGGCGGTAGGCGCGGAGGTGGTGGTAGAGGAAGGTTCGGGGCTGATGCCGGGTGGTTCGGTTTCGGTGGTGCTAGTAGAGGAGGTACCAGCTTCGGCGAGATGTTTGGGCCGTCCGACCACTCCCCTGGCGGAGCAGGGTACGGTGCCGGCGCCGGCTGCAGCTTTGGCTTTGGCGACCGGGAGTATGTCCGGCGTGGAGGGGCGGGTATGACGTGGGCTGAGTTCATGGAGCTTTTCCGGCATCGGTATGACGGTGACAGCCCCTATGGGTGTGCCGGGGGGCCTCCACCTGTTGATTTGTTTGACAACTGGCACACAGACTGGTGAAGTAACTGCCGGAAAATTCTGTATACAGTTGACATAAGCGGAGTCACTTGGACACACGGCTTTTGGGATCATAAGCGCAGCAAGGCGTCCTTAAGTTTGTATTGTAACAAGTTGAACCATGGCCATCGTGTTTGATGTGACAGTTTACTGCGCGCTTCAAGAACACCCGCTGTAGATTCAGCGGACAAGTTCAATGGTACGAGTTTGATGCCGGATGGCTGGGGGGTGTTGTTCAATCTTTTTGCGACCATATTCGGTATTCTTCTCGTGAGCCAGCTGCAAGCACTGCTGACCATCCTGCAGTTGAACAGCCTATGGCGGAGAACGACGGCAACGCCACGGAAAGCAAAGCGGCGTCTTGATTGCGGATTGGGTGTTGCTGCATCATACCTAATCTGCGAGGTACTTTTGTTCTGAGCCAATGGGTTCCGCTGGTACGGCTGTCTGATGTGACACAGAAAGCAGCCTGAATTTGCCAGTCTACGAAGCCTGGCAAGATGCCCTAAGCTCCAAATCCCCAAATTATCCTCGTTCGAAATCGGATCTCTTCATCGAAAAGAACAACGTCTGGACTCGTCACCTCATTTACTCGGTTACCTCAACATAGACATCGGCTCGACATGATCGGACCATGGATATTTCATTCGAAATCAATACGCTCGAAATGCCCTTGGTCACTAGGAAGCCTTACGCCACAGGTAATGTCTGGGATTGTCACCGGTCGATCATCACTAGACTCTATCAGGATGAGAAGAAGTCTTTAAAGCAAGTGAAACGTATCATGGAATGCGATTACAACCTCTACGCCACGTAAGTCTCGTCTGCTGGCACCGCGTTAATGTTCAAATGCCTAATTGAACGGGAAGTGAGAGAATGTTCAAAACTAGAATAAAGAACTGGCGACTTGACAGAAAGCTCAAAGAAGCTGAAGTCTTGCACATGCTTCAGCTCAAGCAGGAACGTGATGCTGTAGGGAAGAAGTCACAATTCTCCGTTCGCAACCAAGAAGTCGACAGGGAAAGACTGGTACATTATCTGAACCGGCGTCCTGACTTACGCAATAAGTTCCAAGGTTTCACTCAACAGTCGACGTATACGTCCCTTGAGATCGTTTGCCGAACACCCTCACCAGCCCTCAACAAGTCTTCTCTGACAGGGCCTCCGGATATACAGCTGCCTGACGAAATGCTGCGAATCTTCAGAAGCTACGTTGAGGGTGCATTTGAAAGTATCTGGAATATACAGGGCGGTGAACTATATGGTTATGGCCAAAAACGCGGCCGTGATCGTGTGGACAAGATGTATGCCGACCTTGGTAACGTATCAACGTTGCTGCGAAGAAACCAGTTGCAGGCTGGGTTCTGCATCCTGAATCGTAGCCTCGACTCTTTGGGCCGTCTGATCAAGGAACAAGATCCGATACTTTTCTACAACTTATCCTACTGCATCTTACAGCTGCAAGACAGAGTAGCCGAGCCTTTAATCGTCTTTGTTGATGAAATGCATGCTACAATACTAGGAAAACGACACCCCCTCAGTCTTGTGTGGAACAAATTCAGATATGTCTCACGGGACGTTCGCGAAAGAGTTTTCAGCATGATGGCTCTCAGTGCCGTTCAGTTCCTCGAAAACCGGCTGGGAATTCTGAGCACTGTGATCAATTTAGCTCTCATCCAGTCAACACAGATTCTTCACAACTTGGGTGAGACAAGCGGAAGGGAATTTCGCAAAATCCTGTGCACTTATGATGCAGCTGCCAAAGCATACTTTGCAGAAGGAGACTATCCAAGGTTTTGTGGTTGTCTTCTTGAAAAGGCTAGGCTTCAATCACTGGCACGGTAGCAAAGACGCATGGGTACGGGTTTACTCTCTAGCTCAAAAAGGGATGGAATATCCGAGAGATCTTAGTCCGGACAGGAGCTTCGTTGCTACGAGCTCTTGAGTCATCTATTATTATGGGAACTTAATAAGGTCGAACAGACCTCAAGTACTTATACATAGCTTACAAGCATGCAGAAAAGCATTTGTAGCCAGGAGATAGTCGATCCCTAGCAGTCATGTAGAAGCTCATCGAGATTTGCTAAGAGACCAGACGTGACGAGGCTCCCGAGCAATGTTGCGAGACGCTGCTTGTGACAACGACGGAAACTGGAATTATGTAAACCAGAAGAAAATGTGGCAAGAATCAGAGCGGAAGATTTCCGTTGAGCTGAAGAAGTCGGCCCACTGCGTGTTAAAAGTGCCTGTGTACCTAAAAGAGGATTTATATATGTTTAATTGGGATTGCTATATCTCATGTTCAAGTTGCGTCGGTAACTATGTGAAGGGTTTTAAACACGCCTTCGCAGATATGATCATGCAACAACAATATATGGAGATGTGCGAATCGCGCGGCCTAAGGCCACCTGTGATAGGGGCAGCTGTAATGTGCCCCCCTAAGGCTATAGTAGCTGCATTATCCCAGACGAACACGTTGTCTCCGTGTAGAGAACTGAGCCGCAGGAAAGGTTCTATCTTCAGGCGTCTGCGACTCATGTGAACCCAAATCAGTGATCGTGACGAATCCCAAAGTTCCTATTCTCACTGTAAGACCAGGAATAGTGTAAAGCACAACAGCGAAAGTAGTATGATCCATTGGAGAGAATGATACTGCAGTGAATTCTCGATAGACGAAGCTGGTAGCCACGTTCTCATAGCCAAAGTCAGGTGTAAACTTCAAGGCAAGGGTTGGCGAATCTGTCTGAGAATAGTCGGAAGTCGGGATATAGAACAAGTCATCATGCGCGCTACCTGAGTTTCGCTTGATTTGCCGATGAAAGAGGGGACCGGTATTGAATGTCCAGCATTCAATATGTAGGTATCGAGTCCATTGCGTGAAAGATGAGTCAATGCCGCCGTCTTCATGAAATGTACTCCAATCCATAACTCTGCCGTCGAGCAATTCAACCCATATTTCGGCGTCGAAGTTCTTTGTACTTTCCACCAAGTCAGGGGGTTGTAAATGGAAGTAGCCTTTGTGGCCGAACAGTCTTCTCCCATTTTGCGATACCCATGACCAGCTTGGAAAATCTGCAAGTCTGGCAAGGTTTTTGACACCTGAGCGTACTTCCCACTCCAGTCCGGCAAGAAATGCTCGCTTCAAAGTGTCGGCATCCTGCCGTGGCCAGTCCGAGGCTACTATCGGAACACCCCAATAAGACAAGCATCCCGGGTTTGCTCTCGACCACTTCTTCAAGACTCCCATAATTGCAGCAAGTCTGTCGCTGGTGAAGGTAAGCTGGCGTTCGCAGTATCTTTGGATTATGGCCCAAACGCCGTGAGCGTTGTTAATGTGGTTCCATTCTGGTCTCTCATAGTGTTCCAAACTCCCTTTATAAGCCAGGGGACGGGTGAGGTGCTCGAAGCACATCATGTCATGACATTCAAAAGACACCTCGTAGTTGGAGAAGTAGAGCCTTCGTCTAGATAGGCAGGTTTCTTGAAAAGTCCATCCTCGCGTGGCCCACTTGGACCTGGTAATTTGGTCCAGCTGCCAGTGATGACTGAAGTTTGCAATGAGCTTCTGCTGGCCAATTCGCTTGGTGATTGAAGCATGCTGTGTCCGGCTGAGAGTCAGACCCGGAAGACCGTAGCTAGGGTCTTTGGCGCCGACGGCGATAATGGTAAGCTCCGCATCCCCATAGATCTGGTCCATCTGCTCGACTTGGCTCATCTTATGAGTCTTGTCTTCTTGCCATATACAATAACGATCGATCCAAACATAACGAAAGCCAAGCTTCATGGTCGCACGCATAGAGTCTAGAATGACAGGCGGGAGGTCGTCGGGGAGGCGTGGGTATGTGTACTTTTCGGGGGGCGCACTGCCCCAGACGTAGCTGAGTGCCACGTAACGGAACTTCCGGCCAGAGTCTGCGTTGATGATACGGCCAGACTCACAGTCTATCAACTTGAAGTGGAGGACAGGTTTCCAGTCGGGAGCTGTGCGACATGTAGCGTGTTGTCTTTCACAGAGTTGTATCCAAGACCGAATAAGTCCGTAGTCAACCCGTTCTTCAAGGAGTCTTCGTCCCTGCATCGGCAACTCCATGAGTGATTGAGGAGGCTCCACGATTGTGTCCGACAGTATGGAGATCAAAGTCCCTGGAAACTCTCGATGAGCGAATCGAATCCAGGCGGTCAAGCCTCCTCCGGTTTGGGTGTTGCCGAAGTACCGAGCCGCAGTCTGACTGAACTGGCCAGGGCTCATGATCAACAGGAAGACCGAGGCTGGAGCAACCCCGGAGCCTGCTTCGCCATCTGCAATAACAAAGTCGTACAGAAGATCGGCAGGAATTGCTAGGATAACTCTACTGGTCTCACGCGTTGCTCGGCTGATGATGTGTAAAAGACCCAGGACTACTTCGCAAAAAGGGCAACTGAGAATCATGCCGGGCGGGTATTGCCCGAGTCGCTCCAGTGGCGGCCGCCAGTCCCCGACATGTTGGATGTATCTAGTCCAGCTAGTCCCAACGCCTTCAGCTGTGCGGACGCCTGGGAGGCCATCGAATCGAGCGGGGTCAAACACCTTCTGTAGGTCAAGACTGGAGCAGAGTGGACATAGTCGGTCGTCGGCAAATGACATGTTGTGGAATCCGTTGGAAGAGGCAAAGCTCATGCCGATCCATTAACAGATGTTCTTTGAGGTATGCAGAAGAGAAAGTGACCTGGGTCAAACTGCTGCCTGAAGTGTTGACGGATACCCGTTTCTGCAAGCGCCCATTGGTTCGTTAGCCCTGATTGTGATTGGCTTCATGTTCCTGTCGCAATCACTTGGCAATGTGCCGAGTGAAGAAAAGCGGCGCTAATCCAAAGAACACTTGTATTATGTCAGTCAGGAATAAACGTTGGCAAGGTCATGTTTTGTCGAATAAATAGCGAAATCAAATTAATCAGTCCCGTCGTGGTTGAAGAGACTTGCGTCAGGGGCTAATAGAATATCCCAGTTTCCTTGCATAGACTGAGTTCCCGCAGCAAACACCCAATCAAGGTCGAGCCTCATATCCAAGTCGATGCCTTCGTGGTCCTTCCCTTGATGTTTATTCGGATGATCTCCTCGCTGAGCCGGCGAGAAACTCTGAAAGCTGTCAACACCTCTCGAACCAGCTGAGCTGTCTGTCCGAGCTCGCTTCCGGGAAGGCTGCTCGCCCCGTGGCACACATCCATGAGATGGTATGTGAATACGACTGCCCTGAATCGGACGACGAGAACGAAGCTCCCAATTCCGCTGCAACATGATGAGGAAGTCTCGCGCTCGCTTGGCGCACTCCCATGACGACGACAACTCCTCCAAAGCGCGGAAGCATACGCTCAAATGTGTTGTGGTCTGGGCCATCTTCTTCCTTCTACGATGAGATATTGAGGCGAAGATCAATATGATTGCTGATGAGAATATGATGGCTACACCTTGGATATTGACTCTTCTAAGGGTATACTGTCGCTCGTAGATTTGTATTAATTTAGCTATCGCGATGGCGGCCTCGATGCACATGCGTTGTGCGTGCATGTAGCCTGGACCCTGAGGCGGCTGGGGCTGGATATAGCTCGATGACATCCATGGCCTATGAGATTGTATCACATTTTGATAGTACTGCATGCTGTGAAGAAGGCTTAGCGGACTGAGGCATGACTAATAATTAGCTGCTGTGATGACTTACTGTAGCAGAAGAACGTGTGGGAGATATGCCCCTCTGGCGTCTTCTGGGTCGACTTGGAGACTTTGAGGTAGAGACTCTTTCCATATAAACAACCTTGATACAACTCTTTCGTTGTGCGCTTGCAAAATATCCCGTGGTATCTTGGAGTTACCGTATCTGTCGCGGGATATGTTAGTTACATTAATCTGAATGAAGTGGGCGGTCATCTGAAAACAAGCGTACAATGTGTGACCTAAAGGAGCCATGATTTCACACAGCCATATCTTGCGAAGACTAAAGTCTTCGGTATGATCGCACAGAGCATCCGAAGAATCGCTTCTGTCGCTGAGTGACGTATAAGGAGCCCACAGCGTGACTCGTCTTCTTGATGCGTCTTTTCTTGGCTTCTGCACTGTGATGTCGTCCATGCTGATACGAAAAGGTCTGCCTCTGTAAAACCCCAACGTTCTGAGATCAACCCTCGTTAAAAAATAGTTCTTTATCAATCGGAGCCGTCATCTTACTGATCCATTGTGTATGCCCCCCAAAAGACAGCACTGCGAAGTTCGGCCTCGGCTGGTGTCAGGATGCCTTTGGTAACGTAAGCTGTCATGTCCTTGTGTAGTGCGAGGTCGAAAGCGAGCCGAATAGCCATTCCTAAAGAGCACCGTCAATACCTAGGTAGCAAGCTTTGGGTATGTCAAGGCAGTACCGCTATATAGCCAACCACGGGAGTCTCTATTTGCCCCGATCTCATGGTTGCTTAGCACGACCATGGCTTGGACCGTTGAGACTGAAGGTGAATCCAGCTCAATTTCTAGCAGAGTCTTGGCTCGTGCGGCAAAGAAGTCAGGAAGAGACTTCGGGAACGTCACAAAACTCGGATGATATCGGGCTTCAAAAGCAGCGCCTAGTGAGCACCTGTCGAGAATCAGCCATAAAGTCTAGTGATGATGAGTGTAGCCTCGATGCTGAGACGAACATTGCATTTCTAAGTGCCTCAGAGTAATATGAAGTTTCTTCTTCCCGTTGAAGCCAGTCATGTTTTGCTTCTTCGTACAACTCTCGATCAACGACATGGGAAAAGGGATCTTGCCACGAAAAGTAAAGACTGATTAGATGCTCCTCGAGATCCGGTGGTACTGGGTCGCCATAACCCATATTATCGAGGTGTTCTTGGCCATCGTTACGCACAGTACGGTCGATAGATAAGATATCTGGCCCGGTGGGTAATTCGACAAGACTAAAGTTAGACGTTGGACCAAAATAAGCTATTTGACCATTGGGGCCTATGCGCAGGGAACCGAGGCGATCTGAGAGTTGGTTCACTAGATCATCTTCCGTGGTACCCGAGCCGGTATCGTCATCGTCATTATCGCTTAAGACAGCATTCTCTGAATAGGTGCTCAGAAAAGGGCGACTTGGGGTTTTCACACTGGCAACATCTACCCCTGTTGCACAGTTGTAGTCGTGCTCGGCAGGACTCCAATCCCAATCTGCGATGGTTTGTGCTGTGTCAATCTGTAATGGAGCTTGAACCTGCGGGACTTGCCCATCCGGGTGGCTGACCAGATCAAGAGTATATGGGCCGAAAGGGAAAGATGAGTCTATGGACAGCTGCTCTGGTGGTGTTATCTGATTGGGAATCGGCGGTGGGGGTGCCAATGCTTGCGTCTCTAGAGACAATGCTGGGTCGATAGACAGTGCCTTGTTCTGCCCCAAAGTGGCCTGAAACGTAGAGAGACCTAGAGTATCTAGTACGCGATTGAGGTTCTTGGCTTCTTCTGTAGGCATTTCTGGGAGTTGAAGGCCATTTTCGTTGATGAACTGGGACAGTTGGTTGACTCTGCTCGTAAGCAGTTCGACAGCGACACGAAGAGACAGTCTACTGGATATTAGCCTCGAGCTTTTAGCTACAGAGACTAGAAAAGGGAAGCAGACTTGCGCTTGTCTTCTCCAGCCTGATAACGACAGTCTCGGTGCTTGTTTCTGCAGTGGGAGCAACACGGAGTTACGCCGTCACACTTTAGAAAATCGGTCAGAACAATCTGAGGGCCAGGTTGGGGCACGGCATGTACCTTGATTTTACTCTCCCGGCAAGGAATGCACGCTGTCGTGACATGTCTTCTCTTGTTTTCAGGTTTCGACGATTGGGGCATTACGTCTGGGTGTCTGGAATTCATCACCGATATCATGTTGAAGGAGTGTAGGATAATTGAGTTAGCAGGGTCTGATGTGGGTGAGGGGTGACGGTGGCGGTGGGGATTTCTTGACTTCTCCGAGGCCTACTCGGCGGCGTTCCAGTGCGTCTTACTCCGCTTATGCATGGACTTGAGTATATGTGTGGCTCGCAGTGTTGCTTGTTGTAGCGCTGGACGCGGAGCGTGGGGGCTGCGCGTTATCATGATACAGGGAACTTGCTAGACGCTAAACGTACTATGTGGCACCTAATAGCCAATAACTCTGTACCACGACTGTCGGATAGCAGCGGTATGTTTTTAACCTATCTAACCAGAAGCGGAGCAAATATGGCGAGGCTCGTCAACTTGAGAGTTCTGGGAACGAATACAAGATCGCAGTACCAGATCTCGTGTATGTTGCGGTCTAGAAGATAAGGATGATATATTGAGGAACAGCTCCATGAAAACATGCACGCAGATGTACATAATATCGCATGGAGCTTGGCTTGCGCATTTGCGCAACCAGACCAGCCAACTTGACTCGTGTTAATTGAGATCCCTCTAAAGGATTTGAAGCTGGCTTCGGCCATCTCAGCTTGTCGAGTCTTCCTTAGGGTGAGCATGCAGATGGCGTTAAAAGACCAAGCGGTTCCAAGCACCGCAAATACCAAACTTTACGTAAGAACACCACGCCTTTATGGCCCTAAAGATGGCGGCACGTCGGCCGGCGATTGGTGATGTCGGAATTGAAAACATGTTCAGACAGCATATGGTCATAGCGCAGGTGCCACATACATTGCTTGAGCTCTGCGAGTCTCCGAATTCTCGGCGACGTTGCGGCTGTGAAAGGTAGGTGATCCGGAAATAGGGTCCGAGACGATCTGAAATCTGAGCCGCTCGTGAGATCTCATAGGACGATCGGAAACCATATTCCGAGATCTTCACCGGACGGGAAACCCACATTCAGGGTCATATGGCGTCGCTCCTAGAGCGTTCAGAGCCAAGGTGTATTTTGTCGCCGAATCGAACTGATTCATCAACATTTTTCTTCTGATTAGAATGCCGGAGCTGCTGAGTAGGAGCCGCAGAGAGCAGCCCCGAGTGGACCACCCGAGAACCGGCCCCATACGGAGCTCAATCAGGCAATTTTGGCCGGCATAGGAGATGTCAATAGCGGGTTCGCCAGGTAAAGCCCTCTTCAGAAATTGCCACCCGGGACTACTCGCAACGGAAGTCTTAAAGCTAGGAAAACCTCAAAGCGTTGTTCATCGAATCATTTCCCCTGTATGTCAAGCTGAAATAACGTCTTATGTTTGCAGATTGTGGAGAGCGCTAATCCACTACATCTGCCGTATAAGACACCCCGCGCCTTCACTTGAACCCTTCTAGTTCATCTACTTCAAGATCGCGCCAGCACCAACCTTCAGTCACCATTCACAATACTCATCCCGGCTGACCAACGAGCAACATGACTATTCAAAATGCGCAAATGAACGGAAATCGCTTCCCAATACCCTCATCTTCACGCCTATTCGCCTCCTCCGAAGCCTCGGCAGTAGAAGGCTTGGCAGCCATCTGCTCCCAAGAAACAAAGCCAGAAGACTACCCACTCGCCGCCTCGATTGAGAAGAATGTGCCTATCTATGATCTCCCCGCTTATTCCAGCCTGACAAAAACGCAATGCGATGCTCTTCAGGACGAGTGGTATCACGTGCTGATCTCGGGCCCAGGCGTCTTCGTTACCAAGGGGCTCTACCGTGACAAAGCGCTGATTGATGCGGTAAACACAGCATTCGCCTCCATCATCGAAGAAGAGAAGAAGTCAGAGACTGCAAAGGGCGACCACTTCGCGAGTGCAGGTACAAACGACCGTATATGGAACTCATTCAGCAAGCATGGCCTCACAGACCCGGCTTCATTTGTCGAATACTACTCGAACCCATATGTTGGCCTAATCTCCAGCGCTTGGCTTGGACGGGGCTACCGTATCACCGCGCAGGTCAACAACACCAAACCAGGCGCCTCTCCTCAGGTTTGCCATCGGGATTATCATGTTGGCTTCCAGACCGCGGAGGCGGCGGCCCAGATCCCGCGCGCGATGCAGATCGCCAGCCAACTGCTCACCCTTCAAGGCGCCGTAGCTCACTCAAATGTCCCTCTCGAGAGCGGGCCAACGCGGTTGCTACCTTTCAGCCAGACGTTTGAGGCTGGGTACATGGCCTATAGAAGGCCAGAGTTTAACGAATTCTTCTTGAACAACTATGTCGCTTTGCCGTTGGAGGTCGGCGACGGATTATTTTTCAACCCTGCACTTTTTCACGCGGCTGGCGAGAACATATCAACTGATGTATACCGGATGGCAAACCTGCTGCAGATCAGCAGCCCCTTCGGCAAACCAATGGAGTCGGTTGATGCTGTGCCGCTTGTGGAGAAGAGCTGGGATCATTTGGTCAAGTTGTATGAAGCTCAGGATCTGAGTGATGAAGTGAAAGCGTTTTTAGCAGCTGTAGCTGAGGGTTACCCCTTTCCTACCAACTTGGACAAAAACCCACCACGGAACGAAGGCATGGCGCCGGAGTCGGAGCAGGACATTATCACTAAGAATTTGGTAGAGAAGCGAAGCAAAGAAGAGGTAGTACATGCACTCAAGGAGTTTGTCACTAAGTCGCTAGCATAGACATAGCTCGATGGCCACATGAATATCGAAACGGTACCTTCCGGGTCACCTCCATGTTCTGTTACTCATTGTTATTGAAACTCGGTTCAACGAGCCTGTAAGCCTATGAGATCTGCATGACTGATTGGTTCCGTAAGCATTTTAGTCCACTTATTAATCATCGTTTTGCTTTCAGTAATCATTCTCTCAATACCAAACGTTACCTCTAGACAGTCGAGCAATCACATCGACTAACAAATAGAGCCCCCATGCTAAATCGAACCGCATAAGCAGGTTCAACAGGCGTCTACGACTTGCTTAGAAATCTATTCAAGTCCTGCTTGGAATGCTGCTAAGAAAGTGCAAGGCGATACGAGACCTAAAAAGCGATTAGTATTGAAACAAGCCGACACTACAACATAAGCCTCGAAACGGGCGTCCATAATAAACGCAATGGCCAACCCAATTTCTTACAAGCCATGACCGGACCGTTGCCGCCTACCCGAAAGCATCTTGCCCGGCTGCTTAGTTCTCATCCATCAATCGTTGAAACTCGTCTTTAAATAGCTTTTAGTGTGACGTTGCTGCCTGGTTCACGTTACCCGAATTCATGTGACCGCGCGCGGTGCTACTTTCTCGCTAGAATCATCGTCAATTGGTCCTCCCCGAACGCGGCCCATTCGGAACCGAGCCCGACTGGTGTCTGCATTTTTGGGCTCCCCGGGCTACTAGTGCGAACCGGACCCGAGTGACAGCAAACGTTGAGAGTGACATCATGAGTGAGACCTTCATTCCTTCTAGTGCGGATACGAGGTTTGCACGGGTCCACACTGTACACCGCTAATGCTTCATACGCGATCGGCAGGATTGTGATCTTTCATGGTGGCATCTTGCGTGGCGTGCCAATGTCACGATGTTGTGCGTTCAGCTTTCCTCAGGGATGAAAATCTTGTTTATATCGGGATGAGATTCCACTTCCCAGGGTTCCCATCTATTTCTCATCACCGCAATCCACAATTACTACAACACTCACACCGTTTCCGTTACCGCAAGCATCTTAAGATTCCCCGAGCATTCCACCACGCCTCTCAAAAAGCAACCTCGCCCGCAGCTGCAAGTCATTCAACCTTCTTACCAACCTTGCAACCTACATCTCAGCTTTAAGTTCCAAGTAATACCTGCGACTTATCAATATGTACGCCATTCGCCTCTTTGCCGTCATCTCCGCCGCTGTCGCTGGTACCTCTGCCGCCGCCATCAATCTCCAATGGGGCGCCCCCACGAACGCTGCCGCTGCCGAACGCCGTCAAGCTGACGAGGTCCACCCAACTCCGGAGATTGTATGGGAGGCAAAGAACTACATTTGGGGCTGCTCACCCGGCGGCTGCAGCTCTCGTTTCAACATCAGTTCTTCCGGAGGCTACATTTCTGGCGCTCCCGGCTTCAATGTCGTCTGCAGCCCCATCTACATCCAGCAGGGCTGGGTGCCCTGCCGCAATCCCGACAACAGCCCCCTTCCCGAGGACTCTCAGGTCTTTTCTATCTGGACTGCGGGCGCGGATCGTGAGCGCCAGTATCTGGGTGTTTCGCATATCTATAAGCGCCCCGAAGACAGTCTCACCTGGAATGCTACTGCTCGCACCGACTTTCTTCCTGTTCAAAATATGAGCATTGCATTCCCAGTCAACACTGTCACCATTGCTGACGCCAGCACGAACAGGAGTACTGTGCTGGATGTGTAGTTTTATCGATTGAATGTTAAAAGCATTGGGCAAGGAGTTTATGTCATTCACTATTTTTACTATTATCTATTTGAACACGAGTAGCGTAATGCATAATTCTTCCAACCTGGCAATAGGTTTCTGATACCAACCATTTTAAACTTGAGGCTACCGTATTTGTATTGATACCTGTGTAATTCTCCTTACCAAGGGTTCCCATCAATTGGGGCAAGAGGAGTCTGGCACTTAGCCGCCAGTGCTACCTTGGCCTCATTACTATCGATGCTGACACAAGGAGCGTTGATGCCGCCGTCGATGCCATCACAAATGATCACAGGCTCACCGCCACAGGGAGAAGTGACGTTGAAGTTCTTGAACTTAATGTTATGGCAGACAGCGTCGGGGTTCGTCGAGCACGTCAGCTTGGCGACAGCGTTGCCGTAGATTCCGCTGGTGTAGCCAGTGAAGTTCTCAAACAGAACGTTTGAAACGTTCATACCAGACGGGTACTGCTCGCAGGTTGTCTCATTGATCTACTAACAATCAGCTTCCGGTTTCAAGACCACAGAAGGAAAGGCATAGTGAACTTACGTTGAAGTAGCAGGAGTCGAGGATGACACCGTAATCCATTCGCGCGACCCAGAAGTTCCTTTCGATTAAATTAGTTCAATGTCCTTGTTCCAGAGTGTAGGTATGGCTCACTTGTACGTAATGTTGTCGACAAAGCCGTAGCCAACGTTAGGGCCAGCCCAAGTCTTGATACGGGCGCCGGAATACTAAGAGCTGGTAAGAAAACTGTGATCAGAATATGGAGGTTAACTTACATCACCGTTCAACATCCAAACATTCTCAACGTGGACATCTTTTACGAACGACATTTCACCAGGGTATTGACCCAGAGATCCAATGGACTGGCCGTGAGTACCTGTGAACGAACAATGTCAGCTGGAAATCAAAATGAATGCTCAAAAAATTAACATACCGTTGCAGTACATGGTGTTTACGTAGAGGTTCGTGTTGTTCGACTTAGGAGAGAAGCAGTCATCGTCAATGTTTACCCATACGCGCTCAATTTTGACGTCCTGGACGTCTAAAGAGTCGAAGAAGTCGGTGTTCTTAGGAATTATGCTCCCGTTATTGGTGATGGCTGTGGCAATTACATCTCTATACTCGATGTTGCTCGCTGGTTTGGAATTAGCATAAGAAACACAGAATGGGATAGATAAAAGTTTGAACTCACAACCGACAATGAAGTTGGTCCAGCAAGGAGCATCCTTCATATGAATGCCCTCGACTTCCAAGTTGGTGGTGTTCTCAACGTAGAAAAGAATAGGTCGAAGGTATTTGTTATCAGGGTTCTGAATCGAAAGTCAATAAGACAACAAGCGTCCGATTGTGAAAACACCTTACGAGAATTCTGAAAACTATCAGCACAACATAGAATTGAGACAAGCGGGATTACTTACGATCCGATTCCGGCGTTAAACTCGTTCCACCAGCGTTGGCTATATACAGTGTCAGATCAGCGGCGAGATTTTGATATCGGGATCACCGTACCCTTGTCCGTTGATGACACCGTCACCATAGATTTTGATGTCCTTTCCGCCCCATTTCCCTACAAAACTCATAAGAATACTGCATGTGGGCGAAAGAGACTAAAATGCTTCTCACAGAACATGATGGATTTCTACTCGGCTGGGTTGGTTATCCATAAATCATGTACTAGGAGGAAGCAAGGCTTACTTGGAAAGGATGTGTGAAAGCGTTGGTCTGAAAGCAAGAATCAATATCTTAGAAAAGCTGAGGCGAGCGAGAAGTTCAACCACATACCTGCCAGTACTTGACATCATCCGTAAACTACACCATCTATTAGTAAACCATCATAAGGCTTGTCCTCTGACCATTATCCTACCTTGATCTCACCCTCCAACCGAACATGAACATCGTTGAGGAAGGTCAGGTCGAGAGCCTTCGCGATGACGAACATTTTACCCTTGGGCAGATACAGAGTGCCGCCGTTATTGGCCTCTTCAAGACCCCTCTTGAAGTCCTCCGACACATCATCTGTGGCATTACGGGATGCACGAATCTGGATAGTCTTACGACCACACCCATGGGAAGGGGGCGTGTAGGGGTGCTTATCACGGAACTCTTCCAAAGATCTGGGAACGCCGGCCGGCAGCTCGACCCCGTAGGAGAGCACTCCAGTAACAACTGCAAGGAGTGTGAATGCCCGTGAGAAACGCATGGTTAGGAACCGTCAGAGATGCAATGCAACGACACTATACAATGCCTTCGTGTGGAAGAACCCAAACATAGAAGCTGGAGGGCAACGTTACCCATCTTAAAGGCTTCGAACGATCCACAACCTCACTCCAAGGATGCGGTACAAGTGGAGACGATGAAGGCATTCCTACTTCTTTTCGGGTGAACACCTCATCAGACGGAAAAGTTAGATTGGACTCAGTGCACCTCAGAGACCAGGCAATGCCCTTTTGCTAGAGAAAAAAGTTAATAGATTCGGAAAATAGATTACTATAGATCGCAACCCCACCCGCGTCGGAAAAGGCCCCGGTGAGAGTGCATATGATGACTTAACCGCAAAGTGGTCTGGCGTCCAAGCTGGTGCAAGATCGCGTGGGGGAGTGTTGGGGCTTTTGGGGAAGTGCGGGGAAGAACCTAAACAAGGTCGCAGCGCAGTGCTCGGCATAGGCCCATTGGTGGGAAATCCTTAGTTGGCACGACAATTTCGGATAAAGGCACCGCGCCGCTGGTTAAGCTACGGGTGGTTGTAAGGCCGTTGGTGATGAGACCAGCCGGCCGGAGACCCGCCTCGGTAAAGACGAGGCGAATCGTTTGCGGGGTCGAAAGATGAGACTAGAGCTACGAAGAACAAATTTCTCAGGAGAAAGATCCTGGTTGTTCCTTTTTGAACATTTTAGAAAGCAAGGTGAAAGAAAAATACAATGCCATCAGCCTTCTCAACGTCTCAAGTCCTACCTGAGTCTTGTGCCAGAAAACGCAAGATCCAAATACGGGGTTGGCGTGAACTTTTGATGTACGAAGTGGTAGCCCTAGGTCCGTATTCCCTAGCCTACAGGTCCAGAAGATTCCCTGCGATATCTCTGTGGAGAGATTTCTATCAGCTTGTTTCTTCGAGCACGACAGATCGAACACAGGAGAAGGGCCAATGATGAAAGAATCTCTTAACCCAGAAACCGACAGAATAACACACCAAATTTGGTCAGTGAATTACCCCTGTTGAAAATAATCAAGTAAACAGATGGTGCAACGTATGACCTGCATTTTCGAAAATGAAAGATGACATTCCAGGATTAAGAAGACCACCAGCACCGAGTCAAGAATGGCCAGGAATTGGAACAGTTCCTGGCTACACGTGCAGGCTGTTCTGAAAGAATCACCTGCATAGATCCATCCGAGATTACCCTCATGGAGGTGCAATGATACTTCAACTACGTGCACAATGCGATTGTTTTGGTACAATTTCGGCTATAATTCTTATTTACCCATGCTAGTCTTTACATCGACAGGAGTATAAAGTGTGAGCATCGCTTTCAGATGGTGAGTTCTGAGTAAATCTATTTCTGGAGGCTTCCCCATTTCGCGCGAGCACCAATTCGAATAATCACGACGAGACAGAGCGTATTTAAAGAATCCACACTTCCTGTTAATGTTGCTGTTAAGAACTCGAAAACATATGCTATGGCGTAGACTTACAGATCAAGCCGTTTTCGTTGCGCTCATCGCCCGTGTCCAGGGTCCACCGGCCCGGCCCGGCTGCTGCCGGCATGCCGGACCTTCACGGCCCCAGCTCCACACTCGCCTTATCTACCTTTTGCGTTCTTGGCCCGGTCCGGTTCCCGAAGGATGCAATGACATCGGGGTTCCCTTTATTGGTATTGAACCAGTAGAACAAGTCTATGACTGCAACGCAGGTTTGTAATCTTCGTACCCTGAATACAGTACGATGCTATTGAAAACAATCTTGGACCAGACAAGCGTCACAGATTGCCCCTGCAATTGTACATGAGGCTATTCAACTTATGCCAGCCCTCAGAGATAGGAAAATTGATTTGAAGCATGGAGTCTGACATGCGTTGAATTTCACCACCGATTCGACGATTGGTAATCAGAAGGCTGACATATGAGCCTCAATGTAATGAGTTTGGCATGCTCATAAGAGAAAACCTCAGCAGTAAAACAGTACCCGTCTGAACGCTGTCCCGAAAAACCAACTGTCGTATTCTGCGAATACGTAAAATCAGACAAATCTATGAAATGGCGCTTGGATTATAGCGCTCGCCCAGGCGAAAACTTCCAAACTTAGCATCGGGAACAATAAATAGTGGGCCGCACGCCCTTTCAGATACATGTCACCGTGGTATGAGGCACCTGGTTCTATAAAACCGGCGGGCCGACGCAATCCGCCGTCGTTGACTCAGCTACGGCCTCATCGAATATATCCGTTCAACATTGCAGATTTGACACGAGTCACACGACCGTTTCCCAACGAGCTTCACCTGCCACTTGCAAGATGTATCTCCGCGCGGTTCACGCAGAAAACAGCATCCCGGCTCTTCGCCAGCTCATTAAGGACTTTCCTCTCGGCGTCCTGACTACGGCCATCGCTTCCACGTCCCAGCCTTTCATTCAATCCAGCCACATTCCATGGGTTCTGGATGTAGAGGATGACTCCAGCGAGACTGAGCTTGGCGTCTTGAGAGGACACCTGGCCCGCGCAAACCCTCAAAGTAAGACAATGATCGAGTCATTGTCGGCGGACAACCGAACCGGAACCGGCAACGTCCTTGATCAGGAAGTGCTAGTTCTCTTCACGGCACCGACTCATCATTACGTAACGCCCAAGTTCTACACCGAGACCAAACCAACCACGGGCAAAGTCGTACCGACCTGGAACTACGCCGCCGTGCAGGCATATGGACGTGCCAAAATCTACTACGAGTCCAAGTCCGAAGAAACTTCCAGCTTCTTAGCTCGGCAGATTCACGACCTCTCGCAACACGGGGAGATGTCGGTTATGGGGTACACAAGCAAAGGTGACCGTCCTGGGCCGTGGAAAGTGACGGATGCTCCGGAGCGATACATTGAGCTTTCGAAAATGGCAATCGTTGGTATTGAAATCATCATCGACAGACTGGAGGGCAAGTTTAAGATGAGCCAGGAGTTGGGCGAGGGAGATCGCGAAGGAGTTGTCAAAGGATTCAAGGCACTCGATTCCGATGTGGGCAGCCGTATGTCTGACTTGGTCAAGGAGCGTGGTGAGCTAAAGCAGAGATCGAAGCAATAAATCTGTGTGGCAGCCCAAACGTGCTCTTGCCTATTCTGAATCTAAGTGTTGTATTAATGCTGATGGGGTGATGCAACACAAATCAAGTGGCGACTTTATATGTTTGCCGAAGTTCTGTGAATGATTTGGTCTACTGCCTGGTTAAGTTCGTAACTCAGAGTCAATCTTGTCCTTGCCAGACTTGATATCTTACCGGTCACCGAGACAAGCAAAAGGCGCACACCATATATCCAGCATGCGTCTGGTTACTAGCATAACTATATGAGCTCATCCTCAACTTGGCCTAACATCTTTTGACCATATTCAATGACGCGGTGCGTATAATTGGTATTCCATCTGCTGGTAAACCAGGTATCTGAAATATCAGCGCTAGCGAGGCTATCGATATAGATCACATTGTGAGAAGTAAGGATCGTTATCTGCTCAGGGAATAGTTGAACATTCACGATCTGTTTGGTAGCGCACCTCGACCTCTGGCAATGAGCTTGACCAATGAAACTCGAATGTAACTGGCTGCTCTGGCATTGCATTCTCTCAGGTTGGTGGTGATTGGGTTGAATGTACCGAGATACACGTGCAACGATTCTGAGCAGCCGGCCAATGCAAGCTGCCTCACCAGACAACGCAAAACTCAAAGAGCGAACTTTTGTCATCCCAAACAGCCACGACAGGCAGGCGGTCGGCGGTAATATACAATTACGCCGGAAACTCTTTACACATCGGAGAATGGGAGCTAGCCCAGTAAGCAATCGCGAGAGACCATGCTACCCCCGCTTCAGCACGCGAGTTTGAATCAAGAAAGTGATCGACACCGTTTTCGAAGAACACTCGTGGATCAGATTAGTATTCCTTATCGTGCTAATCAAGCTTCATGCAAGTCACGTACGCGAGAGTGTAAATGCTGGTTGGCATTGCATGTGTGCGGGGGAATGGATGGGGAAGTCGGCTGTTGTGTTCACAGGCCGGGAGGGCACGGCTCGACGGAGTATCAATAGGGTTCGATGGTTTCATAAGACGGAAAGCTTGTTCTCTGCCAACCATTTATAATGATCGGTCCAACCTAGAACACGACGACGTGTTTCCTGGACATTTAGCAAGGCTTGGCCATCTTAGTACCCATCGTAGCGAGCAACATTGGGGTCCAGGCCTCTGCGAACGAGACCCAAAAGCCCGGAAAGCGACGACTAGCAACATGGTCGACTCAGAGACGGCCTCAAAGGCCGACAGGAGAGACAAATATAGCCCGGTGGAAGAGGAAATAAGCAGGGTGCACCTGGAGACTCCCAAATTGACCGACAGCGATGAAGACGACATCGTGGCGCGCATGAACAATCTCGACCCGCCGGTCACGCCAGAGGAGGTGAAGAAGGTCCGGAGGAAGATTGACATACGTCTTCCTCCGTTCCTCCTGATCCTCTACATGTTTACCTGGCTGGACCGCGGAGCTCTAGGGAACGCGGCGTTGATGGGGATCAGGGAGGACCTCGGGTTCTCCAGCAGGCAGTTCTCGCTCGCCGTCAGCATGTTCTTCGTGGGAACCGCCATTGCCGACTTGTTCACCAACATTGGCATGAGGTATTTCCGTCCCTCGTTGTATCTGGCTACAGCCATGGTAAGTCTCTTCAGGGTGTGAAAATCCAAGCAAGGCACAGGGAGCTTACAGTACCTTGAAGATTATCTGGGGCATTTTCGCAGCGCTTCAAGCGGTGGCCGGGAGTCCGCAGGGAATGTATGCCATCCGGTTCTTTCTGGGCATCTTCGAAGCCGCCTTCATTTCGGGCGCACCGTATCTGACGACTGTGCTCTACCCACGAGCGGTAGCTGACCCCCCGTAGCCATCTGTGACCATACTCTGACTTGCAATCAGGAATGGGGCCGTCGGATCAGCATCTACCTCTCAGCAACACCCCTTGCTGGCGCATTCGGCGGTTGGGTTGCGTACGGAGTCTCCAACATACCCAACCCCCGCGTCAAGCACTGGCAAGCCCTCTTCCTCATCGAGGGCATCATCACGATTCTGTTCGGGATCCTCTGCCTCTGGGTCCTCCCCGACCGTCCGCACAACACCAAGTGGCTCACTCCGCGAGAGCGCGACGTCGCGACCTGGCGCATGATGAACGACGGGAACCGCACGCATGGCAGGGTGAACTGGAGGCACACGGCGAACCAGCTCCGGGACTGGCGGCTGGCGCTGAACATCGCCATCTACATGGGCCAAGTGCTCCAGACGTACACCATCGCCACCTTTACGCCCATCATCGTGGCCACGTTTGGGTACGACAACATCAAGGCGCAGCTGATGACGGCGCCGCCGTACTGCGTCGCATTCGTCATGGTCTTCGTGGTGGGTTACGCCAGCGACAGGCTCAAGTCGTGCTCGGGCCTGCTGGTGGCCTGCTCCGCCGTCGCGGCCACCGGGGACCTCCTGCTAGCCGTGCTGCCGCACACGGCGGCGCGCGCGAGGTACGGCGCCACGTTCCTCATCACCTCGGGGATCCTGTCCGGCGTCACGCTCAGCGTCGGGAACATCACGAGCAACTGCTGCGGAGACATCAAGAAGGGCATCGCGACTGGGCTGTTCCAGTCGTTTGGAAGCACCATGGGCATCGCCACCGGGTACCTCTTCCCGTCGACCGACGGGCCCAGCTACAAGACGGGGTTCTGGACGCTCTTTGCTGCCACGTGCTGGACCGGCGTCGGTGCCGCTTTCGTGACCGTCATGAACATTAGGGAGAACAGACGTCGGGATCGGGAGTCTGGAAAGCCGCCCGAGGGTGTCGTGATTGATTATGATGAAGACGGCCAGATGGAACAGCACCCATACTGGAGATACTACCGGTAAGGTGTTGCAACGACTAAGTAAAGACGAGAGATTGAACCACACGCGGGCGTATTGATTGCTTAGTGACTCATAATCCGGCCCCTTTGCCGACTTGAAATCTCGCTTTGGCCCACGTTATGATTGCTTGGTAGTTCCGCGTTCCTCTGGCTAAACGTCATATTGGAAAGAGTCTAGTGAGACAATATAGAACTTGGGTGACTAAGGTGGCTGCAGATCTGATCAGTTTGTCAATGATTGGACTTTAATAGAGATGGATATATGCAATCTTGAACGCAGAGCAGGCAAATTTACACCTTCGTACCTTCTCCCCAAGAGAAGATGCTGGAGAGAGAAACAGTATATGCAGATACTTCAGTCAAGACTGGCTCTCAAGCCTGTGGTTTTGCCAGTATCCAAGATGATTGAGCTGTCTAAAGAAGCAGAGTGTCAACTAATTTCATCCCATTATGGAAAAGTGCAACTACGCATTGCATCTGGTAGCCCATCATTCATCATCAGTGAACTTGGAAAGGCGATGAAGAGAGGCATGATGTGATTGCTGATATACGCGAATGAGTTCACGACTAGGGAGTCGTTACATTCACTCCCAAGTCCTTAGTATCTCAAAGAGAATGTACGCGTTCTCGGTCCAATAATCCATTGAAGTCATTTTGTTCAATAGAAAGCGTTTTCCATCTAGACATACTAGGCTCCATACATAAAACTCATCGTCTATCCAAGTATACTCCTACCATGCGACTCTGGGTGAGGATCCAACTTCAGCGTGAAAGTCATCACCCTGAAGCCAACGATGATGGAGAGAATCGACAAAATTCGTGAAAACGCCCTGCCGGAACTGTTTGATATTATGAAAATTCTTCATCAAAAAGCAACAACTATCACCAGTGGTATAGAACGCCAAGTATTTCCCGTACAGTCATTACAAATACAGACCCCACTTCACTGTTCAGAGGGCGTAGTTCTCGGTATGTAAATAAATCTCCTCCAACATGTCGTCGCCCCAAATCGCCGCCTGCAGTCGCGCGACTGTATTCGCAACGCCAACGCGCATGGCGGGGGGCCCGCACACAAACACAGCCGTTCGGCGGCCAAGAATGCCCCTTCCGTCGGCACCTCCGGTAGCCCACTCCTTAAGCATGTAACCAAGGTCCGGCCGGCCGTACTCAACAGACCAACCACCATCAATCTGATGCGGTACGGGGAAGGCGAAGCGCATCAGGCTCTTCTGGAACTCGGTTGGGGTCTCGGGGAAGCCAAAGTCGAAGCCCGAGGGCGGGCCAAACGTGCTGGTCGGACGAGGTTGGCCGGCGCCCGGGAGGTTGGTAGTCCTCAAATGTGCCAATTCGGGGGGTCGCAATGGAACATCTGAGTCCGGCTGAACTGTTTCGGGTACCTTACGAGGTGATGCCGGGGCGTAATTGAAGTGAGGCACCTCGCCCTTGGTGTTGATAGGAGGGAAGTGGAACTCGCGCTTCTTCGCGTCTCTGTCCTCCTCATCGCCGTGCTCACGGCCTTCGAGCTTCCGTAATGACTCCTCCTGGGCAGAGTACCGGTTCGAGGGTGGCGGTCCTGGTGGTGGAGGAGGATATTGGTGAGGTTGCAGGTACTTCTGTTGTGGCAGAGCTGTAATTCTGTCTTCTTGCTCGGCGCGCAACTCTTGTTCGCGATCTGGATCGCCTTGTGCCACAGACTGAATCAGAGCAGAGTTGCGCTTCGATGCGATGCCTGCCACGAAACCGTCCAACTTGTCGTGGAAAAGATGACTCAGAGCACGAGGCGCGGTGCGGTCTACCCCTCCCATCATCATGGCTCGGTTACGCACAGCTGAAGTGACAAAGAATTTGCAAGTGACGCTCTCCGGAGGTGCAGATTCGCGACAAATCCGAAGCTCCTCGCGGAACCAGTCCATGGACTCGAGTCTCTTGAGAGCCCAGACTACGACCACCTTCCTTGTGATGGCCTTTCCATCGCGCATACGCTTGATTAAGTTGAGTAGTTGCGACATCAGCGCCGTGATGCCGCTTCCGCCTGCAATCAAAATGCAGGTATCAAAGGCAGCGAGGTCCCTGCGCATACCTCCGTACGGCCCGTCTAAGAACGCACGATAGGTATGGAATGGGCCCTTCTCGATGGCCATGTCGAGGACCTTCCGGGTAAAGCCACCGTACGGCTTGAAGACCAGAATACAGTCTCGATACTGCTCACCGTACTCGGAAGGGAAATCCTCGCTGCAGAGCGAGGAGATGGTGAAGGGGTGATTGTCGAAGAACGAGACGCCCGGCATGCGGAGGTAGACATATTGCCCAGGCTTCCACCGCATCTGGGTTGGGATAGTGATTTTAATTGCGTTCTCGGCAAGGAGACTGATGGCGGCTTCGTCACCCACCATGAAGCTCAACCGCCACGGTCTCGTCCAGTTGAGGTTGACCAGGCGGATGAGGTAACAGAACACCCAGATGCCAACCGTTGCCCAGAGATAGTTCCAAGACGCCAAGTAGTTCTTGGTGTGCCAGAACAAGAGTCCAACGTAGGCCATGCCAACAGGCACGTGGAGCATGACAAAGAGCTCGTAAGCAATACGGCGGATGAATGGCAGAGATGCGACGCAAAGCCACACCAGAGGAACAAGACAGGCAATGCCAGTGCCGTAGATGACGCCACTTCCGCCAGGGAAAAGACGCGAGAAGACGTCCATGCCACCATCGTCCCAGACTGGCTGGATGTAAAACGGAATCGTGTGGACCAGAGACAGGAAAAGGCAAAGGTAGCCTGCCCATCGGTGAAAGACGTTGAGACGCTCAGGACCAATGCCGATGAGCATGGACATGACGTTCGCCTTCATGCTCGTCACGATGATCCAGGGCGTAAGGGCGACGGCAATCATGCCAGCTCGGATAGCAACGGGTGGGGAGCCGAACTGAATGCTTTGCCAGTAGAGCGGCTGCTGTAGGAAGCAATAAAGTGTCACAAACGCCAGGGCGATGAGACCACAAGTAATGACGGCCAGGGAGGAGAAGGTGAAGCGGTGGCTGCCCCAGACAAAATCAGGGATGGGTCGATAAAAGACCCATCGGAAGAGGGCCAGTGTGTCATTGACGAAGCCAACAGAGGCGAAGTGGGCTTTGGGCTTGAACTGCTTCTCTCCAAGTCCTTCTGAGTCGGGGAAGAATTGTTGCGCCTGTCCAGTGTGTACTGCGTGAACGTATTCGGGGTCGGTGTTGTACAAGTTGGCATAATAGTCCTCCACTTCTTGCTTGTAGATGGCTTGCCGGATCTTGTCCTGCCAAAAGTGCCAGAATCGCATGAGGAGGACTGTTCCCATGAGAGCCAGAGCGAAGTAGGTCCATCCCAGTCCGTACTTCCCGGACTTGCTCCACGGGTCCACGGTCAAAGCCTCGATCAAGCCAGGCGGGCTGTCAGGCTGGGGAGTGATGGCGATGCGTTTAGCTAGTTGTGCTGCCGTCCTGCTAGCAGCGTCTGCCATGTCGCGGATACGAGTGGCCATGGTTGCAAAGAGGTGAAGCTCGAGTCAAGCTGCGCGATGAAGCGACTGCGCGCAGAGGATCATAGGTTATGTCGACATACGGAGCGAGCCTGCGATATGTGAATTGTAGGCGCCTTGGAGGTCATACAGCAGCAGTGGCGGCTCTTTGTTGGCTGGTAGGCCTTGCTATGGGAAATCGTTCTGACCGAGTCGGTTCGCCTTATGGAGATGCTTTCGATGACAACGAGATAGCAAGGTTGAAGGAATGCGAGATCCCTCCGAGTCGGGGCCGTGAGCAGCAGAGGCGATGCTACAATGGTGTAACGAGAGACGGGGCAAGAAGTTGGACAGACGCGTGCCCACCCGCGGGCTCGAGGCGATCGCAGGGGATATATGGAAGTAAGATCGGAGACGCTCCGAAGTGGAGAGGTCCCAATGGCTCGATTTCAGAGGGTGTGGCCGGCGTGATGAGCACAAGTGTTGACAGTTCCGTCACGTTGCTGACAGATTCGGTCGAAACGGGCATTCAATCAAGGGTGTGTGGTGGCACTTGCGGGTGTATAGGATGGGTAATAAGGCGGCGAATATGCATGCCATGTGGAGGGGTCAACTGGCTGCGGCCGCTATGGGGTCGTGCAATCAAAAATCAGAAGAGGGACGAAGGGCTTCTTTGGCTCGGATGGCACAAAATGTGAAAGGCAATAGGCCCAGCGGCTGACCGTACTTTAATATTGGCTGGCCACGATTCTGGCCGTTCCCCGCCGGCGGATGTCACACAATGCAGGCCTCTGCGCAGGCGCTAGAGGTGTGGGTGGCATGCAGGAGAACGCTGCACGCTGCAAGCTCTTGAGCAAAGGTACGTACGGCCGTGTGCTCGGCAGAGACCTATCGAAGATAGTGGTCAGGGATCAGAAGCGGGATGGATGCGTTGGCCCCGGAGCCATGAGTGTGATCAGCGGAAGACGAGTTGGGCAGAGTCGTCCGCAGCGCCTGTGGTTGTTGACGCCTTCAAGGTAATCGAGCTCCGTTTGCGGTGTGCTTTAGGCAGCCGAATAACGGCAAAGACGGCATCGGATTATGTCCGCTGGAGAAGCTTGTGTACCCGGAGCTGTCGGTGGGACAAGTGGGATTGCGGGCGTGGCCTCACACAGCCTGGATGTCGACGTTGCTCATGATCACATTTGTGTTTGGGCTACCTCTGCAAGCTGGTTTGTTGGTCCGATCATGCGAGGAAACGAGGCAAAGGGCCGGGGTGCCTTCCCAGTGCCTCTGGCGCCAACTGTCATTGGGGGAACGTGGGATTGATGTGAGGAGGATAGCCCGAGATGTGACCATGCCATCAACCCGACCGCTGATGGAGACGTCGCGATGGAATTGACCAACAACTGGGACCGGTCTTGTAGGAGCTGCAAAGCGAGGCCCTGCAGAAGCTGCGTGGGCCGGCATACATGGTGGACAGGTGCGTATTGGGGGCGGCTGATTTCCTTGGTTTGGGTGGTGGCGGTCGAATGGCAGCGGGCAATGTTGATGTGACGGGAGAGAAATGTGGTTGACAGATGGTCGACGGCTGTTATGGTGAACTAGGTACATTGTCAACGGCGAGAAGAGGGAGCAGGTAAATCTGGGCTGGCAAAGGCGGTCGACGAAGACGGGAGACCCCGGCGGGGAAATGTGATTCGCAGGCCTCGGTGAGGGAAAGCTCCAGTGGGGGTTGCTTCCCCGTTGGTCCTTGGTCATGACGGGCGGCAATTTGAACCGCACCATTGGCTGGGGGCCAGCAAGTGATTCCCCACTATGTACATCTGTGCGTCCAAGGCTTCCCACACTAGCAACAACATCGGCAGTACGTACCTACCGCAACGAAACCAAGCCAGGGCCAGCCACCCGCCGCCCGCTGCTTCCTTTTCAGGCACTGCAACTGACTGTCTACCTTTCCGTAGCGTGTAAGCGAGTTGGCAAGCCAGCCAGCAGCCAGGGCTTTCCCTCGTTCCTCCAGCAGTTCTTACCTTTTGAGGCTTTCCTTCGCCCAAGCTTCTGCTCCATCAGTGTCCAATACTAAATATCGGATCGACAAGCGGAACATGAAGCGCGCTCTCTCTCTCTATCTCTCTCCCCCCTCATATCTTCACCACATATGCCCTTCGTCCTGCCCATGTATCGGGTTACAATACCGTCCATCCGCCAAGCTGCACACCTATTCCTCCCCCCACTTACCTGTTCCTGACTTCTGCAATGCACATAGAATGCTGGACCACTAGGCCGGATCTGCAACCCAATAGGTAGAACTGGCCACGGCCATGCTGTCGGCCTCCTGATCTGGCCGCGGAACCTCGCTTTCTTTGCCGGTATCTGGTCGAGTCTCCGAAGACCAATGTTGTCGCTGCTGCATGGGTTGTTGTCGTTGGACGTTGACAGCGACTGAGTCAAGAACATCCAGTCGTTGTGGTTGGCATTTTCTCCTCGTCTAGATCTGGAAGCCCAGATTGCCATGCATCCCAAACAGGCAAGAGCAACCAACCACGACCCCGCCGCCCAAAACCGCCAGCCGCCAATAGCCTTGGTCGAGACGTGATGAATATGCTCTTCAACCCTGGACCTCCTTCATTCACCTGAAGAGACCCATGTTCACCTCTCGGTCAAGGACCACATGCTCCATTTCCGCCGGCTGGTAAACTACATCTCCCGGGATCAACGCCTACAATCAATCGTACTGTACCGTCCGTCACTTGCCTCCCCTGTTCGGATGGCCCTCCCCAGAAGATGCAGATGCAGATGCAGATGCGTGCACATCGCTTCTCATCACCAACCGCCAAGGAGCAAACAATTGAAATGCGCGCCAATTCCAAGCGCAGCTCGAGAAAACCTGCGTGCAAACAATCGCTTCCCGGCCCCGTCACTCCCGCCCGTCCCGGCCCTTCCTCTAGCGGTTGTCCGAGCTAGGTTTGGTTGCATCGACTTGGGTGACTTTGATGGACCAGCCACCCTTGTGCTCAAACAAAGAGACGCCTGTCAACAAGCCCAAATGACAGTGAAGCTCCATACTTTCATGGACATATGGTAAACTCCTGAAGCCGTCAAAGTCATTCTTCTTACCATCCTGCCAATCATCATCACTAAGAGGCTCGGCATCGCCATACCCATATGGGTCAAGAATGGGACCGTCCTAAGCCCCGTAGGCTTTCTAAGCGCCGTAACCTACATCGCATGCCTCCTGCTCGAATATCAGATTGACTGGTCGGCGCCTCATAAGTCTCATATCCGTCCATACCACTGTCAAAGTTGTCCTTGTAGCTGGCATCTTGTCCTGTTGCCTTTGGTTTCTCTGTCTCATCCGCGAGAAACCCAATTTCCTTTATCTGCTCCCTAAGCTACCGCCTCGTCACCTCGTTATCCTCCTCTTTCTCGTTTCTCGCTGAACCAAGGCGTGCACCTCATCTTCCAGCCTGCAAAAGATTTCCGCGTCGAGATATATCTCCACTACAGTCCGGACAACATTCACTTCATCGCAGTCCACAACGTGTGTCATGTCAGCCCACGTGCCTTTCCCCCTTCAGCGAGCACGGCTCGAGTAATGTTGCCCTGCAGCAAATAGCTACATTGCCAGTTGATTATTGCAGTATTCGAAGTGAATGAATAACACAGCCTCGAAGTGAGGAAACGCCCCGTTGTCAATCTGGCCAGCGAGCGATTTCAGGTCCTTCATAAAGTCATCGCCCCATCTCCAATAAACCTTGTGAAAGTGGCCAAATGCAAGACACAGTCAGTCCCCATCCCCATGGAGTATGCCGGAATGTGACGGCAGTCGGTGACCGCAAGGTGTCTATGAGCTGCTTTGCAGCTTTCATTATGGTCTCGGGGCATGCGTCGTCATAGTCGTGCTTGCGCTCGACCGTAAAATCACGCAGCGGCCAACAGGGCCGGACGCTTCGGACGAAGGTCCTGTCGTCCATGTCCATCTCTCTCACGTCGAATCGCATTTCCATGCTTCAATCCAGCGGATCAGTATTGGGCTTGGATGAGGTCATGGTCATTTTGAAAAATTAGACCCAACAGAGGATGCTCTCTGAACTCGAAACTGTTCAGATCATATTCCAAAAGATGAAACACATCAATATTGAGCATACCGTAATAGCTTTCCTGGAGGTAACGAAGTTCAGGAGGCGCATGCCCATTGTCCTTGTTGTGGTTCCAGCTAACCACGTAGTCCCCTACTCCATTCTGTGGGATTTTAACCAGTGGGAGATGCGTACGTCTCTGGAGTTCAAACTCCGGTAGCTCTTTGATGAAATGCTCGCCGTCCGTGTTGAGCTCCTCATCACATACTTCAGGAAGCTTGACGATAACTCGCACGTTGCGACTCTTTAAAGTGGGCATTATGTCTGATAAGTTCTGCAACGTATCCCTCTCGCCGACCACATCCCAGTTGAGCTCCTCTTTGTGGTCGAGCCAGAGAGTGAACCGCTGCAAGTAAGGCAATTCCAGAAGTGCTGGCCAGATGCGCATCCACTGGTCATGTTCCCGCTTGTATCCGCACCCCTCGGGGGTGGCAAACGGTGTCGCCGGGATCTTAGGTTGCACCTCCAACCATCGGATATTGTTGCCTGACGGCTTTGAATAGCTGGGTACAAAGAGTGTGCTGAGCATGCGCAGCGGCGCAATGTGAGGCTGATGTTCTGCACAGACTTGACGAGGGGCCACTGTCTCCTACCCTGTGAGCTGCTGCTTGTGGACGAGGCCGTGTTGTTGATCGATGGAGGTGTACACAGGACGTGACCAATAGTTTTTAAGTCGGGTCATGTGGATGCACTGGGTCGATTGAGACAAAAAGTTGATATCGTCAGAGAACCTGAAGAAATCATTAGCAACTTGAACTCAAACATACCGCATCTACTTACATCATCCTAGACGTCTGCAAAAATGGCATTAGGGGCATATGAGATGCCTGTTCCGGTTGTCCGATCCCATCGAGGTAAGCCTCCTCGCATTTCCAGTGGGAGCCCCAATCCGAGTCCACTCGACGAATCCACCGAGTGTTGTTGGCCTTGGTTTCGCTGTGCGGCCTTCGCCAAGGAATGTCATCTTCCCCTTGGCATGGCATGATATTCAACTGTCCTTCGTGCAGAAACGAGTGCGTCTCTGTGCCCCATAGTATTCGATAAACTTGGTGTCGAACTTCCAAAGGAGCCATGAAGAAGGGTGATCTAGGAGTGGAATCCATGACTGACGACTTCAGAAAAAGTTCTCTACATGTTTCAAAAGTAGAGTCTGATGTTACAATGGTGCGCTGGCAAAGACGAAACGTCGTTGAATCAGCTCAATCAATGTGCAGAGGAAGAGACGTAAGAGAAGGAATGAAGAAGGAACCAGGTGTTAGGCGGGTGCAAACGTCCCGCCATTTTCATATATCGAAGTTGGTGGAGTTTCCCCCCTTTTCTCCATTTCTCTTTGGCTGCAGTAGGTTGGCGCAGCGAGGTACCACCAACACGGGACAATCTTGGGCTACTGTCACAACGACCAACATAAACCAACCAGAAAATTGCAGTCTTTGCGTTTCACTGGTCAATTACCGGACAAGATGTATGGGTATATGAGAACGTAACGAAATCCCAATGGTCTGTTCCAATCGCCATCTTACTTAAGCTAGAAGTCATTAATTTGAGAAAGGTCACTGACCCCATTTTTGTTATTGGCACAAGTGATGTTGCCTGGGTGTCAATTAGTAGAAGCTCGTCACTTCAGGCACCACAGACTGTATTCACGTGCCCAATGTTTTAAATAAGCAGAGAAGAAGACATAAACTTGACAAACTTAACACTTCAACTTATGGCCCCAACAAAAAAAAAGGTGTCAAGATTCAAGCTATTAATGGGATAGATATGTTTAGGTGAGCCGAGGCATTCCGGAAGCCGACCTTGAAGTACAGGATTATGCTTTAAGGATGTCGTGAACCACACCTTCTTCGTCTACGTAGTGCTTCATCGTCCACAGCTTGGGCGCGATGCCCAGCATTGCAATAGAATCTGTTGGGAAGCTTTAGTATTGTCAACTAGACCAGGGGATATCAGGAATTAAATAGCCAGTAGCTGAATCGCGACTCCTTTACATCTAAACTTGCTGTAGTAACAACGTACCTGAATTTACCTGAGCATGAATTGAAGGCTCTTTAGCCATTCCTACTACGCAACGCCAATTGTAGCAGCTGGTGATTTGTTGCTTAAATGGCTCCGGGGTAACGACGTCTCTCAGAAGTCCACCCTGATTTGTGTGAGTTGCCTGTTTTGCCACACGCTTGAGTCAGCTCGAGGTCCCCACGTTGAAAGTACTGGAGACTCTTTTCTTGCCTCGTAAAGAAAGGTGGAACCAACGGTTTTCAATCCGTCGATGGGAGGCGCGCCGTTTAGGCCAGCACGGAAGCCGTCAGACTTGACCTTTTGTAGGCTTTGTTCATCAACTTGTAACCAGTCTCCATCCACCGCTGCGCTGATAAACCAGGTACAGACGTCTGTTGAGGACGCGTATATTGTCTCGCCAACGTAGTCTCTCATGGAGACGTCAGGACTTTCCTGCTTAGTAGCTATATATTGCGCGAGATTCACAGCGTTAGAGTGCATTGTAATCATCTTAGACGCTTGAACGCCCGAACCTGCCTTGAAGGCCGTATCGTCGCACTTCAAAATAGAGGAGTCATATCCCTCAGCAGTCATAGGCCGGTTTTTAGAGGTGTCTTTCCACAGTGTGCTACCTTGCAGACGTGTGAATCTGTCCTTCCCGCAGTATATCTCCTATGTGATGCAGACATGCACGCATCAACCGCCATTCAATATTTATGATGTAGACGTTGAGGAAAGACGCGATGTTGGAAAGCTAAATTTCCTGCTGCAACTATTGTGGATGGTCCATGCAGGCGTCTGGGCAAGGCAGGCTGTCAACAAAGATACAATAAATGCAAGATGGAAAAGACTCATCTTGAGAGACATGATATAACAACGGTGACAGAACAGGGCGGAATACAGATATAGGCGAATGAAAAGGTGATGATCGTATGAGAAGAATGGATTCTTGTTGATAGCTCTTTAGCGTCACGGCTGTCACTATTACTTTTATACGTTCTCTTTCCTTGTCAGACCATACATAGCCAGCCCGAAATTGTACATGACATTATCTACACATCCTTCTGCCATAAACCCCCAATGCAACATCTTTCCTTCTAGCCCCCAGAAACTTGGTCTTATAACAGGTTATTGCACTGGAGGATACGTTACCTAGTTGCGCGATCAAAGGTGTTATGCCATCAATTGGACTAGGCATTCCGACTGGATGTGTAACCGCCGCTCCGGACCGGTTCTGTTGGTTCTCCCGAGTCTGGATCAACATATTGTTCCTCTTAGTTATTGCGACCTTTGTAGAAATCCTCATGAGTAGCCAGCTTTTACGGGTTGTTTGTGATGCTACGAGTTCGGTGTTGGACCAGAATGGGGCCGGGCTGAAGCACAGATCTCCTCGCAAAGGAGCATTTTACAGGTACGATAGGCTAGGAAATATGTCTTCACTGGTCCGTAGAGACCCTACCAAACAACTACAGCAGAGACAAACTGTAGGCATCTCCATCATGGAAAAACGACGCGCTCATGAGGGCCCTCTCCGTGGGCCATTTCCCCCCCAAAGCCGATACATGCTGCAGAATTCGAACCAAAAAAACCCCCAACAATGGCCCCTCGACTGGCGCACGACACTATGCCGCAGGGCTGAGGCGGCGTTCTATTGGGGGTTCTCTTGGCCGAAAGCATACGTGTTATCGGCATGCTGGAGGCTACGTCACAGGTCAAAACCTAGCCTACTGTGCCGGGTATACTCCGAACCAACCTTGAAAGTCTTGGACTTAGTCGGATACGCTGGATGAGTACATCGCCCCACGGTTGCTCGACCGGCGCGGTTGATGTCCAATCAACCACCCCCAAATGGCTCAGCTTATCTGTCCCAACCAACACGAGGCGGTGCCCATAGCCAAGCTAATTTCAGTTCCAACTCTTACGTCCTACTGGTAATAAATGCGTCTAGAAAACAAAATCACGATCAATGATATTTTTGGAGCTTTTGAAATGCTTGTTAGTCTTGATTTCCTCGTTGTATTGGGGGCTGGCATATGGGAGGCTGGAGCCACTACTGTCTGTTGGAGGATGCCATCGAGTGATGAACTCGGCCTTTCATTTTAGGGGTTAAGAGGCTATTGACATGTGTGCACATTTGCCTCGAGACTTTGGCGTAAGGCATTTGTCACGTCTATAAAACTAGCCTACACCCTTAGTGAAACTAGCTTTCTCCTATGTCACTCATCAACCCAAACAAAGTCTTTCAGTTGTTAATTCATCACCATGGCTTACGCAAGGATCACTTCTCTTCGGTCCAGGATTTAAGCCACGCTTTTATCATCGCTGTTGCTACACCTAGCCATCGCCCTTCCCACCATTACACTTAGGGTTGAAGTTGGTGTAGTAGTCCCCACCGCAACTGGCCAAATAGGAGTCAATCCTGTCAGCGTTCTCCCACCCGCTTCTCAATTGTGCGTATAGTTTTCTTCCATATGTTGTAAGACCTTCATATTCTAAACGAAAACCCCGGGCAGCCAAGGCACTATTATTCCGGACCTTGCACGCGGCACGATCAAGACCGTCACTACAGGGCCCAGCTCTCAGCCAATCACCATCACCCGAGAAGCCTTCTTTTCAGCAACAACAAATGCTGCTGGAGACATCGATATCAGCATCATAAACCCATCCTTGGAGTCTTTCCTCGAGAGTGCCGCTCAGGATGTTCCGGCATGTGGCCTCAAGCGCCGCGCTTACTGTGGCGCGAGAGCCTTTGTTGATCATTTCGAAACGCATTTCGACAAGTCTGTACAAGCTATTCAAGACTAGGAAGATGCGATTATAGAAGGCGCTCCCAAACATCCCATCAAGATTGAAGTGGGAAAAGCAATTGACTTAACTAATGCCGAAGGCGAGGCTGACGCCATCCCGGACGTAGCCTTCAGCATCATGTCAGAAGGTGAAGTCACTGCCGTCTAGGCTGGCGCACCCGCAGCTATCGGAGCTCTCGGTGTTGGCTTCCTTGCCTACGCGTTTCATGTTTATGGCTCTACAAAGAACTCTGGAAGCACAAAGCCATTGATTACTGGGATTCATGTCCCTTCAGCCTCCCTCAAGGCGGTCAAGCAGACCAAGCGGCCAACAAAGACAGCAACAGTTTCAACCACATCCTTCTCAAGGACACAGTCATGTCCCGACCCTACGAAAACACCGGTTTGTATTTGAAACTCTCACTAATGGCCAAGAAAAAGTTATTGACTGCTAAAATCAGTTGTTTTGTGGTGACTATCCAGCGAAACAAGACTGCGATATGATGCTACCCGCGTCGAAGGAGAAGCAGCCTACTTGCAAGTCTGTAAGTTACACTGATTCATCATCCAAACTGGCGCATTAAATTGAGGGCGTTGCAACTGGTTTCGTTTCTATAGGGTGAATTTCAAGTCTGCGAGTGTGTACCGCCTACCATATTCGAGGGCGTTGTTGTCTCCAAGGAGGAACAGAAGGTTATGGTTGACATACAAAACCTGTTCAAGTCAATGCCAAAAGATTTTCCAAAACTCCCCAATTATGGACAGTGCTCCGATAGGATAGAGGAAATGGACCCTATGCTCTTCAAGACATGAGTGATTAATATCTTTCCGTATCCGGCAGTTTCATTGCATATTGGACATCAGTGAAGGAAGTAACTCACGTGCTTCTCATTGAGACAGACTCGCCGACAAGTTTTGTACCGATAATTACAAACTGGACAAAGATGCATCGGGCTACTACACCCCTGCAGATGCCTACAGCACGGCTTACAACCGTTACAGCTTTACTTTGGACTGGAAGAAGTCTGGAGACAAGAAGTGCACGAATCAGTGCAGACAGATTTTCGATCAGGGCTTCACCACAAGCACATCATGTGCGGCACATCTACCTCCTTTTGAGAAGCTCGGCGCTGATAGTAAACTAGGCTCTTACAACTCGCATACGATGACTCACAACGGCACACTGTCCCTAGAGTGCGGAACAGCCAGCTTCGAAAATTTTAACCCAGAAACCGCATCCAGCGGCCCGACCTGCAAAGACAGCCCCAGCGACATCCCATACAACGTGTTTTCAGGATTAGACGGTATCATCTAAAAAGAGTTCTGCGAAAAGTGGGATGCGAAATCGGGCCTGCGCATGGTGGTTGACTCCAAAGGCACCTCGAAGATTCCTAACCCCCAACTCGGGAGACGCACACCGCCAGCTAATCAAAATACCTGGCTCAACTATCACTTTGATCTCCGGTTCAAGCCAGAGACTAGTGCCAAAGCCGGCTCGCAGTGCAAAGTCGGTTGCAAGAACGCTTTTGTCACGTTCCCTGCGTCGAAATGCGGTCAAAAGGGCAGCCGGGGAAACACCATGGCCCGGTATGCCGAATATGCGGCGGGCTGTGGAAAGTTTAGCTACGAGATTCAAAAGTTTACGCCGATGGCCCTCGGGGAGCAGAAGTGTTTTCGCGCCGACGAATTCGGCAACCATAAGGACGTCAATCCAGACTTCCAGAACCAATATGTTGGGTGGGCGTGCGTCGGAACGGCATTGGATCAAAACAAGATCCGAAAGGGCGACACAAGCAGCTTCGTTCATTTCAATACTACGACGAATGGCCTCCCATATCAGTACAACATTTACTGGGCTGAGTGATGTTCTTTGGAAAATGGTCAAGAAGAGGTCAGCCCTGCCCGACCCCTTGAGACAAACGACAAGGCCACATGCCAAAGTCTGCTGCGAGACAATTACAAGAAGTGCAACAACGGGGGAGTCGGCGGGAGTATCCAGGCAGGATGCCTCGTGTATGAATTCAGGGCGGAAAAAGCAAGAAATAACCTTGATGTGCACCAATGAAGAGTTGGCTGTGGCTGTGGGAGGTCGGTTTCGTAGACTAGTCAGTTTAAAGAGATGGTTGTGACTGGATTGTGGCTAGAGGAAGTTCAGAATGAGATAATTAGAAATGATGTACCCGCGCTTTTCTGTCAGTTGCTTTGAGGAATCGATCAAAGAATGGTTCGGAACACTCGCAAGTATTGCATGTAACGGCGTAAAGTATGTGTGCAGACTGTAAGATTGACTAGCTTGCAAAAGATAATTTTCCAGACGGAATCTCCATTTGCTTCAAGAAGAACATGAATTTGTGAAGTAGCAATACTGTTAGCTATCTGATATTTCGAGCAGACTATGTAGTTGCTAAAGCTCCCCAATCAAGACTCCCAATAGAAGCCATTCCTTTTGCGTGCCGTCTGCGATTCCTTTCCATGAATACCGTGAAAAAGAAACATATCAATGGCCTCATCGCTCTGAAATCAACAAAGAGACACATTGTCCTTGCTTTGTCTTTGATGAATGCGTTGACTGCTTCCCCTCGTAAAGCCTTCTACGCGTCACGCATTGTTACTCGGAAGAATGCTAGCACTAATCATTGAAAAGACAATGTCGCTGGAACTTCTTTTATCCTAATTAATCGAATCTTTCTAACCGTGTCAGAAACGGGGTCGTTTCGTTTACTTTCTTCCTCAAATACGACCGCGTTACGTGGATGCTTTTTCTTGCTGTTAGCTACTTGCCTCTTCGAATTGCACCTAATCCCCCTTTTCCAGCCGTTGTACCTTCTTCTTTCTTACCTCGCGCTCAGAATTTTCATTCTCAGTCAACTCAAGAGATCCCCTTATCCCAAAACGCCTAGAGATCATAAACGAAATGAAGAACATATTTGCATTACTCCAGATTTATTTCCCCACTGTCGTACGAATCAAACGTCTTGAGGTCAACCTAAGTACACTCTTCCATTCTGACGCAGACTTACATGCTTACTTTTTATTATCACGAGGAATAGAGATAATCCAGGAAAAGAAACAATGATCACTAGCATCGGAACTATAATACGAAGCCGTCTGGTCTTATTGCAGGTTCTCGCCTTCTTCGAAATTCACCAGTGCCACACTGAGAATCTTGGCAATTGCACATGCAGACACTTATTTGTCAGGATTTTCTACGAGACAATCCTCGGCGCCAGTAAAACCGAACATTGTCGCCAGTTTACGCCCTTCAAATGACAACATTTGTCCACCGGAGCCCATAATGATGTGTAAGCAGATTGAGGTGTTGGGAGCTATGATTCGTCTTCATCCTAGCTTGACCCGCGGGGATAAATCGAAGGGGCCAGTGCGACTAGATCAAAACCCCGCACCAACTCCTTCGCTTGTGGTATCAAGACAAAAGAGGTGCGGATTCCTTGTTGCCGGCACTAGTATTAGCCGAAAGTCTCAAACACGTATATAAACGGTGATCAGACATCACTTCGACCCCTCAGACTCTCTTTGCAACTGGTTTTCTCCAAAAATTATCAATAATCATTACTTCTAAGTTTACCATTCTGCATCGGACAAACGTACAAGATGGGTCTTAAGGGAAGCTGCATGTGCAAGGCGATCAAGTACGAGAGTGGTGCGTCTGGCTAAATGGGCATGATACTTGTCGAGTCTTTTTGAGAGCAATGCTGATGAATGCACAAAGAGGACCCCCAAGCCACTGCATTGTGTCATTGCACAGACTGCCAGAAGGTATGTTTGATAATGACATGCCTAGGGTTTGCCGAGCTGGGAGCTAACTTGATATAACTAGTGGAGCGGTTCTGCCTTCACCTCCAACGCTGTGGTTCCTCGTGCTTCCTTCAAGGTTACCCAGGGTACGTATTCTTATGCTTCGTCTGGAATCCCTAGAACGCAAGCCAGATGCTGACATGGCCTCAAAGGCGAGCCCAAGTTCTACGACATTACCGGAGACTCTGGCAAGAACAACAGGCATTTCTTCTGCAGCAACTGCGGCTCCAGCCTATATACTGAACTGGACCTCATGCCGGACGTCACCTGCATCAAAGCTGGTGGGTTGGACGACGGGAAGGCGAGCTTGGATGGCAAGCCCGCTGTTGAGTTTTACTGCAAGGATCGTGTCACGTACTTGACGGATGTCAAGGGTGCCGACCAGAAGCCTGCATTCTGATAATTGATTTATATCTACATTATTGGCGAGCATAGAGAAAATGAAAAGAAAACTTAATCTACCATCGGCACACCTAGCTACAGCCGTGAGCTTGTCATCCAAAACTCAGCAATTCGAGTCCACGAATAGCCGTATCACTCAGTGAATCCTCGCCCTCTTGGTCCGTCCGGAAGACCTGTAATCTGGTAAGCAGCCAGCTCGCTTCCTATACTCTGCATCGGGTGCTTACCTCTTGTTGGTCTCATTCTGACCTGCCTCCTTATGTTCCTTCTCTTCACCCCAATCGTAGTCATCTCTGCCCTCCTTGCCAGCTCCGCGGAAGAGTACCTTGACCTCGAGCTTCTTGTCGAATCTCTTGTACGCTTTCGGCGCATCGTCGAGGTCATACTCGGCCGTTACGACGAAGCCCGGCCTCGCCTGTCCGCTCTCTATTAGCCTCACCAGGGCAGCAAATGTCGTTTTGCCTTCCACTGTGCCACTCTTTATCGTGAGAGACTTTCCCCAGAAGTCCGTGACAGGAAAGGTGATGTTCTCCTTCATCTTGTCAGCATTTGGCGCACCTGCACTCTTCTCTAGAGCCACGTAAACGCCCGGAATACCAATGCCCCCGCCAGCAGAGGTGACAGTAATAGCCTCGCGGATGATGTAGTCTTGCTGAGGCTTCATCTCCTGATTGACACATTCCTGTCCACAGCAATCGACGCTGCGGTTGACGCCTCCCGGCCGAAGGGCCAGGATCTGCTCAGATGCAGAACCGCCCTTCGTGAAGTTGATGGGCACGGCGCCGATGCTGGCCGCTTGAGCGAGGCGCTGAGGGATGTGATCGACAACATAGACGAGGCTTGCGCCACGGATGATGGCACTGTAGGCACATAGGAGACCAACGGGGCCTGCGCCAAAAACAGCAACAGAGTCGCCGGGCTGGAAACCTGACCAGTTGAGACCTTCCCACGCGGTGGGGAAGATATCACTGAGGGTGAGCCACTCTTTGTCGGACAGCTTCTTCGGGATCTTGATGAGGGAGCTGTCTGCAAAGGGTACACGGACATACTCCGCTGTAGATGAAGTAAGCATCACATAGTATGCATAGCCGTGGCCCAAGGGAAAATATTGATCCCCTGAAGACTTACCCTGAAGTCCCCCAAGGTCACCAAAGTCCTTTCCAAGTCCAAAACCAACAGACACCGGGAAGAGTTGATTATCGGTGTGGATGACACCGTCCTCAGGCAAGCCGAAGACAGCAACACGATCGCCAACTTGCAGGTTATCGACGGCATCACCAACCTCTTCGACAATGCCCATAGCTTCATGACCAACAGGGTAAGGGACTTCTCTACTGGAAATGATGCCGTGGTAAATGTGCAAGTCAGTACCGCAGATGGCTGACGTGGTAATACGAACAATGGCGTCTTCGGGCTCCTTGAGACGCGGCAGCGGGATGTCGGCCTTCACAGCCATCTCGTAGGGCCTGCCTTCCCAGATAACAGCTCGCATGGTCTTGGGACGTGGGGTATGATGGTTCGTCATGTTCGCTGCCATCTGTGTAGTTAGTAGAAGTTAGATGATAGTTATAGGAATACTTGTGCCACGAATCTCTTCTTTCTAAGTGCAAGAAGATTGCCGCTTTTATACGTGGAAGTCGGACAAAGAATTTCTCAACTTCCCTAAGGCTGCGAGCAATTTCTCGGCCCGCACGGCCAATATGAGTATATCTGACATCTCATGATGGGCTCTGATGGGCTTTAGCTCGTTCTACGCTGATCCTTGGACAAAGTTGCTGACCCCAACTGCACCTTTATGGGAGCGAGTTGGATGGAAGGAGCCATTGTTGTCAGACTAAATGTCCTAATGTGGCTCGAATTCACGCGGCTAAATTGCAACTAACCTTTTCTCAGCTATTGGTATGACTGACGATGACGCCTGTGTGGCCATTCCGCCGTAAGGCTCAAGTAAGCTTACTGCATCCTTAATGCAAGGGAACCCGTAAGCTGAAGCAGACGAACGACGGACGAACCGCATATTCAACAAATTTCCGAATGGGTCTCGCAGCTGATACTTAGTCTTTGACTGAAGCTCTCACGCGAACTTCACGAGCCTCGGATAGACCTGCTGAACACAGTGTTCTGTTCCTTGCATACATCATCTGGTTCCATGGCACCCTAATTCCTAACCCATCGTCTTCCACACTATGGTCAATTCAGAGGTATGAGAAAAGACGACAAGAGTAACAGGGGAAATGGGAGCAATGGCTACTAGGGCTATGGGACGAATAAAACAGAGACATGTGTATGTACACTGGTCAGCTCACAAGTAGTTCCCTCAAGACCTAGTCGCCGGCTATGCAAATTGTAGAGTAGGCAGTTACAACACGGAGTGTGTCGTAATCAATGGTGTGTTCAGAGGGGAGATTCATTCAAACATGAGGGCTACCGTCGGGTGGGTCTATAATACAGATACGAGTACATGAAGTACATGGGCAGTACATGCGAGGACGTTATCCCGTCGCAGTGTGCCGCAGATGGGATCCGGCCTTGCATCAAGTTAGGCGGCTTGGTGAAGGAGGAGAGCGACAAGTGAGGCGGTTAGACGCGAAATCCCACGCGTCCCTTGGTGAAGGCCAGGGCAAGCCATCCAGCAATGAGGGCAAGACCTCCAATTGGAGTGACAGGGCCGAGGAATTTGAGATCAGGGTTGAGAATGAGGGCGTAGATGCTGCCGCTGAACATGGTCATGCCGGCGGTAAAAAGACCTGACGCGACAGGGTTCGAGCGGGCGATCAGCAGAGCAACGGAGTGGATGAGCTAATTCTCGGGTCAGTCGAGACAACTTTGCATGCATCGCCCACAGGGATGTTCAATCATGGGTTCGACAGTACCTGATAGTGGGCAGCGGTCGACCAGCTTGCGATCTTCGCGGGGTCAGAGATGCGGCCCTTGAGGCCGTGGGCTCCGAAGGCTCCGAGACCGACGGCGGTGGCGCCGAAGATGGCTCCGACTCTCCAAAAGGCCTGGCTACTCATTGTGTCTTGTTCGGCTACGTCGGGATGAGTGCTTCGAGATGGAAGGAGAGATGTGGTTTCGTTTACTTGACTGTTGGACATAAGGGATGTGTGGGATGGACTTTGCGATGAAGTGAGGTAATGAAACTCGGTGATTCAGTGGCTCTAAAGTTGCGCGATGTTCCGAAGGCCGACAAAGAGCGCCAAACCCCACGAACCCCTGGATTCCAAGCTTAGATAATCAGACACGGGCCTGACACTCGCCAGCTGTCAGCCACCGCCAGAGCATTTCGAGGAGAAGGCTTAAGCAGATTCATGGTTTACTTCCTTGAGAAATCATATGTTTACATAGATGCAGAGAATCTTGTGTCTGGGCCAACTTCATAACATGCACCCCAGCTTCTGGGCCCTGTTCAAACACACTTGCTCGTGCTGGCCCGGCGGTTGTGTAACCAGGGGCTTCCTTCCCAACGCGGAGGTCCCATCTGCAAGTCGGCAACTCCGCCAGGGTTTGTGCATCTCCGTTGCAAAGTTCCACGCACACTAGAACCAGTTTCTCAGCTTGCCCTTCAACATCCATTTGGTCTGGTGGTGTAGTTGGTTATCACGTCAGTCTAACAGTCTGAGGACATCTCATGGTTTCCTCACTGCACACTGAAGGTCTCCGGTTCAAGTCCGGGCTAGATCATATTATTTGGGCGATTGGTTTAGTGGTATAATGACCGCTTAGCATGCGGTAGGTCCTGGGTTCGATTCCCAGATCGTCCAATTCCTTTTGCATCATCTGCTCATCGAGATAAGATGGGTGGACGTTTTCTTGCTGGGCTCAGTGAGAACGTGAGTGAGGGTAATGGGGGAGTTACCTGAGAAGATGATGCCCAAAAGCCAGGGCTTGTCAATAGCGATAATCATATAGGCGAATCCCCTCTATAAAGGCCAGTGATTCATAAGTTCCAGAGGTACACCAAGAACTTGTGTATTCCTGTTCCTCGTTGTTCGCTAGGTGTTAAGGGCTCAATGTCCCCCTTGCCTAAAGCTGACCTGATGCACATGTGCCCCGCCCGTATTGAAGTAGCTCTGATTGGCTTGATTTGACCTTTCCGCGGAATGCAGAAGACAAACTCCCAATCACTCAGTTTACGGTAAGCCTGTGGAGGAAGGAATACGACAATTATGGGACCCATCTAGGCGAAGATGTCCGCAACAGGCCACCCCACCAAACATTTTGAAGACCATGTACGAGAGAACCCGCCCGACACGCATGACGGATCGTTTTTCGTAACCAAAGGATTAAACTTATCCGCTGAAACTCCAGATGCAAACAAACATAAGAAGCCTGTTGAAGTCCGAAAGATACCTAGTATTCTGAATTCCTCACATGCTTCTACGAGACGGACTTACCATGAGATTGCTATTTCGACAACTATAAGCTGCACAGTGCGCGAGCCCGCGAAATGCTTGCTAGCGGGGGTGGTTTGTCACCCAAGTATGCGTGGGACAAAATGGAATCGGCCAAGAAACATTAAAGGAGTCTTCAATCCTCCCAGAGTAGATCATGCCTGCGACTAATTCTGCTTCTGAACCTACACACCGTAAGTTGACCCTGATTGCATGGCTGGGCCGAGAAAGACATTTGCTTCCAGCCTCTAGTCACCCGGTAGACAGCGCGTTTGCGGACCAACTAGGACAGAAAAGCCTCGAGTTTCGGGATCGTTATCATTCGTAGTCTGGTGGTGACGACCTTCAACATGCGTCAAAGAACACCACATCGAAAGTCGCGGCTTGGTTGCAAAGAGTGCAAGCAGCGTCATACCAAGTGTGACGAAACCAAACCATCATGTGTCAACTGTACGACGGCCCTTCGGCGATGTTCGTATCTCGACACTGAAGCGTCAATGCCACCAATATCCGTCTTTCACCACCAATGCCCCAGCCCCGCTACATCTTCAGGATCACCATCGGCAACTGTTAGGCCGGCGCCCATAGACTCAACGAACTGTTGCCGTTCGAGCCTACCGACAGAACTCTATGACCTCCGACACATGGAGTTATTTTACCACTTTGAACACGACTTGGGCGTAGCGCAAGGGTTTGGAGACGATCGGACACGAGAGAGATACCAGCAAATGTCGATGAAACAAGCCTTTTGTGCGCCTTATCTCATGGATGAGCTTCTGGCAATATCGGCAGCGCACAAAAGTACCCTTGCGAGCGAGGACCGAGCTTTTTATAGGCGTGAAGCTACGCGGTTACAAACACGAGGGCTCACGCAGTTCAACGCTGCCAAAGCCGAAGTATCGAACGATAACTTCCTGGCGATTTTCCTCTATTCCACCTGGCTCAGCCAGCACGTACTTTTCGATACATTCTCTGTCCCTGCCGGTTTTCCAGAGACACTGGACAAGCTGGTTCACTGTATGAACCTCCATCGAGGGGTTCGGACCATCGTGGGCGGCTCGTGGGGTAAGCTTAGAGCTCACCTGGACGAGCATCTGGGGCCCGGCACCCGCTTTGTGGATAGTATCAGGATTGGATATCATGGACTCGAAACTGGTGATGAGTGCAGAGGGTTGCTTCAGCTCTTCAATCCGAGCGATCTGAATGAGGCGTCGAGGGCAGCATGCATAGAAGCCGTTGAGCATTTACAGCTCATGTTCGACATCCAGCGAAACACAGACCTCCCTCCAGGTCGTCGGCACAGCACGGTACAAGAGTGGTCTATCAGAGTACCGAAGGAGTATGTCAGCCTGCTTCATCAGCGGCGCCCCGAAGCACTGGTTGTACTTGCCTACTGGGGTGTTCTGCTGCACCATGTCAGAGATTGTTGGGCCTTTACAAACGCTGGGAAGACTCTCGTTCAGTCTGTGGCATCTCATCTCGGATCCTATTGGAGCAAGTGGTTAGTGTGGCCACAGAAAGCGGTAGCAACTCCGGCTACTTCATCACTAAGCCCATCATGATTATAGCTCCATCAACATAGTCATCATTATCATACTTTTAATCAAAGGAGGTAGTTATGATTATATCGGCCAACACTTAGAAAAACAAGGATTATGAATTCGTAGATCTTCTTTATCCTAGATGTATCTATGCATTTACCAGATAGAGGACCAAATGAATGGTCTGGTACGTTTGCTCATCTCTCCGCGAAGAAAAAGAAGAAGACGAGAATCAGAGAAGATTGCATCTGATTATGGAGTATTTGTACAATGCGTGTTGCTTTTCATTACCACTCACATTTCATTGCCTTGCTCTTGCGGATAGATACACCTTCATTTCGGTCTTATGCCAAGTGGTGAACATTTTCTGCCTGCCAAGCCAGCCTGCGCTATCGGGATGTAACTTCATGTCGAAGTTCCACACGACACGGGCGATGATTGTACGGATTTCAGCATAAGCCAAACTAAGCCATCGTTAGTCAACTCTTGCCATGAATCATCGCTCTCTGAGAGGACGTTTACTTACTTCTTTCCGATACAGTTCCTTGGTCCGAACGAAAAGGGCTGAGCCGCGGTCTTCTTGTCGGATTCAAAGTTCGGGTCCCCAAGCCACCTCTCAGGATGGAACTCATCATGTGCGCGGAAGTTGACCGGCGAGCGGTTGACAGACAAGTGGTGGACTCCAACAGAATATCCACCGGGGACGAACTCTCCACACACTGTTCTTCCTCCGTCGGGAACAACGCGGGGAAAGGTTCCAGGTCCGGGAGGACCAAGTCGTAAAGCCTCCTCGACAACGGCGTTCAGATAGCTTAGTCCGGCAGTGCTCTGGATAGTGATGTCATCTTCTTTTTCGAATGTACCACGTATCTCAGCTGTGAGCTTCTCCAACGTGTGAGGGTTCTCGCAGAGAAGGTAGGTAGCGGTAGTTAGACCAGTTGCTGTTGTTTCACTGCCCGCAACGATGAGAACCTGAGCTGCAGTGTACATCTCGTCGACTGACATCGCTTTCTCATCACTTCCTTGGAGGATGTATGACACTAAAAGGTCAGCTTTTTTTTTGAAACAGGAACGGCCAGAGTGTCGAGGACTTACTGAAATCGGGGCGTTCGGTATCTTGCTCGAGCCTACGATTTACACGCTCGACTCCAAAGTTGAACTGGGCAACTCTGGTCTTGATCAGGCGACGCGGAATGAGAAGCAAAAGCATTTCAGACAGGGGCGAAGGGAACCTCCGGGCAGCTCGAAGGTAAGTGCCGGCTTGAAAGATATCGAAGACAGCGTGCAGCCACCAATGCCATTTGGCGTCTCGAAGACAATAAAAAGGCTCGCCGAACGCAAGGTCGCCGATGATGTCAAACGTAGTGAAGTTATACCACGAGTTCATGTCGACGATGGCATTTGCGGTGCTGGATGCCTGTCCATGGAGCTTGTGAATGAGCAGGTTGACATAGCCGGTGATGACAGACTCTTGCGCCTTCAAGGCTTTGTCTGAGAAGGCCGGGTTCTGGAGTCGGCGCATGCGCTTGTGGCCAGCATGGTCTGCAGTGAGAATGTTTTCAACGCCGTTGACATTCTTGTTCCACCACTGAGCATCTTTCTCAAAGTTGCCCGTCCCATCCTTGTTGGGGAAACCTGTACCAATCTGAGTAAGCAACTGAATCGCTAAAAGTGTCGTAAGACGTACCATAAATACTTTGCCAAGCTTGGCTGGAGGTGTAAGACAGTTCACCTGGTGCAATGCGAACAACTTCGCCGTACTTTTCATGCCACTCCTTGACCTTCCAGTGACTTACGCCACGAACATCGAAGAAAAGGTAGTAAGCTCGGGTGACTCCAGCGAGCTTTGGGCCTGGGTAGTGACGAAGAGGATGCAGGAAAGCATTGTACACGCCCTTAGCTACAACCCCAATAACTGCCTGTCAACCAACTCAGATCAGCGTTCTGCGTTTAGTAACAGCCCTTGTATTGAACGTACCGCTAGCACGATGAATACAAAAATTGCCATAGTGACTAGTCATGAAGATTGTAAGACCCGCACTTCTCTGGCTGCTATTGAGAAGGTCTTGAAGGACACGAATGGATAAATGAGCCACGCGTCCAGTCAATACCCCAGAAATAATGGAGGGGCAAACAACGATGAGAATGAAATGTAGGCTGAAAGCAATGACATTCCCAAACCAGGAGTTCTCTTTACTGATATGATGCATATCGCCGTTGTCGGGTGCCGCACGCGCGATTCACGAGTCAGATTGCCGTGTCAATTCACTTATCTTTCAAATATGCCCTGCTCCTGCCAGTTGATCCACCTCCAAAGTCACCCCGCCCCGAAATACTGGGACGGACGGACCCGATGTTCGTGAGCTTGCTGTTCTTGGCAAGCCAGCGCCGATGTTCAGCTTGGCTTCTGGGGTAATCGTGGAGCGCAGCCTGACTCGCTGGGCTTACTGATTAATCTATCAAGCTTTCAGTGACTGCCGGGCCCAGTTGTCGAACTGATATCGGTAAATGCTAAAAAGCTTCGATACGTGGGCGCCCGAAGCAGTCCCCACTAAAATGACAAGATAACATTACCACGATGCTGCTAGCCACATTGTCCAACAAGTAATATCCAGGCCGTCGTGCCCCAATATACTACGTATTCTACATTTCGGTAATGAGTTTTATGGCGCTAAATGAGATATATGAAGTATTCGATTCAGACAAACATTATTGGTCTTCAAGTAATATAGTGCGTTCTCTACTCAACTTGGCGTTAACTTGAAGCTGGTTAGACAAAAAAAACATCTGGTACTAGTCAGGCAAGAAGCTGCTATCTCATGACTTAAGTTCATTTGTAATGAGGTGACCAGTTGAAAGAAAATTGACAAGACTGCTACGAGATGGATGTGCAATTACTGGAATTCACATTCTGTCAAGCCCATCTTTTCTCATTACGCCCTCACCCCTTGTTCTTGTGCGGCGCTATCGGTGGACGTCTCTTTCTGAGGACTGGCCATTGAAATTCCAAGTTCTGGTCTTCATGTTGGGCAGAGTAGTTCCGAGCAATCGCGTTTTTATGATGGCTTGACTCGGTCGTGAAGTGAGGGGCACGCATCGGCCAGTAATCGCATGTCTTGGAGAGTTGCTTCGCTTTAGGACGCCTTCTAGGGTCCCCTGAACGAGTGAAGATATCGTAAAACCCTGGTAGACCTGCCTGCGCGAGACATCAACCCTGTTATCCTACAAGCGCCGGTGGATAGTGAACCTCCACAATGTAACAACCAATGAACTGTCTAGCAACCGTCACTTCGATCCAGATGAGATGGAAAATACAGTGACAGCATATGGGTCTTCGGAGGGGTATCTGAGAAGCATGTGGTATAATATCGGCTTGCCTTCGGCTTCTGTTCAAGGGTCTGAGCAACTCTCTCTCAATCTACACCTTTTCTCATCTTTGTGTCCAAATCCCAAACACTAAGTCTTACACAACGGCTTGACAGCACTCAAAATGGGGGAGATGATCATGTCACACGAACCTTGGGACTTCCTGAACTCTGTCCTGCGGTTCAGAGATGATGACTCTCAGTTCTGGTGGGACAAGACAGGGAGGATGTTCTCCAAGCTCCTCAAGTACGCGGGGTACAGCGCATCTGAGCAGTACCGCGAACTAAACTTTTACTCCCTTTTCGTTGCCCCTGAGCTCGGCCCCTCTCCAGACTGTCACGGCAACGTAAGAAGATGGAGAAGTCCCGGAACACCAGATTCAACCCCTATCGACTTCAGCTGGGAATGGGGTCACGATAATCGCGCTGTCATTCGTTACTCCTTTGAACCAATTGGCCTCCACGCCGGTACAGACCTCGACCCCCTTAACAGACACGCAACAAACGACTGGATCTTCAAGCTTCAGCAACAGAAGATGGTTCCTGGTCTCGACCTCGAGTGGTACAACCATTTCACAAAACAGATTCTGCCCCATGGCAGCCGTACAAAGACAGTAGATCGCTTCATTGAGGAGACGACACCAAAAGCAGGAACCGTGGTAGCACTCGACATCGAGAAGAGTGGCCCGGTCATGAAGATATACATCTACCCCGGATTGAAAGCTGAGGAGCTTGGCATCACCAACCTCGAGTTAGTAGAGCAGTCAATCCGAAGCCTACCCACCGAACAATTTCAGTCCCTTAACGCCGAACCCCTTCTCGACTTCCTAAAAGAAGGCACCAAGAAGTACGATTTCGAGACTGGCATTCTGGCCATTGACTGTCTCGCCCCCCAGGACGCCCGCATCAAGGTCTACATCCGAGCAAAGCATACAACATTCGATTACATGATGGACTGCATCACCCTTGGGGGAAGACTTGACATGTCAGGCGAAGCCATTGATGACCTCAAGGACTTCTGGCGAACATTCCTCGCTGATGCACCAGATATTCTGCCTGAGGACGCTCCGGGCCGAGCCAGCCCCGGCTTCTACTACACCCTCGGGTGCGGAAGGGCCATTTCACCAAAGGTCTACATCTCTCCCAACTACTTTAGTAAGAACGATGTGGATGTTCTTGCTCGTCTTCGCACTTTCTTCGCCTCCCGTCGCACAGACTCGATGATGGACAACTATGAACAGGCTTTGAAAGATATCTTGTAAGTCTTTCGCTGGTTTTCGATCAGATAAAGCACTAACGCATTTCCAGTGGACGCAAAACCCTTGAAACTCGCTGTGGCAGCCATTACTACGTTGGATGTGCTTTGCACAAGGGCCAGCTGAGGGTAGTAACATACCTCAGCCCTCAGTCCTTTGATTGCGAGAAGGACCTGATTCAGGGTCGTAAACCGTGATGGATTGTTGGATTACTGGGCGGTCGTGTTTTGTTTCTTTTATACCTGGTTTCTGGATGGCTCTCATGGTACTTCGATTTAAACATGAAACATCGGCCGTCGTTCATTGTTTGTTTCGAAGGTAAGACAAAATAGCGAATAAATGCACGATCGGCCCTGAATTGATCCATTGATGAGGTCTCGTCACGAGTGAAGTCAGTTTTTGTTTTAGACTCTTAGGCCGTTTTAACTTTGAAGCTAACGGCTTGCCAATAGTCCTCGACACGTTTGTGGTGCTGCCCGCAGATCATTTTAAATGATTGGAGCCAATACGCGTGTAGAGAAACATTAATCTTGAACAAGGTTTTGGATGTATCGACTCAGTGTTGATCTCTAGCTATATGCATTAAGAAACTCCTACGTCATCATCAGTTTCGTCAATCGCCTTCGCAGCTCACTGCCCTTTATTATGCACTGGCCAGTGCTGCACTAAGCTCTATCGCGGCTTCCTCTAACAAGTCGCACGCTCTTTTCGCGCCCCCTTGATCGTTGAGCTCTTTGCCGATTCTGATTGCATTCTTCGCAAAGCTATCCTCGCTGAGAACCCTGTGAACCGCATTGCGGACCTGAGCAACCGAAGGGGTATCGGTCTTGAGATCGATGCCCGCACCTACCCAAGTTACCCGCGCAGCAGTATCTTTCTTGTCTTCGGACGTACCGGCACAGACGAGCGGGACGCCGTGTGAAAGCGCCTGGGTGACACTTCCGTAGCCTCCGTTTGTGACGAGAAGGCGACACCGTGGCAGCAACATGTCGTACGGGACCCATTCCGCGATGCGAACATTGTCTTCGACCTTGATCTTTCCTTGGATTTGGTCTGCGAGTTTCGACGGTACAACCAAGAGATGTTCTTTATCTCCTTGAAGTGCCTGGATAGCAGGGATGATGAGCGATGTAGGGTTCATGGCAAAGGTGCCTTGCGTGATCCCAATAACGGAAGTTGCGTTGACAACATCTTCCCACCATGTCGGCACACCGAGATTGGCTCCCGTAAGACGTGTGACCAGTGGTCCGACATATTGTGCTTGTGGAAGAATAGGATCAGGGCCCTCCTGGAATTCCAAAGAAGGGCAAGAAGCTTGGATGTGCAGGAACGGACTGTATGAATACGTGTCCGTAACTTTAAGGGCCGGAAGTCCAAGCTTCTGTCTTTCCGGATTGATCGTGGGCAGCACCAGCTGTGGTTGACTGATGAGCAGTCCCAGCGCAGATTGCGCAGCGTGTTCGATAGGCTCCGGTCCAATATCTGGAAGATACAAAGGCACAACCCCGAGGGTCGCATACCGAGGAATCTCGCCCAACTCGTAGAGTGCGGCAACACCCTGTGGCAGAGCATCGTTGAGCACAAAGTCAGGCTTGAATGTTTTGAGAACACGGCGAATGTCAGCGACTTGCGCAGTAAGCCGGCCGCTGAACATGATTTCAGCTGTCTCGGTCATATCTTTCGGGTTCGCGCCATCAAGGTTGGCGTCAACTTTGACCACTTCTTCTGCGGGGAAGAACTTCGCCCCTGACGCAACAACTCGGGATTCCTGGGGCGCTATTGTCGTCCAAACAACTTCGTGGCCCCGTTCGACCAGTTCTCTGGCCACTGCTTGCATAGGCAGAACATGACCAGTCGCAGAAAAGCAGTGCAGGAGGAATTTCAGAGGCTTGCGGCTTGCTGCCGCCGCGCCTGATCCGTCCGGTGTTGAGAGGTGCATTGCGTTGACGAGCGGTGAGGTTGGACAAGCGTTTGGGACGATTTGCTGGGTTTGGCGATTGGATGAACAGCCTGAGGTGTTCAGCCAAAGCTAAAACCACGTCTTGCACTGCAGACACAAGGTACTACTTTTGCACCTAACAGTTATTATGAATTTACCGATGAACCCAAGCTTCAAAGCTTCTGATTCGTCGGTTTGCGTTGATGTGTCAATACCAACAACTCAGCTCATGTAGGATAAGAACAACCGAAAACGAGCCATCACAAGGATGAGTCGGCTCTGCTATCAAATGATTATCTTCCAAGAGCGCGTGAGAGGAACAATCGGCGGAGCACTGATACGCTGTAAAACTTAATTTTTACCCCGGATATTAGAAACCCACACTCATGAGTCGACGAACATTACGAGTCATGAAGTGTTGATGGTCGTTGATAACGACGCAGGGGGCTGTTGGGGTAGCCTGGCTGTTGCGATGGACGGACCCCAGCTGGGGTGTTTAGATAGGTTCGAGTAAAAGGGTCAATAGGACCGTCCTTCTGGAACGTTTTCGGAATACTGCAACCGACGAACTCGCAAGAACCAGATCTCTCAAAATGTCCCGGGCTGTCGATAAGCTTCCCGTCCCTGCGGTGGCCCGTCCCATGAAAGTCATTGGACTTGGTCCCAGTCGGTAAATAATATCACAACATCCATTTTCTATGTCACGCAACTCATCTGTTTCTAGCACTGGAACTCTTGGCCTATGGCAGGCCTTGAAAACATTGGGTTATACCCCGTTTCACATCTCAGAGCTATTACCATACGGTTTCCAGCAAATGAGAGCACTCCAAGAAGCCATCATTGCGAATAAGACCGATAAGCCATTTGATCGCACTGAGTTTGACAAGCTCTTTGCCGGCTATGATGTAAGCTCCTACCACGCAGTTCTAGAGCCCTTGGCGGGTTTTTTTGTTTTGTAGCTAAGACCTAACAGTGCATTGTCGAAAGTCCCTGTTACTTGTGCCCAAACATCATCAAGACGTACTTGGAAGATCCTAATGTTAAGTTTATCTTAACTGAGCGCACTCCAGAGTCCTGGGCGAAGTCTATTGCCGGATCCCTTGGTGCCTATCACGCCAAGCTTGCCAAACCGCCTCTGTCAATCGCACGGTACTTTGACAGCTTCATTTGGGAACTCACCGCGCTCTTCAGAGCCATGACTCATAGATGGTCTGGCGGACTGGAACCGAGCGATCCTGGCTTCATTGATGCACTCGCGAAAAGCTACGTTGAGTAGTAAGTTCTCGTTCTCTCTTTCATCAATTAGCATTTAGATTGACCAGTAACTAACATAACGACAACCAGCATGGAGGGTGTCAAGACACTTGTGCCTCCTGAACGATTGTTGGTCCTGAATTTGGAGAAAGGCTTTGGCTGGGAGGAGATTTGCACATTTTTGGAACGGGAAGTGCCCGAGGAACCTTATCCGCGCATTAACGCCATGGCCGACTTCCATGTCGCCGCCGAGACGGTCGTGTCTCCAGCGATCAAGAAGACGTTCCGCATTCTTTCTTCGTCTGCGGTTGCCATCGCTGGTATTGGCTTCTGGTACTGGCAAAGAAGGCGATAGTATCGAAGAAAAACACACGTACGCCAGCTGTCTAAGTAAAATGACAAGGAGTTAAAGGGCTGTTGGCGCCAGCTGATGGACGATGACATCTCACGGAATTTAAAAATAGAACATGCATTGATCTCAAGCAAGATGGCTATCTAAGAAAGAGTCCTTCGGCTTGAAGAATAATCAAAGAACTTTTTGCACTTTTACTTTCTCAGTTTCTGATGTGACTTTGGTCTGAATTCTACTTTTACGCTTTACCAGCTCCACGGATCTGAATAGGCGATTAGCGAAGCCCGAGGTACAGTCAACTGAGTTTAAAATGTTGCCAACTATTTCATCATTTTCGAATATTCAAAGTCATTGTGATAGGTTGCTTTTAAGTGTGTAAGGTCTACAGGTCAACTTAGTATCTACGCCGTCCAAGAACCTAGATCCGAGTCACCTTACTTTCGCTCAGGTAGCTTTCTTAGCACCCTTTGGATCGAATGCTGAGACTTCGACTTCAACACGCATAACAGGCTGCCCAAGGCTCGAGACCCTAATGCCAGTGAGGATTGGTGCATGATTAGGCGTCCATTTCTGAATATTCTCAACCATTCTTCCCACACCCTCTGGCGTCCATTCTTCGTCCAGGGCGTTTGAACGGGTGCGAAAACCTGAGACCAACCCTCGCCGCCGGTATCTTTCAGAACCAAGTCAACGTTCTCAAAAGATTGGTCGACTTCCTGCAGAAGGTCATGGGAACGTTTCCTATATTCGGATCCCAGCCTCCTGTTGCTGTGGTTAGCTATGTGAAATCGCTGGCATTCACTTCCTACCAAAGCTGCAAATTGATAGCATCCGCTCTCATGACGGAGAAAATCTATGGACTAGTCCTGACCGGAGATTTCAATGTTGCCCCCGGCACGTACAGCCTGAATATAGTGCATCTGTTTGAGTAGATTGATACCATAATTCTGGTAAGAGAACTTTCTGAGTCGGGACATTTTGAACATCGTATAAAGCAGAGAATTGAGGCCTGCTACGGTTGTGATTGGGTTTGTCTTTTTGCAACTCATTGAGTTAGAGAGCTTCTGATTGAATTATACACAAGTGAATTAGCTGTGTTATAGTAATTCAGCTGAAGATGTTTTTCGTTCATGGTAACCTAAAAGTGCTGCGACTCAATGATGTTTATCTGTTGGAAGAAGGGCAATCGAAGGCATCAGATAGATAGGGAGCACAGCCCGGTCAGCCACACCCTGCAAGGTAGGGCCAGCCCCTCAGCCACAACGAGGGGCATATCCCACTTCACCTTGTTGCTGGCCGCGCAGATCTCCCATCTTCATACCCAATACAATTAACCAGCAATATCACCACTTTGACATGATCGTTGCTATAGACTCGTACGATTATCTTACCACCTTTGAGACCAACATTGTCCTTAGGTATGACTACCCATGCACACAGCTTGTCTTATTGGCTTCAAGATCGCATTCACTTTGACCTAACATGAGCAATGCAGCTAAACTTTAGGGGATGGCTGAATAATCGAACCAATCCTCAAACAGGGTAATTGGTGTTTGTTGCATTCGCTCCTCGACAATGCATAGCTAAAGCGCTTGAAGCCAAGCACATAAGAAAATTCTCCTTAGTAATGTGCGGGCTCAATCACCCCAGCTACCTTGATGTGGAGTTCGAGTCGGGAGCATTATCCTGCCGAGTCGTCAAGAGCCAACCGAGGATCGTACTTTCTCGTCTTGGGTGGTGGTTCGTTTGCTCGCCCAGATCGACGATACCGCGAAGCCAAGAGGCGAAGGAATCGAGCGCCAAGACATCTGCCATCTCCTTTCGGCTTGTTGACCCCAGCGCACTGGGTAACGGAGGAGCCGGGCCAGGAAACATTCCACTTAGAGGCCTTTTGTCCTCATTGATATTACTGGCGTGGCCTTATCATCTACACCAGCCCATAAGGCACCTGCTGTGTTCGGCTTTCCCGTCATTCTCTGGCCTCTCCAAAGCATGGGTGGTTCGAAGAAGCCAAGTTTGAGGAGTGGGAAACGATGACTCGACCAATTTATCTAGTCAGTGTGTGCTTCTTTTGCCATGCTTCACGTGCGGACAGCAGGTCGATCAGCTGACGGGAGTTCTGCATCCGGTGGGCTATTGAACGCACAATTTCTGATTCGATTTCTTGAGACATCGTTCGGTTTTACTAGCGCAACCTCGTTTTCACCAGTGTGCACTTTTGACTGAAACCTGTCTTGCCTGCTCTCCTCGGACTCACGCAGTTCACGGGCCGCGCACCAGCGTAGTGTCTACCTCTAATCTGACACTCTTCCAATCAATCCCTCTCATAATCCAGAAACCCCCAGCTGTGGCCTGGCGACCGGTCGAACAGTCCCACTCTACAGCACCGACCGTCCGGTAATTCGGGGAGTAAAAGCGGGTGGTGGCTCAGCTGCCGACAAAGACCCATGTAACCCCGAGTGCAATCGCAGGCACAGTCAAAAATCGGAAAGTGGCTTTTAATCCTTTTTTGACTTCCTCCTGTTGAAATCTCTTCATCCAGATTTCAATTCCTTGCCGTTATTCAAACACAGAAAAGCCTCATCGGTCATCTCCTTGCAGGGGAACGTGTCTAAGGGTTTCCATCCTGACCCGAGTTGGTGCCCCCAGGAGCCGCTCTCAGAAAACATGTCTCTGGACCTTAGTTAGCTTGTTCTTCCCAAGTTTTTCTCGCGTATTTTTTTTTTCTTTTCGCCAACTCTCTTGATCCAAGCATCCAAACATTGCGTATTGCAGGTTGCGCATTACCGTTACAGGCTTAGTCTTTTGCATGGGTTCGATAATTAGTGTCAAGAACAGCCCACATCTTCCTCCTGAAGAATGATCTTATAACCCCTTTGCAGTACGACTGGAACCACGTATCGACATCTTGGTCGACGAGGACAACTTTCGCTTGTGTATACTAACTAGTCGATGTCTTTCGAGGAATCCATGACGGAGCAGGGTACTTTGGCTCACATCAGGGTAGGTCGTCAACAGCTCTTCGACAAAGCCGATCGCTGGGTTGTCCGACATAACTGCCCACTCCCCCAACAGATCATCGAAGTCTTCAGGCTCGAATGGTGAACTATTCTCATAGTACTTGGCAGCCACTGCGTCGTACCAGCGAAGCTGATCTAGCGGCCGCTCGATGTACACAAACCCATGTTTTATAGGCATGCCGAGTTCTTCGTACGCAGCCTTCATGGAGGAGCTCCCGGTTCTACGCATACTCATGTGTAGAGCCTGCACGCCTGTTCTTCAAGCCACAGTAATGACGAACTGCAATGAACTGCGAGAATAACCAAAGGTCTGGACTAAGAGCATCTCGTCCCTAATTATATATCACTAGCAGAAGAAGGAAACTTGCCCTCAAGCTGACCGCAGCTGGTCGTCGATGTGCAACAAGTGATGCTGATCGTCAGATTTGGGTAGCTGCATGTCCAGTGGGCTGCAATGCAAGCGTTTTGGTATTTGGACAGGTCACCGAGCCCAAACAAAGTGACTTAGTCGAACAATGGGTGACGAATTGAGATGAGATCTATGAGACTAGCTCTGGTCAGCATGCGGGTCGCTGATCACGTCGACTTGAGCAAACCCACCTCTAGGCTTCTTGTCCAGTAGGCAACAGATGATACATCAGGGTTGAGCTTGCGTTTATCTAGCGAGACTGGGAGCCCAACAGCGACCATCAGCGTGTATTCTTCCCAGTCTCCCCAAATTTACGTATTCTACACTCTCGAGTATCAAGAAGCATTTAACCAATAACTTTTCCACAAAAGGGGGACGATGACGCGGAGGACCAGGGCGCCTAAGAAGGTTGGGAGTGCGTGCCCAGAGTGAGTTTGCAACGGTTATGGTCGAACCTGCAGCATTGAATGCAAACTTCAGGCGGTCAACAACTAACTTCGCATCCAACCTCAACATGAACTTCTAAAAGTTACATCAGTACGTCACAACCTTATCCTGTACTAGGCGCCCTGCAACCAGGTTCGAAGGAGCCGAATCTCACGCCAGAGCTACAATCATGGCACGAGTACAATGAGAGCACCAGGACATGGAGCTCAGTCCCAAGCGCCGATGAGACGAGTGTTCCAAAGGACTTCAAACCCCCACTCGGTGAGGACCTAAAGCTGGTTCTTGCTACATGGAATGTGAATCATTTCGGTCCGCAGCCGCATGCGCGCCTCAGGGCAATCTTTTCCCATACCATTAACCACGCACCATCACCCGATATCATCTTCCTCCAAGAAGTATCAAGACCCATGATCGAATCCTTATTGCGCAACGACGAGGTCTGCAGAGGATGGTATTCTAGCGAAAGGGACTCAATCAGCTGGAGAGGTGCGTTCGGGACCATCACACTTCTATCCAGATCGCGATTTTCAACGGTGGGCAAGACAGCTCTCGGCATTCTTGGCCGCGTTTACAGGATTAGGTATCCGGCTATGATGAACAGAGATGCTCTTTGCAGCAAGATATTCGTCCCGACGAAACGGATACAAATGGGTCAACCTCACTACATCCGGACCACGCTGATAAATGTACACTTGGAGTCCACTAACGAGTCAAAATGCTCTTCGTATAGGGCCCACCAATTGTCGGTTGCCTCATCATTACTGCGTGAGACTGGGCATGGATTGATTGCAGGGGATTTTGACCCTGTTGACCCAAGAGACGAAACCATCATTGGGAAAAGCGGCCTTCAAGACGCGTGGGAATCTTTGCGAGAGAAAGACCCCGGATACACATGGGGAATCGACGGAAAAGAGAAGTACCCTTCAAGCCGAATGGACAAAATCGCGATATTGGGCTTGCGGCCTTTACACATTGAAGTAATGCACCCGCAAGAAGTCCTCCTTCCATCATTGAATGCACTAGCTACAGACTCAGTCGACATGGGACCCAAGGGCAGTTGTAGACACAAAACAACACCTTGGAGTGAACACTCGGGACTTAAAATTGCTTTTACCCTGAACACAGAAGAATCGACATGAGTAGATGGGTCGATGACACTCCAAAATCCCTAAATAGCCTAAACTCCGCGCAGCTTCTGCTGATCTCAAATAATTGCCATCGAGTCAGCTTTCCAATCTAGATCTGACTTCTGTCTCGGGTTTACTCGCTGTCAGCAAGCTTATGTGCGAACGGTTGTCTGGCATTGGACTCGCATTAGGCAATCGGAGAATGTACACAGTGATTGGTTCGTCTCCAGCCTTCGATGGCCAGCATTCAAGCGATGGGCGATTTTTCTGTCAGCTCTTGGCCGATCAAATTCCCAATTTCCCACAACCCTCACTCCGGCTGTGTGACGTTAGAAGCCGTTCATGTGAAGCAATAACGTTGGAACCCTTTTTTCCTGTTTATTTCTAATGAAAAGTGATTTCTCGACTATATTGGTCGCACAATTTCATAATGGAGCACATTCCTATCCCGTGCAATCTTATCGTCGGGCATCCGACCATCAGATTAGGAACAAACCAATTTTGTGAGCCCGGTCCGTTCCTCGAATACCCGGAGAGGCACAGTGAACTCCTCAACGGCCAGTATCCGAATGTGCCGACGCAAGCTGATACACTTTGAGGGAGGCTCACGGCTGGAATCTCCAGCGTCCAGGTCATGGATTACTACCAGGGATGGCTCTTCTGCTCTTTGATCCAAGATTTTCTTGGAGACATATATCAGCGGCACAGTTACATTTCTTGGACTTATGATGACGAAGGACATCGCGACTCAGTCAGCCTCTCGACTCGGACTCTGCACGAGGACTTGACATCGCTACGAGCGAATGACCCCATGGCCTCTATTAAGCACGGCGATGAGTATCATCAACACCTGCAAAAATGTCTTGATGTAGCGTTCCAGGCTTTCGATACTATCGAATTCAATTTCCCAGGATTCTCTCCAGGGAGATACTATGCCTGGTCAGCTTAGCTGAGACATTGGACTCCGCGGTCCAGACCGCCTTAGCCCACGGAATAGTGAAAAGAGAGCTGGAAAGCCAGCCTGGCCGGCCCGACTCTAGATATCTCGATCGCAAACAAAGCCTCGTTCCTTGGCTACTGAGCGGATGCAACTGATCTGTAGAAACGGACCCCAACAAGAAGCATTTCCCGAAAACGGCCTATCCATGGTTCAATAAAGTCTCTCCTCTGCTAAATTTATTTGACGAAGAAACGAAGAGGGCGATGATCAATGCTGGCTGGTGTCCGGGCGACACTACCAAGGCACAAGACAGCTTCGTCAGTATTGCTGCGTTGATTATCTCACCAAATTCAAGGCGGATTCGACTGTAGCAAACCTGCATCAGTCTTGTCCAGAGTACAGCTGCAGTCTGAAGATTCCGGCTGAGCCCCAGCATATGAGCGAAGAATGCGACTGTCCAGGAATGATTACGTTCGATGAAAATAACCTAATCGAGATTTATCAAAAAGGAAACGTCACTTGCTTTTCGATCGGCAAGCTTGAAGATGATAGCCTAGGGGTTGCACTCAGCTCATGCCGAATCGACAAAGAATCTCAGAAGGACTCCGATAACCATTACGTTGCGCTCTCCCATGTCTGGTCCGAAGGCACGGGAAATCCTGCAAGCAACTCGTTGCCCTTCTGCCAGCTTGCTTACGTGCACTACTGGGCCATATCGGCTTACCAAACAGTCGAAGAAAAAGAGCAAGCGAGACCAGAAGGTGGGTCGGGCGTAGCGATTCAGACAAGACGGAAGATCCGGCAACTCAATATCTGGATCGACACTATGTGCTGTCCAGCGACCCCGGGCTATGGAAAGAATCTGTGTCTTTCGATGATGGCCTCTTCTCTCTCGAGTCGCCTATCAATCTTCTTCAGCAAGCCCCAAAACGTGAGGCAAGCCTGGCTTTTCGCTTCCTGGCCGAGTTCCGCGACGTTAGCACCAGATTGTGGCAGTTCAATGAAGAGAGCAACGGGATAGAGTCCATGAGGGGATCTCGTTTCTTTCTGAACATGCTCACCAAAGCACTCAAATATCGCAACTTGACGGTTGCGTCCGACAAGGTCATCTGTCTTGCCACACTTCTCAATCTTCGCATCAAGAGCACAAGTGGAGTGGTGCTTCTGGTCGGTGACGGAGAAACCCCGGAGGACGGAATGTGCGAGTTGTGGCGCCGGGTCGAGTCGCAGGGAGGAGGCCTCCCGTCAGACATAGTCTTCTCGCGCATCCCACGTGTTCAGGTTCCTGGCTTTCGCTGGGCTCCCCGGACTCTAGTAAAGTATGCGAAGTACGGCGACCTGTTCATTTTTCATTCGAGCGTCCAAGCGGCGAAAATCATAGATACTGGTCTTCATGTGAAGCTGCCAGGGGCGCGACTAACCAGTCTGGCTGCTCAGGAGACGGTGGCAGACATCCACCTTGGCCAACTGCCGATAATACATATCACGCCATGCCTTGAGATCAGCAGGGACGGGAAACCACTACCCCATCCGTTCTGATGGTGGAAAACCCAGCCGACGGCAATCAGTGGTACGCTGTTCGAGTTCACGAGGACGAAAATGCTTCCAGTGGATCTGGAGCTAGTGGAGAATCAGGATCGATCGGAAAGAAGAAGGCAAAACTTCTGCGGCTTGTCAGTGACAGTTCCATTACCTTGATATTCCGAAACAGATCGATTGCCGGGCCTGGCTTGCTTGTTTCTATTAGCCGGCCATCCTCAGAATGGAGTGCCCTAGAGATGTTGAGTCTCACCCCAAGACCCCTAGAGGCTCGTCGCGAGTTTCCTGTGCAGATCACGCCTTTGGTTGGAAATGCAGGCGTCATTGCTGAGGCAGCCAGTTGCTGTGTAATGGAATTCCTGCGTGTGACTGTGGCTGGGGAGAGACAGTGGGAGGTGAATGTCGTTAGCGATGTCTGAGAGGACTCAAGTGTCATATCCGGGCTTCTGGGGCAATCGGCCGAGAAGTTATTGAGCGCCTCCACCGAGTTGAAAGAAGCTTTGTACTTTGAGATCCTGTCAAAAAATGCTTCTGCTACCGCCAAAGATCTGCTTGAGAGTTTTGTGTGGTATGTGCGTCAAATGGCGTAGTACGGAGGTAGTATGGGAGGAGAGCTATATACAGAGGACCAAGATTGGTGTATGGACTAGTCTAAGAGACAGGCAGGAACAACCCGTGATATAGATTGGCATGCTGTATTAGAGATTGAGACGAAGATTTTCATGAGCTTGAACCGTCAAACCGCAACTTTTACTAAGACTACGTCCATGTCTGTTGCTAAGGGTCTCGCCATATCACATCAATACACTTAGGGTAAACGGTCACATCTCTTCCTTTATTCGATGACCTATCTTTATGTGCTGTCCATCCCCTCTTCACTCGTCTTGTCTTCGTCTTTGTTGCTCCATCCGTCCGTAGTTTACCCCTGTCCGGTGTCCGCTTCTTCTATTGGAACTTTCAGCACTCCCCAGCCGGTGTTGTGGGTAGACATTCGCAACATCTACAACAAAAAAAGGACCAACGCGGCCACGAAAGTCGGTTTCCTAAGTTACTAAGAGCCAAATGCATTGGGAATAGACATCAGTCGCCCACAGTGGCGTTAAGACAATCTATAGCCAAGCGCAATGGCTTATTCCATCATTTGGCACTGACGTACAGTAGGCTGAAAACAGACAACATTGGTTGAGACAGATTTCCACGGCGGGTGGCTTGGCGAAACGATAAGATTGATTCACATATTTTAATTAATTTAGACTCGACTCATTGATCTTGATTGTGTATTGCGAAAATGGGTATAGCTGCTGACATCAGTGGTTTCGGCGCTTCGAATGACGAATGAATGAGGAAAGAAAGAAAAGAAAGAAATTAAAGAAAGAAAAAGAAAACTCCTTCAACTTACTTAGGTATGGGCCTTGACGGACGTGTCATTATTTGAGGCTTGTAGAACATCATTCAAAAATCTGTTGTGGTGCCGATTAGGCATCGAGGGGGTGTGAGATCCCCGCCGCTTGTAGTAAAACATGTACACTGAGACAGATGCACATGCGACTCGCCGTATCCGCGAGGGTTGCCTGGTAAGTAAGTTTAGTTGCAATATACTGGCCGCATTCGGCTTGTAGCTTATAGCTCCAGCCAGAACCGTGCTAGGCTCGCTTTTCGCATACGGCGACTAGATATGACCCCGGTACGGGATTCGGATCTAGGTCTTTCATTTCTTTTCGCAAGATTGCGCATGGAACTCCAGCAGCCCGTGGAGCCACATAAACCCTTGAAAGCGTTCATAATACGTACCTTCGTCATAGGGATGAGGCGAGCTATGCCATTGGGCCGGGTTATCCCATAAGAACGTTTCGGGCTCATTCCTGAGGCCCATGAGCCTTGCAGCATGCACTTTGTGCCATTGTTCTGTTTGCCATGGGAACAAACGCTACGGCGCATCTGCTTGCGGAAGTCTGGGTGGCGTGGACTTGGCGACAGAAATCGATCGTACCGCTTTTCTCAGGAGAGCGACAGTCTTGTCTAGACCCTCCTATGACCCGTTGAGTGAGGGATGAGCAGTGTGTGCGATTGTCATGTTCAATTTCTTGCATCAAGACCTATTTGTGAAGCGTAAATAATAGACCATCTTCCACATCGCACGACGAAGGTTGCCCGTTGAATGGGGTTTTGAGTTTTGTTTTGCTCTTTTGTTCATCATTACTCAATGCATTGATCGAACCCAACACAGGCATTAGCCACTCATGATAGAGGGCATCGATAATGCCGGGGTTGTGGAAGCTCCTCTTACCCACGCTGGTGCTTGGGGGTAACAGTGTGGCACAATCGTGCATCGAAGCACTCAACAACAACCAGACCGATGCCTGCGTTTGCTATTCTCTCGAGTACGTCGTCAGCTACGTGGCATACATCGCTGTTTCGACATCATACACCTCTAGCTGCGAGGCTGTGCCTACTACAATACCGACCGGAACATCACCAGCTCTTCAACTTCTGTTGGAATCTGCTTCTGGGGACTTTTCTGGGTACGTCACTCGAAATAATGGTGTTTACACAGGTACAGGTATCTTAGCCGGCCCGACGACAGTGGATGTGATTCCACCTACTGGAACCGAGCAAGGGACTCTTGTGGTGGAGGTTCCGCCATCATATTTCACGATCTCTCGAACTGGTACTGAGACGGTCAGCCCTGGCCCTCTTCCGAACTACATCAACTCCACGAGCTTTCTCACAAGAAACCTCATCGCGGCACCTCGGACAGTGTCTGTCGTACACCCTACTCCTGGCGTTTCCGTTGCTTCTCGTGGCACAGTAATTATCGCCGTACCCGACCCGAGATTGTACAGTACCACCACGGTAGCTTACAGCGGAACGGAGCTGTTGGAAGCACCGCGGACAACGATTTCGACCGTCATTGAGGATGGGCTCACTCCCGGCACTTTCGTCGTTGCTGTCGCTACAACACCTTTACCGAATCGGTCCTACGATGTATCTACTGTTGCTTACACAGGAACGGCCGTCTTGACGGGTCCAACTGTGATCTCCGTGATCCAGCCAACTGGTGCGGAGGCGGGTGTCGTCGTGATTGGAGTTCCTCTGACTGGCGTTCCTCCGCCTCAGGTGACGTCGATAATTCCATACTCCGGTACCGAATCAATCACAGCAGCAACGACGATTCTGGATCGACCTTTCGATGGAACCATTCCAGGGGCACTCGTCATTGCTTTGCCGTCAGCTTCCTTCAGAACCGAGACGGTACCATTCACGGGCACGCGAGCCTTGACCGCTCCGACCGTTATCTCGATAGTTCCCCCGAGCGGCTCAGTCCTTGGCATGGTTATCGTGGGTAGCCCGACAGCAAGCTATCTCGCCTCGTACGTGCCTTACACCGGCAGTGTTCCGATTGATGAGCCGATCACAATTTCCGTCATAGAGCCAAGTGGTACAGCTGCAGGCATAGTGATTATTGCAGAGCCCCAGCCAATCGTTGATACTGAGCCCGATGCACTCGAAACAGTGGTAGTAACCTACACAGTTACTGAGGTGATATCTGACCCTACCACGCTCTCTACTGCTCCGCCTGACGATTCCAATCCTGGTACTGTCTTTTTGGATTCGCAGCCAGGCAGTACCTTGGCAGCTCCAACACCATTTGTTACCTCGATTGTTCCATACGTAGGACCCGATGTCATCAACACGCCTTCGACTCTCAACATCATCCCTCCGAGCGGTGCTCAACGAGGGACAGTAATCATTGGTCTGCCGCGAGTTCTACTATCCGCTGGCACTGGAGCAGACTCGTTCATCACTTCGGCAGTTCCGGTATCCTATGTCACTTTGACTGTGGCTGCGAATGGCGACGGTCCACTCGTGACCTTGACGAGTATTCCCCCAAGCGGTACTTCACCAGGTACCATCTTCATCGGTGCTTCTCCAACTTCCGGGGCATTGCCAGCATCTTTCGTCACTCAGGTTGTTCCATACAGTGATTCAACTCCTGTAGCAGAACCCACCACTCTGTCGATCATTCCCCCGAGCAACTCGGCGCCTGGTACAATCGTGATCGGCGACCCTCGACCTTTTATACGCACGACTATGGCATACACCGGGGCAGAACCACTAACCGAGACAACTACCATCACTGTGGTAGCCCCGGATGGCGACACACCTGGCATCGTAGTTGTGGCGCTACCATCTACGACTCCGGTAGCCCCGTCGTACGTGACATCTGACGTGGTGTTCTTGGGCATGCCTCCTATCCAAGAGCCAACCACGCTCTCAACCGTTCAGCCAACTGGTACGACTCCAGGGACTTTGATCGTGGCTAGACCTGCGTTCTTCGTCACTTCAACCATTCCGTGGACTGGCACCGTGACCATCCCGACGCAGACCACGATCGCCATCATCCCTCCCGCTGGAACAGAGCCAGGGACAATATACGTTGCAGACCCCACTGCATTCGTAACTTCTACCGTCGAGTATACTGAGACAGCGCCTTTTACAGCACCCACTACAGTAACAGTCATCCCCCCCAGCGGAAATGAACAGGGGACTATAGTCGTAGCTGGCCGTCGACCATTCGCGACATCCTTCGTTCGATTGACTGGTGCTTCTCCGGCAGAAGGCCCTACAACTTTGACTCTGGTACCGCCTCAGGGCAATGCACAAGGGACTGTCATAATGGGAGTGCCCAACGATTTTCTAACGTCAACCGTCATCTACTCAGGAACAGGAGTTTTGACAGCACCCACAACCATATCCACAATCGCTCCATCTGGGGCAGCTCCCGGCACCCTGATCGTCGCTTTGCCGCAAACATCTTATCAAAGTATCGCTCCTACAGCCGTTCCATCGGTCTCAGAAAGCCCTCCGACAACCACGGCTCCTATAACGCCTACGGCGCAGCCGGCGTTCGTCACTTCAACGGTCTTATATAGCGGCACCGCTACCATTTCAGGCCCGACCACACTTTCCACTATTCAACCAAGTGATGCTGCGCCAGGTACCTACATCGTTGGAGTTGCAGACTCATTCGTTACTTCGCAAGTGGTTTACTCTAGCACCAGCGCTATTACGGCCCCCATCCCTATTTCCACTGTTCAACCTTCCGGGTCTAACTCCGGAACGATTATATTCGCCGTACCCTCTTCGTATGTTACCTCCGAGGTTGAGTACACTGGGCCAGCCGGGCAACTCACAACGCCTTCCCCAATCACCACGATTCCGCCCAACGGGGGGGGTCCTGGAACTGTGATTGTAGCACGACCGGGTACGTACGTCACATCAGAAATCATTTTGACTGGGCCATCGGACCCTCAAATCACGGCTCCGAGCATTGTGTATACGATACCTCCCAGCGGAAGCGCGCCCGGAATCGTGATTGTGGCCCGGCCGCCCCAATACGTGACGTCCGAGGTCTTTTACACGGACTCGGGGGATCCACAAATCACGGCGCCGAGCACGGTCTCCGTTGTGACGCCGATCGGGACAGTGCCCGGAACCATAATCATCGCTCAACCGCCAAACTATCAAACATCCGAGGTGTTCCTGACGGGGATAAATGGCCCGACAACGATTTCAACCATCCGGCCTACCGGTACTGCTTCGGGGACGTTCATCGTGGCTCGCCCTCCTTCTTTTGTTACTTCCCAGATCATTCTACCCGGAGCTACCGGCCCGAGCACTATATCAACGATCCCGCCGAGCGGCACTGCACCTGGAACAATTATCGTTGGGAAGCCAGTCGTTTATAGTACCTCCGCAGTTGTTCTTTCTGGTTCCGTCGCATCTACTGCTACCGGACCCGTTACGCTTACTTCGGTTGCTCCCAGTGGCACGGTGCCTGGAATCATTGTGATCGGGTATCCTCCGCAATTTGTCACTTCAAAGATCCAATACACTGGCCCCACAGAAGGAGTTGCGGACCCAATTCTGGTGTCTACGATCGCCCCATCCGGCAGTATCCCTGGCACCATAATCGTCGCTCGTCCCGGCTCCTTCGTCACGTCAACAACGTCACTTACAGGAATAAATCAACCGACGACGCCCATCATTATTTCCACCATCCTGCCTTCGGGCACTGCTCCAGGAACCATTATTGTGGCCCTTCCTGCCCAAACGAATCAGCCAGCGCAGTCTTCTGCTTTGTTCGTCACTTCCCAGGTTGCAAACACGGGCACCGAAGTTCTTACTGCGCCGACAATTCTATCCTCAATTCCCCCATCTGGCACGGCTCCTGGCACAATAACCATTGCTCAGCCACAAGGCGCAGGCAATCTATCACTCTCAGACAGCTCTCAGCTCCCGTCCGTCTCATTCGTTACTTCGCAAGCGTTCTATACCGGTAGCGACTCGCTGACCGCTCCAATTCCCATTCTGACTATTCCGCCAGTGGGAATCCAACCAGGTACTATCATCATTGCGCAGCCGCCGCCACCGCCGCAGCCACAGGAAGTATCTTTTGTCACCTCACGAATTCTGTATACTGGTACGGAAACGTTGACGAGCCCAACACCAATCTCGACAATTTTGCCAATTGGCACTATCCCCGGAACCATAATAGTTGCCCAACCTGGCGTCTTCGTTACCTCAAACGTAGCTTACACCGGGAGCGGCGTTTTGACTGCTCCAGTCCCAATCACTACGATCCCACCAGTGGGTGACACACCAGGTACGGTGATTGTAGCCCAGCCCGGTTTGTTCGTCACTTCCCAAGTGATCTACACTGGTACGGAACATTTAACAGCGCCAACTGCCATTTCAACAATCCTGCCTGTCGGCACTAACCCTGGGACGATAATCATTGCTGAGCCGCCCTCGTACATCACGTCTCAGGTCATCTACACAGGCTCGTCTCCGATCACTGCGCCTATCCCTATATCGACCATACCACCGGTTGGAAATGCTCCGGGAACCATCATCTATGCGCAGCCAGATTTCTTCGTCACTTCGTTCATTCTATACACTGGAACTGAGGACATCTCTGAGGCTACCACTCTCTCGACAATTCTGCCCGTTGGAACAACACCAGGAACATACATCGTCGCACAACCTATTGCTTCCGCCGCATCATTCGTCACATCCTTGGTTGTTTACTCAGGAACTGGCGTCATCACTGGAACTATCCCGATATCCACGATACCACCGAGTGGGACAGCCCTTGGCACAGTTATTCTCGCGCAGCCTGGTGTCTTCGTCACATCTACAATACCTTACTCCGGAACCGAGGACCTCACAACGTTGCTCCCCGTCTCAACTATCCCTCCATCTGGCAGTTTTCCGGGCACAATCATTCTGGCACGGCCATCTGTTGCAAGTGTTGTGGAGGACTCAAGCTCCTCGACCCCTTTAGTATCGTTCGATGCCTCAACTGCCTCTTCGGCTTCTAGCACACCCGTTCTATCAAACTTGTTGACATCCTCAACACAAACAAGCTTTTCAGGTACAACAGATGTTTTCTCTTCATTTGAAACCTCTAGCCCTTCAAGCATTTCTACGACTAGCTCGGGTACAGAATCATCTAGCCTGTTCGACTCAGCAGCCCCCTCAAACATACCGACGTCCACCCTCTCTCCAGGGTCATCGCCATCCCCGACACCATCAACCTCCTCGACGACATCTGCATCAACGACGTCATCAGGCTCCTCAAGATTGCAGTCATTTTTGGATTCATCTCTCACTTCGGACTCGAGCAGTTCTGCACCAACGTCGGCCACAGTAGAAACTTTGTCGTCTTCTGAGTCATCATCGTCGGTGGAGTCTAACCGCTCTTCAACTTCAAGCTCTTCAAATTCCACCACTGTGCAAACCGTTATATCCTCAGATCCAACCATATCAGAGACAACCACATCATTGGAACCAACTACTTCTACGCAGCTAAATCCAGCTTCGTTGACGAGCTCTACCGAATCAACGGTCTCATCTAGCCCAAGTGCGTCAAATTCATTTACTTCTCTCGAGTCAACTTCTTTTTCAAGCAGTGCAGAGACACCTTCTTCAAGCTTGACTACATCGGAGCCCGCTTTCTCGAGTCTTTCAACTAGAGAGACAGAAACTTCTGCTCCGAGTACAACAGAACTAAGGGTTTCCCAATCAAACACATCTTCACGGGAGACATCGTCATCAGCAACCAACGACCAGAGTTTGGTTGGCACAAGCATAGAGACCGAGCCGTCGGGATCGAGTATATCCACCTCCAGCTCGTCAGAACCTATCTCAATATCGGCTTCCAATTCAGACGGGCTTAGTTCGACCACCTTCAGCACGAGCACATCTGCGATAACTTCCGGAACAACCACTTCTTCTGACACCTCTTCTTCGGTGGCTCCTAGTATTCAAACATCTGACACAACCAGATCTTCTGCTGATGTGCTACTTTCTGTTTCCCCGTCGACAACCAGTTCATCTACATCGAGTTCGCTTATATCCGAGACTTTCGGATCAACTGAACCTACTACCTCGACGTCTGAGACCACGCTCAATATTTCCTTGTCAGATATCTCTGGATCCTCGGTAGCTTCCACTTCGTTTACTGCAGAGTCTTCAAGTCAGACCACGCCATCTACCTCTTCATTAGAGACCTCAACAGCGGAAAGATCGACGTCCGAAAATTCTTCACTGATCCTACCATCTTCTTTGGAAACATCAAGCTCCACTGAGACGGCAATAGTGTCGTCGTCGTCGCTTTCCAACGTTTTAGGCAGTACCATAACAACAGAGTCTTCAACATCCATTCCGACAGCTTCGGAGAGTTCAGTCTCCACCTCTGTGGGCTCAACCACCGATGGTAGTAGCACAGTTCTCAGCAGCACATTAGATAAAAGCTCAATCTCAACGACCATAAATTATTCCCAGTCAAGCTTCACTAGCACGACGGCCGAGTCAGGCATCTCTACCGAATTTAGCACAGCATCCGAATCCGGCACGATCACTGCTTCGACTGCGGCAGTTGCGACCTCGATAGTCGTGTTTGATGATGACTCTACCTCTTTTACAGCCACGGGCCCCGTCCCAATTACCACCATCTCTCCCACTAACGCTGCTGGTGCTGTCACCGTTGTTTACGGAGTAGCCCGACGTCTTTTTGCGTCTGTTGGAGTCCCATTCTCAGGCACTGGGATCATCAGCGGACCTGAGCCAGTCAGCACAATCTTGCCTACTGGCCCTTATGGGTCTGGAACGATCATTTACGCTACACCCGAACCACTGATAACTTCTGTGGTGGAGTATACGGGCACAGCATCATTGACAGCGCCTGTTCCTCTCACGACAGTTTATCAGAGTGGCACTGTTCGTGGCACCGTCCTTTTGGCAAGACCAAACCTCCTCTTCGCGTCTGTGGGAGTCCCTTATTCAGGAACTGGGGTCATCACCGGCCCTCAGCCAATTGCCACTTTGTTCCCCACTGGCAGCGAATCTGGGACAATCTTCTACGCCACACCGGAGCCTTTTCGCACAACTGAGGTTGATTATACCGGACCACTCGCTCTCACTGGCCCGATTCCATTGGAAACAGTTTATCAGAGTGGCACCGTCCCTGGAACCGTTATTCTAGCTAGGCCAGCCATTTTTGCTACATCCGATACCGCCACCTCATCTGGGTTCAGTATCGCGAGCGGAGCTAGCACTTCCACAGATTCCAGCACCTTAGTCGAGTCTAGTAGCTCATCCGACCTCAGTACGACATCTAGCTTCGGTCCTTCAACAGGTTCCAGCACTTTCACCACGTCCACGGAGTCTGTTAGCTTGACGGAGAGTAGTATCTCGTCGGAAACTGACTCTTCAACCGCGCTCAACCTCTCCCTCGGCTCCAGTTCAAGTTTATCTACCGCCATCTCTGTTTCCTCGTCTGAACCCAGCACGTTTGACTCTGCTATTACAACCCAGAACACTACACCAACAGAATCAAGCAGGTCGGACGAAGCCACTTCATCAACTGATCTGACTAGTACGAGTACCTCGACAACACTTGATTCCACCACGACAGACGAGTTGAATACGGCAAGCAGCTTCACAACGCCACTCGTACTAACCACGTCAGAAGGTTCCAGCACAACAGCAGCATCAAACAGTTCTTCCGGTACGCCAGTTGACTCAGCCACTAGCCTGGACCCAACAGGCTCGGCTTCATCGCTCACTCTTGACGTTACAACGGTCGATGCAAGCTCAACTTCGGATGCGTTGATTTCTTCTGTGAGCTCGAGCGACTTGTCAACAACTACTAGCTCAGCTACGGAGTCTAATTCTATCCCACTATCTCTCACTACAGCTGAGAACACTGCTTCAATTGGGTTCACAAGCTCACCTGAGTCGACCTATTCAACCGACGGCAGCTCATCGACGGAGGCTTCTTCCTCGACCACGGCCACTGACTCAAGCTTAACAGAGACTCCTATAACCACTTCATCTGAATCTCCTCTATATGATACTTTGCAAGTGCCCTTTACTGGGACAGAGGAGTTGACGACGCCTTTGGCCATCAGCACTGTCAGTCCAAGTGGAAGCATTCGTGGAACCATCATCTATGCTGCAAAATTTGTGACAACTACAGTCCTGTATACCCCAACGGGAGATGATCTGACAACTCCTGTTCCGCTCTCGACTATTCAACCCTCAGGAACTGCCCCTGGAACTGTCGTCATCGGTGCACCAGCAGTCCTCACGTCTCTCATAACAACAACCATACCATACAGCCCTACCGGAACGGAGGTCACTGGGTTTGTCACAATTACCACCTTGTCAGCTAGCGGAACACAGCCTGCAATGGTCGTCATAGGTTCGCCTTTAGGCCGCGTTATATACATTACGACAACCGTTTCTTCTTCAGTTCCGAGTCCCACGGCGGTCACGACAATCCAGCCCTCTGGTACAGAGCCTGGGCTTGTCGTCATAGCCGTCCCTGCTTCTCTAGATTCTTCGATCATTTCCACGGTTTCCTCCAACACAGAGACAACATCTTCCAGCGAAACTATCTCGGATGGTGGCTTGACCACGACGTCGACTGTTTCGTCTTCAACCACCAGCTCCGATACCATTAGTAGCAATGAGGCTACCAGCAACACGGATATTGACAGCAGCACGACATCGACTGTTTCGTCTTCAACCATTGGCTCTGATACCATTAGTAGTAGCAATGAGGCTACCAGCAGCACGGATATTGACAGCAGCACGACATCGACTGTTTCGTCTTCAACCGTTGGCTCTGATACCATTAGTAGTAGCAATGAGGCTACCAGCAGCACGGATATTGACAGCAGCACGACATCGACTGTTTCGTCTTCAACCGTTGGCTCTGATACCATTAGTAGCAATGAGGCTACCAGCAGCACGGATATTGACAGCAGCTCAGTCACAACCAGTCTGTCTACGACAAATGGCTCAACTTCTCCTACAGCATCGGCCTCTTCAACTCAACCGTCTGCCACGACAGATACTAGCAGCACTGGATTCATCAGCACGGAGATCAGCAACACGGATACCAGTAGCACCGGGTCTAGCAACATCGATACCAGTACCGCGGAGACCAGTGTCTCAACTACGGGTACTATCAGTTCAACTACGCTTTTAAAAACATCTAGCTCGTCTTCAAACACCACCAGCTCCACGGTGGATGCTTTTACCCCATCAACCAGCAGTATGTCCGATGACTCCTCGACAACACTTGGCAGTTCTATAAGCATCAGTCAGACCACCTCCTCAGAAACGAGCACGACGGGTGTTGAGTCTTCAGAGGTTACGTCAGCCCCGTACATAACATCAGGGGTTTTTGATACATTGGTGACTGTCCCAACCACTATCTCGACTATCCCGCCTACTGGTAGTTTGCCGGGCGTTTACATTGTGGCGAACCCTGCGTCGTATGTAACATCACAAGTGTCTTACATTGGTTCCGAATCTCTCACGGCGCCGTTGAATTTGTCCACGATCCCGCCCTCGGGAAGTACGCCAGGTACTTTCATCGTGGCAAGCCCAGCGGCTCTCTACGTCACATCAAGACTCATATACACCGGTCCTTCCTCAATTTCAGAGCCTATTCCTATCAGTACAATTCAGCCGAGTAGCGGGTCGCCTGGCACTATCGTTTTGGCTATTCCTGAATCATTTTACACCACTTCTACGTCGATTTACACGGGCTCGGACAACTCTTTCGCTGTTCCTACGGTCATCTCTACGGTGGACCCATCTGGCTCAGCTCGAGGCACTGTCATCTTTGCAGCCCGCTATGCAGTGGCAAGAGTTCCTTACACTGGCACTTCGCTTATTACCGAGCCGATTCCTGTGGCTACCATTCCTCCTAGCGGGACCGCTCCTGGGACAGTTGTTTATGCTGAACCTTCAACAACTCCGTCTTTTGTCTTTTCAACAGTCTTCCTCTCTGCGTCAAACGCCCCCGAAGAAACGACACTTACTTCGATCGCACCTAGCGGCACGGTACCTGGCTTGATCGTAGTGGGCAGGCGAGCTGTATTTGTCACGGTCACAAGCCCTTACACTGGAACTGGTATCCTGACGGGGATCTCTACCGTCTCTGTCGTCGAGCCTTCTGGCACTGTCCCCGGCACTGTCTACATCGAAGCCGCGACGAAGACGGAGGAATCGACCCCATCTACGACAGACTCCTCCAGTGACTTGGTGTCAACAAGGAGCGAAATGACTGTTAGCGACATATCATCTACGGACTCGGCCACTTCCTCGGACTCGTCAACCACAGACGTGACGTCTCCTACATCGGTATTGTCTGATGTAGCACCATCCTCAAGCACGTCAACTAGCTCCGTTCTTGAATCCTCTTCTATAACATCGGAAGCCGTCTCGAGCACTAGTTCCAGTATCGAACCTGGCACATTACTGTCGTCATCAACAAGCTCTACATCAATTGAGGCTTCAAGTATATCAAGCGACTCAAGCATCGAGCCTACTTCGACTTCTCTGGGCAATTCCGTTGGTTCTTCTGAGTCATTGGCCTCCTCTTCCACAGTCGATTCAACCACACCACTCCTCGTCTCGAGCTATACAAGCTCATATGATCCTGAAACCTCTGCCTTCGTGACTACCACAGTGCTTTACACCGGTAGTGAAACTCTCACCGGACCTACGCCCCTTTCGACGGTACCACCTCTTGGTACTCAGCCAGGCACGGTGATCATTGGGGTGCCACTGTTCGCCTCTTTTGTATCTACGACAATTGCCTACACTGGAACCGAAGCGTTGAGCAGCGCCATTCCAGTGTCTACGATTCCACCAAGTGGAACACAACCAGGTACCGTGGTCTTTGCCACACAAGCTCCCCAGAGCCCTGTCTCGTTTGTGACCACCACAATTCCTTTTACAGGTAGCGGGACTTTGACAGGTCCTTCGGCTTTGACAACTATCCCCCTAGTGGAACACAGCTAGGCACCGTGGTTTTTGTAACCGCAGTCTCAGAGGTATCACTCTCGTTTGTAACTACCACAATCCTGTTCACGGGCAGCGAGGCATTGACGGGCCCTTCGACCTTGACGACTATTCTGCCGACTGGCACTGAGCCAGCAACTGTTGTCGTGGCCACGCCGCTCTCTTTAAGCCTAGATGCTTCCTTCGTCACTACCACTGTGGCCTACACCGGCAGCGATACCATCACCGAGCAAACCCTCCTCGCTAGTTTCCCACCCAGTGGCACTGCACCAGGGACTATTGTTTTTGCGACTCCAGCTTCAGTGGCGGCTGCTTCATTTATCACATCGACTATCCTGTATACAGGAAGTGACTCAATCACCGGCCCTGTTCCATTAACCACAATTGCGCCTGTTGGAACTATCCCTGGCATAGTCGTTATTGCCACACCAGCTTTGGTGACGAATCCAGGCTTCGTCACGTCAACCGTTCTGTACACTGGAAGCGGCTCAATCTCTGAGGCAACCCCCATCAGCACCATAACCCCTGTTGGCACAACGCCTGGTACGATTCTGGTGGCCACTCCACCATCAATCGAAGCAGCTTCTTTCATCACAACGACTGTTGCTTTCACCGGCAGCGAAGTCCTTACCGGCCCAACCCCTCTGACAACAATCGCACCTAGCGGCTCAAACCCAGGAGTTGTCATAATTGCTACGCCACTCTCGGAAGTCGCCACGTCCTACGTTACAACCACCGTATTATACTCAGGTAGTGACTCTTTGACAGGCCCGATACCTCTCACAACCGTGTTGGCATCTGGATCTATCCCAGGTACCATAGTGATTGCAACTCCAGCTTCAGTTCAGGCCGCATCTTATGTCACAACTACCGTCCCTTACTCTGGAAGTGACGCAATATCTGGCGCGATACCCATATCAACCATTGACCCTATTGGAACGACGCCAGGAACAGTGATCTTTGCAACTCCGGCATCCAGCTTAAGTTTCTCGGCATCGTACGTTACGACGACCATCCCATACTCAGGTAGCGACCCCATCACCGGTACAACTACCCTGACCACGGTGCCCCCAAGCGGATCCATTCCCGGGACCGTTGTGATTGCTACACCTGTATCCAGCAGCAGCGCCGACTTGTCTTCACCGTATGTGACGACCACTATCTTATACTCAGGAACCGAACCCATCAGCGGCCCAGTTCCAGTGTCAACAGTACCTCCAAGCGGCACCGTTCCTGGGACCATTGTTTTCGCAGCTCCTAGCTCGGAGGAGTCTCTCACGTCGTACGTTACAACGACTATACCGTACACGGGAAGCAATCCAATCACTGGCCCGACTCCCTTATCAACAATACCAGCAAGCGGTAGCATCCCAGGCACAATAATAATAGCTACCCCCATTTCGAGCTCATCCAGCTTTGGGGTGGAAGCCTCGTTCGTCACTACTACGGTCGTTTATCAAGGAACTGAGCCTATCACCGGGCCGGTCCCCATTTCAACTATCACTCCGGCTGGTACCATTCCCGGGACGCTTGTTATTGCAGTCCCTTCTTCTAAGTCATCGACCACGGCACCCGAAGATTCTACCTCCACACTGGAAGTTCTTACATCAAGTACAGGCAGTAGTATATCATCGCTGGACCCTAGCACTTCTACTTCCGAACCGGCTGAGTCTTCTACCGGGTTGACTCAGTCAACAACGTCCACCTCTGAATACAGCACTCTCGACTTGTCTACCAGTACATCCGAGTCCGCACTATATTCTAGCACTTCCCAGTCGATCACGAGCTCTTTGAGCTCCACGACATCAACCATTGAGTCATCGACCCTGGACTCTAGCAGTTCAACAACGGAAGTTTCTACATCAAGCTCGGATTTTTCCGCGTCCTATGTGACCACGACACTGTTGTACACTCAGAGTTTGATCACAGGTCCAACACCCCTTACTACAATCCCTCCAAGCGGTACTCTCGCTGGCACAGTCATCATTGGAACGCCTCCATCGGTCCTTGCCGCTTATGTCACTTCGACAGTGTTGTTCACCGGCAGCGATGTGATAACGGAACCAACCATCCTGACTACCATCCCGCCCAGCGGCACAATATCTGGAACTGTCGTTATTGCCACACCTTCGTCCGTTGCCACATCTTACGTCTTCAGCACAGTCTTATATGATGGAAGCGTCCCAATCACGGTCCCAACACCTCTCACGACTGTTGCCCCTAGTGGCACAATCCCAGGAACGGTGATTTTCGGCACCCCAGCTCCGGTTACCACCTCCTACGTTACTACTACTGTTCTCTACAGCGGAACGGACCAGATCATAGGACCAACGACTTTGACTACTGTTCCTGCTACCGGCACGACTCCTGGCACTATAATTGTCGCCACCCCAGCTCCGGCAGCTGCATCTTATGTGACCTCAACAGTGCTATTCACCGGCACGCAGCCTTTGTCTGAGCCAACGATCCTCTCTAGCATCCCTCCTAGTGGTACCGCACCTGGTACGATTATAGTCGGGACTGCGGCACCTCGCTTCGTGACCTCAGAAGTCCTATATAGCGGCACAGGTGTCTTGACTGGGCCCAGTACCATCTCCACGGTACCCCCGAGTGGTACCACTCCCGGGACATTCATCGTTGCGACTCCAGCAGCCGTCTATGTGACTTCGGAAGTGTTCTACACTGGGGCAGATGGAGCTGTCTCAACGCCTACTGTGGTGTCCACGATCCTGCCTAGCGGCACTGCGCCTGGCACCTTTATTGTTGTCAATCCTGCTGTATTCATCACTTCTCAAGTATTATACACAGGGACGGACACTGCGATCACTGCCCCGACTGCGATTTCCACGATTCTGCCTAGCGGGACCGCTCAAGGGACTATCATCTTGGCCAGCCCTGCAGTCTACGTCACATCTTCAGTGCTTTACTCTGGCACGGATCCGGCCTTCACGGCGCCAGCTGCAATCTCAACCATTCCGCCTAGCGGAACGATTCCTGGCACCATCATCGTGGCCCACCTTGCTTCATACGTCACCTCACAGGTACTTTACAGTGGCACTGGAACTCTGTTGAGCCCTTCGCCAATCTCGACGGTACCAGCGGTTGGTACAACACCAGGCACGATCATATTGGCTACACCAGCACCTCGTTACGTCACTTCACAAGTCGTGTATAGTGGCACAGAGGCACTTACCGGAGAAACAACTCTATCGACCGTTGCGCCTAGCGGAAGTGCGCCTGGTACTTACATCGTTGCAATTCCTGCCTCATACGTCACTTCCGAGGTACTGTACACAGGAACTGGAACTCTGGAAAGTCCTTCACCCATATCTACAGTGGCGCCAGTCGGTACTATCCCAGGCACGGTTATCACAGCAACCCCGGCTCCTCGCTATGTCACTTCACAGGTCGTGTACAGTGGCACAGAGGCACTTACCGGAGAAACAACTCTATCGACCGTTGCGCCTAGCGGAAGTGCGCCTGGTACTTACATCGTTGCAATTCCTGCCTCATACGTCACTTCCGAGGTACTGTACACAGGAACTGGAACTCTGGAAAGTCCTTCACCCATATCTACAGTGGCGCCAGTCGGTACTATCCCAGGCACGGTTATCATAGCAACCCCGGCTCCTCGCTATGTCACTTCACAGGTCGTGTACAGTGGCACAGAGGCACTTACCGGAGAAACAACTCTATCGACCGTTGCGCCTAGCGGAAGTGCGCCTGGTACTTACATCGTTGCAATTCCTGCCTCATACGTCACTTCCGAGGTACTGTACACAGGAACTGGAACTCTGGAAAGTCCTTCACCCATATCTACAGTGGCGCCAGTCGGTACTATCCCAGGCACGGTTATCATAGCAACCCCGGCTCCTCGATACGTCACTTCAAAGGTTGTATATAGCGGTACGGAGACGCTCACAGGCGAGACCACAATTTCGACGGCCACGCCAAGCGGGACGACACCAGGCACTTATATCGTTGCAGTCCCTGCCTCTTATGTTACCTCTCAGGTACTTTACAGTGGTACTGGAACTCTCTTAGGTCCTTCGCCCATATCTACAGTTGCACCAGTCGGTACAACACCAGGCACAGTAATCATAGCAACCCCGGCCCCTCGCTATGTCACTTCACAAGTCGTGTACAGTGGCACAGAGGCACTTACTGGAGAAACAACTCTATCAACCGTTGCACCTAGCGGAAGTGCGCCAGGGACCTACATCGTGGCAAGCCCCGCAGCCTTTTATGTTACTTCCACGGTTGTGTATACTGGCTCGGACACAATATTGCAGCCGACAGCAATTTCGACGATTCTTCCAGTAGGAACCAATCCAGGAACCATTGTCTTGGCAGCTCGTTATGTAACATCCCTGGTGGATTACCAGGGAACGGTTCCAATCACAGGACCAACAGCAATATCGACGGTCAGTCCATCCGGCACGGCCCCAGGCACATTTATTATTGCTACGCAGGCTGCCATTTTTGTCACTTCCTCGGTTCAATACTCCGGCTCTGATACGCTTACCGGTCCCTCGGCTTTGTCTACTATCCAGCCTGTTGGAACTCAGGCGGGTACAGTCATCATAGCCACTCCTGCCCCCACACCTTCGTATGTCATCACAACCATCTTCCTTACGGCATCCGATGCCCCTGAAACCACCACGATCACGTCCATTGCCCCTAGCGGCACGGCAGCCGGTACCATTGTTGTGGGCAGGCGGGCGGCATTTGTTACTGTTGTTGGCCCCTACACAGGGACAGCCAGCGTCCCCAACGGCGCCACAACAGTCTCGATTGTCCAACCAAGTGGCACACAACCTGGTACAGTATACATACAGACACCGACAACAACGGTGGCGAGCTCAACACCCGTCACATTGACCTCATCTACCTCCGTGGCATCCACCAGCATATCATCAAGCACCTCTTCTTCACAAAGCACAACGGTCAACCCTGCTACTCTGTTACCAACATCAAGCAGCACCTCGACGAGCCAGATATCTTCCAGTGCGCCATCTTCGTCTTCTAGTTTATATTCTAGTTCGTCCAGCACTCCTGTTGTTTCGCCAACGCCGTCGCCGTCAAGCAGCTCTTCAAGTAGCTCGTTGTCCTCTAGCGTCACGGTCAACCCCGCTACTTTGCTCTCCACCAGTAGCACCATTTCAACTTCGACTACTTCGATCTCCACATCATCCACAGTTTCCTCAAGCACTAGTAGCTCGGCGTCTCCTTCTAGCTCCAGTTCAGCCGGATCGTCAAGCTCCTCCTCCAGCTCGACTGTTAGTGTTAGAATCGATACATTACAGACGACATCCACTGCGTCCACGCTCTCTACGCTGACGAGATCTTCGTCTTCATCGTCTCCATCTTCAACTTCTTCTTCTAGCGCGTCTTCTTCGTCGAGCAGTGCGAGCGCCTTACCTAACTCGCAATTGCCGAGTTCTTTCAGCTCGTCCAGCACTTCCTCATCACAGGTTGCAACGAGTATCATATCTTCTACGTCTTCGTCTAGCTCCTCGTCAAGCTCATCATCTTTGTCGAGCAGTGCAAGCATCTTACCTAACTCACAATTGTCGAGCTCTTCCAGCTCGTCCAGCACTTCCTCATCACAGGTTGCAACGAGTGCTACATCTCCTACGTCTTCATCGTCTCGTTCTTCGACTTCTCCTTCGAGCGCATCATCTTCGTCGAGCAGTGCAAGCATCTTACCTAACTCACAATTGTCGAGTTCTTCCAGCTTGTCTAGCACTTCCTCATCACAGATTGCAACGAGTGCTGCATCTTCTACGTCTTCGTCCAGCTCCTCGTCCAGCTCAACATCTTCGTCGAGCAGTGCGAGCGCCTTACCTAACTCACTATTGTCGACTTCTTCCAGCTCGTCCAGCACTTCCTCATCTCGAACTCCAACAAGCAATACGTCTTTATCCAGCTCCTCGTCCAGCTCCTCGTCCTCGGCGAGCAGTGCGAGCGCCTTACCTAACTCACTATTGTCGACTTCTTCCAGCTCGTCCAGCACTTCTTCATCTCGAACTACAACAAGCATTACATCTCCTTCTAGCTCCTCGTCTAGCTCCTCATCAAGCTCATCATCCTCGTCGAGCAGTGCGAGCGCCTTACCTAACTCACTATTGTCGACTTCTTCCAGCTCGTCCAGCACTTCTTCATCTCGAACTACAACAAGCAATACATCTCCATCTAGCTCCTCGTCCAGCACTTCAATCACCTCAACCTCGAGTTCGTCGTCCACGCGCACCACCTCCAGCTCCAGTAGCAGCAGTAGCAGCAGCAGCTCAACATCTTCTCGTGTGGTTGCTTCTGCCACGTATGGACCCGCCTTTTCTTGTCCCACAACTGGATTCCTCATTCAGAGTCGTACGCTCTATTCGCTGAATCTCACGTCTGGTGCCCGAGTTCTGATTGCTGACAATGTTGGCGGCGACACGTCCCGCACCATCAATGCCATGGGTTACAACGCCAGAGAAGAATACCTCTACGCCGTGAGTCAAGACAGCGATGACTGGAAGGTCATTCGTATCTTGTCCAATGGCTCGATACAAGACATTGCCCCGATCAAGAAACTCACGACTGGCGGGTTCAACTCCGGAGATGTCGACGAGAACGGCCAGTACTGGATCTCGACCGGCGGTGCTGATTGGTACCAATATAACTTCAACCCCGGTACAGCTGGTTATGGTACTCTCATCGGCAACGGAACTCTGGCGGGTACGGGCGGTTACACCATCGGTGATTGGACGGTTGTCCCAGGTGTCGGTGGTGGCGATCTGTGGTCCGTCGGTGTCAAGGGCCAAAGCGCATTCCTCTTGCGTTGGAACAGGACGACCAAGCTTTTCACACTTGTCCGCGAGCTCGGCAACTTGACAGGCGCTACTGGGACGACCGTTCCTTTCTGGGGTGCTTCTTACGCAACCAGCGACGGGTATCTCTTCGCCTTCGAGAACGGAAGTGGCCAGGTTTGGCGTATTTCCGTTGCCGGTACTGCCGCCAACCTGAGACTGAATGATGCTCCACCAAGCAGTTCAAACGATGGTGCGCGTTGTGTGGACTCTGGTGTTATCAATGTCGGCACCACCTGAGCATACCCAAGATTGAATCAGTTTGCTCGCTTCAAGCTTTCAGAAGCTACTCAGAATGTTTCCCTATGTTTTTTTTCTTTCATATTTTTGACTCGTTTATAAGCATGGGATTTCGTTTGGGATCTATACTAAGACAGCAAACAGAAAATTGGCCAAAACTGTGTTTTCTTATATCACAAATATGTACTAAATTGTAATATCTATCTTCTATAGAATTAACCATATTCGTCAAATCATCGTCGTTGACCCCACGAAACCCCCCTCCACTGTGGCTATACAGTCGACTGTTATGAAAACCCCGTTTTGCAATACAAGCTTCTTCACTGGCCGCACCTTGAAGTATCCTTGGCCGTCCATCTCAAATCCCACCTCACGAACAGTCCATTGTATTTCCGCACGTCAGTCATCCGCCTGGTCAAACTCGCGTAGCATTACGTTCTAAACCCAGGATCTTCCTCAGATTCACCGGGCAAAGACACTGACCTCAACTACATCCCCATGCCGTCGACCTAGCAGTCATAACTGAAGCATAAGGCCAGGTCTCGAATTGCATATCCCAAGAGACCAGACTTCGCCATGAGTCGACAGCTACCGCGGGAACGACCATCCCGGTATTTGTCTAAAACATGTGGCCTTCCAATCTAGCCGGTCACCGAGTGCACAGCTATTGCATTGCACCTTCTCGATATGACCTTGTTTCTTGTCAGAACAAGCCAGGTTTGTTCGCGCAGCAGGCGAACATACTGAACTCGGCGACTGAATACACGTGGTAGTGTACAATGACAAAGTTGTAGCTCCAAAGACTACTACGCTGATGATAACAACACTGAACAAGTATCAAGACAAGGCTCTAAATACATCCGTCCGCTCTGGGCCCTAGACAGCAAAGGTCGCAGCTTGCTTGACACATCGAAAGAATGCTATCAACGAAAGCCTCGTGATCTGATGCAGAATCTAAGCTGGAGTGTAGGTTGGGTTTTGTTGGAATCTGGCCCAACACGAATACAATGCACACAAAGGTTTCTGGTCGTTTTGCTGTAGCCCCGGCAAGGAAAAAACTGGCTCTAGCCAATACCGCGCTGCCAGGAAGGCTTGATCATGTCTGTCAAGTGGTTGCAAAACAGGAATCCGAGAGGTTAGTTGAGAAGTTTGCCAGGAAGTTTGGAAGTTCATGACAGCGACATGGCCAGCCGGACAACTGATCTCATGGTGGATAAACAACACGGCTCACCCTTGGGGTGATGAACCGCGAGAAATCGGTTGCCATTCTTACTGACGGCCACGACGGCCACACTAAAGAAGCCAGTCAAGATGGGACAAGGGTAAAGACGAGGATGGAGACAATAGGTCATCACTCTAAAACGTAAAAGTCATTCGATACCTAGGCTTTTGGCCCCGACGCAGCAGGCATTCTATGCCAGATGTACACTACAGTTACAAGCCTCGCAATCCCCAGAGTCAAATCCGGATCTCATTTTTCGCTTTCCCTTTCTATGCGAGTTTCATATGTTACGGCAACCCTCCGTAATCTCTTTGCTTCGGTATCTGCAATTTCTCCAACCCACTCTCCCAACTGTCGCTTACTGCGTCTTCTTGGTCGCAGTCGCGGCGGTCGTGGGCGCGCTGTACATCCACACGGCCGAAAAGAGAACGAAGCCGGTGATGGTGGCGAAGATGCCCGTCAACCAAGGCCAGGCGCCTGAGATAACGTACGAGCGGGGCCACTCGTCGTGGGCCATGTGACGAACGGAAACGGTGTTCTTCTCCTCAACGTTTGTGAGGAAGGGGCGCTTGTAGTTGATCTTGAAGTTGAAGATACCGTGCTGGTCGGGGAGCATGAAAGAAGTGGTGTAAGTCGACGCATCGGCAGTGCTGGCCTTGGGCGCGAGCGGAAGACGGTGGAAGGGGGAGAGCATGCTGAACTCGAGTTGGAGGGCGTCGTCGTTGGGTACGGTGAAAGGGGTCCACTTATCCCATGAGTACTCGGAGAGGGAAATGGAGTAAGTCTGTCAGGGGTTAGCATATGCTATTGTAGAGCACCAACACGAGCCAACTTACGACATCGTTCTTAACACGGTAGATCTCGGGGTTGGTCTCGTTGGCAGCCTCGTTGAGGTGGTGCTCAATGTTGTTGACCCTCAGGACACCAATCTCATGGAAAGTCCAGCCCGCAACTCTCTTGGCGAACTCGCGGTTCCACGCTGTAACCTCCTTGCCCGTAGCCGTCGGCTTGATCTTCGCATCGAACCACTTGTCGCTCAGCAACTCGGCGGAACCAACAAGGGTGAAGCGGGCGCTGTTGCGCGCCTGGAACGCAGATACGAGCCCGAGCTGCTCGCCGGCGGCAAAGAGGTCGTTGGCATCGACAACCTCGGCCTGCTCCTTGGGGTTGTAGCTGTAAGCCGTCTTGGGGGCGCGCAGAATCGGGGTGAGGAGCTGGCCAGAGCCGAGGATATGGCCGACTCCGCTGGGGAAGGCAATGACCTGGCCGTCTTCGTAGAAGAAGTTCTTGACGCCGGCGCGCGACGACTTGGGGGCGGGGATGGCGAGGACGTCGTGCTTCTCGACGGCGCTGACGGTGTCGTAGTTGAAGTGGTCGACGACGAGACCGGTGCGGTCTGCGGGGAGGGCGATGTCGAGCTCGGCCAGGAGACTCACGATGGAGGTAGGGACGGTAGCGGTGGAGGAGAGAGACAGCAGGATGTTGCCCTTGGCGTTGATGAACTGGAGGAGGATGTTGGGGGTCAGGTTAGGACCGAGACCTGCCATGGCTTGTAAGTATCACAGTTGACATAGCTAAAGCTGTAGAAGTAACATACCCTTGCTCTTGGAGGGAAAGAGCAGAACATGGTCGTACACCCGCTCCCCGAGCTTGAACAGCTGCAAAGAGTCGCTCTTGGGCGTCTCGTATGTGATGCTGAATCCCCGGCCTATTCGATCAATTGGTCAGCTAAATGCACTTCCCCGTGCAATTGTTCCTCCGACATAGCTTCGACTTGATCTCCGGGAGCTACTACGTACTTTCCAGGTCTCCCAGGAACTTGGAGTAGCCCTCCTTCTCAGCAACATCATCCAGGATCGCCAGCAACCGACCGCCGGTAACGCTCACAGCGTGCACAGCGGCAGCCAGAAAGAGCAAACAGAGTGAAAGAAGAGACCGCATGATTGGCGGAATTCACAGGCCAGGAAAGAAAACAGCAACCTGAACCAGGAATCTAAATTTCGTGGGGGTCGACGGTGGTGGTAGTGGGTGAGAAAAAGAGAAAGTCGGCCGCACAGCTGGGGTGCGTTGCGTTTGGCGTAGCTGGCTGCGCTGGGAGAGCTTGACTGCGCTTTTGGGATCCGGTGCATGTGTCTTGAAGCTTGGGGATACGTAGCCGTTGCCAAGCTAGTGTCGGAGAATCCCCGGCAAGTGGGCTGGAGCTTCAAAGCTGCTGGAGGCAGGGGTCCAGTTGTATGGGAACCGTCTGGATTAATCCGACCGAGTTTATCCGGCCTTGAGGCTCCCGCTCCCGACTCCATTCTGAGCTTCCGCATCGTGGAAACCGTACGCCAGCTACCGCATCAATCATTTGACGACCTTCGACACGGTCAATTGAGTACGAACCCCCAACGGCCACCACCTCCCGCACTCCGAACCGCTAATTGACTCTCCCGTAGTACCCAAAATGTCTTCCGCCGCGTCTCCCCGATTCTGGGCTGGGCCCCTTCGATACTGCCGTTGGGCATCCCGCGAGAAGCCCGCCTACTTCTGGTCCGTCGTCCTCGGCGCCCTCGGTCCTGTCCAGCTGGCCCTTGTGCCTCCCATCAGAAACTACCTCGGCGACTACAATGCGCCACCCATTCCCGTCACATACCCTGGTGAGTCGGACTCGCTCGACGTTACAGTGCACAAGGGCAAGAGAGGCTAACATCCATTGCGCAGTTCCTGCCGGACCCAGGAAGCAGCTGACAGGTTATGACGACGAATGAGCACTCATAACTTCAATGCGGAAGTAGGAAAATGAGCGAAGGTGCTTTGTAAATACGATGGCGTTTGGGCTCTAAACAGCAAGCAGGGGGGGGGGGGAGTGGACTCTGGGCGAGCTGCCGAATCGGAACTGTAGCTCACGGGTTGCTTCCACAGGGAAGACCAATATCAAGGCTCACGCTGTACACTACCTATTATGCAAAGTTCCGTCAATCCACTTGTAGCATGTGCAATAGGTCTCCATCGCTACGTGGTCAAGAATTATCAAGAAAGAATACGCCGGTTCTATGCCAGCCTGGAAGAGATCCGCTATGCTGCCTTTAAACACTCGCTCGCAAGCGATTGCCATCCTCCGCCGAACTTTTGGTGTCATCCAGACTCTACCTGTCCCGCTGAACAAGATTCCACTCATACTAGGAAATGAAGTTAGCTATTGCCATTGGATACCAATTCACAGGTGACTCACCACTCGCCCGTCGTCATCGCCAGTGTAGACGCACTGCGGCATGGGCGTGATGCAAGTCACGCCAGCGTCGTAGTTGGCCCCCACTTCCGAGCGCGAATCGACGTGATCCAACCGCCGAAGCAGCTCCAAAACCCACTTGCCGTTCTTGACGCATTTCTTCCAAACATTCACACGGCCCCTCTTGTGGCCGGTGAAGACAAGATAATTCTCAAGCCACTCGTTCCCGGCGCCTTCGTAGAATGTACAAGAATGCACGTAGTCGTCGGGCTCTGCGCAGACGTTCTGATCCAGTATAACAGTGCCGTTGATGGTGTAAAGCACCACGTTTGGACCAGATCCAAGCATGATTTCGCCAGAGACATCGTTGATGCGGGCACATTCGACGGGCCGCGAAAGCGGCAATTTACGAATAAACTCGAGACGATTAAGGTCCCAAACGAAAGCTTGACCGTCAGTCGATACCGACACAAACGTGCTGAAAGACTTGGACACCGCCATGCTCGTCACGGGGGCACGGTGGCCAAAGAGTGATGAACGAGGAAGCAGGTCCACCACCTTTCCAGGAGCGGTCTGTACGGCGTATACAGATATTACACAGTCTTCTCCAGCTGTGATGAGTGTCTTGGAATCCGCAAAGGTAGCGCAAGACAACTGTCCAATGTGAAGATTCTCAAAGAGTCCCGCCGGCTTTTGATTCTTAGTCAACTTCTCACCAAACGCTGTTCTAGACTTTCTCACCTTCCGGTTATCGCTGAAGAAGAAGCGGATACTATTGTCGGCGTAACCCCATTCAAGGAACTTGTCGTAGGGAGCGAAGTTCAGGCGGAAAGGCGAGGCGCAGATGAGCCGATCAATCTTAGGTGAGTAGATCAAAGAAGCCACTCTTTCGTGAGATTCTGTTTCGTTGGTTAGCTTGAGGAGGCCCGTGGGAGGAAACAACTCACCAAGCAATGGATGGGACAGCCTGGTAAGAGCGTAGACTGAAGTATCTAGTCGCCGGATCGGACAAGACGCATACTCACGAGCAGGATGAGGTCGTGTAAACACTTGGTGTGGTGTTTGTCCAAAGTTATGGATGACACCAGCGGTAATGCGTCTCTCCTGCGGATCACTAATGTTGTCCAGGTCGGTGGCGCCTCTATATGAGAGGTGATGGAAAACATTGAGATTGTCAACAGCAGCGTCGCCTCTCTGCTTGAAACCAAATACCAGATCTATCCAGTTGTGGAGATGTTGGCTGACGTACGGACTCTCGAGTGCCTCGCGATGTTTAGCAATGAAAATTTTGGGATCCCCTTTGGCCCATGGAGGCAGGACGACGTTATTGACCCTGGTCCCTGTGCTTTCACGGTTACCAAAGTTGTACTGGTTAATATTGGTCAGGAACTCGGGAAGGCAGAAGAACTCTGGAATCAGCTCCCTAATATCTGCCTTGTTGTCGCAAGAGGCAGACTGCCACGCATGAGGAATGGACTGGAAGAGACGATCTGCGTGGTCGAACGATCCGCCTTGTAGAAGGATGTATGATTGGACAAAAGGGGGGAGGCGGATGAGGTACGAAGACACAATCATAGCCGAAGAGTAGTGAGTGCCGTAGTGGAAAGGAGTCTCCCCTATCTCTGCCAGAGCGTTGTAAGACTCCCGGAAGCCTGAGACACGGCTTGCTGTCTGAGCACCCATCGGCTTCGACAGATCTCGAAAGGTAGCGGGGTCGTTCAGATTCAACTCCTCACTAGTGTAGTCTGCGAGGACCCATGGGAAGACGGGGTACTGAGTCAAGTCGTTAAACGTCCGGCCGGCCATCGTGTTGACAAGCATGAGATAGTGGAAGTTGGACATCTCCCCCTTCTGCCACTTTTTCATGGCAGGGTTCCAAGGGGTTGAATTAAAGATGCTTCCGAACTTGGAGCCAAAGCCTTGGGGCATCTCCTCGGAAACCTTGAGGGCTTCGAGGCGCCAGGCGTCCTCGGGGTTGGGTAGCGAGCTAGCGGCATTGGTGTGTGGGGCCTTGCTCATCAATTTGCCAAAGACCTCGTCTCTCAGGGCCGGGTTGATAGACGTCAGTAAGTAGCTGCGTCCATCTGTGAAGAAGACTTCGATGGCGACATCCCGGAACAAGAAACGTCTCTTAGAGATACTGATCACGTCATGCCACCTCCAACTTCTCGACTCCTGTTCGCTGCGACTTGAGCTCTGGCGTTGCTCCGTAGTCTTGGCATCCGTGATAATCTCTGAGAAAGGATCTCTTTCCTCGGGAGGAGCTTGCCATGCATTAACGATCTCGCCAGAAGCGCACTGAAAGACGTTGTCCATAATGTAGAGAGCATCCTTGCCGATGATCAGAATGCCTTCGCATCCCTCTAAGCCAACGATGCGTGAGATGTTGTATACCGCTTGCACTTGGTCTCCCTGTTCGAGACGCCGCATGACTTTGCGATTCTTGTCCTCGAAGCCATCATCACCCTCATTGGCGTCGTTAGGATCATCGACCAATTCGAAATCCTCTTCGGCGCCAACGCCGGACTCGTTCGCCCCTTCCTCCTGATCCGTCTCGGTTGGTGTTTCAGAGGCTTCTGTATTGCCGTCGAGACTAGGGATAGATTTTATACGGGATGATACCGGCGTAGCTGGCTTGATCGGCGATGGCGCAATCTGAGCGGGAACCATGGCGGTATTCACCTTGATGGCAGACGGGTTCGCAGACTCCCCTGCTCTCCTCTTTGGCTGGTAGTCGCTATGTTTCTTAGAGTAGTCTGGTAGAAGCCTCAGACGCATTCGGTTCCGTCCTTCTGTCCGGTCGAGTTTCCACTTGAGCTGCGCCTGCTCGCTGAAGACTGCTCCAGGACGTCGCAGGTCATTGTCCATCTTCACAAACGCTGCAGCTAGGAAGGCCATGTCATCCTGCTGGTCTTGCGTCAGGCGCTGGTGCTTAAAATGCTCGCTCGTGAAGATGCTCTTCATCCAAGCCCCGTTGGCCATTTCATGCCGCAAGAGAATGTTGTCAATAGTAAGTGCTTCCGTTTGCCACGCTTTCAGCCGGTCTCTGCGCTTTGCCAAACGGAACTTAGCCGAGTCGACGGTTCGCTGATTTTCGACGACGACAAATTCCTCCCAGATCTTGGAGATGCCTCCGAAGAAGAAAGCGTCAAGCGACGCACGATGCTGATCTACCCAATCAAGAAATGCTTCATCATCGACCTCGGTGAGTTTAACAACAAACTCTTTCGTCAAGTGTTGTTGGTCTGTCGCCAAACCTTGGCGGAACAACACCATGGACTCGTCTGGCTTTTGCACAAGCATGATCCGCATGATGGTGGCCGTAGCAGATCTGATGGCTAAGCGTGGGTCGACAAGTTTTGTGTACAGCTGGTACCAAAAAAGCTTCATATACTCTTCCTCGTTCGAGAGGCAACCTAGTATCGGAGCCTGCCAGTAGAGAATCTTGCTCATGAAATCCTTTGCGCTGGAGTCGGGCGTATCGGGGTCATCCAGCTCAGAGAACCGTAACAAAAGCAGCTTTAGGAAGCTTTGACGTATCGTCGCCACTGCTTGACTGCAGAGACGAACGCTTTTCAGGGTCGAAATCTCGGGCCTCTGCAGATACTCAAGTACCATGCCAGCGAACTCTAGCATTGGCTCTGTACCATTAATGAACCAGCCTTCGAAGATGGTGTCCGTAACGTGTGCAGTTAGTCTGGCCATGTTGGTGAGAACCTTTGGCTCGCACAGAACCTTCTGGTTCGGTTGAACGTGGTTTCCAAGTTGCTGGAGTGTCTTCTTCAAGACGAAGGATTCGAAGTAAGCCTGGTGCTCTTGGAAACCCGGCGGAACCTTCAAGAATAGTCCGAAGCCTGGGAACTCCTTTCGCGTGAAAACCTGGTCGATAAACACACTGATGACCAACTCTATGAGGCCGTCGAGGGTTGCACTGCTAGATTGCTGCGACGCAACCTTCTTCTTTGGTGACATGACTGGGGCAAAGCGTGCTGCACTGGGAGCCTGAGGAGATGTTTGGTTGGTGAGCAGCACGAACCCAGACGCCTTCCGGAGAGGAGTGCCGCGGGGGTTCCCTGCCATTGCAGCAATCGCATCTGTACTCGTCGTGCGAACAATGGGACCAGGCTGCGAGCCGGCAAGAGGACGAATCATCACGTCGCCGCCTTCGAACGTAAGTGCCGAATCCCGTGAGTTGAGCTCAGTGTCTGCGGTGACTGCATCGGTGCTAACGATGATAGGGTAGCAAGCCCACAGCAAATACCTCACGTACTCGGACGTTAAGGCAAAGTCCTTGAAATCGGGAGAGCGGGAGTGCAAATCTGAGAGGAACCGGATGACTGTAAGAAGCATGGGTGCGTGGTTTGAAATCCTTTCAGTGTCGGGCTGGGTGTTCTCTGCAACTGCTTTCAATGTCAGTATGCTCGTGCCAACACATGGAGAACGTGGCCTACCTCTGGCATCGATACCCCCCTGGTCTCCATTGACTTGGCCCGGGGTCTTGTCTCTAACCCCTCAAACCCGCTCGCATGTAGGTTATGTGGCTTCTGAGGCGAGTTTGGATCCTCTTGGTGCCTCATGACGTCCTTCAGCCCATGCTGCAGCATTGACGTCAAGACCTGAAGGCATTCTGGGTAGAGGACTCTGGCCTTGCCGAATGTTTCGAACAAGTTGGAAAACTCAAAGTTGCGATCCAGGTCGACGTTGGCCACATCGAAGCCGAACAGGATGCTGAAGCAAATGGGCCACAACGAAGGGACATACCACCAGCGTTTGAGTCGATGGGCCATGATGGTGAAGCCGCCAGTCTTTCCGGAGAACTTGGCCGTGTACGCAGAGCCGTGGGTGATAAGCAGTCTCGCCAGGATCTTACTGCCATACACCACAGTTTCGGGATCGTCGCTGGCCAGAAGATACAGCAGCCACTGGTCCATACTCAATAAAAATAGTTGGTTTTCGCCAAACGGTGGTCTCACCTTATTCGTCACTGTCCTTGCGAACTTGCGGATATTCGCCAGGTTGCCCTTCTCACAGAGAAGAGTCGAGTACATTCCCAGAATCTTGGCACCAAGCTGTTTCTTGGTGAGGAATCGGGAGGGGGACGCATTTGAGGAGCTGTTGGAATCGAAGGTGGCTCGTCTCCCAAACCCGGAGGCAGGAGTTCGGGAAATCGCGGAAATCGGCTTGGGGGACCTGACCAGGGAGGCCGTCGGTGAATGGTAGGCATATGTGATGAATAGAGCGAGGGACCTATGCACTTCGGCTGTGTAATTGCATTTCACGAGTTGCTCTAAAGCAGTCATAAAGTGTGGCAGCACCTCTTCTGAGATCGACTCTGCTTTCATGGCGTCGAGTAGTCGTTTGACGATTCCTGTGAGTGTCAGTAACGTCGGGGCTTTGTCTCATGGGGTACTTACTCATGCGCATTAACCGCCTGCTGTTGAACTGGTGATACTTGCTCTTGACGGAGAAGGTCACAAACTGCTTGTAATAGAGCTCTTGGGTGATGGAAGCTGACCGTCTCCAAGTATCAAAGTCAATGAGCAGGATGCGGTAAGCTAGAGGGTTCACAATGAAAGACTCCAGAGGTTCCGTGTGGTTGTATCCCACAAAGTCAAGGATGAGGCTGAGGAGCTGAAAGCTCAGTCTGTCCCTCTCTTCACTTGTGATCGGCAGTCGCAAGTTGGCGTTATCAGCACCGATGTTGACCGTATAACCCAGCTTTGCTCTCAGAAGCATGCCAAGAATAGCATAACCGTTGTCGCGCTCCATTGCCTCACTGTTCCTCCAACTCTTCTTGATGCAGAGGAACGTCATCTCAACAGCGCGAACGGTTTCTTCCACCGAGGTTGCTCTCTCAACAATCTTGAGAGCCAGGGGAGTGAAGCCAGCAAGACGCCAAAAATTGTCATCAAAGTAAGAGGGCGTCACCACCACCGGATTACCGGTCAGTACAGCTACCCCCTGAGACCGCGCCAAGGCATCCAGTAGGCATGGCAGCGCAGCATTGATGACAATCGCTGAGCCACTTCTATGGGTCATTTGAATGAGGTTTGTTGCCGCAGGCCGGGGCAAAGCACGGTAAAGCTGAGTGTCTTGGTAGACACCATCCTCTCGGAAGACGCCCACTGGGAGTATGCTGAGGAGGATTCTGTGTTCAGGCAGCAGGCTGCCTGCCTTGTCTCTGATGGCTCGAATGATGTCAGAACTTTCATCCCTCCCGGGGTGGAAAACCTCGTTCCTCAAGCCCAGGCTCGCAGATGCTTCGTATGTCTGAAAGCCTCCGAGGCTATCTTGGAAGTTGCCTTGATACTTCGGGGAGAGGCCATAGTGAACAGCAAGGAAATCGTCACTAAGAACGTCCTCGAAGAGATGCGCTGAGGCTAGAGACCATTTCGAAAACACCAGCCCAGGCCCAAGCTGGCTGGACAGATCCCTCGGTGTTCCCAAGAATGCTTGGACGGGGTGTGGCTTAGCGTTGGTGGAGGTGAAAGACGCAAAACTTTCTGTGCTGCCGTTTGCAAAGGGTGGCGATGAAGGGTAGGCGCACTTGATTTGCTCCACAAACTCTCCGTTGACGTACAGCGAGGCTTTGCTGGCAGTCATTGTCTTGGGCCGTCTGTGGACGAGGGCAATGTGGTACCACTGCTTGTCTTTGAATGACATGCCTTTGAACCTAACACTAGGCCGGCTGGATGTGACTGAGGTCTGTAAGATAAAGTTGCGAGTATCCCGCTCAAGATACATGAGAAGGAAGCAGGTCTGAGTAGCATCGAAAACACCGAAGAGTGTGGTGTGGGAGTTGGGGTCGAAGCGGTCCACGCGAACCCATGCTGTGAACGTGTATCCTGGTGATGAGTTGGGAGGGAACGGCCGGCCAAGTGTTGGTAGTTCGATGGAGGAATGGCCATGTAGCGAAAGATCGAACTGAAAGAACGGAGGACCGCTGTATGTTGAGGTCATCTCTAGGCTGAACTCGGAAGCCTCCGGCGAAGCACTCGCGAGCAAGAACTGGGTGTCTGCGGGCTGGTTGAAACCCAGGTACATGAGCTTCTTGCAGATGACAAGCAGCTTGTCTTTCTCATCCTGATCGAGTCTTGGGGCAGGGTCGAACAGAACTCGGAGCAAGCGAGAGAGCACTCCGGTAGCATGGAGAGCCGCAAGGTTAAACGTGGAGATTGAAACCACGCTTGACATGATTTCCAGAACTACCATCGAGCAAGAGTTTGCCGGCATGTTCTGCGCTCTAGGTATAGACTCCCAGAAGCCCACAACAGCCCGCAGGATTTCGGGGTTCCGGAACACGGCCTTTTTCTGAACGACATCGCGCACTTCCTGACTAATGTCCCTTGGTTTTGGAGTCTTGGGCGCTTCTGGCTGCGCTTCGCTGCCCTCGAGGGCTTCTTGTTCCGGGCTCGTCGTGGCTTCCTTGTCGTTCGTCTCCTGGTTCGAGGCAATAGATTGGCAAAGGGCATCTACTTTGTTGTCGCCCAGTGAGAATGCCAAGAGCTTCCCAAACATTTGGCAGTTGGTCCACAAGTCGGAATCGCTGCCGCCTAGCCCGACGCTGGCGATGGTCTGTTCGAGAGCCTCCCACCCGCCGCCTTCCACCCGGTGACGAAAGTAGCGCTTGTTTCCAGGATGGTCTAAGAAGGACGCGGCGAGGACATCCAGCACGGCCTCCAGCAGCCCAAACAAACCCTTCTTTTCCTCTGTCGTCCGGCGCTGGGGGTTGTAAAAGCCGGAGTATGATCGCAGCACGTCGAGGAGACGGTGAAAGCCGTGCAGGTGTCTGAAATCATCCTGGGGCGGGCTCGGCGGTTCGGGAGCAGCAACGTGCTGTCGGATTTGGCGCAGACTCTTGACAAGAACTGGGAACTCAGGGTAGCCGTTGTTGGTGCGTCTTTGTGTGCCGGCGGCAAGGGTGTCGAGGAGGCCACGCAGGATTTCGAGGGCTTTCGAGTTGGCGGCACTGGATGATCTGGACGACGCTGAGGTGGAGGAGCGATAACGCCTCGATACCTGGAGAGTCGACATGTTGTTGTTTCTGGCTATTTCAACAATTCCTTCATTCCACAAGCTTCAGTCCCAGCACCCATCGAGGGTCCAGGCAGCGGTCAAGACTGGTCGGCATCGAAAGTGGGATGCGGCGTGGGGTGGTACGGCAGCTCGCAGCTTGGGCAGTAATGGGGCGTCCAAGGTAGGGAAGGAGGGGGGGGGGAAAGGGGGCAGAGATGTATAATTGCGAGCCAAAAAGAAGCAGTGACTTTGACGATGCTGGTATAGTCAAATGGAGCCAAGAGTCGCAACAAGTCCAACGGCTACCTTGTTCCGCGTTATCACGGACACGGGTAACAAGAGCTGGAGCTGGGAGCTGTTGCGAGTGTCAGCCTTGAGCAGTGAAGGTGTGGCTTGAAACGCTCTCAGTGGCCGCCTCGTCGTCACGAAGACAGGCAGGAGCGTCTAACGTGCCGACGGTTTTTGGGAAGGAGTGGGGTAGGAATGGTGGCGGTGCTGCTGCCAACTCGCGCCCGGCTCTCCGTCCACACCTGGTGGCTAGGTAGGTACACAGGAGAAAGTCGCCAAAACCGCTGAAGGACTGCCCGTGGCGTCCACTGAGCAGCGCAGCTCCACTGAAGCATGCCGCCTCGAGTCCCGGCCTCAGTCCCGGTCCCCGTTGCATAGCATGGAGACGATGGTGATACGCCTTTTCCCCATTCTATCCATGGAACAGCTCATACTGCATGGATCATACCTGGACTCAAGCTCGGCGATGGCCAGCGCGTCACTTGTGAGGCGTGATACTACACCACTGAACGGCTATGAGTATTTTTCTAGAAGACGCATCTACATATCTGCCGTTGTCTGCAGTGACATTCTCCATCACCAAGGTAGGGTAAGGGGCTCTTGTCTTAGCTGCAGCACCCAGATAAGATACACTGCCAAGCTGCCTCCCTGAACAGACAAAACAGCCTTTGAGCAGAGGCATGGGCCGAGATACGGATAGCTTCCGGTACTCAGAGCTGACATGGATTATCCGGGTGGGCCCCATGAAACATGCGTGATTCATCCCATTCGAGCCAGCATCCAGAACTCAGTTACTTGCATGTACCCTATCGATAGAAGCCGTGCCATTCGGTCATCGGCTCGGCCTCCGAGTGCAGAGCTGACGCGAGGTTGTCTTGTTTGCCTGGATGGCGAAAGAGCTGTACATCGATGTACATAACAGAGCTTCAGTGAGTGTTGGAGTAAACACCCTCATTGATGCATGAAACCCACCAACAAAAGCTAGAAGCGCATCAAAGGGCTAGAAGCACGAATCAGTCGGTGAGGACCTATCAGTCTTTCCAGTCCCGTTGAGTCAGTGACCAGCTTTCAGCGCTAGCTATGACAGACAATGCGGCAGCAACAAACAGAGAGTCGGTCAACTGTCCATGTGTCATGACTCCGTTGACCGGGGGGCTGCTTGAGGGATCATCGGCTCGCGCGCTGAGCATCCTCTTAGAGCGCTGCTGCATCTGGGAAGAAGCTTAGGCGATATAGGGTGGTTTCAGTCTGGGCCCTCCCAGACACCGAGACACGGGACTCGGTCAATTCTTGCAAGTTGGTTTGTCTGGCGGTGACAGCGGTAGTCATGTTCGTGGCCCGACGAGGCTCCCGTCGGTGGCTGCTGTACTATAGGTAATACGACGGTGGTGTCGATGGACAGAGACACGCGTTCCCCATACATCCATGTCGAGGTGGCGTAAAAGCCCAGTTGCCTTCGCGAACAGCAAAAGATGGTGTGCTGAGTTGGAGCATTCTGCATTGACAATCCGACTCGCAAGCTCGTGGCGTTAGGTTTCTGTTACGAAGACGTTCCTGACCCGATGTATAGTAACGGACAACAGGCAAATTTTGACAGCATCCGGACGAATGTTTATCTTGCTGGCCTGCGCGAGTAACGCAAGCCCGACCTCGATGTCCGCGCCATCGCCGTTCAAGGACCTGGATGAATGCATGGATGTCCGCCGGCTTGAGCGTGGCCTGGTTGTCAGCTAGTTGTGCGTACCAGGCTCTGACTGAGTGGCTAGGCACATCGCCTCCCGCTGGCCTGGCTTGACACAACTCGTTCTCAGGCAGCTCCAACCTCCAACGCCAGACTGCCCTCAAATGACGGGAAGGCAGGGGGACCGAGGCACGTGCCAGGCACCACACGGGGGCGTCCTCATCTGACCCGTGGGTCAGGCGTCTGGGCTAGCTTGGATCAGCGTAGCGTTGGTGCTGGGCCTCGTCTCCCCCGCCTCCAAGGTTCCAGTCAGACAGCTCTTGAACCCCTTCCAGTCGGAGCTTGAGCAGCGGGTTGACAGGGCAGGGCAACAGAGGCACCTTGCGGGATACCTAGCTTGAGCAGTGCATCACCTGAGCGATAACCGCCCGCCAGCTTCACCTCGGAAGACTGACCAAGACCGACGAGGCTCCAGTCGCCCAGTGGCTTCGGGATCCTGTCTTCCCTCGCCTTGGATTAATCCTGGATGGGTCTCAACTACGACAAAAGCCCTGTGCTGTAATGCCAAACACCTTATTACAGTTAATCGCATCATCGCTAGGCAAGTTACTTGCACACAATGGGCAAGCCAGCAGCCCCGAAGGACTAAGGGTAGCCGAGTCGCCATCGTCCATCCGAGGCCAAGCGGATCCGGACAAACTCACAGCAACGGAAACACAGACAATTGACAGGGTGAAGCGTAAGTGCTGGCACACGACAAATGCGGTGCCTTCCCCTCTGACTGGTCGATAGCGGAGCTCAACGAAACGGCAAAAGCCTCGTCGAGATAAGACGGGATGGCAGCGCTTGTTAAGCTTCAGGGTCCTCCGGATAGATCTACCTCGCCCTCCGCTCCGTGAATCGTCCATTACGCGTTATCGCATGCAGCGCTATGCGGGATATGCGGACTGAGTGGGTGCCAGGTGGGTTGGGAGGGGGGAGAGCTGTGGCCTGGTTGAGACAATTGAGTGAAGAATGCATAAGGAATGCTGATAGTGCGGTACATGGCGTCGACTTCCCCAGGTTGCAGAAGCCGGCGCCGAAGCGGCGGACTGCTTGCGTAGGCTGTGCTGCCCCTTAGGTACACTGGGCACATTGCCTTGGTGGATTGTCGGCCCTCTGCTTCGTTCGTCTCGACGAACGAGCACAAAACTATGGCTGAGTTGGTGGACCGAAGGCCGCCAGCCGTTGAGCTGGATGGCTTCCTTGGGAGTGAGGATGCCTGGTTGTAGCCATGGGTTCGAGGAGGATTCAGGGCAGCGCGCAGGGCGAAGGTGCGGAGTACAACGTCCGCCCATACCGTGCCGTGACTGAGAGCCTTCGTCTCGGCCCTGGCTCTTGGGGGCTTGGGTATGACGTCGACTGCTGAGCTCTGACTCTGACTCTCAAGGTAGTGCTCTGCTACCTGCTCGTGTTTCCCAACGAGGACCGTTCGAGAAAGAAGCAGAACAGTCGCAACGCAGTGCTAGGTGCCGTTTTTGCATCAGACGAGAGGAAATAGTAGGAGCAGACAAAGGAAGCAGGATGGCTGCATTTTCCAACGAAGCTTGACTGATGAAGCTCCGATCAGAAGAGACGGCCGGATTGGCTCTGTGCCTGGAACCGACTGATGCACGCGAGTTGTTGCGAGAAGAGGAGACGCAGGGTACCGCTCCAGGTCTCCTGCTATCGCCCATCCGCACTTTCCCATCTTCCAAGCAGGCTAGGCATGGCAGGGTAGCTCGAACGACAAGCAGCTGCCCGTATCGAACATGGTGCCTGGAGCAGCTCAGCGAGAGCGCCAGGCAAGGTACCTCCGCAGTACGTACTCAAAGGTCCAAGGTCCAGATGGAGAGGGACGGGGACTCACCCAGGGAATCCCCAAACGTGACCCTCTCTTATCGCATTGCCGAGGAAACCCTATCGAGTCATTCCATTGGCTCTCCTGCCCATTCATGGAGTGCGCTAAGCCGGTTTCGGCGCCGTCAGCCACCCGCCAGCTCTTATCTTGGTTGGCTGCGTCACACTGGGGCGGCGCAACCATCCTTAGGCCGATACGGGTACGCTACGGATACCTCACCAGGAGCTGTGCGCACGCAACCGCCGTCGCTGCCTTCCTTCCCTTTATATGTGCCCGCTCCCGCCCTCCGGAGCTCCATCACTTGCTCTTCTGATCCATCTCTCCCCCATCCCTCCCCCTCCTTCATCGGCATCATCCATCTTCCCATCCCATCGAGTATTCGTCCTTCTCTGGCGTCTTCAGCAGCTCCAATTTCCTTATTCCTGTTATCGTAACGAACGTCTCCGGTAGACTCTTCACACCACCACAACGCCGCCCATCATGAGAGGCTTCATCGGTGCTGTGGCCGGCCTTGCTGCTGTTGCCAGTGCCACTCCTTCTCTCTCCATCGAGACCATTCACGACGGCGCCGCGCCCATCATCTCCTCCACCAACGCTGAGGCTGTCCCGAACTCATACATTGTCAAGTTCAAGAAGCACGTCTCGGAGACTGGTGCTGAGGACCACCACAGCTGGGTCCAGCAGCTGCACTCCTCCTCCCAGGACGAGCGTCTTGAGCTGCGCAAGCGTGGCCAGGAGCCGTTGGTTGAGGATATCTTCCACGGCCTGAAGCACACCTACAAGATTGGCAAGGACTTTCTGGGCTACGCCGGTCATTTCGATGAGGCCACTATCGAGAAGGTCCGGAGGCACCCTGACGTAAGTTCCATCCCGACTCCTCCCCGCCAGACGATGTCCCAAACATATGGCCCACAACCCGACTCCGACAGTGCGGCAAGGCTGGCTTTGGCTCTCCTCGACGCCGTCGGACTCGGATTGGTCAGCTCGACAAGTTTTGGTTATTTCACATTCTTCCAATTCGACTCTTTGCTGACACATCATTCTACAGGTCGAGTTCATCGAGGTCGACTCCGTTGTCCACACACAGGTTCCCGTCAAGTCCCAGGTTGAGGACAAGTGTGACGGCGAGCTCGAGAAGCTGGCTCCTTGGGGTCTGGCCCGTGTCTCCCACCGCAAGTCCCTGGGCTTCGGTACCTACGACAAGTACCTGTACGCCGAGGATGCCGGTGAAGGTGTTGACGCCTACGTGATCGACACCGGCACCAACGTTGACCACGTTGATTTCGAGGGCCGTGCCAAGTGGGGCAAGACCATCCCTTCTGGTGACCAGGACGCTGACGGCAACGGTCACGGCACTCACTGCTCTGGCACCATTGCTGGTAAGAAGTACGGTGTCGCCAAGAAGGCCAACGTCTACGCTGTCAAGGTCCTCCGCTCCAACGGCTCCGGCACCATGTCCGACGTCGTCAAGGGTGTCGAGTGGGCTGCGACCTCGCACACCGAGCAGGTCAAGGCTGCCAAGGACGGCAAGCGCAAGGGCTTCAAGGGCTCCGTCGCCAACATGTCTCTTGGTGGAGGCAAGACTCAGGCTCTTGATGCTGTCGTAAACGCCGCAGTCGATGCTGGTATTCACTTCGCCGTCGCTGCCGGCAATGACAACGCCGATGCCTGCAACTACTCCCCCGCTGCTGCCGAGAAGGCCGTTACCGTCGGTGCCACTGAGCTCGGCGACCGCCGCTCTTACTTCTCCAACTACGGCAAGTGCACTGACATTTTTGCTCCCGGAACCAACATCAAGTCCACCTGGATCGGCAGCAAGTACGCAGTCAACACCATCTCCGGCACTTCCATGGCCTCCCCCCACATCTGCGGTCTTCTGGCCTACTACCTTTCTCTCCAGCCCGCCTCTGACTCCGAGTACTCTGTTGCTCCTATCACCCCCGAGAAGCTCAAGAAGGCCCTCATCTCTGTCGGCACCGTTGGTGCTCTCAGCGACATCCCCAGAGACACCCCCAACGTCCTCGCCTGGAACGGCGGTGGCTGCAACAATTACACTGCCATTGTTGAGGCTGGCAGCTACACTGTTAAGCAGGAGGCCAAGGAGTCCACCATTGACGACCTCGAGAAGGCCATTGAGGAGGACTTCGAGGTTCTCTCTGGCAAGGTTGTCAAGGGTGCCAAGAACGTTGGCTCCAAGGCTGAGAAGCTTGCCAAGAAGATCCACAACCTCGTCGACGAGGAGCTGAAGGAGTTCCTCAGGGAGACCGCCTTGTAAGCGTTGCGATCACGGCGCCAGGTCTCATCTTTTCCTTTTTCTCTTGGGTCAATGACAGTGTACGCATAGGGTTACTACTGGATGGGTTGGGATGGATGCATCACTTCATAGCTACATACAGATCTCATAGCACAACGAATTAAGTTTCCTTACTATTATTATCCGATCTCCATTACACCCCTTAGAGTGACAGAAGCTATCTTCAACGAAATGGGATTGCTCTTCTTTGCCGGCTTAGCAATACTTGGAGACAAGGTTTGATGCCGTATGTGCTGGCTAAACTCTCCTTCATGTTTATGAGTAAGCCCGTCAAGCAGCTTCGCGACCGTGAGATGATGCTGATCGGATTGTTTATGAGAAGCTCGTAAATTACCGCCAAATCTGGCATTCAGCAACTCTCGTTACGCCACCTGAATCAATCTGCACTTGAGACATTGGGTTTTAAATGCGTGATCCTGAATCTCGAAGTCGGTTTATCCTTCAATGACTGGAATGCTCTTCCTTCCCACCGAGGAAGAAATGACAACAACGGCTGGATCTTGCCGACGCCACCTCATGCCTGCCCAAACGAGGGATCAGTCAGTCCCTCCCGCCTTTCAGCCTTCGATCCTGACGTGCCTTTCGTCTCCCGTCTTGCAGAGTTCACACAGCCCCAGAGAAGGAGCAAACATGGACCTCGCTGTCGGTCGCACTATTCCTCGTGGTCTTGCCAAACCGCGGCGACCTTCCTCGTCCTCCTTTATACCATTCATTTCGTCCTTCACAGCTCATCATTCGACGGTTTCCGCGGCACGTCTTCAAGCTCTCACAGCTTGCTTTTGGTTAGCATCAGGCCGGATCTCGCACGTCGACCAGCAGCAGCTTCACTTGAATCTCTCTAGTTCCTCTCCTTTATACCTAAGTCGCCGCAGAGTCGGTCTCGTTTCTCTCGCCTAATCCTTTCCCGCTACAACTTTCCCCTCTATGCGGCGACGCAACAGCACCAGGTCGAGCTCGACGCTGACTCGAAGCAAATCCACCGCCTCTGTTCGCTCTGCTATCCACAGACTGGATCATATCGATCCAGTCGCTGCTGAGAGAGACGCTCACATTGCTGCTACCTTGTCCTTCTCCCGCGCAGGCCTTGCTTCCGGCCCAGAAACGAGAGTTTGGGTTTCCCGGGATTGCAACCGCTCTACCCACATGTCAACCTGGCCAGAAGACCCTGCGGATCACATCCGGCCTCAGAGTGAACATGCTCGGCACAACTTCAAAGAGAATAGTCCACATCGCCAGCAAAGTGTCCGTTTCGCCAGGCAAGGATTTTCCTCGAGACGGTCGCAAAGCCAAGACAACGATTACTCCTCGGACACAGGCACCATTCGACATCGAAACATTCTTAAGGATGTGGGAAATTGTCCCACGAGCCAGGCCTCTAGCAAGCCCGAACGCCCATTCGTGAGCACCTACACCACCAACTACGTTCTTTCCTTGCCGACAGTCGAATCATTCGGAACACTAGACGAGTGTGCACCTCCTCCGACATCCTACCAAAAGCTTCGCAAGTCTCGATCCATGTTCGCCGCTTCGAACCAGGCTCCGACGACCAAATACGATTTCAACGACTCACCGGAGCAACCGAACATGCTGCCTGCGCTGCGGCGGCAGTCCATGCAAGATATGAAGGAAAATAGATCTCCGACGAAATCATTTGGGCTTCGCGGACCGAAATCGGCCAGCTTCCTGAGAGTGCGGGACGCCATGATAGGTGCTCGAACTAGCAGTCGGCAACAGAACGATTTAGCGGTTCAGGACGCCGAAGACAATTTTCGTAGAGACGTCGAAGACCAGCAATATCTGAAGCCACGATCGTCGGTGTTCTTTTCAAAGTCAAAGAAAAGCCAGAGTTCGCTGGGTCTGCGCAAATCCATGAGAGAGTTCAGTTCTGATGCTCACATCCCCGGGTCTGCAAACACCATGACCGCCAGCAAGGACGCCTCCCTGCGGAGGAAGGCGCGAAAGGTCTCCAATAGCCTAAAGGCCAAGCTCAAGGATATCTTCAGGCGCAGCAAAAAGGGGGAGTTGACCATCGTGGCAAACGAAACCAAGCCAGTAGACGTGGCTAAAAACCAAGAAAGCATGGAGACCGAACAGGACGACCCATATATGGATATCGTCGATCCGGATTTGACGGACGAGTGCTCGATTTCGCGGGTCCCCTCTCGTGTCCCCTCTCTACATAACACATGCTCAGCTCAGAGACTTCATTCCCGTCAAGGAAGCATAGAAAGCATCGAAAGCGAAAGAAAAGTATCGGATGAAAGGTCGCGTGTGACCAGCTGGACGAGCTCAGGGACCCATACCCTCAACAGCCAAAGTACATGGGGCGGCGAGCGTGATAGACAGCGTCTATCCGTTATCAAAGAGAATGGTCCTCACTACTCGTCCTCTTCCTTCGGGCGACCAAGCATAGTTAACAGCAATCCCTACGAGCTGACGTCGTCATCACCGTCTCCACTGGGTGAGCCAGCCCGTCCTGGCACATCAGCTGATACAGCCCAAGTCTATTCGGCACTCATGGACCGCTTAAACGAAGCAAAGAAGAGGCAGCAACGAGAGGAGAAATTGCAACTGAGCAGCAACGGTGACAGCAGCCCGGAAAGGCATGAATCAGATGGTCTGCCAAAATCATACAATGATCAGGGCAGCAAAGAAGTCGGACAGCAGAAACCGCCAACTATCAGATGTGTCTTGCAAGATGACGATGTGTTCCGAGACGGTCCGTGGGAGCAGACGATTGCTGGTATTGAGACCACAATCTCTGTTGAAAATGAAGCAACATCGTCATCGGGCAGTATAATTCACCATCGCCAGCGATCTGCATCGGAGACGACCCTTGCATCTTACAAGACCTATCCGAGGCTCATCGCTGGCGATGGACAGGGGTACTCGCCACCAAGGCCATGCACGACGCACAGCGAGGACATTGCATCTGGCCCGAAGACCTTGTCAACTCGCAGCTCTGCATTCTTTGGAAGTCCGACGTGCCATCTATTTCGGACAACAAGCCCCTACCGTAGGGCACTACAAGCATCGATCAAGGAAAACACCCCGGTGTCGACAGACCTGCGTTCACCAACAGCCTCTAGTCTGAACCTTGACATGATTCCCATAAGACGTCGCCCAAGTCTCTCTCAGGAAGACCCACGCATTGCCTACTCGGAGAGTATATACTCTGATGAACTCCACTCGCCACAAAGAATCCCACAGCTCAAGAGGAAGTCAGCAGGACCGATTATCCCGCCCCGACACCCAAGCCACCGAGCTACTGATGTAGATCTCAAAAAACCCACTTCTACGAGCGTATACTCAGACGCTGCTGTCGAGAACGGACCAGATAGGACGACTCTCACGAGTGCTCGGGTTGACGCCCTCAGTACTCGAGGCACACAGCTCAAACCCCTGACGTACACGCCAACATTGCCGGTTGATCGGACAGTATCAAACGCAAGCTCAGTGGAGTGGAAGACGTGGCTCTCTGCTAACGCATCAACTACTGATGCCAATCTGGTCAACGCCAGAGCGCAAAACCTGGCTGAGATTCGATACTCGAAACCAAGCATGCCTAGGGGGATGGGCCATGTGCGTGAAGGCGCAGAGATCGAAGAACCACATTCTCCAATGACTTACAAGCCGGCAGGTCCTAAGACAACCAGACTACAGACACCACTCAGAGCGATGAGCCATAATCCCCGCCAAGCATCGTCTGCTAGTCGGACCGAGCCTCGTAGCAAGCCAGTAGTCCTCATAACGCCTAGCAGGGACGAGAATGTAGCTCCTTTGTCAGATGGGCGCGTTACCAAGCATCTTCGTGGCATCTACCGTCCTCCCCCAATTCCGCCACGGAGCTCTCTAAGGGCAGCTCCTTCAATGCCGCTGATGCAAACTCGGCCTTCTCAGAACAATGTTTCCATCGAGTCTGCGGACAAGAAGGCTTCAAAGATGCGCAGCCTTGACACAATGCCAAAATCTCAGTCAGCCGAGGTTCCCCCCGGCCAAAGAATAGGTCTCCTGTCAAACTACTAAGGCGCAATGGAGCACGCAGTGGAGTTCAGTCATCGGCGTCTAGCCCAGGACTTACCAAGGCATTTGTCAGACAGTTCGATCCCATACTAGCCAAGGAGCAACCGAGAGGAGAGTCTCCTAGAAAGAGGGAAGATTCCAACCGCCGCTACCTAGCAGACTCCAGTGATTGCGACAGGGCCGACAGATTTGATGCACTAAGCCTCCATGACTGGAAGCCTGAGACGGAAGGAGGCAAGCAGGTGCTTGAAGCCTTCCTGAGCAGCAGACGCCAGGTTTCCGTCATTGGTAACGAGTCAACGGCGTTCCTATAAGCTGATGGCCAAACATTATGGCAGGTACCGGTCATTTCTGCTTGCAGCAAGCTTGTAATGCAATGACGCTGATGGGTTAAACTTATGGTCCACAACGAAAAGACAGAGCACACCACAGAGAAGCATGGGCTTAATGGTTCAGAAGTTGTCGGACGCCTAACACATGATGCCCGTATAGTTATTGCTTTAGACATGGATCATGAAGAGATAGTCATGCGGGGGATTGATAATGAACTGTGCGGGGTTTAATGTGACGTGTTGCACGAAATTCATTGTTAATACATGGAGTCTTTATATTTATGGTGTTCTTCTTTGATCGGCATATGTCGTGATTATGGTATGGGTCCGAACCTGTACTGAGCCCAGGCAAAACCACCCTCTTTCATAGTCCACAACTGCTTCCCGAGGTCATCTCCCGCAGCGCCGGCGGCAACATGAACAGGCATGAGATGGTCCATCCACGGATGGGCCTGTTTGGCGTCGGGCCGCCTGCAAAGCTGAGCCATTTTCTCCTGCCTGTCGTCAACCTTGGCTTCCACCGCCTCTTTAAGGGCATCGTCGAAGCTGACAGCATAGGGCAACGGCTCAGGCCCACTGTCCATGTGGTAGAGGTTGTGCACCGACATGCCCGCGCCGATGATGACAACGCCCTCGTCGCGGAGGGCGGAGACAGCACGGCCGAGGTGGTAGTGGGCGTCCGGGTCCTCGGATCGAAAGAGTGAGACCTGGACGAGAGGGATGTTGAGGGGGTTCGTCTCGGGGTGGAAGGCGACGTGGAAACCGGCCCAGACGCCATGGTCCAGGCCGCGCTCTGTTTCATCGCACGTGATGTTGTGGGAAGTGAGGAGGTTGCAGACGCGGTTCGCGAGCTGTGGGGAGCCGACGTTCGGGTATGTTGCAGAGTAGTAGTGCAAGGGGAAACCCGAGAAGTCGTAGATCAAAGGGGAGGAGAGGGCAGAGTTTACGAGGATGGAGGTGGGCGTGCGGGATTGCCAGTGAGCCGAAAAGACGAGGACGGCGGTGGGGCGAAGGGAGGTGATTTCGGCGCCGATATGTTGAAGGATCGGGTAGACTGAGTGGGCTTTGTTGTACATTATATCCGGCTGGAGAGTTTTAGTCTAAGGTATCATGGTGCAGATTGGTGAAGGAGCAGAGTGAGGCGAGGCGGACTTACGCCCCCGTGGGAAAAGAAGTAGACTGGCATTCGGGATTTCTTCATCGTCGATGGGTCTGTTTTCTGAGACGTGTCATATGTGAGGGCTGCGGTGACCGTCGTGAAGAAGGATCGGAGGGTCGGTGAGAACATGTACGTCGTGGCGGCGACTAAGACGGAGAGGAGGAATAGAGGGGTGAGGCGCGGCATCTTGGAAACGGTATGGTGACGCTCAAGCTCAAGACGGGGGATTTTGGGCGAATTGTCAGGTTCCTGTCGGCGATGGGACTGATATATGAGCACCAGGGCTCGGGGGACGCTATCCGATGGCCGGGTGAGGGCATCGGCACGGAGTACACGGAGGGGCCGGATGGCGGGCGGGTGACGTTGGTGCAGTGGGTGTGGTTTTCGTCGCGCGCGGCCGGGTCCACTGCGTGTCTTGGGTGACGGGAGGATCGTCTAGTGGGAGATCGGAGGGGGCGGGACCCCACCGGTGGCCTGACCAGATTCAATTTCAGCGGTCCAAGCTTCCGAGCTGCCCCCTGAAGAAGTGCTAGAGCAAGCTGGGAAGACGGTGATGGCAAATAGTGCGGTTTGTCCCCGCCCCCAATGTTGGATGCATGCAGAGGCACAGATTCGCGGAGGCTGATGCCGCGTGCTATCACCCAAAGGAAGCTAAGTTTAGATCGCGATGAGAGCTGAGACGCAGTTATGTAAGAACGACGCATCTCGGGCTGATAATCAACGTTGCATAAAAGGTGTCTATTCCCTCCGGAATGTGAGGGTATGGCCACACCCATCCCAGTGTCTTATACCTAGCGCAAGTTGTGAACAGATGTAGTCAGAACCTAATCCCTGCTTGCCATTATAATACCAATGATCTCTTCCTCTCATCGCTTCAACTCTATCATTATCTATTCTTCCTTCGCATCGTTCATCGTAGTCAAGTACGGCAATTAATCAGACGAGAAGCCCAATCCAACGGCACGGTACCGAGTCCGGGCTAGATCTCGACGCCCCACCCGCGCCCTCGGAACGGAGGCAAGTGGCCAGAAAAACCCAACACAACCACGTAGGCGTCTCTACTCGGCACCGCCCGAGCGTTCACCACGTTTCCTCTTGCATCCACCCGCATCCAATGCTCATCTCGCGGGGCCTTCTCACTACCCTCTTTTTCATCCTCGCCAACCTCGCATCTCTCACCGCCGCTTCGCAACTCGCCGACCACGAACACCAAGATCCGCTCTTGCATTCGGACGAGTCCACCCCTCCTCGTCAGCGCCCTTCGCTATCCGCTGTCGCGGACGCTGAACTTCTTCCCGCCGACCCCCTACCACTCTCCACAGCCATGTCGTCCCTCGCCCGATCAGCCCCGCTCGTGTTCCCGGCCGCCGGCAAGCACACGGCGACCGTCATCTTCGCCCACGGCCTCGGCGACTCGGGTCAGGGCTGGGCGAGCGCCGTTCAGAACTGGAGGCGGAGGCAGAGGCTTGATGAGGTCAAGTTTGTGCTGCCCCACGCGCCCGAGATCCCCATCACTTGTGTGAGTCCCCTCTCAACCCTGTTCCGTCTCATCTCATTTCATTTCATCCCCTCGAACGCATGCGGCTTCATCACAAGGACGTGACGAAGCACCCGCGAGACGAGAGCACACCAAGGCTAACATCGCTCAACAGAACTGGGGCATGCGCATGCCGGGTTGGTTCGACATTGTAAGTCGCGACACAATTTTCGACCGCCACCGCCGCCAAGCGTCACCGTCGTCGTTGTCGTCGTCCCCGCTGACCGCACCCCAGAAAAAACTCGACGGCACCGTCGAGTCCCTCCGCGAGTCCGAGGATGAGCCCGGCGTCCTCGCCTCGAACGAGTACTTCCAGTCCCTCGTCCAGGCCGAGGTCGACGCGGGCATCCCCGCCGAGCGCGTCGTCCTCGGCGGCTTCAGCCAGGGCGGCGCCATGGCCATCTTCTCCGGCCTGACGAGCAAGCACCGCATCGGCGGCATCGTCGGCCTGTCGTGCTGGCTGCTGCTGAGCGACAAGTTTGCGGGCTTCGTGCCGGCGGACAAGCCGAACCAGGACACGCCCGTGTGGCTGGGCCACGGCGACTCGGACCCGCTCGTCAGGCCCGAGCTCGGCGCGCTCAGCGCCGAGGCGCTGAAGAAGTTGGGCTACAAGGTTACGAGGACGCTTTACCCGTGAGTTGCCCCCTTGTCTTTGGTCTGGACTGGCTCTGAGGCCATGTTTCCATGGCTGGGTCTTGATGGCAACGTGTGCTGACATTCTGAATTTAGCGGTATGCCTCACGCCGCGTGCCCCGAGGAGCTTGACGACGTGGAGGCGTTCTTGCTTGAGAGATTGCCGCCGACCGGCAAGTGAGGTCCGCTGGTGTGAGCAGAATTTTGCACACACAACGGATGATTTGGTTTTGGGATCTTAGACAGACGCAAACGGGTTATTGTTAAAAATGTGCTGCATGGCGATTCATGTGACGGATATCCATGGCGGGCATACGGAGGTCAGCGGGCCTATATAAGCATTGGCTTGGAGGTGCCTTGCTTCCACTCGAGGCATGCCGTATAGTAGAGGTAGACCGTGCTATAAGAGAAACATCATTTTGCTAATTTTGCCATAACTACTACCGACACATGAGAGACTGCATCTCTCGCAGTAAAACGTCTAGAGGTGTCTAATGTAAAGAACTCAACGACAAGCGTACAGAACCGGCAACGCCCACATGAGGTTTCACCTCCGGCTGTTCATCTCATTCTTGACGTTCCTCCAAGGACTGAATCATGCCAGGGGCCTTTACCAGGAACACCCAATCACAGGAGGCTTCCTCAACGTCATATAAGATCTGGTGCACTCGGCATGCATTAACGGCTGCTCGAACTGCCACATAGCTCCATCCGTGAGATATGAAGGTGGAGGCACGCGTAATTATCCGACTTGATGGACTCTGTGTCTCACGGAGCAACTCAACAAGAGGGTTCCTTGCGTGCTCGCCTGCCATGTGCACCGCTTACCTAAGACCACCGCCGTTTGAGGACGCTAGCGTTGTGGGTGCCTGTCTCGCCCAGGGTCTTATCTTGCTAGATGCTGCCGCTTCTCTCTACCATAGGGGCCCATCCGGATCCAGTTGGGAGGGTCACCTGTGGTCGCCTCCCCGAATCACAAGGCCTCCCAGCGCCATGGGCCCTTGGTGCCCCCCATGGCAAGGCGCAAGCCCAAAGCCCAATCTCTGGCCCGTGGCCAGACGGAACTCACCCACGCTGCAGCTTGCATCTGCAGCAAGCAGCAACTCTGCTCCAAAAGATCGCCAACCACCACTTTCCCTCATTTTCTTTTTTTTTCTCTTGCTCTCACCTCCTACCGAAAAAAAAAGTTTCACCAATCCTCCGGCAGGCTCTGTTGCAGGTCACGCATTTCTTATTCTCTTTATCCATTGCTCCCTCTCCGGGCTGAGATGATAACCGATCGGACCGGCGTACATATTACGGTAAACAAAACAACTCTCGGTCCTCGCATAGCAACACACCGAACCGAGCAAACCCCGGCAGCGTTGCTACCATAAACAACACCTTCGAGGCATCACCACCACAACTCGAAACCAGACATCGGCGCAAGCAATGGAGACCGCAATCACCCCCGGCGATGACCGGCCTTCCACCCCGACGCCGTCCCAACTGCCCCCCGTCCCCTCGTCGCCCGTCTACTCGCTCGCCTCGACCGCGAACCCGCTCTCGTCCTACCACCTCCCACTGCCGCCGCCCCCGCGGCCCGTCCACGCCGTACTCACCAAGTCCGATCTCGAGCTCTCCCAGACGGCCTACTCCGACCTCATCCAGACCGCCAAGTCCTACCGCATCGCCCTCGCCTCGCTCTCCACCGCCGCCTCCGCCTTCGGCTCCGCACTCGAGTCCTGCGCCCGGCTCAAAGAGGCCCGCGCCGAGTCCCTCTCGTCCGTGTCGCAGCCCGGCGCCGCGCTCTCCGCGAGCTTCACCGCCGGCTCCAAGGGGTCCTGTACCGCGGACCTACTCATGTCGGCCTCGGGCGTGCACCACCTCGTCGCGAACCACCAGCAGATCCTCTCCGAGACGGTATACCGCGACTTCGAGGTGCCGCTGCTGCACGAGCTCGACAAGTGGCGGCAGCGCGTAGAGGACGAGGAGGAGGCCTACGTGCGCGAGGTCAAGGCGCGCAACTTGGAGATCAGGAGGCTCGAGAAGGAGGGGCTGAAGCTCCACAAGCAGCGCCGGCGGGACGTGGGCAAGTTCAGGGCGCACCTGGTCGAGTTGACGACGAAGCTGGACGGTTTGACGTCGTTGCATGGGGACCATGCTAGGACCTTGTTGAGGGAGAGCCAGGATACGAGCGGGCGGATCTTGGAGGCGTCGTGCAGCCTTGTCCGTGCCGAGGTGGACATCTTCGAGTCGCTGGCGAGGAAAGGTTGGAGCGGAGGGGGCCTGGACGAGTTGCTGGAAAAGGGCGCAGACCTGTTCGCAAGCGATGAGGTCGGAGACCATTCCGGGCTCGGGGCCGGCGCTGGGCCGGCTGAGACGGCGAAGCTCTTCAGTATCCTGCCGCCCAAGAGCATCCTCGCCGACGCGGCGTCGGATGTGACGCGCCACGGAGGCCACACAAGAGGTGATAGCCTGCTGAGCGACCCGGACCGCTACCAGAGCCTCGCCGCTGCCGCAGTGCCGGGGCTAGGGGACGACAACGACGCGGATAGCATCTTCTCCGAGACCAACTTCAACAGGCCCAGGGGCGTGAGGCCCTTCTCGCCCCAGCCCATCAGGCGGCACGCTACCGACGTAACGTTTGACAGCCTGGGCGTGGGGCTGAGCGAGGAGTCGCGGGAGGAAGACAAGGTTGCCGAGGAAAGGCGGTACGACGTGCTCAAAGAGGAAGACGAGGCCGAGGCGTCCGAGCAACAACAGCTCTGGGCGGACGAGCAGACCGATACAAGGAGCCCCGGCGACGAGGAGCACGGGGACGTGCCAGACAGCACCGAAGTTGTCGAGGATGCCGAGGAAGAGACGGATATTGCAAACGGGTCCGCCGAAAGGGGACGGCCGGGGAGGCGGTGGAGTGTAAATGAAGAGGACGCGTAGCTTGGTACTTTTCTTTGGTTTGACGACGGCGAAACTCATGATTACTCTTGTTATACCCATTTAGAGGCGTTTCTATGGACGAGGGACGCCCCTCGGTGCGCGGCCGCGCGCGCGCACGCGGCGCTGCATAGTCTTACAGTTCGTTCGTTCAGGAATTCATCCTTTCTTGCTCTTCTTCTTCTTCTGCTTCCCATCTCTCCTGCGTCTGGTCTCCACAAGCCGCCCCCGCCGTCTATGAAAATGTAAAGTGTGCGCGTGGTATTCGTATGGACATTAAAACTTTTCCCTCCAAACGCCATCCGATCCCCGGAAACCTTGACCAAACATGCCTGGTGGTGGTACTCAAGCATCCCAGCCTTTAGTCGTCCTTGTCGGCACTCAGGATTTCACCCCCAAACAGCCCAAAGGTCGCGTCCAGCCACCAGATAATCTTCCAGTACAGGCTGGCGCGGTTCCAGTCAAAGTCGCCGTTGTCAGTGCGAGGGACCTCATTGCCAATCATGGAGCCGCTGAACCACTTGAGAAAAGGCACCATGTTAACGAGCCGTTGGGTGTAGCTCTGCTGCGGCAGCAACGCCTGTTCGGCGGGAAGGAGCCTGGCCTTCCGCGCGGTGGGGATGCGTCGGCAAAACAAGCTGTCCTCGGCCTGCATCTGGGGCTGCGACTCGGTGACGGTCACGGACGAGTTGGTCGTGTTGGAGATGGTGGCCGTCTCGATCGTGTTGGAGGAGGTGAGGGACGTTGGCGGGGAGAGGTCGCTCATGGAGCGGTTGTTGGAGATGGCAAAGGGATTGCTACCGCTCTTGCTCGCCGTGCGGTGCTTGCTGCGCGGTGTTCTGTGTGTGCCAAAGCTGCCTGCCGGGACGGACTGTGAGCGGCTGTGTTCCTCGTGGGTGGTGATAAGGGAATCGACGTCTGGAATGGGCTCGTCGCGAGCAGGAGGTAGACCATGGTACGGCTCGGCATAGACTAGGTAGCCCAGCACACGCTGAGGGCTGGCGTAGACCGCGGCGTCGGCGGCGTCGGCCGATTCAAATGTGACCTTGACCCAGTGCTCGCCTCCATCGGCGCGGTTGACCTTGGCGCGCTCCTCGCCGGTAAGGCCTCTACGGCGGGTGAAAGCAGGGTCGCGCAGTTCGGACTTGTAGCGGCGCTGTTCGAGGGGCGGTTCGCGAGGGTAATCCTCGCAGATGAGGCCAGCAAGCTGCTCGTAGTGGGAAATGGCGGCATACTGCTGCGACGGCGAGCGGTAACCACGCAGAATAACTTCGGTGGGCACATGGCGAGTGATGCGTGGTTCGGCGGCCGCGGGTGTATCGTCCGCCGCGGAGGCCAGAAGTGGCGCCTGGGAGAGCCCTGAGGTCTTGCGCTGTGGGACGGCGGCGGCGGAGTTTGTGCCGGCTCCTGTTGTTGTCGAGGCGGCAAGATTATTGGTGGTGATTGCTTGGGAGGAGATCCAGTCGCCAAAGATCTTATCGGCAGCTGCGACAGTAGGGTTCTCACGGCGGCCTGCAGGTGTTCCGGTTCTTGAGCGTGACCGCCGCGTCGATTTGCCAAAGGAGCCTGTTTCTGCGACACCGCGTCGATTTCTGGCACCGGGAAGGCCTTCTTGTCTACAAGAGGGTCTAGGTTAGCTGGATGTCATAGCGCAAGAATGCGAATGGACCTCGACCGCCAAACGCGTGGAAAATGCAAACGTACTGTGGGAAAACCATGGCGTAAGGGCGCTTGATGCCGTCGTCGCCGATGTATAGCTCCTCGTCGGGAACGTTGTGGAGGATGAGAGGCGCCATCTTGTCGTCGGTATTAGGAGGGCGCTGCCTCGAGCGGACACGCAGCCAGCTGTCGGATTGGGGTCAGAGGGGAGCTTCTTCGAGGAGCTTCTTTCAGACGTGGCACACACAATCGCACTATTGTTTGCACGAGACGATAAAGAAAAATCGAGAAGGAGTGTATGATGGCCGTCGAGGTGCTGTTATGCCATCGGCGCGCAGAGGGAATGGACAAAGAAATGCCTTGGCCGTGTCAGGTAGGATTCCACATGGCCGCCATTGGTGATGAATTTCTGATGCGAAAAGGCCGTGACCCAGCAACGGCGGATTATCTGACTGCCGAATTCCGAACTACCTTAGCTCAGTGGAGGTAGGTATCCATGTGGAAAGCCCGGGCGCCAGTGCCTGTGCGTCCCGGACATTTGTGGGTCGAAACATTGGGGACCGCTTATCTCATCGTCATGGCCGACTTCGACTTCAACCGTTGCTGAGACGAGTGTTCGGTCACTTGAGGAGCACCGCCAGGACACGAAATCCTACATGATAGAATACTAGAAATTCCCGAAATTTCTTGAAACAATGCCAAGAAAATGTTTGTGTCTCTGTACCATAGGATGCATACGAATCATCTCAAATGAGGATAGGTGTTCGCCATTCGCGTATTTGTGGATGTAGACTACCATCTTTCCTCTGTTGACGCAAGAACACCTTTAACAATTAAGGAGATGCAATTGGCCGGACTTCTGTTTTCCAAGACGATCAAGGTATTCGCCGCTTTCTTCGTGTCTCAACATCAAGAACAAGGGATCGAAAGCGCAAGTTGAATGAGTGCTCTGTTGCAAGACCTCTTTGACAACATATGAACTTGTGTTTACATAGGCGTCACCGGCGCAAGTCGGGTAGTTGTGTGTTCATTTAAATTCGTCTCTCCTATTTTTTAGTTCTCATCCTATGTACATGATTATGCATAATTTAGTCGGCTTGTTTACGCTGTGATATTCTCGATGAGCAAGGGTTTGAAAGCCGGAGTAGTCTTTATTTATTAAAATTTGGCCCATGGGGTATACTTCTTGATCCGTCACGTCGTTATCCTTCGCGTTTTGATATCATGCTCAGGTGTGTTGTTATGCAGGCCAGAGGGCGTCATACACGTAGGGCTTTTCCGAATCCTAGCCAGTTTGAACGAGACTTACGCAAAAGACTACCAGTTGAGTGTTCTATATATTTAAGAACTGAGAAGGGGCGTTTTGGAAGTAGAAGGAACACTGGAAAGGACAGAGAGGTCGGGGAAGTGGCAAGCACCTTCCTCCTCCAACCCGCGACGCGGCTTAGACAGGCAATTCCTTCCCTTTCCGACTCCTTACTTTATCCCAACTGAACGCCCCCGACAATACCAAATCTCCAAAACTATTCCCCAAGCTGTTTGGTTCTCTTCATAATTAACGGCAAACCTGCCAAGCCGGCGTTGATTCCATCTGCAGAAATCGCCATGTTCTACAGCAACGAAAGTCAGTCATTCCTTTTTTACCAGCTCGCCGCTTTGTAGAACGCTTCTGACAGCTTACAAGTTCTCACAAGTCGCCAGTTTGGTGTTGCAACCATTTGGTAAGTTGAATCTCAATTCATAGAAAACGAAAGATACTCACCGTCATCTTCAGGGTTGTTGCGACCATTGGTCCACGCGGTGGTGGCACCCGAAAGGTTTCCCGGAAAGCCATCGAAGAGGTCGACATCCGAAGGGCTTGTGAAAAAATCATTGAGCCGGGAGCTCCCATCTCTCTGCGTCTCCAGAGCAATCTCCTCTACGGAATTTCACGGGTTTACTCGTCGCAGTGCAATTACATGCTCGCCGACGCCGAGAAGGTGCAAACCTTGATGAAAACTTTCTTTCGACTTATCGCCAACAACGAGACCGACCCCAAAGCTGGGAGAGCGAGGTATGTTTCGTAGTTTGGCTGCCACCCCAAGTACTTGCTCACTCTATCACGCTAGACGTGACCAAATAACCCTTAGCGACGACCCGAGCTTTGTTCCTACCAGCATCATGCCGCATTTCACAATCGACGACGACGGCAATTCTTGCTTCATTTCCGGAAGTCACCCCTCATCAGGGGGGAAGAGAAAGTCGCAGTCGCAGCTCAGTCCCTTCCCTCACCCCGTCGACCTTTCTGGTGGTCGGGAGCATTCGATTTTCAACCTCGATATCTCTCAGTCGTCCAGCACTTTCATTTACCGGCTGCCATCTCCATTTGCACACTCCTCGTCCGCGCAGAAGACACTACTTCCTCGAACACGCGATGATATGGAGCTGAACCTGAACATGGGCTCTCTAGGTCCCATGGACGACTTCGACAACTTTGGCGGCGTGGAGCTCGAAATCGACGAAAACGGTGGCGTCGTTGTGGATGAGCCTGAGCCTGAGCTGCCAGGTCTCGTAGAAACTGGCTTGGTCAATTCTGATGCACCATTTCAGATTGAACAGACTCAAGATGAGCAACTGATTGTTCGTGATGCCGAGGGTGACGTAGTCATGATGGGTAGTGATCCCGTCTTCCTACAGGATGAACATATCCTTCACCTGCCCCAGCCACCCGAAGAAGGCCAGAGAGATCAATCATCTGCTCCATACAGGAAGCGTCGACGTGTTCTGAAATTCGACAATGACAGTACCACGATTAAACGCTCTGTTCTCAAAAGCTGGCAAGAGCAGTATGTTGACAATGCGGAAAGGGCTACCAGCAAGCGGAAGGGAACAACACAGATTCAAGCTCGAGCCAATGCGTATTTCCTCACCTTCGGACAGGGAATCGCAGGCATAGGCCGCATTACAGGCATTCCTGGAACCAAGTTTCCTCTTGCAGATGTTTTCGCCGGTACTGGCCTTCGCGACATCATTTACGGCCCGCCCAGTGAAGAGGAATGGGACTTACAGACGCCGTCCCCCAAGGGCCGCAGAAGAAGAGCAGTTGAGGCTTTCGACGAAGCGAGCGATATAAGCGAAGACCGGAACGTGCGCCCGAGAGTCGACGAGACACCGCAGCAGGGTCGCTCCATGGATGAAATGGGCGGATACGGTATGATGATCGGAGACGAATCAATGCCAGAGATGGGAATGAAGGCTGCGCAGCCCATGGAAGAGCATCCGTCGTCCTCTTTGATGCCTTGGAATCGGACACCTTCAGCGGGCCGAGGATCTTCAGTCATCAGCCATAGTGCTCGGCGCCATGAACAGACCAACCGACATAAGTCTGCTAGCCTTCGCGGAAGCAGCGCTCCTCCCTTTGAGCCGCTTCACGATGCGCTCGGAAGCGACTTGGGTGCAATTCCCATCGACATGCACGTCTCGCAAGACTTTGGGCCAGAGAACTTATACCCCGCAGGTATCGTTGGTAATGGCCAGGATGATAAGAGCGACTCGCAATGGATGCGATCCACTCTAGACACCGCAAGCGGGGAGTTCTTGCAGTGGACCGAAGATGAGGCCAAGAAAACTGGCCAGATCAAGGAGGGAGACAACAACGAGAACCGTCGTTGGATCAACTTCGACGACCTCATCGAGCCGGCGAAGCAAAATCATGTTGTTGCGGCCCAGGCCTTCTACCACGTTCTTTGCCTTACGACAAAGAACGCGGTCTCGGTCGAGCAGCAGGTTGAGAGCATGCAGCCCTTTGGTCCAATTCGAATCGGACTTGATATGACGGCACTTCTAATGAGCCAGGAGTAAGAGAGCGCCGCGCATCTATCAAGGAGCCTCTATGCGCAATCTACAACCAATCAACGCACACTGTTTTTGCAACGAGAAAAGGGGGGGTATTTTGCATCTGCAGTTTTCGGGAAGGGGGGACTATTTTTCATCTGCGAATTTGCTTTTCAAGTTTGCATTGCGATACGTTTGACATCCTGGGATTCAAGGCCGCGAGTTCTAGAAGGTCGCTGGAGCGGGAGACTTCTTTTCGAGGACGGATATGAGCGAAGGTGTCATTTACGATGACTAGACGGACGAATGGATTTGAAAACATGCCAATTGCTATCTCCCGGGAAACGGGATCATATAGACTCAATGCACTTCATGCACATTAGCTACACTCACACCAAAAATGATTCATTTGAAAAAGCCATGGGTGCCGTTGAAAAGTCATCATCTTCATTACTTCATACACCTCGGTGCAAGCTATCAGGTTTCTACTCCTACTCGTAGACATCATCCTCGTCACCAACGCCCTCCCGATCCTCGAATTTCATGTACTGAATGTCGGGATCATCTGCAATGGGGCCCATAACTTTCGTCCAGGCATCTCTCACAGGCTCGAGAGCTGTGTCGCTAAATGCAAGGTCGAGTGGCAGACTTGGGAGGACGTGCGAAGCATCTGAAAATGCCAGGGAAGCAGCCTTGGCTTGCTCATACATGACTTGATAGATGGCCTGTGGATGGTTGCCATCTTCATCGATAGCAGCCAACAGGGTTGCCAGAGCCTTTTCCAAGGCCTCACCCGAGTTGGATGTCTTGGGTGTGACGAAGTAAAGAACGCCTGGAACAATGACCAAGTCAGTTATGTGAAACAACAGAGGTTTGCCAGGTCAAAGTATGAGAATAATCATGTACATCAGTATGACAGGAATTGTCGTCAAAGCAAGACTCAGACAATGTAGATAAGAATTTTGACTGAAATCATCATGTACAGGAGGGGGTATAGGGATGAGAGGGAGACTTGGTACTTACTCTGACCAGATGGACATTCGCCCGTCTCGCTTGAATGGGCAAAGACGTAGACGGGGTACGGCGAGGCGACGTCTTTGATGGAGCCGGCGGGGATGGCGACGACAGCCACGGCCGGTGTGGGCGCTCCCTCGACGACAGCCCTGAACAGAGACAAAAGCGGCGAGTTGACGACAACTGTCAGTCTGTTTACACGCTGACTGTCGGGGGCAACGACTTCGGCGCCACGAATCAGCGTACGGGATTTCACCGTAATGTCACTGGTCAAGTCGACTTCGAAGTGCGCGCCGTCTTCCTGCGCGTCAAGCGGGCGCGTGGCTTTTACACCCGTGCCCAGCATGTAGACTGCGCCGCCAACGGCACAAGCGCGGCAACCGACCTGCGCGATCTCGGAGAGGCCACCCCATCTGGGATATACCGCCGCGAAGCCCGGGCCGAAGGCACCCATGGACGAGAGATGCCTATGGATAGCCGCCAAGCCGTCCTTGGTTGAGATCCTCCCGTCCAAACTCAGCGTCAGGGTAACGATGTAGGTCTGCAGTGCAGAATCCAGCTTGAAGTTTGAGGCCAAGAACTCCGACAGAGGCTTGTCGGCATGCGGAGTCCATGTACCTCGCTGCTCCTCCGCATCGTAGTCAGAGACAAACTTGAGAAACTTCATCAGCGAGCGCTTTGCCCTCGCGGGGATCGCAGTCGTCGAAAAGACGGCCTCACGGGTCGACGGGATCGGCACGATGCTGGCTCTTCCGTCTTCGGACCCGCTGGACGGTAGGGTATATATGAAGAAAGACCCAACGGCAAGGAATTCGATCTGCCGGAACGCGCGCGATGATACGAGCTGTTTAACCAGCTCGGAGCGGGCATGTATTATCTGCGGCGCGAGGGCGAGAGAGTATGCTCTCGGGAAAGAGAGGGAAGGTCCAGAGCCGGTCACGACCTCGGGCTTGCTCACGGTCACCGACGAGAAGACACGTGAGGGGCCGACATCGTCAGCGGCAGCATGCGCAGCAGCCCACTCCTCGATCTCCTGCAGACTGAAGGCGGCTTCGGGACCGCCATAGTATTCGTTGGGATCGAGATGCAGAATTTGCTTTCCGGACCGCGAGAGGGCTCTTTTTACGGCCAGAGAGGGCTGCGTCAGTCAGATCGAGGCTTTTCTGGGAAAACAACGATGCCGGACGACGAGAAGGAGGGAATGCAAAGAAGCAGGAGGGAAAGAAGAGCTTACAAGGCTAGCAGCGACTGCTGCAGGCCAGTGCCATGGAGTATGACATCCCACGTCTGCTCGGCCAGCGATTCCATGGTGGTGGAAAAAGAGAAGGAGCTTCGGAAGGAGGGAAGCAGGAGGAAAATTTGCGAAGAAAAAGAGGTGAGGTTGGAAAAAGAGGGAAGATTGACGATGGGGTCGGCGGTGGGGAAAACGGACGCTAATGCGTGCGAACAGAGCTATAAACACTGTCCAGCCGACACTGTACACGTCTTGCCTAAAATTTCCGCGCCCCGCGAAGCGCAGGCTTTTTCTCCTTCCTTTCTTCACCATCCGCTCGGTAACCAAGCCGCGAGTCGCACTCAGTAGATTCGCGGTTCATGAGGGCCTTTCATTAGGCTTCCTCGGCGCCGGGCGGTAGAAGGAATTTTTCCCTAGTATCTACTGCCTTGGAATAACGTCTGAAAAGGTAGCTCGAATTGTGGAATACATATCTTGATCGCGCAGCAGCATGATTTCCTGTCTGTTTGCGCACACCTGTGCTTGTCATCAACTAGGATTTGAAGTGAAGCTCTGTTGCTAAGTTGATCCGTTTGATCCGCGAGCATTGCAAAAGTCTATCCTTTCTCGTAGCTGATGGTTCCGTACCCAGCGAAGTCTTTCCCAAACCCGGTAGAAGCAAGTGGACTGTCCCGACGACCATCTCAGCTGTCCCTCAATATGCATGCGATGCTGAGTAGTTGACATATAAAACAAGCCTTGTTACCCCAGTCGCTCAACGCCATCATGTTGCTAAGCCGCCAACAAACTCTCGCGGTATCATTTTCGTATCTAGTCGTCGCGTCGCAAAACGTTCATCCATCAGTTGTCTGAGCCGGTGTCCTCAGCAGTGTTCTTGGTTGTCTGACCCTGTACGACCATAGCGACATGCTTGCCAACGGTGCACCCTTTGCCCATATCCTTCTCGGCGTTACAGCAGCTCAAAATGCGCAGAGCACTAGGATTAGTTGTGAACTCCTCGGCCGCCTTCTCCAGCGGATCGAACCAGATGAAACCATCCTTCTCGCACTCAATCAACCAGTATCCTATCGGTTTTGATCTTCGTCAGCACCCCTTGCCAATCACAACACAATACTTCAGGATAACATTTAGGAGTAATGTTTTTTGACTAACCTGGATGGTAAGAACATGACTTGCTCAGGTTCTTCTTCTCCTCGTACGGCTTTTCGCACATCTTGCACAGCTTAATAGTGCGCTTGGCGGTCCTGGTCGCCTGGCTCGAGCCCTGAGACACCTCAGACGACGCTCGGGTGGACGAGCGACTGCTACGGCGGTTGGCGGCGACCTCAACCTCCTGGCCCTTCTTCTCGTCAAGGTAGGCAAGGACGCTTACGACGTGGGTGCGGGTGATCGCATGGCCGCAGACGGCGACAAGGATCTGGGAGAGCTCCTCCTTCGAGGCCTCTCCAAGTCGAGCGTGGATATCGGCCATGATAGTGACAACGAGGAGATAGTTTGGTCTCTGAACAAGAGTTGAGGAGGGCTGTTGAGGAAGTTGAGAAACTTAGTTTCCCTTGTGTGATTTGTTACGCAAGATTGTGTGAGAGGTGAGGCTCCGAAGAATCTGACGGCTAGTCTGAAAGAAGTGAATTGGTGTTGATGGGCTCATGTAGGTATGCACCTATTTTCTCACGCTTTCTGCACCGTGTACCGCCGGTGAATGAAAGGCGGGCAGATTATCAGTCCTCACGAAAGGGGAGCTCCGTTTGCCATCCAGTGGTTGGCGTATAAACGGGGGAATATCAGAGGAAACGGCCTTTTCTCCCAAACTTGTTGGATTCGTCTTTTCCTTTTTGGTGGGTATCAATATCTTCATGCCATGGCCTTCCAAACCTGCTCCCATCTTCGCTCCGCAACGCCCACAAACTCCCGTATGAGCTGCGGCTGTAGCACCGTACCTCCGTGCTTTGATATCGACAACACCTTAGTCTCTCCCTCGCTCTTGTCCACCACTGCCGTAATCTCCTCGTCGCAAAGACTCTCCTCCAATCTATCAGGGTCGACCAGGGTCCAAAACCTGCCACCAGCGGGACGATCCGCCGTCTCCTTTCCTGTGAAGACGCCGGCTGTGCAGGCGACAGGAAAACCGTGTAGCGTCAGGGGCTTAGGGTCGTTACGGGAGCAGATGACCATCTCGCGGTCAGGATCCCAGCGGGCGATGGGGATGGTGGTATCGCGTAGAGCGGCCAGGATGGCAGCCCAGGCGACATCGAACGGGTTGCCGTCGAAGGAAATGAAGAAAATGTCGATGTAGAGTACCCAGTATGCCATCACCACTTTCTCGCCCTCCGCCTTGTCCTCGTCGTTGTCCATCTTGTCGTCATCGTCCTCCGCCTCAGCGGTCTCGGCAGGGCGAGTGTACCATATTCTCAAATCGTCGGGGTCGACGAGCTTGGAGGAGTGTAGCAGCGAGTACACTCTCGTGCTCAAAGTCTGTGCGAGGGTTGTGGGGGGTACGCCGGGAAGGAACTGCGGCGCGCAGCCAGTGGCGAGCTCAATATTGGGAACGAGTAGATCGTAGTCTTTCAGCTCCGAGCTAGGCTTGGTCTCATCGAGGTTCGCGGCGGTGCGGAAGTTGGGGATGTCGGAGGCGAGAATGGTCTCGGCACGGACACCACAGATCACGGTAGTATCGCCCGTACGAACCACAGCGCTCCCGTTGGCATGGGTCAAGCTAGAGGTGTTAATGTTGGGAATGCGGGCTTCCTCGGGCGCGCGGCCGTTGCTTCTGGCGGCGTTGGCGGGCGCGGGAGGTTGTAGGTTTGCGAGAAGGAACGGATGAGGGGAGAGCTTGGCGAACGTATCGCGCGGAAGGCCCTTTGAGGTGGCCATTGTGTTCGACTGCTTTCGACAAATGTAAAGCTCGAGCTGTATACCAATTGAGGCTTGGAGGCTGGGTTTCGAATTGCTTGAGGCAGTACCGAGGTGGGATGAAGTGAGAGCTGGAAATTTTGGGTGGAGTCGGACGTCGGCGTCAGTGGCTCCGGTGGGGTCAAAATGCGCCGGGCGGTGAATGCCTATAGTGGCCCCCGGTGACACATTGACCCCTGGTGAATGCTTAGCAGAAGGAATTGGTGCATCAAGCAGCCCGAACACATGTCTATTAGATGAAGTCGGATAAATCAAACAACGGCATTTCCCATTGTTGTCGCCTGTTTTGCGGAATGTTGGCCGGATGGTCAAAAGCCAGAAGTGGTCATTGCCAGCAGCTTTCACCTTGATGAAGCCTAGAGTTGTGATTTGGTTAGTTGGGACTCATGGAAAGATCCAAGAACGGAACAATCACTACTCGGGTAACTGAAAAGGTGGCAGCTGCTTGTCCAGAGACGTAGATGCCTATGAACAGTACCTTGAATTGGTAGAAGGTGATGGTTCCCTCGAAGCCAACTTCGATTCCCACCTGTGAGTTTAGAAACAGAGTTGGTGGGCAGAGTAACCAGAAAGACATGCGGATGGGAACCTTTGATAGTACTTACCGGAACCCGAGTGCTAGGATAAAGTCAAGGCTCCCAGAGACCATTGTGAATTGGCATGTCGCAATTTCTTATCTTTCCAGATCCGATGAATGATGTCGATGCCAACCTTGATGGGGTACGCTTCTGCCTTCCTCTTTCGTGGACTTATTTATTATATTTTGCTACGTATCGAGGCATGTGATGAAGGTGATCTCGATCTGCTCGCATAACTTGTCGCCACCCTGTGGTCAGCGACAGCATAAGCTGAGAATAGAATTGTCGCAGACGAAGATGGTGAACGACAAGCCTGGAGATAGTTAGAACATTACTGCTGATTTGATGAAGCGATCTCAAGTTCAACCAATTGTCTTCACAGATGAGACGGCAAACTTGACCGAGATACCCGCGGCGCCGTACATTCCTACACCCTTGGGAGATGTCCCACTCAATCCTCACTCGATAGCTTCAAAGTGAATTTTTCTCACACTGCCTGAGGAATTGGCCATGAAAATTGATGAGCAATGTTCACAGCTCGGCAATTGGTTATACATGAATAACAAGATGGTCAGACCACTTGAGAACAGCTAATTAATTATTTGAGATCGAGGAGACGAAGTTGACATAACCACTGTGATAATGCGAAGGTTGTCTCGGTCTACTTGTTTCTACACTCAACCTGTCCGTTTTCTTACACTACCATAGCTCCGCTGTCAGTTGCTGCAACAGTCCCAGTCACATTTCGATCCTTCATCAACCATAAATATGCTTCGACCACGTCCTCAACTCTGCCAAACTGACCTGTCGGCATTGTACCTTCGACCCCCTCGATCATTGCTTCTTTCTCCTCCGGTTTCAAGCTACTCCATAACCCAGTATCTACATACCCAGGAGCGACAGCATTGACCCTCAAAGGCTTTAACTCGACTGCCAGTTGCTTAGCCATACCTTGCTGCCCTGCTGCAAGGTAAGACACAACAGACCAGCCTGGGGTTGACTTGTGTGCTGAGCTGCCGCTGGTGATAGTGAAAGAGGATTCGTTGCTCTTGGGAAGGTATCTTGCAGCAACCTTTGCTGCCATCAACAGTGCAACAAGGCGCATCTGACATGCAGCAAGAATCTTGTCGGACGTTAGATCTTGCAACGTCATGAGCGACAGCGAGTCGGCCGCTGTAAATACGACGTGGTCGACAGGGCCGGCTTGTTCAAAAACGGCTTCAAGATTGGTTTCTGCATCTGAGCCGGAGAGGTCTGCAACGAAACTCTGAACTTTTTGCTGAGAAGAAGCTGGAACCAATGATCGAAGGGTTACAACCGCTACGGAGAGCTTGGCTTCACACGACGATGAAATGGTGACATTGGCACCGCTAGCAATTGAGCCTTCTGCAACGCCGAGACCAATACCAGTTGAACCGCCGATTATGAGAATGTGCTTTCCCGAAAGCTTGTTGTACTTTGGTGCCATTATTGATAGATTCCAGTCGGATGTGATTCGGGTATGAACAAATATTGAACTAAGATACTATCAAGTCAGAAGATTGTCTGAGTTGCCAGATAGGAACTTTATGAATACATGTATTGTCAATGATTGAAGTTCTCGGCATTTGAAGGATCTTGTCTCTATATATTCATTCTCATATCTATGATGCGACGATGATCTATTGCCCCTGTTACAATGTGTAAACCCGTTTTGCCATATGTGGAAATTGCCAAACCCCGTCTAACCCCGATACACTACCTCCGTCAGGTTCCGTGGTCATATATGCGTCTACAGTAGTGTAACTTCGGCGATAGCCCACAGCGAGGCTCTAACAACGGTTGCGCGAAACTCATAGCACTGTAGGCCCTGGAACTGGATCTAAGGGCCTGGCATAGATCAAGTACGGGGCGCTATGTCAGCTCGGTCATCGACACAAAGACGTGGATTGTGCGTGTCAAAGCTTGTGTCGTTGGCTAACAAACGAGAACAATTCACTTTACCTCCACTGGAACAATTCAAGGGGTGAGCAACGTTGCGGTTCATCGTTAGGCAGCATGACTGGGGTCATTTTGAAATAGGAAATAAATCTTTTCATGACACTATCGAGGGATATCTCGGATACTGAAGCGCTGAGGTGTCGCCTGAGGCTGATTGTAATTATGACGTAAATCTGGCCCACCGAGTGGTGTTTTCAGATGTTTTTGCTGTGGTCATACCCTTCAATAGTAAGCATGTCTTGAATTATGTTAAGTAGGTTTGGTAAGCCAAATTTAGAGTGTTTCAAGTCATTGAACAGATGCATTGCCCTGAACATGCATTTTACGTCTAGAAATAATGGCTTGGTTTGAACGGCATACTCGTTGTTTCTTAAAACAAAGATCGTTATTCAACCTTATATACTGTTAACATCCCAAGGCTCCAAAAGCACCCAAGGTTGTCATAGCCACTACAATACACTGTGGTGAAAACTTGAACGACTGAGTGTTTCCCCTCATGGTTACACAAACAGTGGAGCTTTTACAACTAGAGAACATCCTGGCTGCGTTAGGCAACCTGCGGGAGTTACCGAACTACTAACATGTAAGACCAGTAAAGTTAAACGAAATACTGAACAGAGGCTGAAAGCGCGGTGAAGACTAAGGTAAGCATGCAACTCACATTGCTGGGGAGAGGGTCCCAATGACCGGGGCTAGCTGATGTTGCTGACATTATTGTGCCAGGATGAGATGCGCAGAGTACCACGTGGCGAGCGACTAGGTAACACTAAGGTCAGCAACAACAGGCTATCTCGACGGAGGTTCGGAGAGCCCACCGGCTATCTAACAGGAGGATTTCAGCGAAGGCGGCTACATAAAACCGATGATTGGACCAAGAGTGACAAACAACACTCCTTGACTCTCAAATGACCCATGCTTGTAGTAGTAATCCGTCTTCATGATCCGGACTACACCCAAGTGGAGGGTCCGTAGAAGGTGGAGTTAGGGTCACCGATAGAAGTAATCAACATGCCACCAGCTCCGTTTTTGTAACTATTGGCACCATAGAAAAGAACGGTCTTGGGTATAACATAACCCGCATTGCCTCCGTCTGCAGCTTGAGTCCATTTTCGAACTCACTAGCAACATTCTGCATTTGCAAACTCTGGATTGAATAATCAACGAAGTAAGAACACCGCGAGCTCCCGACAATGAACTCGTTCACTGATCTGAATAGATATCGAAAACAGCAATCATGCCTGCAGCACAGAATCCCATCAAACCTTTGGGCATCATACTCGCCCATGGCGGGTTCCATCAACCATCTTGCTTTGACCTTGCCAAAGCCCGCCTTGAAGACGCTGGCTTCTCTCCCGTCATTGCAGTTCGACACCCCAGCGTGGGATACGACACCAAGATTACGGTAGATGATGACGCTCGTAATATTCAGGCCGAACTGGCGCCGTATTTGGAGCAGGGCAAGGAGTTTCTTGCCATTGCCCACTCTTACGGCGGCACCCCTCTGACTATTGCAGCACGGGGCCACTCAGTAGCTGAGAGATCTTCCCAGGGCAAGAATGGCGGTATTCGCACTCTTGTTTACTTGACAGCGAACGTGCCTGCCAAAGCCGGTGACAGCGCCCTGAGCGTTCTTCCACCAGGTATCGATATTGTCGATGTGGCTGATGGACTTATGTCAGCAAATAGCAAAGCCAAGTCTGCTTTCTACGGTCCTGATATGCCAGACGAAGTTGCAGAAGAGTGCATGGCATCCTTGCTGCCCATGTCTCAAGGAGCGCTGGCGGGTCCTGCATCTATCGGGGGAGACACCGTTACTATCCCAGCTTACTATATCATTTGCGAGAAAGACCAGACGATAGCCCCCGCTACACAAGAACATATTGCCTCAACTATCAAGTCGCTGAAGAGAGTTCTCCGGAATCCTGGTGGGCACTCGGCTTTCATCACGGAGGTTGACAAGTTGGTTGAGCAAATCAACGAAATTGCAGGCGAGGGGGTGAGAGTGCTTGATTCTGTAACAAACAAACAACGCATATTGAGGCTTGGTGGCTTGGGACATTGTACAGAGTACATTTGGGGTTGCAATTGCTATTCAGTGGCGCTAAGGTGGCTCAACGGATTCAAGTAATAACACGGAATACGCTGAAGATACCAGTATACGGACCTAAATCGACAGATTTCAATCAAAAAACTGCTTGTGAGCTTTTTATATCACTCGCCACGATTTCTTGTGCAAGAATCCTGGACTCTGACAAGAATAAATAGTGTATTGAACTGAGATGGGATGTTTCGTTGCTGTGAAAGTAGTGTTAGTCACTATCCCCAGTGCAAATTAGCCTACCACAGCTAAAATCTGCTTGAACAACTCGTCGGAGTCAGGTCCTACAGGGCTTGCAGCCTGCAGCGCTTCTTGGACATCGGTAGGAGGGTAAATCAACTTCTGGTTGATGTGGTCTTTCACTCGCTTAGCCAAGTCCCCCTGAATCTTGACCTCTCTGGCCCAACCTCCAGTGATTACCGCGCCCCATGATCCGAGGTCAAGGCAGCAGTTGTATGCCTCCTGTGAGTATTCCAGAAGAGGCTCTTTTATAAGATCTGCAGCGGCATTATACCCCGATATCCGGCCAAGCTGAAGGGCATGCTGGCAAGACATCAAGGCATGGTGACCTTGGCCATCGGCGGAAGCGTAGGCAGCGTCTCCCGTAACGAAGACACACTCAGATGACAACGATCGGAGGTGGTTATTGACGTGAATACGTGAAAGTTTGTCTCTGGTTCCAGCAATCTGATTGGTCAGGGGTGTCGCGCGCATACCGGCCGTCCAAATGGCCGTCAATGTTTCAATGCGCTCCCCAGAGGTGAGGGTTATGCTCTGAGAATCAACTGCAGTAACTGCAGATCCAAGTTTAACTTCGACACCAAGACTCTCCAGGGCCTCGCTGATGACTGGACGAGGCCCCGGTCCTAGTTCTGGGCCAAGCTGGTCTGCAACTTCAACCAGAATAATGCGCGGGCTTGTCAAATGTGCGAGGCGCTTAGGCAGCTCAGTCGCCAGCTCAATTCCAGTGAAACCGGCACCGCAAACAACAACGGTGTCGCGAGCAGTACTCGGTGGGCGAGACGCAAGACCCTCAAGATGGGTTTCGAGTTTGACAGCGGACTCAAGCGTGTCTATGTCGAAGGCGTGCTGCTGAAGTCCAGAGATACTTGGTGGCCGCACTACAGAGCTCCCGGCCGCTAGTATGAGACGGTCAAAAGACACATCAGAGCCGGAACCCGTTGGGGACCTGACATGGACAGTGTGTGTCTGAGTGTTTATAGTCTCCGCAGTGCCTTGGAAAAACTGTATGCCAGCAGAGTCGAAAAGGGCGCTGAGAGGATGCTTCAAGCTCGAAGCATTTGACTCATAGAGGCGCGGTCGGATAACTAAGTAAGGCTCAGGCGCTATGACAATGATGTTGATGGTCTCTCCTTGACCGTTGAGGTTGATGAGACGTTTCGCTGAGAGTGCGCTCCACACGCCAGCGAATCCGGCCCCGATAATCATTATAGAGCGTGACATGGCTAGTTGAGAGTAGAATCCGAAGTAAACTTAGTTCGAAGGTGGTCTTGTAGCTGTAAATGATGCGTCGCACGTTGAAGAAATGGGATTGAAGGTGTTGTGCTCAACTGATTTCCAAGCTAGGGGAAAGTTCACGATGACTTACCTCATTTTATGTAGCTTCCTTGCTGCTGCCAAATCTGTATCCAGTTATCACAAATGAGCATCGGAGAACCGTGTTGCCTACACCTAGAGACTGGCGTCTCGGGTTTCCAGCTTTGTTGGGTAGGCTAAAATGGTTGCGAAGTGTTGTCAGCGTGGCTTACACCGGGCGGGTATCGGCCGTGCTCCCGATGGGTCCCCGAATACCCGGGTCCCCGCAATATCAAAGGCGCACCAAAATCCCGAGCCCCTCCCTAGCACATGCTCACGGGCAATTGCCGTCAATCGCCATGATCACCACCAGCGGTCCAACACACAAGAATGGCGGAGCTACACGCTCTTCCCTGGCCTGCCTACCTTGCCGCTCACGGCATCTCAAATGTGACGGGAAGCGACCTCAGTGCGACCGATGCGTCAATGCCACGTCAGAATGTCATTATGCCCCATCACGCCGGGGCGGTCTCGATCGTGCGGCGCTGGCAGAGAGACGCAAGCGTCTTGCGGCAGCAGACAACGATACATCGGCCGATAGCTCCAGGTCACAGTCACGGGTAAGCATCGGGTCGTCCCAGGAACCCGGATGCCAACTTCTAATCGACGGATTCTCCCAAAGCCTGAGTTCACTCGACGGCATCAATCTCAGGGGTGACAATCTCGCTCCAAGGGTGTCACATATTCCACAAATACAAACAGACAACATCAACAATGACATTTTGGTTGATACATACTACAAATCTTTTCACAAGTTCCACCCATTTCTGGTACCTCAAAAACGCTTTGCAAGTCTGTGTCGAGATCCGGGTCGGCAGGATAGCGTCAAACCACTTATTGCCATCATGCGCCTGATTGGAAACATCTATGCTGCTAGAGAATGGTCAGCCCAGCTCAAAGAGAGTGTCGAGAGCTGCTTCTCTGAAGCAAACATAGCACATCCGATCATGGTGCAGTGCCGACTACTGTACTCAGTAGCGCTGTTCTGGTATAGCTACAAGATTGAGGCTAAGCAACAAATGGATCTTGCAGTCCGACTGGCACTTGACCTAGATATGTTCCAACAAGAGTTCGCAACAGCTCATGGAGCCGAAGATCCTGTGCTGGCTGAGAGTTGGAGGCGAACGTGGTGGCAGCTATATATCATCGACGCATATTATGCTGGAACTCTAGGAACCATGAACCTTACGGTCGTAGATGTAGATGCCACTGTGGAGTTGCCTTGCGAAGAGTCGGAATATGAATCCGGGGTAATGATTAACAGCGTACTGCAATAGAACGGTCCATGAGCTTACCGGCATACAGAACATTCCGAAGCCAAAAACACTCTCAGATTTCGATTGCCGTGAATTCGCTTCGGAGGACACCTCATTCTCCTCCTTTGCCTACCTCATTAGTGCTGTTCGATGCGCAGCATTGGCTATATCCACGGCGCCCAAGATCACAAATAGGGAAGACTCAAGCCAGGTCATTGAGAATGCCGACTCCATCATCGAAGGATGGTCGCTTTTACTACCGCAAGGCCGCAAACAGGTCATGACAAAGGCTGGAGAAATCGACGAGCTCTTGTTTCAGGCGCATATGCTCGTAAATGTGTAAGCTACTTGTTACCCTTTCTGCTTCGAACTCGAAACAAGAATAACAATTTTGTGCCTTCCTTGTAGAGCAACAATCGGCCTGCATAGACCATTATCAGACCTCAGATTCAACCCCGTGGAAGACGTCTCCAGCTGCGCAAGAGAACCGCCCCCAGAGACCCCAAACCGGACCTCGTCAACATCCATACCGTTCGAGTCTTGCGATCTGTGGGGCGCAAATTCGCCTGTTGGCACTGCCAGTCCGACCATTCCGTCACACTCCTTTTGTTACCTGCATGACCAGTGAAGGGACGCTAGCATTGTTATCCGCTTGCAACTTTCTGCTGAAGGGTAAGGAGCTGGCCATCGCACGAGATCAAATTCGGATGACGATTGGTTGTCTCAAAACGCTGGGCGAGATTTGGCCAAGAACAGCAAGAAATGTGCAGGAGATACAGACAATTGCACGGCATGTGCTAAGCCTCGGGCCCAAGGCGACGAGTAGCAGTAACCCTCCAAAATCCAGCAGCGTGCCGAGTCTGTCTGCTAGCGATGTGAGGCTCGGTTCTCAAACCGAAGCAACAGCCAACGAGACCGACGTGTTCTCTTCCCTCGGCTCGATGGATGATGTTTGTGGATGGTACAGCCTTGAGGATATTGTTCCGCACTTTGCAGAATGGATCGGCAATGAGCACTAGGGCCTCCTCGGTGAACATGTGCTCAAGTCCGAAGAATGTTTGAAGATTACAGTTGATGCTGATAGCAATTGTGTTGTTTTGTTGTTCATTATATACTGCATGTAGCTGTTTGAAGGAGTCGCTGATGTAGCTCCTGGTAGTTATTTTCTTGGTAGTAGCAACAATCTACAAGCAGTATGCTAGTTAGGAATGCAAAACAAAAATTACAGTTTTGCAGATAGTTTCCTGTGCCTAATACGAAGATGTTTGTCCTCAAAGAGTCGGGGAAGAACAAGCATCGCAGCCTATAATGACATTGTGGACAGGGGGGAAATGGAGTATCTCAGTAACCCAGTGAGGATGGGACAGTTCTAAGTTGGCGCCTCTCCTGAAAAAAAGGGTCCATCTAACAGAAGGGAGCTTAATATCTTTGATGTTAGCCAGCAGAGACGTTTTTGTCTACTAAGCATGGAGACTTGTCCTAAGAATAAATCATGATCGGCATGGGTCTGCTTATCCGTCGATCCTTAAACCAACTCGGAACAGCCCCTATGACTCGTGAAAACCATGATGTACATGGAAAAGGTAGCTCTTTGCCAGAAACATCGGATCTGTCTCGTATTGTTGAATACTTGTTATATTATGATTGAATTGAACTTGTCGCGGCATTTTAAATTTTGTCTTACTGGCGTTCAGTCAGCTGACGTCGTTTTCTATAAGATTGAACCGATAGACATAGAGCAACACTAAATCTCCATGTCATCAGTCAACAACATCCATCGATACTCTACTACTCAAGTTCTCACATAGGTATTCAACATGAGATTCACTCTTTCTGCAACTCTTCTTCTTGGGGCAGGCGTCGCAGGCGTCGCGGGCCTGGAGAAAGTCAGCGAGGATCCCCTATGCAACTACCAAAAGCTCTCGGTCGCTCCTTGGCAGAATTGCAACAGCGCGAACAGCGGTATTGATCCCTACACAGATGCAGACTGCAATGCGCCTTGCTTTCGCGCAGGAAGCCATGACGAATTTGTACATGTCAGCAACCTCTGGGGTGGCGATCGCTGCGCCCTGCAGTGTTACCTGAAGTAGTACACTGGTATGAGTGGGAACGTGTCTACTAGTTATGGCTAAGACTAATGGCCATAGGAACTTTGGGAACGTTTGGGGTGAAGAAACAGCTTTGTGAAAATCTACCTTTGCGCAGGCTGTATTCACCAGAGCTAGTGCTAGAGATAGCTTGGCGGCAACAGAACGCCACGAACCACTTTGACCTTGCCTGAGCGGTGTACAAGAATCGTATTCATATCTAATTACTGTTGACTTTTAATCCATCAAGTAACCAACCTGTTATTAAGAACCGTTCGTATAAGTTTTCGCAGAAACTCTCATATATCGAGACATTGCTACATACCTAGCCACTAGTGATAATGTAGCTGTTCACCTGGTAAAGAACCCAACCGAACGGGAAACGAATTCCGAACTTGCATTCTACTAATTTTGATATAAGTTCAATATCCCTTCACAAGGTTCTATTCATATATAGTTGTTCCCTGTCCACATTGACTACTCTGAGCTCCATAGGTTCATGTATACGTTATTCTCAGATTTGCATTTCCATATTTCCGGGTTGAACTACAAGTGCCCCCTATATGAAAGCAATTATAGCCTTCTGTTGTCTGCCTCGCTGTCTAGAATACGACCAAGCTTTCTCCGCTTCCTCAAAAGCGAATGGCTTCACCACTAATGGCCTCATCGAGCCAGCATCAATCATGGCTGATGCCTGGAGAAGTCTCTCGGCATTGGGAGACACGATGAAGTATTTGTACCGCACCTTGGGTTTACAAGAAGCCTCATCAGGCTGAACGTCTTTGATTGCCCAGGACGGAGGTGGGTCCCCAACAGTGATAATCAACCCATTCTCCTTCACAGTCGCCCAGGTCTTCTTCAGGACTGTTCCACCCACAGTATCAAAGATGATGTCCACAGCCTCGACCTTTGATTCCCAGTCAGGCATGGTGTAGCTTACCACCTCTTGAGCACCAAGCTGCCTCAAGATATCGTGGTTTTGAGGCGAAGCTATGGCGATTGCATGGCCACCCGTAAGCTGCGTGATCAGCTGCACAGCGATTTTGCCCACTGCACCAGAAGCTCCCGTTACAAGAACCCTCATGCCGGGCGCGACTTTTCCGTAGTCCATAACTGCCTCGTATGCAGTCAAAATGGGGATTGGGAGCGCCGCCGCTTCAAGATGGGAGATGGAGGCTGGCTTCGGGGCGACTTCGTTTGCAGAGCAGATAGCGTACTCGGCTTGACACTGCCCATGGTCTGCCGCAGAGAAAGCGAAGACTTCCTGTCCGACTAATAGAGGACCGCGATAATCTGGGCCAAGCTCGGAGATGGTGCCTGAGAGTTCGTGGCCCGGGACCCGTGTTGGAGTTTCGTAGAGCTCAGGCCAGAGGATCTCATCACCGGTAACGCCAGCAGCATCGACTTTTACTAGGATGTCTGCTTTTTGGAGTGAGGGCATGGGTAAAGATTGGGCTGTGAAGATTTTTGAAGACGTCTTGCTTCCTAAAACTTGAATGGCTTTCATTTTGGCGGCTGGTACGTGTCGAGCTTTTCAGGTGTTGCTTTGGGCCTCACTTTTCCTGCTTGCGTATCGGTCATATGTCAAACATGAAGATAGGCGCAAGTTGTTCATCCTTCATATTTCAGCAAACAACATTCACTCTAGAAGGAACTTTATTCGACCTGTCAAATTCGGGATTACATCTCGGCTATTCTTCCGAGAACCCGGCATCCATGGCCGGGTAGGCCTTGAAAATGCTGACGGTTACCCGTGCATCCTACTGCCCGCCAACGGATACCCGAACCGGGCCATGCGCCAATCGGTCTTCAACGCAGGCACCAAGCTAAAGAATCATGTCCAGTCGACCCGGTGGTTTTCGTTGTAAGCACTGCATTCACTCTTCCTATGACGCGCGCATCGAATTCTTAAGGCCGCGGAAACCTGAAGAAGAACAAAAAATAAATCGCAATTGAATGCGGTTTCACCTTTTCCCCAGTTCAGCCATCTTTGTGACTTAAGCGTATCTCCTTACCCGTACTCCCAAGGGGACAGAATTCAAAGCTTCTAGCCCAACAACACGGTATCGTGGTTCTACGCCCAATTTCTGAAGGGGGTGGTACCTAACTTAGCTTTCAAGTCCTTATCGTGATAAATACCAGAGAATATCACATGCAAGATCAGGACATTCTGACATCTTGATGAAGAACCGGGAAAAGACAGCGATCTTTACAACATGGTAGAGCGAAAAAATACGAGTCAACCGTTCGTTAGTCGGGTCCGTGTTGACTGCTTCTGCTCGACACACTGCAGCACTTATTGATAGGGAGGGTGCACATGAGTGAAGGCACAAACCTGGCGCCAGGGGCGGAATTACCACAAGGCTGCATGGGGTCGCATACGGTGCGCCATTCTAGATATGAGCAACTGTCAAGAAACATCATTCGTTGGTCCGGGACTCAAGTTGCTCCTACCTTCCGTACTCCCTTGCGGCTGATGGTAATTGCAGGCGCCAGCGAACCCCGCTTCTCCGAAAAGGGTCACGCGTGCTGTTGGGAACTTGCTCTGCCTTCGGCCTCCTCTCCTGCCAAACACCGTGCCGATGATATGGTCAACAATTGTGATGCCGTATCCCTCGATGTCTGTACCTTCAGTTTTGACGACGCCTTCGCAGTCGCATAATTAACAGCTTGCCAACATACAACCGAGACCCGCGGGCATGGAGAGCATAGGGTTGCCCAACGGATCGTCAAGCCCCAGCCAGCAACAGCAAGCATCGCTCCTACCCCGTAAGAGAGGCCTTCCATCGCGTTTAGATAAGGCCTTCCAGCTTCGGCCCTTGCTGCCACAACACCTGACTCCCCTCGCACCGGCACCAGCACTACGGGCTCTGGCGAAGACAGAGCAGCTTATGCAGGGCTATTCTAGAGCCCTCGATAGTCGGCGGGAGGGGCATCTCTCGAACCCCGAGCATGGCATCGGGGGTCGAATGAATAACTCCAGCGTAAGGCTCAGTCAACATCCAGACCAAGAACCCCTTCGAAAATTCTTCTCATCAGCAATCAGTCGGACCATTTCGAGAGACGATACAGCTTGCGAGGGCGTACGCCAGCAAAAATTACTGGCAGACTGGGGCCGGCAGAACCAGCGTCGACATGCAGAGCCTCAGGCTTTCGTGCTTCCTGGCTCTGCTCTGACGCGCTCTGAGGCACATAACGAGACTGCAATCTCCGGCAGAGCTCACAATCCGACAGTCGTTCAAGAGAACAGCGACGATGGAAACCGTTTCCTTTTCAGCGACACTACGACGGTCTTCCGAGAGAAGGGCGGCGCTGAAAGAGAATACCGTTTGAGCGTCCCGGATGACGAGGCGTCCATGTCACGGTCGCGAGTGCCCAGGGGCCGCTCCAGGCCTATCTACTTCGACCAAGGTTACGACCGTCCACCCCCGGGTCTTACCAGGGCACAAACTTTCTCTCCTCATGTGCCTACTGATGTCGATCTGCGGAGTCGCAGTCGTGAACGACTGCAGCCGCGTATTGAGATCACCGGAGACTCGGAATCCGAGGACGAACGCCGCCACCACAGAAGTAGCCGACACAAGACTGACTCTCCGGAGCCGATAGCAACTGAATACCGGTCAACTCGATACAAAGTCATTGACGGCCGTACATATCACATTCCGCCCGAAGCTGCGCACGCATCGGCGTACCGCGATGAGTCTCCCCCTTCCTCAAGGGCAGATAGCAAGACTGCTGCCTACTACGAGCGCCCTCCCATGTCATCTAAGGAAGCGAGCTACTCGAGTTCCACGTACTTTCCCAAGGTCAAGACAGCGAGATACAACGATGTGCAGTACAGCGACATCCCGCACCGATACCGTGAGGAGTATGCTGGTTATGCTTAGCGAATATGGTCTACATTTCCATCCACCTAATTATCAGCTATTTTACTTATGTGGTCCAATGTCAATTTCGTTGAAAAGGAAAACAAATCGTTATGTTGGAACATGCTGTATTTATACCTATCCCGCCGTGCTTGGCGCAGCTAGATCTGGATGTCTTGGTTGTTACATGGAGGATGTGGATGCCATGGGGACCCCTTTGAAGTGAATTCAATACACCCGTTGGAAGTACCCTCTTCACCAGCAAACCGTATTGATATAAGATGTGCCAGTACAGAAAAAAAGTACCAGGCAACCTTATTAGGCGACTGACATCAACGCTGCGGTAGAATAGCCGTATCAAAGCAGAGGCATAGCAATTAGTGCACCGAATAATGACACCTGCATTGATCCGGTCCTGACAACAGCTCTGTCCGAAGCTGCCAGTTTGCCGGTAGTCAAGCAGGCGGGCTCTACGGCGCAAGTATAAAAGTCGCCGAAGTCGCTGATGGAAACGGATTTTGCTGATGTTGGCATAAAAGAGCCCTTTCCTGTTCTGGGGCTGGCTCCTGTGTGATAACAGGGCACCCAAGACGGCGGTTGACAACTGTACTGACGGATGATGGGCATCTATCTCGTTTAATGGCTCTTCCAGCCTCATGCTTAATAATAGTACTCAAGCCAATATGTCACACATAGAATCATTGAGCCAATGACCATCTAGGCCATGTAAAACCCATAGTTGATTTATTAAGGACTTTCTCATAAGCGTTTACATCCGATGCAAGAAGATGCGGGCAAACTTATGCATATGTGTTAATCATGTGTCATTTCCATCGTTACCTAAACGCCATTCGTATCGCGCATTAGGGAATATTGTACAAGGTTTCAGAGGATAAAGAGTAAGCGCAGCGGAACCCAAGCCTCAAACCGCCCAGTAAATCTCAACCTTGACGCTCTCGATGTAGTTGGCCCAGCCGCCGAATCTGGCCTTGCCCCATACCGTGACAACGTCACCCAGCTTCAGGCTACGAACAAACTTGCCAGTCCCAGTGCCCCTGCCGCGGCCCATCTCAACCAACCGATCAGCCTCGGGCGAATCAGGATGGATATCATCAGTCCAAGACCAGACGACCTCATGGTCCATAAATTCTCTATGCGCAGTCTTGTTGGTTTGGATCTTGAGGTTTTCGAGTGGGTGCATGTTGTGGTGGTATGCGAGGTGTCCATGGGGTGTTTCTTCGACGGGAGGATATATTGATTGAAGACCACACGTGCAGAAATTCGACTCTGTGTCTTCGGAGGCCTCTGTTTCGAAGTTCTGCGCTGGTGCAGACGTCTTGCAAGAGCCGTCGCCTGTGTTGTTAGCATCTTGGAATTCTTTATGGACTTGATCCTTGCTTACATTTTCGATCCTTGTCGAACTTCTCTAGACCTGCCTCAAACCAAGACCAAGATCCTCGGTAGGATCCTCTATCGCCAACGCCGCCGCCCCAACCCTGATCTTTGCTGCGAATCTTGAAGACGATCTTCCGGACGGGGTGTGTCAGCGTAGGCGGCTGATTCATCGATCCAGCAAAGTATTCTCTCGGAGCCTCGGCCACCTCTGTGGGGCTTGACGTGGGTTCGAGGAGGGTCAAGCTGCGGAGAGGCTCGGTGACGGGGGATCCGTCGCCTGACTTGGGCGGGAGCGGCGCGGTCTTGAAAGCTGGGCCGACTTTCTTGAAGTCGTGGAAGCCAATCGGTGGGCACCGCAGAAGAAGTTTGTTCTCATCTTGTGTAGTACCAACGACACGAAGAGTCGTGGCTGGATGGTAGATGCTGGCTTGCGAGTGCGCCCAATATTCTGCCTCGTCGATGATGATGTCCATGACTTCTGGCGGTAGCTTGGATGCTTTCTCTAGCATCACTCTGACCACAATAACATCGATGGGAGTGGGCTTATAATTGCCTGGTTGTTGTGTCACCTGGTCAGGCGTGTCATCCTGCATATCTGACTGCATGTTGCCAACGACCCTAGCGATGATAGCACCGGCTGCGACGGTTGCAAAAGCTCCGGCGTATCGTTGGAGGGACGAGAAGAACGACATGTGTGCAAAGAAGAAGAAGGTCAATTAACTAAAAAGAGGGGTAAGAGTAGTTGGGATTGACACCGGTTTCGTAGGGATCTCATGTGTAGCTCAATAGGTACGTATGGAGGCGACGTCAGCCCAGGTAGGTATCTGGCTACACTGAGTTCAGTATCGGTGCACGGAGGCCCTGAGCCACCGAGCTGTGGACCTCTAAATTGACGTCAGTGGGGAAAGTGTGATCGCTAGCGGGGAACTTGACGGAAGTCTAGACCGAAACAACGTGACAACGCCCCTCTGCCGTACTGATAGACAGTCTTATCGCTTATCGCCACGTGAAATTACACCATCGGTAGCCACCGACAGCCGACAATGGGCCTTCGCCGCCAGAGCTCCAGCTTACAAACCGGCTGCCGATGGCCTAGATATTCCCGTCGCAGGCTCCCCGAGAAATAATCTTGACCTTTTCATAGCTGCAATCGCCAGATCTCAGCCATGAAGTGTCAAAGATTCGCCTTGGCGGCCCTTCGCCAGGCCCGCGCACCTGTATCGCGCGCCCAAGCTCCCTCCGCACATCGGAGCAACAACAATGTTGCCGCGACACATCTTGGCAGCCGACAATATGCCCGCCAATTCATCTCCAAGCCGGCCCGCAAGGCCTCCGACAGCCCTGGCGATGCTTCAAATCCTGCAATGGCGTTCCCGTGCCTGGACGCCCTGGAGAACCGATCTGCGACTCTCGAAGCGAGATACGAGTCGAGTGGCCCTGAGCCCTCTTACACAGCTGGCGCGACGGAAACATACCACTGCAAAGACCCCCTTTTGCTCGACTGGGGCGGCGTCCTGCCCGAATACGATATCGCATACGAGTCCTGGGGAAAGATGAACGCCGACAAGTCGAATGTTATACTGCTCCACACCGGCCTGTCGGCATCATCACATGCGCATTCGACAGAGAGCAACCCGAAGCCTGGCTGGTGGGAGAAGTTCATTGGTCCGGGGTTGGCCTTGGATACCGACAAATACCATGTTATTTGCACGAACGTCATCGGAGGCTGCTACGGGTCAACAGGGCCGAGCAGCATCGACCCTGCGGATGGCCAACGGTATGCGACCAGGTTTCCAATCCTTACCATGGAAGACATGGTGCGCGCACAATTCCGCCTTCTTGACGGCCTTGGGGTGGATAAGCTATATGCCAGTGTTGGTTCCAGTATGGGTGGCATGCAATCACTGGCTGCTGGCGTTTTGTTCCCCAACCGCGTTGGCAGAATTGCGTCTATCAGCGGTTGTGCCAGGAGTCATCCGTACAGCATTGCGATGCGCCACACGCAACGACAAGTGCTAATGATGGACCCCAACTGGAATCGAGGCTTCTATTACGGCAGAGTGCCGCCACACGCTGGCATGAAACTGGCGCGAGAGATTGCGACGGTTACGTACCGTTCAGGCCCGGAATGGGAGCAGCGTTTCGGTAGACGGAGGGCGGACCCCAGCAAGCCACCAGCGCTTTGCCCCGACTTTTTGATCGAGACTTACCTGGACCACGCAGGCGAGAAGTTTTGTTTGACGTATGATCCCAACAGCCTGCTGTATGTCAGCAAGGCTATGGATTTGTTTGATCTGGGGCGTGAGAACCAGATGGCTGCCAGCGCGAGAAGGGCAGAGCGTGAGAAGCTTCTCCAGTTGGGAGTCACGCCTACACGCAATGATGCAGCCTGTAGTCTCACTCTGCCTGAGAAGCCGTATGAGGAGCAGCCCGAATCCAACGCTGGCGCCTCGGACCAGCCCATCGAGGTTTCCTCTAGACCGCCTGAAGATCTCATCGCAGGTCTGGCATCTCTGAGAGATACCCCAGCGCTCGTTATCGGAGTGGCCAGCGATATCCTCTTTCCTGCGTGGCAGCAGAGGGAAGTCGCGGAGGCTCTGAAGCTTGCGGGCAATAGGAATGTTGCGCACTACGAATTGAGTGAAGAGATGAGTTTCTTTGGCCACGACACGTTTCTGCTGGATTTGAAGAATATCGGTGGAAACCTGAAAAACTTTCTTGGATGAACTGGCAGATTGCCAAAGCTGAACGGTATGGCATTTGTAGCTGTAAAATTGTAGGAGTCGATGGGAAAATGGTTGCGGGATGGTGTGTTCGAATTGCATAGCCACGTATAGCATTTAGGCAGGGAAAAGCATACTCGACGATATTGAATTCAAATTTAAAGGATGAAATCCAACTCATCACATGCAAGCCCTTTTTTTGGTGTTTGTACACTTGCTTACACTTGTTAGAGACGCCAAGCAGGCTGGAAGGTCTGGTCAGTGCCTGGGCGATGCTCCGGTGCTTCGGTGCTTCAGTGACTACTGGAAATGCCCCGCCGAACAACCTAATTGGTCTGACGTCAATTTGGCACTTACATCACCAGTTGTAACATGTGCCGCGAGGTCGACTTCTGGTGCATTTCACAAGAACAGTCATGAGAGCATCCGTGCTCTTCTTCCGTCAGAAAGCTACGAGGTTCACCCAGAGGCCGATCTCATACTGCTTACAGCCGTATGCTAATCAACTCCGCGCTTCGTTTGCCCATCCTTTCTACGCAGCTCGCACAATGTCTACCATCACGTTGAAGGGCTACGGTCTGCAGGTCAAGCTGCCCAATGGTCTGTCGGAAGATCAATTGTTGGCTTTCAAGCCGTTCAACGTACGAAGGCGTCCCCAATTGCGATGCGTCACATACTGACACGGTCAACAGAACTGGGTCAAGGGCCTCACCAAATCACTGAGCCTGCAAGCCAAGAACAAGGATCACCCATTCCACCCGGACCCTTACCAGCTGCGCGCCATCACCGTCCAAGCATTTGACATATTCGGCTCCGGCCGCGTCGGCTTTCTGAAAGCCACGGCTGATGTAAAGAACGGAACCGGGGAGACACTTCCAGCCAGCGTCTTCCTTCGCGGTCCCAGCGTCGGAATGCTTGTCATGCTCATTCCCGACGATACATCGCCCGAGAGCGACGAGCGCTACGTCATCTTGACCGTCCAGCCGCGCGTGCCCGTCGGCAGTCTGTCATTTGTGGAACTGCCCGCAGGCATGGTCGACGACAGCGGCAGCTTCGCCGGCGCGGCGGCAAAGGAGATCAAAGAGGAGCTGGGCCTGGAGATTCACGAGTCAAAGCTCACTTGTCTTAGCGAGCTTGCTGGCGCGGGAAGATCCGCAGGCAACGAAGTCGACGAGGGCCTGGCGGAAGCCATGTATCCCTCGGCAGGCGGGTGTGACGAGTTCGTCACGCTGTATAGTCACGAGAAAAGGATCCCGCGCGGGCAGTTGGAGGAGTGGAGCGGCAAGCTGACGGGGTTGCGGGATCACGGAGAGAAGATCACACTTAAGCTTGTGGCCATGAAGGACCTCTGGCGCGAGGGTGCAAGGGATGCGAAATGTCTCGCCGCACTGGCTCTATGGGAGGGGCTCCAGCGCGAAGGCAAGTTATAAATCGGATGGCACGATGCCGGGAGGTGGGAAGACAGCAAAGCGGCATTATAGCTTAAATTTCTTGGCCAGCTCGATGCCCTCGGCTATGGTCCCCACGCGAGCGTCGATGGCGTAGCCTTCGGCTTCGAGGCGGACACACTCGGCCCAGAAGTTGGTCAGAGGCACTGTAAAGACCTCGATGAATTCTCCCTCCTCCAGCTCGGCCTTGGGGTTCTGGTTCTCAGGTAGAGAGGTATCGATTGTGACGTGGATCATGCGAAGGTTCGTGTTGCAGAAGCCGGGGTCTGAAGGGGGTTCACCGGTTAGCACGAATCTGCACAGAAACAGTCAACACATCGGTTGAACATATGGAAAACTCACCATTGAACATGATGGGCGTCGTCTCTGACGCCTTCCCAATGTATCCGGTCTCCTCCTTGAGCTCACGAACGGCGGCCTCCTCAGCGGTCTCGCCCTCGTCAACCAATCCAGCCGGGACCTCAATGGTGACCTTGTCGATGGGCGGCCGGTACTGCTTCTGCAATATGATCTCGGGCCCTGTGGGTTTCTCGAGGATCGCGACGATGCCGACGCCGTCGATCTCGCCGTTTTTGGGCCGGGTGCGGCGCTCGGCGGATTCCCAGGTACGCGCCTGACCGTTCTGGTCTTTGTAATTGATCTTGACAAGCTTGATCCAGCGGGCCTCGTCCTCAGACTGATTGGGACATGAGTCAGTTTAAGGAAGTCTGGGAGTGGAGGGGAATTACCAGAGGGCTGGTCGCGGTCACTTGGGCAGCCATTGTGTGGTGATGGGGCCCTTGGTGTGTCGAAGGTGAGTTGGCGACGGGACCTTCAGTGGACTGGCGGGGTAGCTCTGTTGCAAGCAAAGGGTATTCATTACGGCAACAATTACCCCGCGGTCCCCGGCTTAGTCATCGGGTAGTTACCTAGGTATAGCACTTGGTGCCGGCCCAGGCTCGCTAGTTATGGCTGGAGGCGTTGGAGTACTCGTCACAATACGTACTGCTTTATCTACCGGTCCAAAAGGCACCACTTCCTCATTACCATCAGATCAAGGACCATGCATCGTCCCCCTCCCTCTCGTCGTATTTTCCCATGTTGAGGACGACCCCGGTCCGAGATGACAGCCGTTTGATATCTCACTGTGAAGAATGCCTGCCGCGTCACCACGTCAGTTCTGCTTAACCTTTGGGGCCGCCGTACCGAATTTTGGCTTGTCCATGGGACCCTTGTTCGGACACAGCGCCGATTCGCGCTGAGAGGGGAAACCGCGGGCATGCGGTCCGAACTTCGGGATGAACCTACTTGTGGTGTTTCTTGCCGAAGAACAGAGTTCTACGATGAATAGTCTGGGATGATAAAGACAGGATGGCGCGACAAGCCGAGTCACCATAAAGACGATGTCAACGACAACGGCATGAGTCGTCATCGCCCACGAATGCTTGCGCGCTTTAGGTTACAAAAATGGCAATAGCGGACGAGGCGCGTACGAATCGCACGCGCTACGGTTAAGATTACCAGTCGCTCGGGATGGGCCAAACTGGCCAGGGATGTCGTTGCGACATTGCGATAAGCTGTGCCGCAAGTTCTTGCGTGTCAGCATTGGGCAAATGTTTGCAGCGTCCAACTAGCGGGCTGACTCGCATTGGCTGCCGTTCCAAGGGTCCGTACAAGGATCTGTCGGTTCGTTCGGTCCATTTGCAGGGCCCTGGATCCTTCGTATCCTAGGAAGACGGTGACTGGTTGGCATTGTCGAATTCCCATTTAACAACCTTCCTCTCTGGGGACAGGCGGCGGGTGCGACGTCTTACCTCGCCTCATCTCCGCGAGGGCGTGCCAGACATTGTGATCTCTCATATCAAACCTGCCCTTTATATCCCTTCAAGCTCGATTCATCGCAACTCTTTTATATTATTGTCACACCTTTCGCTGTCCAGAGGCGCCAGGAACGACCAGATTTCCAAGAATGGCGCCCACGTCTTCTGTTGACCACGATGGCGATGTTGAGGCGAGAAGACCCGAGGAGGAGACGCCGCTGTTGGCCCACGACCTGCCGCAGACCATTGCCCCAACCAGGGCCTATCAAATCAAAGTCATCGGGTTGGCGATGACCTTCATCATTCTTATCGAAATTGGCGTGTATCTTCAGGTTCCGCCTTCCTATCAGCTCATGGAGGAAATCATTTGTCGCAAGCACTACCCCGATCACATCATCTCACAAGACGACGATGACGATCTCTGCAAGGCTGCACTAGTCCAAGGCGAGCTGGCCATGGTCAAGGGCTGGCAAGCCTCATTTGACTGCATAGCACGCAAGTCTTGTCAACCAGTTCTGCTGGTAACACTAGGCTAATTTCGAATACAGCACTGCTCACGGCTATCCCCTACGGCGTTATTGCGGATAAGTACGGCCGCCGGCCAGTCCTATCACTAGCGATGCTAGGCATTACGTTGGAGTTCCTGTGGATGGTGCAACCGCGTGAGTTTTGATCGCCAACTGGTTTGCAGCCTTGCTAATTGATGCAAGTCCTGTGGCCCGACGTCTTCCCCCTTTGGACGGTATGGTTCGGTGCCGTATTCCAGTTCATCGGTGGAGGTGCAGGAATGATTCAAGCCATGACCTGGACAATGATATCTGACGTGATTCCCATCTCTAACCTGTAAGGTCAAGGTGAACTCCCGTCGTGATGGCTACATGACTTACGCTGCGTAGGACCGCGGTTTATTACAAGATCGGAGCAGTCGCGCTAGGGGGAGAACTCATTGTCGCCCCCCTCAGTGCCTATTTGCTAAACAAGAACCCCTGGCTACCTCTCACAGTCGGCATGATTCTTCTGATTGTTGGAACATGTCTTCCACCTTTCCTCCCCGAGACGCTTGACCTGCGCCGGGCTGCCGATGAAGAGGTGGAACAAACGCTCCACCGGGCCGAGCACGGCGCAAAAGTCAATCGTACGCTGAAGGAGCAAATTGTCTTCGCGGTTAAGAACGATATGGGCCACGTATATAACTTCCTCATCAAGTCCCGGCGGGTAATCGGCTTAGTGGCTGGGTTCAATCTGACGGTTGTCGTCAAGTATGTCAAGGCGGACATCATGGCGCAGTACGTCCATAATCTGTTTGGTTGGTCTTGGGCAAAGGTGAGTAAACACTCTCTTCAAACACCTGACGTTGTATGGGCCGCAGGACTCACGCTAATAATGCGCTACAGGCCACCCTTATTGGTACCGTATCGACCATCACCAATATAGTCATGCTGCTTGTCATCCTTCCGACGTTGGGCTGGTACATCACGAAACGCACGGGCGTGCACCCCCTAGTCCGAGACATATGGCTCGTCCGATTGACCGGTATTCTCCTGTCTCTTGGTTGCTTCATGGTTGCAATTGCGTTTGTTCCCTGGTTTCTGATCGCCGGTATGTACATATTCACTTGCGTCCACTGGCGGTTGCCCTACTGGCAACCTCATTGCTTGGATGAAACCTGTCAACTGACACAAGTCCAGCCCTCATCATCTTCTCACTTGGCACCGCTTACACAAATATTTGCCGGGCGGTGCTCAACGCCGTTGTGGAGCCACACACGATCGGTACGCTCAACACGACCATCAGCTGGGTGGAGCAGATGAGTCTGCTCATTTCAGCGCCCATCATCTCGGGCTTGCTGAAAGCCGGAAACGCGGCAGGCGGTATGTGGATTGGGTTGCCGTATATGGCAGCGACCGTGATGGCGGTCGGCGGCACTATCATTGTCTTTTTGTATCGTTTGCCTGGTGAGAAGCTCACCTAAATACCCGGCTGTTACTTGGAGGGAAATACGACCTCTTTTATGCCGCAGCTGGTAATTCGCAATATAGGTGCATAGCATCTGGATTTTCAAATAACCCAGCTCCCATTACAATAGTTGCAGAGCCCTGTCCTGCAATATCGTTGGTCCAGGGCAAGAGCAGAGGCACGTTAAGTTCGATGTAGGCGGTGGTGAAGCTGCTAACAAGTCGTCTTGACAAGCGAGCTGGTGGGTTGACAGCACCATCACGTAACTGCATGCAGAACTCTTTGTGGTCATTAGCTCAGACTTCACTTCGTGCTGCAAGCAGCAAGGCCAACCTGAGTATCATACGTAAATGGTCACACAGCCAAGTAGTGAGAAAGGACCCTCAGAGGCTACATATATCTCGGCCAGCTTTCACCGTACAGGTGCCATCTACCTGAGTCTTAATTCTCAAGTCGCCGACTGAGTGCTTAGAACGAGCGAACTGTTTGGCCACTGACTCCGGCTACGGTTTAGCGCCTGTTCTCTCCTTTTACTATTTCTACAATGCTACGCTTCGTCTCACCTCTCGAGTCCGAGTCCATTCCGTCGCAATCTCCGATTGTCGGTCTTTCAGTTGTGACGCCTTGATGATGGCAATCGTGGGTCTGTCGTTGAAAAGGGACGAGTTGTCCAATAAAGAGTTGCTGACTCGAAATCCAGTTCATGGACCCCAGCGCACGAAAAGCTCTGGCTAATTATTCCCGGCGTTGGTCCGCCACCGCCCTGCTTCAACCTCAGCGCTCTGGGCAGATAAAGGCGGCGATAAGAGCTCCCAAATGCGCTGACGGATGGCGGGGGTGGGGTCACACAGCATGATGTAACACTGTGGCGGACCACCGACTTTTTTTATGAGTTGCCGGCAAGACTCGAGGCAGACAGACAGCTGCCTCCAAATCCAACACCACCACCTACAATCCATTTCCACTGTCGTTGTGCCTCAAATCTAACCCTCCCACCTGTAGGCGCCAATACTCACAGACGTACTTCACGCACCACGTGCTTCGGGAACATATCCCCCTTTTGTCCCTCTCGAGACCAGAGACCAGCAACCACTGGCGCATCAAGACTTTTCCCTCTTCCCCATCACGCCAACCCCGCCAATTTGCCCATCATAGGCCGCCGACGCCGCGACAAACACCCCAAGGGCCGGCCCAACTCAAACCGCCCGCGCAAAAAGATGGGTAACGAAGAGTCCACCATGCTGGACGACAGTATCCAGCCCAAGACGCTGCATGCGCGCACACTCGAAGCCGTCGCCGACTACATCAAGTCGGGCGAGGTCAAGAAGATTGCCGTCATGACCGGTGCCGGCATTTCTACCGCCGCAGGCAGTATGTCCACCTTCTCCTCCCTTTAACCCCTACCCCCATAAGATGGACCATGTCTGACAGCATCCAGTCCCCGACTTCAGATCCCCCGGCACAGGTCTCTATGCCAACCTTGCCCGCCTGAACCTCCCCTACGCTGAGGCCGTCTTCGACATCTCCTACTTCCGCAAGCACCCCGAACCCTTCTATTACCTCGCCAAGGAGCTCTACCCGGGCAAATTCTACCCTACCGTCTCCCACGCCTTCATTGCGCTGCTGGCCAAGAAGGGCCTGCTGCAGATGAACTTCACGCAGAACATCGACTGCCTTGAGAGGCGCGCTGGCGTCCCCGACGACAAGATCATCGAGGCCCATGGCAGTTTTGCCACCCAGCGTTGCATCGAGTGCGGCACAACGTTCCCAGCCGAGCTCATGCAGAAGCACGTCCAGGACGAGGTCGTCCCCAAGTGCGGCACTTGCGGCGGGCTCGTGAAGCCGGACATTGTCTTCTTCGGGGAGGCTCTACCAGAGTCATTCCGTAACAACACCCATCTACCCGCCATGGCTGATCTCATCATTGTTCTTGGCACCAGTCTCTCGGTCTACCCCTTTGCTGGTCTGGCCGAGGCCTCGCGGTCTGGAATCCCTCGTTTGTTGCTAAACAGGGAGCGCGTCGGGCAGATGGGTCGGAGAGCTGACGACGTCGTAGAGTTGGGCACCTGTGATGCTGGAGTACGAAGGCTCGCCACACTTCTCGGCTGGGGTGACGAACTGGAGGACCTTTGGCGTGGCATAGTTGGCGAGAAGGAGGCTGAGAGGCAACTCGCGTCGGCCGCGGACGAGGGCGAGGATGATCTTGAGGAGGAGATCCGGAAGGTCACCGAGGGTGTCGATGCCGCGCTGAAGCTGGACGACGACAAAGAGCCCGCCAAATCCACCGAGAAGCCTTTGGAAGACTCAGAAGAAGTGGGATTCTCGCTAAGACCGGACGGCGAAAGTGACACTGAGGATGCGCGGAAGAACATACCCAAGGGTGTTGTCTCCAGGATGTCCAAGGCCCTTCAGGGCGAAGCAGAGATTGGCATAGACATCAAGGACGACCGGGGCCGCGAGGGAAGGACCGTCAATGGCTCCGAGGGCGCGCCCAAGGACGCTCAGGATTTCCGCATCGAGGCCAAGAGAAAGATCCAGCTCGCTATTCAAGGAATGGCCACTCCTCTTGATGAGGTCGCCATCGTCTTCGACTCCCAGGCGCCCGTTGCCGAGATCAAGGATGAGGACCCCAAGACCCAGGATCAGCTCACAGGACTCTCACGGTATGAGCAGGTGCCTGCTCCGGGTACCGATGTCGATGCCGAGGGGTACGTTCCTCCTTCGAAGGGGGCGAACAGCACTGAATCCCAGTCAACCTCGACGGCTTCAACGACACCTGCGCAAACAACAACGGACAAAAAGGAGGAACTTTCGTCATCGAAGGCGACAGACGACAAGTCGCCATCTGACGGGGCCAAATTATGATCACGCGTCGCCAGCTTCCAGCTTCTCAACTTCGACTCAGACCCCTAGACTCACCTCCATGTTCTATGACAGTAGTCAGTCTTCCTTCCTTCACCTATACCCACGATGCATTAGCTACACCATGTCATATATATCATTCATTGCATCTATCACGATGAGGTTTTACACACATATCCCATGCCCGTTTGGACCTCTTTCTGTGCATCTCTTTAGGCCTCCATGTGTCCCGGGGGGTCCCAAAGCGATGAAATGAAACCTACAGATCGGGTTTCAACTCTGAAAATCTATTGTCTTGGCTTTTTGAATACGCGGTACGTGATGTAACAATGCCAGAAAACTCCATGGCCGCTCTCTCGCAGTTGTGGCGCTTTACCAAACCGTCCCACTGGCCGTCACGCATACCGTGCTGAACCCAATAACAAAGTACCAATGCTCGGTCATAATCTCCTATGTCGGCAACGGGGTTTCCGGACTGGTCAGAGATGTCCTAGACTGCTCTTAGATAACGAGCCAATTTGTGAAGGTCTCCTGAAGGCGTTCGTCTTTCGTCACCAGAGCAGCTATCCTTCAAGAACTCGTCAAGAAGAAGTAGCTGGTGGAGTTGTGGAATTAACACTGCCACGAGAAAACATTTTCCTGGGATTACCAAAGCTACAGACGGTTTGCAAAATTTCCAAGGTGCCAATTAGAGTGGTGAGTTATATGACGTTCTTTCGAGGATAAAAAACCAATCGTCTTTGAATCTTGAGCCATTCCAGATAGTCAACATCCTACAGGCTAGTCTTGATGTCCGACAGATTTGCCAACAATCACATCCCGCTTGATCTTTGGGCCGACAAAAACAGGACCACTAATGTGACTCGGACTTGGCCTCAAGGGGCTTCTGTCCATACACAACGTAACTGCGCAATCAACCAGTAGCTAGCTGCAAGTCAAAATTCCATGAGGCATGGAGGGAGGGAGAGTACTCACATGTCAAACATCGCATGAAACGTGCTGTTCTTAAGCTCATTACGAACCAACGCAAGCTCGACCAGGATCTCCTCTTGTGATCGCCCAAGGAGCTCGGAAAACAGCTTCAGAGACAGGGCCTCCAGGCCGTCAACCATTAGGATCAGATTAATCATGCCCACGTCCCTATGGTGTTATTCCTTGGCCCACGGCCCCAGCGGCGCCTTGATGCGCCGCGCGTACGTGTTCTCAAACCCGGCGTCCTCCACCATGGCCCCAAGCCTCGGCGCCACGCTCGTGTCGCGGCCCATGGCCAGACAGGCCTTTGAGAAACCATCTATCCACTTCGCTGTGGCGTGCTCGTCCGTGAAGGTCCCGTCGTCTGAGTAAAATTTTGTGTTGACGTCTTGGAACTCTACCCAACCTCCGGGGTTCAGGTGGCTTTTACTCCCCCAAAGTCCTTTGGTCAACGCTGTTTACTAAAATCTTCCGTGTTGTTGAGGCGGATCCTCACTCATAGATGTTCTTGATGAGCCCGGGCCAATCCTTGATGAAGGCAACCATATATCTGCACATGATGAAATCGTACTTCCTGCCGTCGACCCAGGGGCTTTCTACGTCATCTATCTCGAACTTGACGTTGGGGGGGACCCTGCAGAAACTTATCAGTAGCCGCTTCTGCTGCGCGGAGCCTCAAGATTAGGCATGGAACGTTACCATTCTGGCTGAATGGCGCTAAAGTCGATGCCAATGACCTATAAGCGCAACGTTCTTTAGAAACCACAAGCATTCTGAGGAGAGATCAACGGCACAGAGCTCAAATTTGGGAACCTTACCTCCGCGTTCTCGAAAATGTCTCCCATCTCCACAGCCCCTACAACACAAATCCAGTGAGCATAGCTGCCAATGGGCGACAAGGCGGGGGCCAGCCCATACATATCCCGGTGCCTGTTCCAATGTCGAGGATGCTCTGGACCTTCTCCCTATCAATGGGGGCGTGGTAAAGTCTGTTGCCGACTGCCTTGACCATCATGTCGCAGCGTCGGGAGCTGCGTTGGAGGCGGGACTAGGCAATGTGGACTGGGTTGCAGACGAGTCGGCCATCGTCGCTGAGATACCGTGGGTTTGCGTGGTGGAGTATGAATGCAGGTTGTTTTCCGTCTATGATGAGCTGATCTACAGACTCAATCTGTTCGTGCAAGGAGGGGCATTCATGGATTCAATGAGCCTGACGTCCCAAGCGGGTTGTGAGAGGGTTTGGTGCTCGAGCCAAGGTAGTATTGTTCTCACTCTGTGTGGATAGGGCACCGCCGTTGGGCTTCCCGTCGTTGGTGCAAGCTCAGATCAGTGCAGGATTCAACAGCAATCTGAAAGCTCCAACATGCTCGTGTTCCATGTCCAAAGGTCCAGCAATTCTCTAGGATCCAATAGGGTTTGTTCGCTTCTCATTATGCATGCGCGGCCCAGCAAGGCCAACAGCGGCCACATCAAATGAGCAGTTGGGTTGGGTCATTGTATCTGAGCTGCACTTTACGTTACAGCCAAGTGATTGGGCATCCTGACCAACGGCTAATACACCCCAGGGCTCTGGTATTTATCCTTGTAACGATCACTCTGGGTAATCATTCCTCCTCGGTTGGATTGGGTCTTGAAATTTTGCACAGAGCTTGGTGTCTGTGATTCAAAATCTCTTCAGGATACAAAAGGGACGTGACTAAACTTGGTTGACCCTGGAGTTGGCACTGACTCTTTTGAATGCGCCTTTGGCACAGAAGCTCGCAGCAACGTTACAGTAGGCCAACAAGCGCCAGCTGGTCTTGCATGTCTATTTGAGGGATATGTTTTTGTTCTAAAAAGGGAAATTGTCAGATAGTACAGCAATGAACCAATAGTTATCGGCCTACTACTTACTTAGTAGCATCAATGACTGTTTACATGTATGTAATGTTTGCCCAAACTCAGCAGGCAAAACAGGCAAACGGTTCTGAATCTATTGGTCTAATGACGATGCGAGACGCGTCAACTGGGGTTTCGTTTTCAGACCAGACTGAAAAACTCATCTGAGAATGGCTGCTTGTTCCACCTCAAACCTCCTCGGGTGAGAGTCGACTTATTGTTGCTTATTCGCATTGCAGTAGAACTATTTTGCTAGTCAAGCTACAGCTGGGGTGCCGTATTCGAGTCCTAAAAGAAACCAAAATCTAGACCGCTGCGGCACCACACAGTTTTCGCAGAATTTTACTAGAATGATATACAAGTTGGTGCTACTGGAATAGGGCATTGAGCTGTGCGGCAGTAACAGTGACAGCTCGAGCAATAACCTTTACACTATCTGAATCAAAGTTCATATCCACACGGTCAGCTTGGGGGCAAAGCGGAACTATATACCGTGCGACCCAATTGACAACCAGTGTGTGCTACACAGAAACGTATATGCAGACTGCAGCATCAAAATTCAACGGGATGAGACCGTTACTTCCTGAATAGTCGACAACTACCCTTGCCACTGGACATTGGTCAGTACCCAAAGAATAAAATCCCATCAAGACGTAATTCTTTACCAAGACGAGAAACGAAACTATGACGCTATAAACTTCTACTATTGTGAGTCAGATCTTGGAAGATTCCGCATGCAATGGCGGGCTTTGACTGACCCCGAGTTTTGAATACCAGACACCACCATGGCTGAGGATTTCTGGGGATCTTATACCGTTCCGCAGGACAAGATAATTCGTAGATTGGATAAGGTAAACTTGCATGAGGATAGTTGCAGCATCAGTGCTGACAGCCTACCCAGTAGTCCACCTGAACGAGTTGGCCTTGGCTACGCCAGGATTCGTAAGGCAGGCTAGTTCGGTCTCCTGTACGTCTTCCCAAGATTATACTTGTGGGGTATGGGCGACGTTTCGATGACAAGCGCATCACTCAGGTCATTACGACTGGGTGTTCCATTGACAAGGAATCTTGCCTTGATGCCTCCGGTTTGGATCCTATCCATAACTACATGGGTTATTTCGGTGATTCTTTCTGAGCTTGTAGTCATTCTTGAGGTTTGACTTAGCTATTGGAACGGGGTAGGATTTCCTGCTCCCATCGAGGTGGTCTTTGCGTTTGGTTTCTTTGATTTCTTAGCTAAGCAGGGTCTGATCAGGGGTATAAACACCTCTATGACAAGGAGAGGCATGGATTAGACACTAACAATCAACACACACTCATCAGACTTTTCTGCGCCCAAGGGAGCACCCTCTCTGTCTTTCGTGATGGCCAACACCCTGCTTATGCCTACACAAGAACTTTAGGAGTCTCTACTATATCCATCGCGTTGCGGCTAAGTCTGATCAGGACAGCCGATTTGCGACTGGTTAAAGGCATCTTGCGTGGCTATAGGGGAAGGTTGTGGTTGTTCACCGCACCGCACCGCTCTCTATAGACCTGATCACCCTGCACGCTTCACTATTGATAAAGTCATTTTTACAGCCTCAGTGAGTTCACAGAGGGACAGATGTCTGCATGCATAGTATGCGGAAAACACCGCGACTTGCTGCAACGGAAGCCTATTGTCTGGTATAGCTACAGCCATACCCAAAAGCATCTTTCAACTCCCGCTGGCCTGCGAAAGCCACGAAAATGTCAGCAACAGGCTTGGTGTCGGTCCATAGAAGATAGCTCTGCTTCAGGTCGGACCCAGTATCTAGGTTGACCCGGAAGCTTGATCAAGACTAGTCAATGTGTCTTTATACTTCTACGGTTTCGAGATTCTTGATTTCTAAGACTAATTCTTCTATTTCTGCATTGAAGATTGAACTAAAGCATTAGAAATCTTGGAATTGCAGCGCGAATAACCAGCTCGAAAACATTTGATGAACTGTGGACCAGTGCCAACGTCACCTTAGGTAAGGTAATGGACAATCCTACCTCCGATATTTCGAAACCTTCTCCATGATTCGCGGCAGCAATGAATCTCCAAGCAGATTCTGCTGCTGAAGTACTCTCGCCAGTAGAAAGGCCGTAAGGGCAGCAACAGGCAATGCGGCAACAACACTAGCTTTGCTCAGCGTGGAATTCTTGTCTTCGACGCTCTTTTCGTCACTGTAAGGCCAGTCATGAACTGGAGTGGGAGAGCTAAAGCCCTTCAAGCTTAGGCCACCGGAAATTAGGCCGCTGTAGAAGTTGAACCACCGAGACATCGGCATGAGAGGCGAGATGTACTTGTTTACCAAGCGGCCCTTCCAAGTGTCCCAAGCTGACGCACGCATAGCTTCCTGGCACTTCTCAACCATGTCTACGAGGCGATCAACGCGCTGGTCCTCGACGGCAACAAAAGCCTTGGTCACCTCGGTCAGCTTCCAAGACCCACTGCTGGGAAGGTTCTGCTCCTGCAGGGCGTTGATAAGTGCAGCACACGACTCAATGCAGCTGTTGCCTCCCTGTCCGACGAGAGGATTGAACTTGTGCGCAGCGTCCCCGATGATGATGATCCGTCCATAATGCCACCTTCGCATCACAAAGTGCGGCAGGGCAGTGACGCCGCTGTGCTCCAGACTATCAACAATCTTGCTGAAGCGCAGGCCGTTGTCAGCGACGAGGGCGTCTGCACTGCGCTTGAATTGGCGTTGCTTGTCTTCTTCGTCAAATCGCGGAATACTGTTGATGGAACATGACCGCTGAGACTTCGGCAATGTCCAGAACCAGAAAACGAAGACCTCTCCTCCAGGTCCACCCATGCAGCCGGCTAGGGTACCGTCACCGCTCGCGCCGATGACCTCGCCGGCTGTAATACCCGACGTTGGCTTGGCCGTGCCAAAGATGCAGGCGTGCTCGCAGGGGACGGTGCCTCTGTCGCGCGCAGGGACGGCGGCCGAATCGTTGTTGTCGTCCGCATTCCTCCACATCTCCTGCCTAATTGTGCTGCGCACACCATCTGCACCCACGACAATCTGGCCTTCGAAGACCAAGCCGTCAGCGATGTGCACCAGAGCACTGTCCTCCAGGCTCTCCACTCGCCTCACCTTCTTGTTGACGAAGATCCGCTTCTTCTCCTTCAAGTGATCATACAACACGTTGAGCAGCTGATAGCGCTCCATGAATATGCTTGGATACCCATGACGTTGGATGAAGAGGTCTCCTGTCCTGCGGGTCGTGATGCGTTTTCCAGAGGCGCTGTTTCGGAAGACCATCTCCTCTACCTGTTGTGCTTTGGACAGAATGTCTTCGTAGCAGCCCAGCTGATCAAGAATCCGCAAGCCGTTGGGAAAAAGACCGATGCTGGCTCCGACATTCGGGGTTACTGTGCCGTATGCTTCGAGAAGTACATAGTTGATGCCTAGGTTCTGCAGCATCAAAGCCAAGGTAAGGCCTGTGATTCCACCACCGACAATGATGACCTGACGCTTTGCTTCTTGGGTGTCCATGGCGTGTGAATACTGCCGAGTGATGGAAGCTGAAGATAACAATAGCCTGTGAGACCGGAAGCAATGTCGATAAGGTGATCCTACCGAGAAAGAGGCATTGGACGTTGCAAAGCCACCTTTATATCAGCCAGCTGAAAACCAATTCCATTCGATACGCCAAGTTATGTCGGCACGGAATGAAAACAAATGGCGAAGTCCGCAGAATTTGATGTTAAGTTTGGGAAAGGAGATCGTTAAGCGGAGTTTCGAGGACTCCGAATGCGACTCCTCCTTGGCAGTTTGCGGGAGGTTGCAGTTTCAATGAACAAACACGATGCGTAGCTAAAGACCCACCGCGCAGTTTGTCGAGGGGAATCCCCACATTGGCTTTTAATTTCGCCACTGGTCGATCCCCAGACATTATGTTTAATCGGTGTGCGGATGCCAGTGACACCAACTGTGACCGTTTTGCTGGGCTCTCACGATATGCCGGCATGGTGGTTCTTTTTCCAACAACAAACTTTCGACCAGCAGACTGAACTTGAAGAGCTCATATGAACCGGAGCTCTACTATCAATCAATGATGTGACGAACCTTCTCCATCCGGCCTTTGACATCTGCCAGCTGGTGATTTGGGTGGGTTGTTCCCGCAATGTTTGGGTTATGTCCGTCCCATGTAGAATGTGACCTTGCGTTGTGCTTTTAGTTTGCTTCTTTGCATGCATGAATCCTTGGCCAAGCGCTGCCGCTATCGAACTCAAGTTTGAGCCCGGAAACTTCAGATTCTGTCCGGGTACTGGCTCATTCCCATTTCAAATTTTCGCAAGAGCCAATGCTCACAGTTGACACTTTCTTCATTACACAACTACATCTTACGTCGAGTTCGCACTAGAACATGGAAGATTATTTCCAATACGGTTGCTAAGCAAACCACAACCCCGACTGCAAGCTTCTTTGCAGTACTTTTACCATCATCATTACGGATATCTAATGGGCAATCAATTGGCGGATCAAAGGCATCACATGCCCGAGCAGTCACAGACACGAGGATGCTTGACTCCTCGGCCAAGCTGAACTTAAACCCACAAGGACCCGGCGTGGCCGTTGAGAATGCCACCACCGCACATGTCTTACCGCCTTTCCACGTTCCAATGTCGGTGGCTTTGAGGGTATCAGTCACGCTGATAGTCAGCCCCGTGTCCTTTGAAAAGTCCTTCTCGTTTGTTGCAGCAACTAGGTTTACCTTTCGTCCGGAGCTCTTGGTCGTGAAGATGACGGATTTATGCGATTTGTTACTGATCAAGGGGTACGGATAGTCCAGGGAGTCCTCAGTGCAGCTGGACCAGGTCACGGTATATCTGATTTCCCATGTACCCTCGGTGTTGAAGCGTGTGAAGCCGCGGTAAGCTTAAGACGTGCATGCTGACGCACTACCGAAAGTGGTGAAGTTCGGTGGAAATCAGCAGGTGGTATTGATGCCTTGGAGGCGGTTTAGTCGAAGAAGGGATGGGCTAAAAATAGACAACAGAGTCGTCGTGATGGAGAAGAAAGGCACAGAGGTCAAAAGGTTGGAAGTTTCATATTCAAAAGTTACTCGCCGCCCCCACGACCCGGAGAATTTCCGTTGTCTTGCTGGTTCAGGCGGCACCTCCGATGACTTGATCCTGCGCGTGACGGGATGGATGATCCAAACAAAGGCATGGGTGCTGATTCGCCGACTTAGCATCAATGAAGCCCTCGCAAAAAGACGGAACCAACAGGACTCAGAAGTGTTGCTACATATCCTTGCGGCGGGTGCCTCTATATATCGATCCTTCTTGACGGCCTTGCCAATGAACGGGGGCAGAATTAAGCACAATTCAAGCTTGCGGCTCTTAGCGCCAAGTTGGTCTCTGATCTTACGGGGGCAAGCAGGTGGCAAAAAAAGTGATACACAGAACCAGACTCCCCCGCCCATGGCCTTCACAACAGCACCAGCGACGTCTTCAATATTCAGAATTTTTCTGATTGAAGAAGACATTCATACATAATAACACTCGATCTAAGTTTTCCCGAGATTTGGAAAGAAGAAGTCGGGTATCCGTGGAGGTATTCCTAGGTGAATTATGAGACTAGTAGCAATTGGGGTGTTGTGTGTATCACTTTTTTTGTCACCAGCTTGGGGGTGTCTCGACAACTGTGGACCGTTTTTTTTACGCCAATCAACGCCTAGATTCACATTCAACTCCATCGGCGGATTTTGACTGGGTTGAAGCACTAGGCCGACCATGGACGCATGTCGGTGTCAGTCGGGCCACGATTGTGATGCTTTCAATGCCCAAGCTGACTTAGTTCCTACAATATGGGATGTTGTAATGACGAGCAATTGTAAGTGCGCCTTATGGGGGTTTTTAAGAAAATCAGTTATTATTAGCTGGTAACTCAACATGGAGTGGTATAAACCTGGCATACTAGTTTCTAAAGCTCAATGAATAGATAGGTACTGGATCGTCTATTTCAATTCTTAAACCACGCATGCTCTAGCAGTTCTGCGGCGGTAGGCCGTTTTTCGGGGTCATAGTGAAATATGGACCTCAGCAATGATATGATGATTTCTCCCTCGGTCTTATCGACGTCCGAAGGCTTGTTATCGCTGATCAGTTTTTCGAGGGAATCAAACCGTCGCGGTGGTTTTCGCTCTTGAACGTCAAAATCGAAGACTGTATCCTCGTCAAAGTCATGCATATCCTCCGCATCTTCTTGGTCGTCAAACTCTTCAACAGAATCATCTTCATCAAAATCCCGAGGCCTCGCATCCAAACGCTCTCCCTCGGACCCATAATATTTTGATGAGAAAGGCCATTTGGACATCAGGTTCTCGGGTAATGGTTGAATGATATCAGTCAGCTGAATCAAATGCTCATCCATCAGAGCCTCGTCGCTCAAACCGAATTGGGGCAACTGGGAAAGGGGTGTGCCAGTGATAAACTCGAACAGAAGACAGCCAAAGCTCCATATGTCAACACCAATACCGAAAGTCTCATCTAGTATCAACTCGGGAGCGCGTAATGACATAGGTGTAACGACCCTCGTGGGAGGATCATCGACGAAGAATGCTTTTGGAATCTAAGCAAAGTAAACTGTGATAGGGACGTGAACGCACAGAATGCTTACCTCCACCTAGATCAGAGAGCTTTATGACATCATCCGGGTCCGGTACAATGTATTCTGACAAAGACTGGGATACTACCAGATAATTGGGGGCCCACGTATCGACTTTGCCGTCGATACGACGCAAACAATCAATCCTGGAGGTACTTTCGTCTTGCTTCAGCTGCTCAAGCCCAATAGCTGAAAGATCTTGTAGAGCGAAAAGTATATTGCCAGACTGAAGGTCGCCATGCACCAATCCATTGCCATGAAGAAAGTGAAGCGCTGAAAGTACGTTGCGGAGGATGCGTTTAGATTTTTCTTTCGCGAACCGTTGAACAGGGGGATTCAATGGATCGTAAATCTCGTGAGGAGCGTTTAGAATAGATGAGACGCTTGGCCCCATTGGCTCAAGAACTAGACACAAGTGTCTGCCGTTGGGGCCATCATGGTGAAATGAGTCGACAGCATTGACGACATATTTCGAAAATGAATCGCCAATCGCTTTTGTGGCTAGAAACCGGTGAATGGGCAATTCCTTTGGGTTCTTGCCGTTTGGCAACCTCAATCTTCAGGGCAACATATCGGGAAGACCTTTGTACAGTTTATGAGCTATGCTGAATTCGCATATATGGGGGATGGGCTTCATTGTGGGTTTGTTACTCACAAAGAATCTACCGCGAGCCAGGCGGTGCCAAATGACCCGTTTCCAAGCTTTCGGATGACTTCGTAGCGGTCCGCAAACACATCACCGAAGTGCACAGGGTGAAACCCGCCGGGATGGTAAGACTCGGCCCATTCGCAGGGTGTTCCGGTCTCGTGGAATCTGAAGTGCTTCTCGGCAGTGGGATCCTGTGGGGGAGGTGTTGGTAGCGGTGAAGCCATGACGAAGGTTGGTGATATGCAGCGGGGCTGAAGTATCGTTGGCGGCGAGTGTCGCTAGAAGATGGAAGAACGAAGGTCGCGAAACCGAGCGATTATCTTCTTAGGCTTTATGGATCTCGGATGGAGAACGGTTCTAGCGCCACTCTTGTCAGGACGTTTATCGTTGGATTGGTCAAAGTGGAAGTGGAAAAGGGAGGCGTAAGTTGAACGGCTTGGTGCCGCGCGGTTATACTCATAGTCTCTTCAATTGGTTCGCTAAAAATGGATATCCCCAGCAACGAGACACGTATTTTGAATTTGATACCTTTCTGTGTCTTCAAGACAAAGAGAAATTTTCCAGTTTAGAGGCCAATCGAAGTTACAAAAAGCCTTTCAAGCTCTTTGCAATTCCATCTGCATCTTCAAAAACGTGCCAATGACCTACGTTGTGCAGCACTGTACATCTTGAGCTATTGATTCGAGAAGCATAATCCTCAATCGATTTGGCCGGCGAGACAGGATCGCAATCCCCAGTGACAATCGCTGTATCTGCGTTAAGGTTTTCCAAAGCTAGAGATTCCGCGAACTGAGCAACCGCGGTGCATGCCTTTGCATACCCCTCAGGATCCTGCCCAAAGAGGCTTAACCGTGTGGCAGTCACCGCGAGAGGATTGGTTCTCTGGCTGTGTTGTGAAAGTTGGCTGAAGACGATATCGTCTGCGATCCCGCCCATGCCATGGCTTCTCACTCGATCTGCTTCATTCACCCAAGTCTCCGCCAAGCTCTTCGGAATAGGTGACGGCGGCGGACCGAGCAATACCAGCTTTTTGACCAACCCCGGATGTGCGAGTGCGAATTTGATGGCCACCAGGCAACCCATGGAATGAGCTATTAAAGTCGCCGGGGATCGGTTCGATGCTTCCGCCAAATCGAAAACATCCATAAGCCTTTCAGCCAGTGTGTCTATGGTAATTTTTCGAAGAGGATGTGTTGGGGTTAGGCCGTGACCCTCGAGATCGTAAACATGTGCAGAGACTGAGTCAGCAAGTGAGAGCGTCGAGATCAGTGGAAGCCAATAATCTTTGGTACCGCCAAGGCCATGGACAAAGATCAAGGCCTCCTTTCCTGCACCTATACGCTGGTACCCTATTCCATCGTGCTTTGAGGTCAAGCCAAATTGGCCATAGTTTGACTTTTCCCCATTCGTCAGTCTGAAGTTCGACAGAGATTCAGGTCGGATATACGACTTTGTGTCATTCTCCTGCGAACGTCTGACGACCTTGTTCACCAGAGTCCCAAGCCCAGTCACTGAAATTGCGACCTCATCTCCGGGTTTTAGGAATACCGGAGGATTCCGACCGATACCAACACCTGCGGGCTTTACTAAGACTCAGTATTGTTCCTGCACGGTTCAGAAGGGGGTTGGAAGCTTACTGTGCCAGTTGCAATGATATCGCCCGGTTGCAAGGTTTGTCCAGCTGACAGTGTGCTGACAAGACAAGGGATGGAAAATATCAGATCCCGGACTGTAGCCTCCTGGCGCAACTCGCCGTTGACTCTGGTCTGTAATCGCAAAGATTGACCTTCATCTGCCAAATGCTCCTTTTCTACAGCGATTGGACCCTAGGCAACTGTTGTCAGCCTTGCATCATAAGCTCTCATATCCAATTCTGATACGTACCATTGGGCAGAAAGTATCTGGCGATTTGCCGATGTAGAATTGCTTGTGATCGCGCTGTCTTTCTCTGGCTGTCACGTCGTTGATGATTGTGTAACCCCAAACGTAATCCCAGGCATGTTTTTCACTGATCTGGTAACCAGCTTTTCCGATGATGACGCCGATCTCCCCCTCGTAATCTGCGCTTTTGGTGAAATCATTGTGCAAACAAATATCGTCTCCGTGAGCAATGATAGAAGTCGCGCGCTTGGTGAAAATCACAGGGTGACTGGGCCGGTCAACTTTATCAGAACTGTCATAGCCTGAACTGTTGAACTCTTTGGCATGCTCCATGTAGTTTTTACCAACGGCGAGAACATCCCGGCCTGATATCGGTGGTAGCAGCTTGACATCTTTTACAGGAATGACTGGCCCGGCAGCGAAACATCTACCAGAGCCTGCCTCGATGACCTGATAGAGATTTTCCACGGCGGTTCCAGAGTCGAAACTGAGAGGTTGGATAGTCTGCTTTTCCAGGTCCAAATGCCCAATGCGGGGAACCCAGACGCCTCTCTGAAGATAGGCAACAAAGTTGGTTAATCCCTCAAGATAGCTCGTCATATTGATATTTTTGCGAATCCCGCGCTGATAATCTTCGTTTGACCCTGATGAAGCACTGCAACTCGAGGTTGATGGTATTGCTAGGACGAAAACTTAGCCGATGATACCATTTCCCGCGAATACCGTCTTATCTCGCGACCCACTTGTCACCAAAAGAGAACTCCACTCTTGAGGGGTTGTCAGTCGGCACATGTATCAGTATAGACTGTGACAACAGTTCCGCTAGTTTTCGGGCTTACATATGACGCGAGGTTCTTGAACAGAAGACAATCTGTATGAAGACAGATAGTTTGAACTTTATAACATCCAACGCAATTGTGCTTGCCTAAAGGGGTTACAGATCCGGCTTAGAACGACTACACAAACCTGAAATGACTACTTTTAGTGAATCTGTCATGTAGGTTTGATGTTCTCAAGACTTCGGGTTACTGTCCTCAATTGCTGTGGATCTGTTATTTGTGTCAGCGATTTAGAAGCGTTATAGTATTAGGCGCCGAAGGGGGGAGGGGGGGTCCCCTCCTTGCTTTTCTTTGTCTCAACTCGCCAACTCGAGCTCCAAAGATTGTACCATGTCTTAGAGTTTTTAGGCGCCCGCAATATCACTTCCCGGTATCAAAGCCATAACTATGTGTCATCCCGATTGATGACGGGGTGCCAATCGGTGTCTTATGCCGGCGCCTACCGTCAGTGTTTGCAAAAGTATCGGCGTCTGCAACCCTCGACCAGGTCCTCTAGGGATTTACCTAGTAAACCCGGCCATTTTCATCTCAATCTAAACACCTAACTACGTAGTTGAAGTGGAAACAAAGTTAAAATTGAAACTAAGCAGCTCGAAGACAGCGCCGAAGTGACTACATCAAACTCCTTCTTGCTACAAGGCGTCGAAATATCTTCGATCTCAGTAAGCCGCTAGTGTAGCAATCCTTCGATGAGCTAATTCTAGACGACCGGATCGTCTTGGCAGATTCGTGGGTCGTGCCACTGCAATCGAGTGTTTCAGCTTATTTCTCAAGAGCTTGGCAACCCTCGATTTGCAACGTCATTAAGCTACATGAGCATTCTAGTCGCAACGTGTGTGTGGCATCGCAAGTTTGGCATTGTGTGTATGGCATTACGCTGAGACTCGGTAATTGTTTCACCAATAAAGTAGATACAATTAGTTGACTCTATATACAACTCTACATGATATATGTGAAGGAAACTTGTGGAAAAGGACGTCGCCGTGACCTGACAAATGTTACACACGCAACCTCTCCAATTCAACAAAAGGTTTAAGCGCATGTGCCGAAAAGGGGCTGGCAGCCAGTACCGCAGTGAGCGGTGGTGTCGCCGCAGAAGCCATACTCGCTGCAGCAAGTGGAACCAGGGCAGGTGTAGCCGTTGGCGCCACCGCAAGAGCTGTCAGGGCTGATGCCACCGGGGGCGGCGGTCTGGGTGGCAGCAGGAGCGCTGGTAACATCGCCGCCAGATGCAACGGGGCCAGCGACACCGCAGACACCAAAGAGGGGCTGGCAGCCGGTACTGCAGTAGGCCTGGGAAGTACCGCAGAATCCATACTCACTGCAGCAAGCACCGGCCTGGCAGACGTAACCCTCAGAGCCACCGCAGGCACCGTCAGGACCGATCACACCTGTGGGGGTAGCGGTGCTGGTAATGGAGACAACGATTCTGGAAGCGGTGGCGGTGGGGGTCGAAGTGCGCTTGGTCTTGTACCAGTTGGCCTCGGGGTCGCCAAGGCACTCACCGACAGTGACAGCTCTCAGGTTCTTCTCCTTGATGATGCGCAGGAACTCGGGAACAAGGTACTCGGCGGTGTTCTGGTGAACCTTTGGTAAAGTTAGCGAGGCTTACTTAGATGCATTGTCCTGGATTAATGTAACTCACCTCGTGGGCCAGAGCGATGGAGCCGCCGGCGTTGACACCCTTTTCGAAGATACCGACACTAGTCAGGTTGCCAAGAGGAGCGTTGTTGGCGTAGTCAAATGAGTCAACATCGGCGTGAATGACGTGGTACTCCAAAGCCTTGAGGATGGACAGGGTGTTGTCATTCCAGCTGAAGAAGGGAGGGCGCATGTACGTAGGGTACTTTCCGATGATGTTGATGAGAGCATCCTCGAGAGAAGTCATCTCAGGGATGATGTCGGCATCGCCCAGAGTGGCGAGATCAGGGTGGCTGTAGGTGTGAGAACCGATCTGGTGGCCCTCGGCGTCCATACGCTTGACAACATCCTGGAAGTCGTTAATGTTGCCAAAGTTCTCGCCGTTCATGAAGAAAGTAGCCTTGGCACCAGCCTCCGCAAGGAGGTCAAGGACGTGGCTGGTGTAAGTGAAAGGTCCGTCGTCAAAGGTCAGAGCGAAGTCGCCGTCGACAGTACAGCTGGTGATTGCAACCCCGTAGGGGATATTAGTGGCCGGAGCAGTGGAGCTAGGGGCAGCGGAGCTGGAGCTGGAGCTGGAGCTGACCGCTGTGGTCGTGTCGTTGCTGCTGACAGGCACGGTGGTGCTGGGAATAGCGACGGGTTCGGTGGGAAGAGCGACACCGGGGATCGTCGTGAATGAAGGAGCAGCAGTGGGAACTGTGGTGTTCAGAGGAAAGGGGACGTAGGAAGAGCCCGCAGTCGGCTTGCCCGGGTACGAGGGAACGTTCCCGCCAGGGAAAGAGGGCTTAGCAGAGGCAGACGGCCAAGAACCGCCAGCACCAGATCCAGAGTTGCCCTTGCTAGGGTTAGAACCGTGGTCAGAGCTGCTGTCGGATCCCTTGTCGGAGCCAGAGTTGTTGGAATCGGAGCCAGTGTTGGAACCAGACCCGGAACCGGACCCGGAGCCTGAGTTAGAGCCAGAGCCAGAGTTGGAACCAGAGTTGGAACCAGAGTTGGAACCAGAGTTGGAACCAGAGTTGGAACCGGTAGAAGAGCCGTGGGAGCCAGAGCCAGAGTTGGAACCAGAGTTGGAACCAGAGTTGGAACCGGTAGAAGAGCCGTGGGAGCCAGAGCCGGTGTTAGTATCAGACCCTGAACCAGATCCAGAGCCTGAGTTTGAACTAGAGCCCGAACCAGAACCAGAGCCCGAGCCCGAGCCAGTGTTGGAACCGGAGCCTGAGCCCGAGCCCGTGTTCGAGCCACCGTTTCCGGAACTAGAGGGAGGTCCTGGGTAAGAGCCGTCCGGGTTTGAAGGAACACCAGGGATGGTGGTGTTCACAGGGTACGGAGGGAAGTGAGCCTTTGTAGTGCTAGGCTTAGGGACAGGAAGGTCCTCGTCGCAGTACGTCTCGTTCGAAGTCTGCCGGCGGAAGGGAGTAGCAACCGCTCCGGCCACGAGGAGCGACGTGGCAACGGTCTTGAAATGCATCGTGATCTGAAAGAATGGCTTGTTGATATTAGGTAATGAGTGACTTTGGTATTTAGAAACGAGTGACGCTGTCTTGGAATAAGACTGACAGATGGCTAGAAAGAAACAGAACCCAGAACAACCTTCATGGCAAGGCAGGCCGGCCATATATCCCGTCGAGCTTTGCCAAGCGTGTCTGCATGGCCCCGTTTCCCCCAAGCCGCTGATGCCGGCTGGAAGGATACACTCCCCTTCATGTTGATCCCGTTTTAATTGCCAAGATTCGCGGCCAAGAATCCAGGTTCCAACAAGCAAAATGAGGCCGAGTCATACGTGGGAAACCTCGCTCAGACGGTGCACCAGCCCATGCACCAAAAGCAAAGAAACCTGGTTAGCTCGACTTGGCGGCTGCGAGCTAGTCCAACTTGCTGGGAACTGGAAATGTTGAAAAAGTCCCATACCTACATAGCGGCTGTAAGGGCCAACGCCGCCGCGGGCGTCGGGGGATAAGATGACGGTTGGGCCACCAAAAAAGTTAGCACGTCATCCCTGCAACACGTACTACTAAGATCGGGAGGAGATTGTGAGCTTTCCCACGCGCTAAGCCATTTGGCGGTGATGGTGAAGCCCGATGGTGGCGGGCACCGCACAACATTAACGATTTCACACATGGAGTTGCCAAGATGCTCAGTGTTAGATCGAGGCGGGTTCGCCTTTGAAGAGAAACTCATACGAATGGCAAGTTGGAGAGCGTCGTTATGTCCGCCCCCGCTGGTTTGACTTTACAAGTTGGTCTTGGACAATTTTATGAGCTTCAAGTTGGCCAACCAGATTGTGCATGACTCGGCATTTACCCACACAACTTCCTATATCTAGTTTAGTGCCACTCTGTATGCGGATTTTGTCCGACTCCTCCGACACTCCGCATTGCTGTTTCTCTACCAACACTGCCCTTTCAGTGATATGCAAGATCCCCAAAGCTGAGAGGAGACGAAAAGATGCACCCTTGCTCAGCCGCGCGCAGAGTCGCCTTGCCATGCTTCATCTATGTTATATGAAGGCTGTGGTCTCGTCCCGACTCTGGAAGTTTGAATACCGGGGCTGACGGCTCACCCCCTTTGGGCTGGAGATTCATCACAATATCGAACCGAGATGTCTTTGCCGACGTTTTCGTACCTACCGTTCGTAAATTGTAATTTTAAAAGCCCTGATACGCCCCTGCTCCCATTCGAAGAGACATTTCTCAGCGTCTTGGTTCCTGCAGCTGCTGCCTATAGCTCCTGCATGAATAACCAAAGTTCTTTTCATGGTGGCCAGCGCCGTAAGGCGTGCAGAAAATTAGAGGGGCAACAGGAGCCCTTCAGGGAATCAGAGTGCAGACATGGTTGTTGACAAGCGCATGCAAGGATTCAAATCTGCTGGGCGACGGCGGACGCTGCGCGCTGTCAGGGGCAGAACAGGGGTTAGCTGCTTGTTTGTTGGAGCAGGCAAGTTGAGCGCAGGGTTCTGGACATTTGCGTCTGTCAGCACAGGCGTTCGATCGCAAGGTCCAGAATCCAGACAGTGTAGTCATTGTTTCTCTTGCACTGAAGCTGCTTTCCTTTTTCAGCTGAGTGAGACTAGGTGCGTTGTCGGGGCTGACGCCCTCCAGCGTGCCCTTTTCTTGTCTGAGACTTCGAAAGGCTTGCTTCCATCTCCCGTCTTCATGTTCGTTGGGCTGATTCCGTCTGCCAAATGGTAGCTGAAATGTGTTTGTCATTATTCTTATTTTTGATCCATCTGGGCTTCTCTGAAAAGAAACTTTCCCCGGCCATCCCCGTCCATCAGTCCGGTTGCCCCTTTATGCTCATAGTCCTCTAGCCTTCAGCCTGGTTAGCGTCATCCTGCCCGGCACCCGTTGATCTTGGCGCATAGGACCTCACGCCACGAGACAGTGGGGCGCAGGCGAGTCTGATCAATGCACTGGCCTGAGGGGCAACCGCCCTCAGTGCGTTAAATTGGGCGTTTGGGGTCGACTGATGTTTTCTTCAACGTGTTCTCGTGAAGATGTGTCACAAACACGGAGCACTCGTTCGTCTTTGGCGTTGACAGCGAAGATGCGTGGTCCAAAATAGTCCCTCAGCAGGAAGCACAAACACAACAAGTGTTACGACTAACACTGAAAGTTTGTCGTGAAGTTCCACAATCAATCCACATTGGGATATCAAAGACCAGGATATTGTTGTTTGTCAACTGCAATCCCACATGGCGCTCGTGCAAATAGGCTTCACGCCTAATCGCCCCCAGTTCATGTTATGTCCCTGACTCCAGTCAGTAAATGCAGCTATATGGGTGATTCATCCCCAGTTGTTTAAATCGCGTGCATCTAACGAACACTTGCCCTTGATTATCGGCTATCAATCGCACCTTGTGAATGAAATCATATCAGCAATCGAGTCAACGCCATGATGTTCGTTTTTGCAGGCGAACTCATCGGATGCATCAGGTGCCAATCTGCTGTGTCATCACACTACCAAATTTGATTCCTAAGCGACACGATATCCGATGCAACCACATTTGCGACAGTTCCGTGTGGCGAGGTCATTGGGGCCTTGGGGAGCTTTATATTTGAATGCAATCCTCATGGCGTCATCACTTAAGCCTCATTAGATTCAATGCCATTCAATGCTTGAGTGCAAATTTCAATGTGGTCGGTACATTAAACACCAAGTTCTCTCACGTACCAGTGAAGACACAACTTCCAACGATATGCGTCAGGGTGTCATCTAGCTTGTAATGCGCCCTCTGCGCAGATGGCTTCTGGTTTGATGCCTCCGAACAGCCTTTGTTGAGCCTCCATGTATGTTGTGCTCTCCATGGCACGGTATTGGTGCACCGACCACATTAGCGGCACGCTCCACTAGTCCCGTCGTATCCGGAATGCCCGGATCGTCTAGCGGGCCCGCCAACTCCCATATCCATCCCGTTCTTTGCCAGCCGAACTACTTCTCTCAACGGTCCTAGATATTACCTACATTGACCTTGTTCAGACGGTCATCATACCGGCGTTCTCCTCTTTCGTTTACAACAAGTCTGCATGCGTTGACCCCACGGCTTGTCCAATAGCTGCACCAAATCAATGCCATGCGGACAACTTGACCAACGGAGAGTCGGCCACCGTTGCGCCCCTTGCAGAAGGTTGCATGCGAAGGTTGGCTCTTCTTCCAGCTCTGAAGTTTCAGTGGCAGAAATGTAAGAAATGTGTTGACAGCATCAGTGTAACGGCGGGCGTCCATGTTCAAGTTGCCTCGCTCGCGGCTTGGACTGCACATCCTCCGGTCCATCCACGGACTTTCAGTTCGTGCTCCAGCTTGCGCCTTCAATTCCGCGGGTTTTAATTCAAGATACCTGGAAATACATCAGCACGTATTTTCAGTCAGTGGGGTCCTTGACACAAGCGTCCGTTCTGCGAAGCGCGGCCGTTATGGCTATGTCACACGACGATGAAAACGTCAGCCGTACGCTGTCCATCATGGGCGGCCTTTACGCTTGTCAGAATCCGCACGTTCTGTGGATCAGCCATCAAGAGAGGGGGATTATTCTGGACACATGGGTGAGACAGAAATCCAGAATCGAAATGGCGCTCAGGCAACCCGATACCTCAAACTTCGGTCAAATCCTGTTGAGCGCTCTCTTGCTCGCAGTGATTGAGGTAGGTAAAGGATCTCTAAACCCTCTTAGGCGCCAAGGTAAAGACATACGCTCATGTGAAATAGTTGATTTTAGCTTGCGAGTCTGGCGCCTTTAAAAAGTGGCTTCGGAGGATATGTGATTATATCACTGCGCAAAAACGATTGAGGATCAGTTCTTCATTCACACCCGTCGAGAAAGGCTTGATCCGTTTCTTCCGCTTTCTCGATATCCTCCTTGCCATCTCCACAAATACGATGCCAATGGATACCGAAGTATTGTCTGATGAAGTTCTACCGCTGCGTCCTATATCATCAGAACAAACCTCAGAAGCCAAGGAGGACGAAATGCTCTCAGCGTTGATGCACTGGGCCAGGCTACAGTTAAGGTATGTCACATCGATCAGTCTCACGAAATTCAAGCTCACATCCCTAGAATGACCACATGGGTTCTTAGTGCCGAAGAGAAGGAGTCAGTCTTGGAATTGGAGGCTATGGATTCACGGGAAGCACTCAACATGAAGGTTCAGGGTCTCGATATTATTTGCGAAGCATCCACGCTACAAGCTCGCATAGTCGAAAATCTCCTCCAGCTATCTCGAGAACCGGAGAACCAAGCATCCATATGCATCACCCCTTACTATCACTGGGCTCTCACCGGGCTTTCCCAACGGCTGCAGCACAACGTGTGGAAGTTGTTAATGTGCGATCTACCCGTCATGCGCACTGGAGCGCTTCATCAACAGGCTCTAGTTGCTCTTTCTTGTATTGAAACCCTGGTGACGCAATCAGGAATGGACGTGGCGTTGTACATGCCTTTCGCCGATTTTGTGGGACAACAGATGGAGACGGTTACAGAACAGACACGGATGCTAGCATTTCTGGATGTCGTAAAGGCCAGAGGGTTCGAAGTTGCCATTGAGTACAAGGATAACTTGTTACAAACTTGGCGATCCACTCACAAGGGTCGTTCTCAACTTTTGTCTTGCGATCAAGTCAGGCTTTAGACAGACACACACTGTTATTCAATGTCATGTTTTGTTTCTTACCACTCATGTATTAGACAATGGTAAGAATAATACCAGAGTGTTAGATCAGTAGACACAGTTTTCAACAAAGAAAACGACTGGGAGCCAGGCGTATCAATGATTATTTACTTGACTGTCTGGTTTATGGCAAGACTTGCTGCCTTGTGCTAAACTATGAGAGTTCACAGAATGGCATCCATATATGCTAACGTTGTATGTGAGATGAGACACTTGGCCAATGATCTAACTGCACTATCTTCCTGGTAATATCTTAGAATTGCAGGCTATTTGATCCTTCGATTGTAATCTCGATTTAAGCACCATCATGCCACACGGTTTGTTTGGTGAAGATTCTGATGCCTACTTGCCACATAATCTGCGTAGCATCGTTCGCTCAAATAACACCGCTTGCCGCCAGCTTTCGACAGGCACGAATACCTTGATGGTGTCCTAAGCTTCCCCACCCCATAGATTCAACGTCTTTGAAGGGTTTCTGGCTGCAATCATTGCGCAAAATACCATGTTGACTTTCTTAGGGGAACCCAAGTATATTTGCTTCGTGCATCATTGGCCAGCCCGGAATAATCCATCCCCACAATGACATAGCCATGTTCGGCGAGGATACTCCAGGTATGGTAGTGGAACGCGGTAGGGTTTCCTGCTCCCATTGAGGTGGTCTTTGCGTTTGGTTTCTTTGATTTCTTAGCTAAGCAGAGTCTGATCAGGGGTATAGAAACCTCTATGACACAGGGGGACTTAGATCAGAGGCACAAACAACACACACTCATCGGACTTTTCTATGCCCAAGGGAACATCCTTTCTGTCTTGCGTGATGACCAACACCCTGATTACATCTACACAAGAACTTTAGGAGCCTCTACTTTATCCATCGCGTTCCGGCCAAACCTGATCAGGGCATATTTGACCTGATCAGGATAGCTGATACGCGACTGGTTAAAGGCATCTTGCGTGGCTATAGGGAAAGGTTGTGCTTGTCTATTGCCCCGCACCGCTCTCTATAGTCCTGATCACCCTGCACGCTTCCAATAGTCATATACCATAGGATTTGACGAAGTGGGCGCACCCACGCCACACCCTGTGTGTTCGGCGGGCATGGGCAACAGCTAGGTAGATCTTGCTATTGGGGCACGGCGTGAAAGAATACGGATGAATCGATGGCTAGCACTATCCTACTATTGATATCTTTAGGGGTGTATCGTACTCCAGTCAGATTGGTAACAAGTGGGACCCGAGTTGATGGTGCCACTGATGTCATCCAAAATGATTGGTTGCAGTTCAGGAGGTCGCCGGCCTCAAAGATTGAGGAGTCGACGGAAGTAGCGTAGAAGCCGAAGTTGGAATCAGTACCATGAACTCTGATATAGGCGGCTTTCATACATGAAAGCACCTCATAATGCGCTCATGCATGCCATCCACTCCTGGAGTGATGTGGAACTTTGGCGTGTGCTCTGCGTTTGCTGAGCCCAAGAACCAGGCGAGAAGCGAAATAGAGGAAAGCATTTCCAACATGACGAATGAAATTTCGATGTTCTGTTCCTAAATAAAATTCATGTATTTTATCAGAGTTTCTGGCGCTTCTTTCCTTGTCATCTATCTTTTGTAGCTGCCGAGCAATCCGGTTAGCATTGATTGGGACTCCCGAAGCCTCCATCTGTACGACTTCTTCTTGTCCCAACCCCCCAAGTTATGGGACCCATCGTGAGATTGCAATTGATTTATATGATCACATCGTAACTCGAAAAAAAGTTATATGGGCTCTGCCACTATATAAAACCAATAGGTCAGTCTACTTGAATCCAAAGGCCAACCCACCATGGAGGACATGACGTGAGGCGAAAGAGATGAGCACATGAACGGTTAATGAGGGCCCCAAGATTTATAATAATGCACGGGATTCCCATGCAGATTTCAGTTCTAATATTACTAACAAGAGTCCTGGTTTCATCATACACACTGGGCCACGTCTCTCTCCGTGATACCGGACGGCGGAAACCCGAAATCCCGTACACTCGGAGGATCCACTCGAAGAAAGCCCCACACCGCGCTAGCGCCGCGAGGTTTTGTCCCAAAGAGGCAAAGCGTCAAGGATCTTGAACGCCATTTTATTACCATCATTGCCCGCGCCTAGCTCCGGACACGCCCGCGGCCGTGGTAGTTCTTGTTTGCGCACCGGAGGGAACCACCCTTGTCCTCTGAATTCTGGTCATTGGAGAATTGGGATCAGTCCTACTTAATGGATGGGAGGTTAGCACAGCATGAGGACCTGGCGTCGTCATCACGAGGGCACCCACATTATCTTCGGTGCTGAAGCATCTGAGAAGAATTTCATGGGCTCTGAGGATGCTAGGTTTGGATTTTGTTATTATTAACCTGTGTGTCCAACCCCAATGGAACTTTCGGATTGGCGGTTGGATTGCTGGTAGATAAATCGGAGCGACGGGTGACACGACACGGCAGCGGGTCTAGAATGCAACTAAGCCACCCTCTGACGCCATAACGTAGGCTAGCTTTTGCTAAGGCTAAATTTGCGTGTCGGACACCCGACCGGCCCGGTTCCTACGGATCATCGGGACAACAGTGCTTCAGGCATTTTCCCCCGTCCAGTGAACCGAGCTGGCATTCATAAGCCCGCTATATGGCACCTATGATAGATGCTTTCGTCAGCTTTCAACATTTGATTTCGCCAGGTCCAAGAGTCTCCAACAACGAACTTAGTAACAACTATCACCTACGCAGGGCATCAGACTTATTTATTTCTTAATCATCTTGCGTTTCCATGGCCACACTACCTGACGGCCTCATCGCCTTCGGGCCTGATGCCAACTGCACGCTTGAGCTCTGCCCCTTAGAAGCGAGCATCCTTCGATACCAACCTCTTATTTCTGCGAACAGCACCTTCATCGCACTTTTTTCCTTGGCATTAATTGTTCATGTGGTCCAAGGTATCAAGTGGAAAACTTGGGGATTCATGTCCAGTATGATTTGCGGTTGCGTATTGGAAATCGTCGGTTATGCGGGAAGGCTCATTATTCACGACAACCCATTTGACTTTATAGGGTTTCTCATGCAAATCAGTAAGTCATTCCATCCAGTAAGGAGTTTCGTTGGGTTTTGTAGTGCCTCGAAGTGTAACAAGAAATTAATGCGCCTTGGCAGTCTTCATCACAATAGCCCCGGTATTCTTCTCGGCCGCCATCTACGTTCTCCTATCTCAAACGTAATTAATGATTGCATGTCCCAGAGAGCCGTGCATAAGCTGATCAATCTATTGTTCAGAATCAATTTTCTCGATCCGTCGATATCCCGCTTTTCTCCTCGCCTCTACTACTGGACCTTCATCCCGCTGGACATAGTCTCTCTCGTTCTACAGGCTGTAGGTGGCGCAGTATCTGTTGTCAGCACAACCCAGGAGGCAGTGGACCAGGGAGTCGACGTCTCACTAGCCGGATTGATTCTGCAAGTGGCTTCGCTACTGGTATTTTGCGCCTTGTTTGCCGACTACATGATCGCGTACACTCGTTCAAAAACTAGGCGCCCAATGAGTCGAAGACTCAAGGTGTACTTGTTCTTCCTTTCCCTTGGTACATTTCTTATTCTTCTTCGATGTGCTTATCGCATTGTGGAATTACACGACGGTTACTTCAGCGAATGGTTTCGAGACGAAACCTTGTTCATTGCCTTGGAATCTGCGTAAGCCTTCACCCTGTCCGTAACCAACTGTTGAAAGGCTGCTAACATTATGTAGTGTCATGGTATCAGCTGTATTTTCTCTTGCGTTTGGCCATCCAGGCCTCGTTTTTACTGAAAAAGAGAGGAGGGGATCAAATGCGAAGACCTTCCGCGAGTTGTTCTCTCGTGGCGAAAGCGTTCATAAAACGGTTGTGAACAAGAAAGAGATAGAAAGCTAGATTAGATGAACACATAGATACATAGATTTGATACATAGATTTGATACATCATCTCGGCTTGGGTTCTTCGAGTCGTAGTCTATTTTTACAATGAACGAGGATCCATTTGGATCTGGTTGAATAATAAGAAGATAACTGAAGTTGCTCAGACTATCATGAAGAGCTTAAATCACCATTTTGAGGTTTCTGCGATAAAGAAGAGTTTTTTTTTTACAGGAGTGAGCATACCGATTGTCGCTCCCAACCGCATATGTGAATGCTCTAGAATACTTAACAATAACAACAGTTGCTTCTTTGGCATCTGTGCCAAGGATGACACTTTGTAGTTTCGCTCGCAAGCATGGAATTTGTATCGGAACTCAGGTCCTCCATACGAGTCTTGGTTCCTTATCATCTTATGACCAACCACTGGTCTCCTCCCAAGAGCACAGCTTTTTTTGGGCAAGAAAAGCGGCGTCTCAACCCGATCTTAAGAGTTGGGCAAACTTGGGTGGGACATGGGTGAAAGACAATAGGTGACTCCGTTATTTGTACTTAGTACAGCACATTGGAGACGGAGCAGACACATGGCCTGAATCCTGTTTCAGCACTAACGACCTGCTCACACGGCTCATTTCGCACGTCCATAGCCCCGAACGTGAAAACCAAGTATATTACATTGAAGCGCCCTAATGGCAGGTTATAAATACATGCAGTGTTGACGCTTCTCAGGTTGCGGTGACCAGGTGGCAGACAGAAATACACAACAGTCTCCTGTTCAACAACAAGCGACCTTACCATGCTTTATCTGCTATCAAACCAATCTCCTGAGTTAAGACCGTTGGCTAGTCAGATAACTAACATGATATGTTCCACAAGCAAGAGGAGTCGAGTCTATGATAAATCCATCATGTTATAAGGGTGTTCGGTTTATGGTAGGAAGCTCCTCACTTACTCTAAGATGGACCGGTCGATTTCGGTCACGGAAGGGAGTTGTTGATGAACCCCCGAGCTTGAGTTCCAGAGTGGGCCTACCAGCTTAGTCATCTTCCGTCGGTCGGCGAATTGGGTCCGAAGCTCACCGAGACAGGAAGCTCCCGTCAAAAGTGACGGAGCTGCTGCTGCAAGAACCAGCGTTGGAAGTTGGCAATTGAAGCCCCATGTCCTCCCACGTCAAACTCTCGCGGGTGCGCCTCCGGTCTATGAGCCGAAAGGGGATCCAACAATTGACTCGTCAACAAAGACGTTCGCACCATGACTTCAACCATTTTGTCCGGACAGGTACAGTAGGCCCTACTGTCCTACAGTTGCGCCAGAGCTGACAGCTACCGTTAGAAGCTTCCGATGCAACGACAACTACTCCTCCTCCGGATCCCGATACCAGAAAATCATTCAAGTTAGCAGTCAAGGACAACATTGCGACCCAAGGCCTTCCGACAACATGCTCTTCGGCCATCCTCTCCTCCCACAAAAGCCCCTACGAAGCCACCATTGTGCGCCAGCTCCGAGAACGAGGCGCCCATGTTGTCGGCAAGACGAACATGGATGAGTTTGGAATGGGATCTCACTCCCTAAACTCGCTACATGGGCCGGTGCTCAACCCTTTATCATCGGTCGCTACTTCTGCAGGTGGAAGTTCCGGAGGGAGCGCGGTTGCGGTGCAGACGGGCGAGGCGGACGTTGCGCTAGGAACAGACACGGGCGGCTCGATTCGTCTCCCTGCGGCATACTGTGGTGTTGTGGGATACAAGCCCTCATACGGCATGCTCTCTAGATTCGGCGTCGTACCGTATGCGAACTCTCTCGATACTGTTGGCCTGCTTGCGAGGGAGGTGAGCGTCATCGAGGATCTGTTGTTCGGCACCGGCCTCGACGGAGAGCACGACGCCCAGGACCCAACATCCCTTTCCAAGAGCTTCAGAAAGAAGCAACAGAGCCAAGGTGCAGACCGCCGTTCCCGCCTCAGAATCGGGATCCCCCTGGAGTACAACATCGAAGAATTAGACCCTAAAATCAAAGCCGCATGGTCCGACGCTGTAGAGATATTCCAACGATCCGGGATCGATGTTGTCCCGGTATCCCTTCCATCAACAAAGCACGCCCTCTCGGCATACTACGTTATTGCGCCCGCTGAAGCCTCCTCCAACCTTGCCAAATACGACGGAGTCCGCTACGGAACCCGCGGAGATGACAGCGACGGCGCGGGCGAGGTACTCTACTCCAAGACGCGCGGCCTCGGCTTCGGCGATGAGGTCAAGCGCCGCATCCTTCTTGGCTCCTACAGCCTCAGCTCCGAGGCCATGGACAACTACTTTATCCAGGCGCAACGGGTGCGCAAGCTCGTGCAACGTGATTTCGACCGCGTATTCCGACTGGAAAATCCGCTGTACGACGAACAGCAGTTCGACCTGAGCGATATGAGGGACGAGGTCGAGTTGCAGGATAAGTTTGGGCCGTCGCAGGTGGACTTCTTGCTGTGTCCCACGGCGCCGACGTTTGCGCCGAGGATTGAAGAGATTAAGCGCCAGACGCCAGTGCAGGTGTACATGAATGACGTTTTTACCGTGCCAGCGAGCTTGGCTGGACTGCCGGCCATCAGCATCCCGACGAAGATTAAGTCACATGATGCGGATGCGGATGAGAGCCGCCAAGTGGCGGGGCTTCAGCTGATCGGCCAGTACTGGGACGACAGGAGATTGCTCAGTGTGGCCAAGGATCTCTTGCGTCAGCTGTCTGCTTCATGACGCTCGTGATAGTACGACTACCAAATGTTGGCTTGCGCAGCAAGCAACTGTGAGAGATCACATAAACGGCGCAAAGGCCGCTATCTGTAAACTGTACACTAGGATGAATTATACCCACAATATTCACTACGACGGACTCCGCCGGTGCACGCAAAAGCTGCCTCCATTTGGTTTCGCGTCTGCCCTCGTCGGGGCAGAACGCTGGGTATCATATTCGGCTAGCATCGCTCGATCAAGGAGACCGTTGCCTGCTTCTTGATATTGACCTCGATCGCGACCTCGACCGTCTCTCCACATCCATCGGCTCGCCATCGTCACTTCTGTCTTCTGCAATCTCTCCCTCAGACTCGTCCGCGCCGTTCTCCCTTGCTTTGGCCTCCCTCTCGTTGGCTTCTCTTTCCTCTTCCTCCTCCAGCAGCTCATCGATGTCCCCCAGCGGACTGATCCTCTCCTCCAGCTCATCCAGGTCCACAAGGTCAGACCTCTTCGGCAACTCCCTGAAACTCGTCGCGCAGACTCTCGTTTTGGTCAAGAGATCGTCCACGAAATCATCCATGTATGTCAGACTCGTCCCCTGTCGTCCCTTCCTCCTCAACTTCCTGCGATCCTCCAAGAACGGTTCCAGCAGAAGATAGACGTCCTTCGCCTTCCTCGTCATGCGGATGTAGAAACACGCCAGTGCGCGCAGGTACTTGAACTTCTCCCCGCCAAACTTGAGATACGTCTCCAGCACCTCGTCTGACGGCGCGAGCTGCAGCAGCTTGAAGGCCAGACACAGGAAAGGCGTGGGCTTCTGGGTGACGCCGTAGGTACCGCCGATGAAGCTTACATGCTCGACGACGCGGTCGACAATGTCGGCCTCGTTAACGGCGAAGCACTGCTCCTTGTAAAAGTACGAATCGATGATGCGCTCGCGCACGGCCTTCTCCATGATCGTGGCCGGGTTCTCGCCGTTGGGCGCCAGCGAGGCCGAGGAGCCGCGCTCGTCGAGGAAGCGCCGCTCGTCGGCGTAGACGAGGTCGGGTTTGCTCATCGTTGCGGCGTCTCTCGGGGTGGTCTTGGGAGGTTGGGTGGTTGGGTGGGTGGTCGGCCGCTCGCTACTCGATATTTTGGACCGTGATAAGCTTTGATAGGGATGATACTCGGCAAACGAGACGAATCGCGATGCGTTAAGAATAGCTCTCTCGGGTGGTGGGGTAACAGTGTTGCGACAGTAGCTCTCTCGGTCCGAACAGGTGTGACGCAGGGGGAAAAGTTGGAGGTTCGCGGCGAATTGGCGGCGCTTATCGATTGTTGCCGTGCCAACTGGGTAAACAGCCCACTTCCAAGTTCACACCCACGCCGCGTTGCATCTGGCGACTGCGGCACTGGATCAAGGAGCAAAGACGACGGCATCAACGAAACTCAAAGCATCAGGATTATTGAAATATCTACAGAATTTATTGCTAGTTGTCAACACTCAAATTTTGCCATAAATCTCCCAAAAAGTCCACAGCTGCGATGGTGCTCCTCACCTCCTCCCAAGTCTCGGTTCTCATCTCCTCTGCCATCGGTAACACCCGCCCCTCCGTTCCCGCATTCCAGTCCCGCACTCCCGGGGAATGAGAGAGGTAGAGAACAAACGGCTAACCTCACCTTGTGCGTCCTGCGCGAACGTGAGCCGCAGGCCCCGTTTGCTGCAAACGCACATCTGCTTTATTAGTCTTATCCTGTACCGCAGCCCTGTTCCTTAGCGGCTACGTAATCCAGCAGCGAACCCTCAACCAGCTGCGCGAAGCCATCAAGCCCGAGTCGCGGCCCTCACCCAAGGCGTCATACTACGTGCCCGATCACCTCAAGGATGTCACAGCGGAGAAGCAGGAGCAGATCATCATCGAGGTGAATCCTACGGTGCCAGAGCGGCAGCAGCAGCAGCAGCAGCAACAACAAAAGCAGAAGGCTGGTCAGAAGGCGGCGGGATGGACATCCGATATGTGGCAGAAGATGATGGCTCCGTCAGACGAGGAAGAAAATGGTGGCGTCAGCAAGGAAGACCTGGAGAAAATGGGCGAGAGGGAGAGGAACATCGAGGGCTGGAAGGTTAAAGACCAAAAGAACCCGGACCCCGAGGCCTCGAACCAAAAGCCTATCAGTCGTGCCGAAAGGCGGAGACTGATCAAGGAGGAACTGAAGCGGTTGGCAGAAAGTGAGGAGAGGGTCTACTATCAGCGGCGACTGTGGTAAAGGTGACTCGGAGATGGGTCGAAACGGATCGGGTACAACGATTGCAGTTTCCTAGATATATGTGGGATCTATGGCGTTATTATTTTGGGGAGCTGATTATGAGGGATGTTTATGATATCAATAGGTTTGGTCCATCATGTATACTTTGTGTAGATAGGCGGCCCATTGGGGCTACGAGCAAACGAAAGAAACGAGTGTCAGTGTTACGCTAGACCAAATTCACATGAGGTCTGCATTTGATGTGTGCGGGAGAGACTATCCGATGAGTTCATGTTATCCGAACGAGTTGTTCGTCGTCCCAAGACCCCGCCTATCGAAAAACCCCGCTCCCTTCTCCAAACGGCCCCTTGAGCCGGATTCATGCATTCGTCAGCGTGGTGAAAATCACATCATGTGTCCTCCTCAAGTCCCAGTAATTGTGTACCTTATTAAACGCCGTTTCCATGCCGAATCAAACGAAGCAAACGCTCATTTCCAAATGACCTCCCCTTCTAAGCGTGGCGGTTGGCGGCATCCTCAAACGCCTCTCTCTGCATCCTCTCGAGCTCCTCGAGGGGGATCTGGCTGTTGGCGAACTTGTTGGCCTTCTTTTCACGTCCCTGTGCGACATGTTAGCACTTGGGTAGTGGAGATTTGTTCGAGACAAAGAGTGCGGACATACCTTTTGCACTTCCTTGTGCTCGGCGGCCGCCTCTAGTACAGCGGGAACGTAGTCTGCGAACCCCAGCTGTTCAAGGGCCTTGGTGATGTGGTCGCAGGCGATGGTCTTCTTGGCCTCCTTCTCCGAGATCTCGTTGGCTTCCGAGGAGATGAGGGTGATGAACTCGACGCAACACTCGATGAGCAGGTCACGGGCCTCCTTTGAGAAAGCGACACCGGCGGAGGGCGGTAGAATCTCGGTTACAATCTTTTGTACGGTGGCTGAAACAGCTGTTAGTATTTCGCTTTATGAGACAGGCCGAGGAGCGCGCGATGGAGAATGAGTCTCTCCGTAACGGCTCCGGGGTAGGAGTACATACCCTTTGGCAAGGACAAGTCATCGTTGCCTATGATGATTGTCAGCGATCAAGTTCAAGAGGCAAGCTGAGTGGGTAATGCGAACTGCACTGGCAGTCCTGGAGTTTCCAGTATCTCTCCGTTTTGTTGCCCATGGTCGCTGGGGTGTGCATGATGAAAGGGTACATTATGCGGCCACGAGGCTGGCAACAGGTGCCTTTTACATGGCGCCTAGCATGAGGGTTGGGTTTGGGTGAAGCCTAGAGAGCATACACGCGTCGATGATGGGCAGCAACACTGAATGCCTGGAAGGCCGACAAGGTACCAAATGGGAGACGGGTCGAGGTGAGGTGGGGGTGAGTTGGGAAATGAGGCCTCACTTACCCGCGAGGTCGTGATCCGACATGATTGCGATATGAGATGAGCGCGACGGCGTTAGAACGGGGATGAGACGAAGATAAAACAGTGACCAGGCTGACAAGTCGGTCGCTTTTTCTCGATCACCGCGGACGACGGCGTCTAGTTGCGTTGGCCGTCGGGCGCAGTGAAGTGCGGGTGTGCGTGGGCGACCGTGGATCCGGCTGATTCACGAACTTATACGGAGATGGCTGGCGGTGAAAAATGCTGTAGCGGAGTGGACATGTGAAGCATCGCGGGACTCGAAAGGTGTGGCTCGCGCGCCGGCTGCTGTGTGTGTTTGGTGGGGTCTTTTATGCTCCTTGGGATGCGGGACATCAACTGCATTTGAACCTCCCCCCCGCGCGCGCCCGCCGCCGCCAGCAGCAGGAGCCACGGTGCCACAGTTCTGGCACGTTCAATTCCAGCAGGTCACACTTGTGGCCCGCTGCAGTGGGGCGCAGGCAGGCACCGGTCGGTCGGCGAAAGATGTATCCGTGGTTCCGCACCGCACGGGCCAATCAACTCCCAATCACTCCGAATTTTTTCTGCACCTTAAAAGAGGAAATATTCCACGATGCCTTACTTCTTTCTTCTCACATCACCAAACAGCAGAGCCTGAAAAGCACCATGCGCTCTTATTTCGGAGCAGATGAGATGGCGGCTCTGCTGTGCCGGATTGACTTTGGTAGGTTACTCCCTCTCCCGCTCCCCATCCCCTTACCCCTCCAAACCGAAATGATGAGCCTTGTTGTCGCCCCAAACTTACGAGGAATAACTCCCCTCAAAGTGGTGAATGACCGTCCAAGCCAAACGGACTTCTCTGATCTATCACCATGAATTCACGTTTTGTTGCTCTTGCTCAATTGGCTCGACCAATGCTAACGGAAACCTAAGATAGGAAAAAGTAAGCGCGCCCAATGCCAAAGCTTCCCTTCCAACTCCCTGTTTTGCGCACACCCGCGCTTCCAAGCGATGATGTCCAAAATAAAGTACTATCAAATACCGACATTCCATGACGGAGAAGTTTCGACACTGAGCATCTGCTTCACCCATCGCACATTCTTGGACGGCTGGAATACGTGTATGCGAGACTGACTTGCTTTGCTTTGGCTTCAGGTGGATGCGGAACAACGCAACGGCTGACGAGTAATTCCTGCTCACGATACAAGCTCACAGGCTTCATGTTCAAGGTAGGTCGCAACTGCGCAGAATTTTCCTTCTCTTCACCCTAGCGGGTTTGCCGATGATGATGAAACATATTCCATGCTAATCCTGAATAAACAATGTGGAATCAAATATGAGCTTTTCATCTTTCGACTGAGGCATCTTTTTATCAATGTTTTCTATTTGCAGCTCAGGAAGAAAGAGCAATTGCTAACATTGGACTTTTAGTGAACAAATCACGCGTCTTGGTACGCCGAGAGCTCGCCGGCTTGCCACCTGCAATCGGGTTAGCAACAGTCGCTCTGCCGGGGGGATGTGACCTACTTGATGAACTTGCCAGACAGGTCGTGCTGAGGGTTGACCACAAACCGCGCCATGACGTTGCCAGGCTGTTCAGGCTTGAACAGCTCTCCCTTGTCGAAAGCAGACACAAAGGAAGAGTGGTCCTTCTCGGCCATGTGACCGCTGCCCGTGTCGCGGATGACCTTCTGCATGGCAGTGTCGACGCGGCCGGGGCTGATGGCGATGCTCGTGATATCGGGCTCCTCGACTGCCAAGTGCGCAGAGAGGTGGTTCATGGCGGCTTTGGAAGTGCCGTAAGCCCCCCATGCGGCGTACGCGCCCGTAGCCGCGCCTGATGAAACCCAGAGAACGCAGCCCTTGGACTTGCGCAGCTCGGGCAGAGATGCTTGCACCTTATGTGAATGTTAGATAAGATCGGAAATATGAGTCAGAGTTTTCCCTCACCAATGCGAGCCCACTAAACACGTTGATGTCGTATGCCTTTTTCCATTCCTCAATGGACGAGTCCGCCAGACGGGTGACGGGCTCGAGCACGCCGTGGTTGATGACGATGCCATCAATCTTGCCAAAGGTCTGGACTGCCGCCTCGGCAATCTTTGGGATGGTCTGCGCCCCGTCAGTCTTGTCCTAGACCATGACGTCCATCACAGCTCACCTTGAGATCACCCAAGTCACCAGCAACATACTCAACCTGCCCGGGGTGGGCCGTCTTCAAAGCCTCCAGCTGGTCCTTTGACCGCGCCGCCAGGACGACCTTGTGGGAATCCTTGAGCAGGTGCTGGGCGATGGCCAGGCCGATGCCTCGGCTGGCGCCGGTCACGATGATTACTTTGGAGGCCATGGTGTATTGTGAGTGGTGGTGGGTGGTTTGTTTTACACGGGGGCTTCGGGACGTTGCGAGACAGTTGTGTAAGCAACTTTGTTTCCGAGCAAATCCGACGGAACAGACGCAATGCGAAAGAAAAAGGCCTCTCTCAAACTCTGCACAGCAAAAGATGGAGCGGGAAGCTTGCGCCATTCCCAATGGATGCAGTGGACCACTTCGTGTGTCAGTGTGTCCAGTGTCGCAGAGTGGGGGAGGTTGCAGCACCAGCTCCCTTATCTTATCAGGTTGGCGGGGTCGGCAGCTCTGTTCTCCAAACGCACAGGACGGGAAGCTGGAGGAGCTCTCAACACCATAACGTCATCGTTTCGATATCTCGAAAGTGTGAGAGACTCGCCGGTTCAAAATGAGCAACACAGTGATCCTGGGATCCGGGATCATAGGCCTCTCGATCGCGCACTACCTCGCAGACCACCAGCCCGGCTCGACGATCCATCTCGTCGAGGCCTCGCCGGAGCTCTTCGCCTCGGCTTCGGGGTACGCGGGGGGCTTCCTCGCGCGGGACTGGTTCTCGCCCGCGTCCGCGGCGCTTGGAGCTTTGAGCTTCGACGAACACAGGAAGCTCGCTGAAGAGCACAACGGCAGGGAGAAATGGGGGTGGTCGACGAGCACGACCTTTAGTCACTCCGCCGCACCGGGAAAGACGAGCAAGGGGGATGCCGACTGGCTACGCGACGGCGGCAGCCGAGCCGACGTGGTTGAGTATGGTGAGGCTCCTGGCGACGGCCCGCCGTGGCTGCGCAGAGAGCATGGCGATGACGTCCAAATAATCGGGGAGGCGGACACCACGGGCCAAGTGTGCGTCAGATGCCCAGTGACTCGTGCAGCTCGTACATGAAACCTGACTCCGTCCCCAGGGATCCCCTCCGTCTCTGCCACTTCCTCCTGGACCAGTGCCGGTCCGCCGGCGTCCGTCTCCACCACCCGGCCGCCGTCCTCTCCGTCAGCACCGACCTTCGCGGCGATCTCGCCTCGGTCCGCATCGGTGAGACGACGTCCTCCACCGAGACCGACGTGCCCTGCACCCGCCTCGTCGTCGCCGCCGGTGCTTGGTCGCCTCGCGTCTTCTCTCAGCTGTTCCCGGGCGCATCTCTTGAGGTGCCCGTTTCCAGCCTGGCAGGCCACTCCCTCGTCGTGAAGCGTTCCCGGTCAAGTGAGACGCAGCCGCCGGGGTGTCACGCCATCTTCAGCACCGACGGCGCGGGGTTCTCGCCGGAGCTCTTCTCGAGAGTCGGAGGACACATTTACATTGCTGGCGTGAACTCGTCCATTCCCCTCCCACCGCTGCCGGGCGAGGCACCCGTCTCCGCCGAGGCCATCGCGCAGCTCAAGAGCACGGCGGAGCGCATCGTCGACGGCGGCGGTGTGGAGCTCGAGGTCGTCAGGCAGGGCTTGTGCTTCCGGCCAGTGACGACTTCGGGGGCGCCCATATTGACCCGAGTCCCGGACGGGCGGTTGGGCGGAGTGTCAACACGCGCCGGCGCCGATGGCGGGGTGTTCCTCGCGGCGGGGCATGGGCCGTGGGGCATCAGTCTGAGTCTCGGGACGGGGCGGGTCATGGCCGAGCTGATGCAGGGACGCAAGTTAAGCGCCGACATCTCCAGGCTGGCCTTGACGTGAAAATTCTGTCAAGCCAGCCACTCGGCAGCATCATGCGGGCGCGCTGCCAAAAGAGCGATGATGAACCGTGACGACCGTGGGGGCGCCGGCCGTCAAGCCCGTTCAGACGCGCAGACGGAACCCGTCTCCCCTTTTTCCTGAGAATTTCGCCTCCCCCTTACCGGGTCGGTGGGTGTGCCGACATCAGGATCAACCTCCCATCCACATCGCCACTGTAATGCCATGAACCCTCCCAACGACCCTATGCTACGACCATGACGATGCTTGGCCAAGTATGCCGCGGCGCTTGTCCTCTGGGAGGGTGTGCAGCTGCGAGCACCGACCAGTCCCCGACGCGGGAGCGCGCACCCTCTTCAGCGGCTGAAACACCTGGGCATGGGACGGCGCGGCTTGGTCGGCGCACACGGCGGCTTACGAATACGGGCGTGTGTATGATGAAGAAGAAGAAAAAAGGCGGGACGAGATTGGCATGTAGTATTATTCGTAGCCCGGCCTCCTTGTGCAAAGTTACATGGTGGGCTCAGTCGTTCTGCGAACCGTATCCACAGCTCGGTTTCGTAAATCGCTATGGAGAGAAAAGAAGGGTGAAATATGACAATAATAAAGATAAAATAAAAACCCTTGGCCTCACCCAATACCCAGAAATAGCCGCCCAGGCTAACAAAGTGCTGCTACCCGATCCACATCGCAAGCTAGCAAAGGGAGAGAGAGAGAGGGAGAGGAACTATGGGTCGTCGACCAGGGAGGCGGTTCGCGTGTCACGAGGCTAACAAACGAAATGAGCAAAAGAGGATGCTGACGAGCTGACGAGGAAAAAGAGGGAACGCGAGCAAGAAAATTTCCTGCACGAATCGGGTCGACAGAGGAAGCCAATGTGTAGCTTAATTACTGGAGAACCTGGGTGGTTGCTCGGACATTGGCACCCCCCAAAAACCCTGGGCCGCTGGGCAAACCTGTGCCGTGTCCCGGCTGTCCGCTTCGCTGTTGGTCAGCTTCAGCAAAGTACCTCTCTGTAGGGTCCGCCGAAGACCTCGTTTCTTTTCCTCCCTCCCCCGGTCCGGAGCTCTGAGCTTCCGTCATGTGTCCGTATGTCCATCTTTCCTCGGTGTCTCTCTCTTTAGTGTAGGTATTCCTTCTTTCCTCGTTCCCTGTTCCTGGATGTTGGACGGGGTTGAAACCCGTCCCCCTGCTCATTGGTTCATTGGCTCCCATCAGACAGAAAGCCGCGCTGGACCTGCGTCGGTGAAACCGATAGTTTGGGCCCAGTGAACCACTTGATCTGCATCACTCAAAAGTGAATCCCTCATCGACTTCTGCTCGCCGGCAACCTGTCCCAATTCGTATCCCCTGTCGACGCCTTGGGGGAGACACAACCCAAAACGCGGGCTTCGTTCTGCACCGGAGCCAGCGCTCCTTGCAGCGTGCTGCTGGGGCCGGGGGGGGGGGGGGGGGGGGGGGGGGGGGGGGGGGGGGGAAGCTTGGCCATGAAAACCATGAACACCATGAATGCTTTCTTGAAAGTTGCGAGTCCGCATGTCGGACCCGCGAGACAAGGCAATTTGCCACACGTCAAGCAAGGGGACGGACAGGACAGCAGCGCATACGCGACAATCCAGCCTCGCACGTCTCACCCCATCCTTTCTTGTCTCTATAGTTCCCGAATTAGCACATTCCCGCCTCTACACGTCAGTAGATCCGGGTTCTTCTTGTCTCGTCTCCCACAGTGGTGATTCATGCTTCCTTCCTTCCATGAACCGCCGGGAACCCGCAAAACAAGGGCACGCCGGAGAAGTTGCCGTGCTCGACGACAATGATGCGTCAGCGTTGAGGCATCGGGAGGCGCACGGCCCTCGTTCCTGGGAAGCCGTCACGAGTCGCGCAGGCAATATCCCGTTTCCCGTTGTCATCCACCCATCACCTTTTTGCTCGGGCCTTGGCCGCCGTCCGGTGTTGGTGACGGGCGGAAGACCTGGGTGCCTGAGCGGAGAGCGGGTCGACCCCAGCGGGCTGGAACGAGATGAAGTCATCCGCATTGGGACGAAGTCGTGACTGGGAGCTGTTGGTTTCCAAGGCTTCGGCTACCCGATAACATGAAGATCACCGTCCACACCGCTCCCTCCAGTTTAGTGCGGTGAATCCAGGCACGCTTGCTTCACTTTCAAGGACTTGTCCATGTAACTGCTGAGTCACCAATGGGACACCCCCCCCATCCACCGACCCGGGTGCTGGAAGATGGGAAGCTGAGAATGGCCGACTCCGTCCATCTGCCGGGATACGGCCGTGCGCCCTCAGCCCCGTCGATTGGGTCTTTCTCGCGACATCTCGACACCGAATGCACCCTTGACAAGCGCAAACGGTCTCCTGGATCCGAAATGGGCTGGGCCAGCTACGTATTAGCGCTGCCGCGCCACGCTTCCGCCCAAGGTACGACTATTGACACCGATGAGGACGTGTCTCACCGACAAAAGTCCTCCCGGAGCGGCTAATCGCGATATGCGCCAGGCACCAGGCACCACCACATGCAGCCCGACTACCTCCTCGACGAGAAGGGAAGGGAAGTGGAGGGCATCGTCGAGACGCTGTCACGAGCTGCTCGTCATCAAACTTGATAAGGTTTGTTCGGGGAGCTTGGACACTGGATAATTCATTCCCCCTCCCCGGCCATGCCAAACTCTGTTCAAGCTCGCTACCTTGCCGTACCATCCCAAACTAGGTTTCATGGATTGCCTAAAGAAGCCCAACTCTACCGGAGCTTCGCGCGCGTCGTATCTGTCTCCCCAAGCTTCCGTCTTGTTCAGGCACAGCCTCCCCAGCACTTCCGCAGCGTAGCACCAACAACCCGGAAGCAGCTACGCAGCACCATGTGCTCCGGTCCAAAAAAAGTCGGCAAGGCATCATTGACGAAAGCGGCTGCGCTGCGCCACCAGGCCCGCGCCCACGTGGGGGACCGGTCGAGCGACGCTAATCAACTGTCCGCTGGGCTTTTCCTAGGCCTGCAGAAGACGCCAGCGTACGAGTGAGCACAAATTATTTGTAATCGTCTGGCGTCTCCATCGCCATAAATCATAACAAATTGGCCGGGCGGCGCGGGAACGGTGAGAGTAACCCTCTCTCTCTCTCTCTCTCTCTCCTCCCCTCTGGTCCATCTGCAGAGTAATGATGGGGGTGGTGGTGGTGCGTAGTGGTGGTGCCAATTGCCCAATCAGAGCCCGCAGGCCGAGCCTTTTGGGAATGGCCGCGAGAGGTTCTCCGGGCTTGGCCGGCATCTTCTTTGTTCTTCTGCGCACGAGTCCATCGAGCCCCCCCCCCGCGCCCCACGGCGAAGTTTTTATTTTATTTTCCTTTCTCGACAGTTCGGCTCATGTCCGCCTGACGAACGGGGGCGGGAAGGGACCCAGCTGAGAAGAAGAATGCCTGGTGGGAAGAGGAGAGTCGGGCCTACTGAGCGCGCCCTCCAGCTAGCCTCCTCTTCTCTTCGTTTGGTGGATGCTTTTGGAAGACACCTCCGCGCGCCATGTGAAAGGCTTCCTTTGCGTTGCGCTCGCCGACTTTTTCGGTGAAGAATCGCGACAAAAATGGGGGTGGCAATTCCAGAGTATCATCAACGTCCGAGGCCTCGTGGCTTCTACATCGTATGACATCCTCTTCGGATCCGGGCTTGTGGGGGCGCGAAATGTCAGGCGGCGGGCCAGCAGCATGTGCATTGCACATGCTTCCGGTACCTTGCAGCAGCCGGAAAGGTAAGGCAAGGAACACCGCGGAAACGAGCGCTATGGAATCATCATCGGGTCGGGGGGGGGGGGGGGGGGGGATGATGGGACGGTTTAGAGATGTGCGCCCAAAGGCAACGAGCAGGGGGGGTAACTGACTAAGTCGCCTGCCCGTCCCCGCAGAACCTTCCCCCCCATCGTTCGAACAGTTCTGCAGACGATTTCCTCTCTCGTCCTGCGGTTCACTGGTGCCCGTCAGACACGGACCGGGGACAAGCTTGGCATTGCCTGGGCATGAGACGAGATCTCCAAATCACAAAAAGTGTGATCAACCGTTGACGGGTTGTGAAGTCAGAATGGCATCCATCTTGTTTAGCCTCCAAAGTTGTATGGCAGAACCGCATCACAGCCCCCCCCCCAACTCGTATCATAATCCACAGCATCGGTACCAGAGAAGTGAGCGAAGTGAGCTTGCGGCAGTGAAATACTGCCAGGTTTTTTTCTTTTTAAGATTGTTGAATAAAATTACAATACGATGGTGATGGTATGATATATGCTGCCTTGGCTGAAAGGCCGCCCGCCTAAACCTGTTCCTGGTCCATCCCCCCCAGTCCCCTAACCGTACCCGTCATACCCCCCCCCTGGTAGACAGTTGCCCGTGCGTGCGCGTGCGAAGAAAAAAAAAAGGGAGAAAAAAAAAGGGATCCCCTTTTTGTGGTGTGTACCCCAAAAGACAGCCCACGTCCGTGGAAATGACGTCAAACCCGGTAACTCCTCCCACGCCCGTGCACCACCTATAGGTGCCTGACCAACAGTGCATAGTCTTACACGAAGCGGAACGAACCCGAGTGTGGGTGTGTGTGTTTGTGTTTGTGAGAATCTCAGAATCCGAGAAGGGACCCCTGGAAGAAAAGAAAAGAACAAGTTTGAGTAAGGCTTGCTGGAAATTCAGAGGAAAAAGTCGAAAGCACCAAGGAAAAGAATACGCCCGCTGTTTGTGTTGTATATCGTAAAGCCGTAAAACCCCCCAGCAGGTATCTTTCGCCGTTTTTGTCGCTCCCGTAAAAGTGTTGAGAAGGAAAAGGTTCAAGAGTGAACGTTGTTGTTGGTGTTGCTGACCCGTTTTGAAATGATGGATGGGATCCCATAAGATAGTTGGAAAGGAAAAAGGTGTTTTGGAGTTGAGTGCGTGTTCCTTAGAACAGTGTGTTGGAGGACCGGCTGGTTTCCTGCTCAAAGACGATGCCCCGCCTCTTCCATCCGCCGCGCTTGATAAAATCCTCTACACTATCGAGTGACTTCATCTGCGGCCGTCTCACGCTAGGCGGCGTATTGCGCTTGTGAGAAAAGTTCTGCCACTGGGACTCCCGCACGGGCCGCTCCTCGCTGGAGATACTGCCGTTCTCCGAAGAGTCCTCGTCGTCATCGTCGTTTTGTCCAGAGGCCATGGTGTTGATGGTCGACTCGGACCAGTGGGAGCGGGGCAGCTGTGGCCTGGTAGCGGCGATGTGCTGCTGCACCTTGAAGAGGAAGTAGTCGTCGCCCTCGGCGGCGTGCTCCTGGGAACGACTTTGCTGCTCCAAGGGCGTCCGGGGAGAGTCGACGGGCGGAGCGGGCATGTTGGGGATGGCGGCGGCGAAGGAAGCCTTGGCTTGCTCTGCGGCCGCGGCTTCCTGGCTGGAGAAGTAAGAGTTGATGACCTCGTCCTCAATGGCCTGAGAGTTGTGGATGAATGGCCGCTCATAGAGCCTTGGTGGCGGGTGGAACGTGGGGTGCAGTGAGAGAGGGTCGAAGTCGAGAATCCGGGTGTGGCGGACGGTGCCCGTCGACCGGGTCGATTGTGTTGATGAAGAGTCGCTGCTGGAGACGGAGTTGCTGAGGGAAGGCTTGCGGGTGTGCAGAGCTTCGGGGTGGCGTTTGCCCTTGCTGGTGGATGGCGAGTACTGGCCGTTGGCCCATGGTGTTGATTCGAGCATCGTCAAGTTTTTGTGATGATTGAGACTTGCGTCGAGTCAATGATTAGCCAGAATGTCGTTGGCGCTGGTGGTGGTCGATATATAGATAGATGTGGGATATTGTTTCCCTTCCTTTGTCGTCGTCTGTGTAATCTTTCCCTCGCGAATCCGGGTTCTCGGGATATATGATATATCTCGAGATGAGAGGGACGGTGGGAAAAGGAAGTCTGGTAGAAGGAAAGAAGAAACGTAAGAGTGAGGCCGGCAGGAGGTTTAAAGTGTAATCTGCCGGAAGATAGGATATATTACCACATAAAAGTTACCACACAGGTATGTAATGGATAGTCTTCAATGAGTGTGGTGGTGTGGTGTCTGTGTGTGCGTGTGTGTGTGTGCTGGACAAGGGTGTCGAGTGGTTGAAGGAGATCTGGGCCAGGGCACGACAGGCAGGAAACGAAAGCGGGCTTCGTCTTATTATAAAACTTCCATGACGGCCGAAACCAGGATTTCCATGGGGAACCACACCGAGGAGTCTGCCAAGCGTGGGGACGAGTAATCGGCAGCAGGCAGGCAGCGCAGAGTGCAGTGCAGAGCAAGCTCCGGCGGCGAGCGGGTGAACCGGGTCATCAGCCAGGTACGTTACCTTGCTGCAGAGAGAGACAAGACAGGTACAGACAGGCGCATATACGCACACACACACCCACACACCCACACACCCACGCACGGCACACCACACTACATTGAGTGGACTGGCACAGCACGCGGGCCAAGGTCCCTGACGATCGAGGCTGAAAGGAGGATAGCCTACAAGACGTGTACGCAGCAGGGAAAACCACCACGCTAGCGTCGAGTTGAGCCCACTAGTGTAGCCAGCTGGGGTGGGGGCCCTTTGAGGAATGAGGCGTGGTGCCTTGCAGGTTGCTACATGCTCATGAGGAATGCTGGGGAGAGAGGAGGGATGACATGAGATGGATCACGGATGGATGATGGGATTCAGAGTGAAGAAAGACAGGGGGGCCGAGAGGGTCAGGCGCATGCCGATGGATGATGGAAGATGCGAGCAAGAGATGGAGGAGGGTGGTATACGTATCCGAGGTGCGTGTGTAGAATGTAGATGCCGTCGACGGGCACGAGTGACGAGGCCACTAGAAACGGCGAGACAGAGCCACGGAGAGAGAGAAAGAGAGAGAGAGACCTGTAATGTACATGGTTGCATCGAGAGATACACGGAAACAAAACGAGATCGAGAGATGCCGAAGAGAGCAGGCGCAGCATCCCCGCCGGCGCGGAAGCCTATTGCTGCATAGTACCTATTACTCACCGCCGACACGCAAGCCGGATCCCAACGGCAAGGCTGCACTTGTGCGGCACTATCTGCTTTGGTGCCTTGACTATACCGTATCGTACCCGACACGACGGGCCCAAAAGCCAAGCCTCGATAACGCAACGAGAGGCCGTCATTCCAATTCCCGACCTTGTACTCTCTGCGTCGACAGCCGGATGTGCCGTCCGAAGTCTGCTGCGGGTGTGCTACCCGTGCATGGTAGCCGCGGCCGCCAGACCAGCACGAAGGGAATAAATGTCAAAATGCGCATACGGGCGAGGCGGAACTAGTGCTCCCAAGGGAGGTCTGGTGCGAATCCAATTCGTACACGCCAGAGTAAGGTTCCGCAATGGGCTCGTAATGGAAGACTCACGAATGCAGAAAAACGAAGCACACGATGGGGACCACACCCATTCACATCCCAGGGAACGAGAAGACAAGAAAAAATAACTTATGGGGACAAAAAGGAACAGAGATGAATGACCAGGCTGATGAGCCTATCGACGTGCAAGGACCGGGGGGTCAGCAAGGCGGTGTTGGCCAAGCTTGCCCGAGCCTGGGAAGCCCCTTGGTAGCCCTTGGTATTATGTGGTAGCCCTTGGGCAGCTATTCGCCGGGTCCGCCTGGCAAGACTCTCGAGGAGAGCCCACCTGCTGGGCCTGACGGTCGTTCGGCAGCATGGACAGGTCCCAAGGTCTCCTAAGACGCCGGGGCCGGGGTCGATGATGATTGATGATACTGTACGTACCGAAGCGTCCGGAGAGGATACGCCCACGGACGTCCACGCCGGTAACTGTCCAAGTCACATCCTCTCCCCCCCCCTTCCCCAAAAGGCCCCTATAAGGCCTTGGATAAGTCGCTTCTTGAAGCGGGTGGCCGTGAACTTTGGGCGCTCTCGAGGATGCACGTTCCCCTATGAGCGCTGAGAGGATACGTCATCCGGTCGTCGTCATCTGAACATTGCATAGAAACAACTTCACCACGGTAAGAGGTCGCAAACACGTCCAATGCTCTGTTACCCACTGCCGCTAGAACCAACATCACTGCCACAAGCTTTGGGGTCTTTGCCATCATGATGAAATACCGCTGATGAACCACCCCCCCTTCGAAATTGACGCGGCACGCTACGGCCTCAGAAACGTTCCACAGGCGAAGAGGCCGTGTGTTTCATGTTTTCTTACCCTGATGAGTGAATCCGGGTGCTGATCACGATCTTATTCTCGATGTCTCAAGTCCTTTCTCCATCTCGAGTGTCTTAACGGCTCTCTTAGCGGTCGGGCGTCGTCGCGAGCACCGTCAAATAGCGGGAACAAGAGACAAAGAAGTGACATGCTTCAAAAATCAGCAGCCGCGGCGTCCCTCCCGGCCTCCTCCTTACGCCATTTACAATCTGCTCTGCCACTACCATTGGGTGTCTACTTCTCCGTAAAAAATAAAAAATAAACCAGCTCGTGTGCAGCCGGTTCACCCGCGTCATACAAGTTATTTGCATAACACAACAGTATGCTGTGAGCGCTTGGGTTTCTCCATTCCACTTTGCGAGCAAATGGCAGCCGGCCAATGGAACCTGCCGCATGGCTCAACGTCGATATCTCAATGCTAGATAATGGTGGGAGGGGGCGTGGCGTTGCTTCTCTGCCTCCTATGTCGCACACGCGCAAGATGAAGGGAATCAGCCAGCAAATAGAGCACAGTTTCGAAAGTTGAAAAAGGCGATTGACGGCCAATCGGCTGGTGATCATCTCATCAGTGGCTCCGCTCCCCTGGCCATCGCTTGGAGATCTGGAGATTTGCTTGGTGACTTTGTTGTGGCTGATCGACACCTCAGTGCTCCTTTGGATGGCCACTGATCGCCTCCGAACACTCCTTGATTCTGATTATTTTTTTTGCCCGCCCGCATGATTGCTCGAATCTTTTCTGTGGCCTCGCTTGCCTCCCGCATTTCCACCGCTGGTTCTTATCTCTATGCGTCTTTCTAGCGGTGATCGTCGCCCGTCCGTGTGTTTCCCTTTGAGAAGAAAAAGAAGGCCACTTCGGACGAGACAGAGCAGGGGAACCCTTCAGCAATCGCTTCTCCCTTGCCTCGCGGGCTCGACATGTCTCTCGGGGTTGTCACTCGCAAACGGCTAACCCGTGACCTATTCAGTGCCTGATCCAAAGTCGATGATCTGACCTGACCTTACCTGAAGAGGTGTTAAAGCCGCTGCCGCCTAGCGCGAGTGAATGGAGCGAGTGCAGGACGAGGGGGAAAGAGGGAAAAGCCACTGCCGCAGCTGCTGAGTGGCCAACGACCGACTCACGAGGTGTCCGTTGGAGGATGCGCAGTCATCTCAGCCTCTTTAGGATTGGCGTGCTACGGATGGCCAAGAGGACGTGAACGCCACGACGCCGCTAGAGATCCGCCGTTTTGCCTACTCTCGCGGTGTACCTACCGGTACTGGTGTGCCTGGGTCTTGAAGATTGGATCTACGCTGCCTAACGGCAGGTTCTCGAGGGGTATTCAGCTGGCTCGGGTTCCTGATGGGTGGGAAGGGAAACGCGGGCAAACGGCTAGTCCATCTCCGTCTGCAGCTTGGTCACGAACGTACGAGGTGCCTCTTCTCCAGCCAGAAGATGATCAGATTTCGGAACCAGAGCTGACGGTTCCAGAAGACGGGGTCGGCAATAGCCGTGAGTTCGCATGACGAGCGCAAAGGTGGTGTGCGATGCGCCGTACGCCCTATGCCATTGGGGAAGCTGACACCCCGAGCCGCCATCTGCCATCGCATATTCTGCATGCACCTTACCCGTACAATGCTGTTCGTTTCCAATGACCTTGCGTATGGATGCTTTGCAGGACGTTTCCCGCCCGCACCGAAAGCTCCCCCTGGTCTAAGTTTCTTACCCCTCCTTTCATCATCTGCTATTGTTGGAAACCCCCTCCTGTCACCAGAAAGCTTCCCCCGTTCCCGTCGGAGTCCTTATTCTGCGCGTTTCCAATCCTGCTTTCGGGGCTTGGGTACTGGCATCTTCCCCGCGCCGGCCGCGTGTCCGACGCCATCCGGGCTCTTCCAGCACATACGTCCCTCGGAGTCTTCCCCCCTCCTGCTGCAACTTAGTCAATTATCATCCCTGACGGTAATCTCTGGGCTGGGCTGGCCAAGCCCTCCGATTGGGTCGCGCCATCACGATGCACACAGGCAAGATCACGACTTCGTAACCACTCAGCTGATGTCTTCACCCCCTCCCCAAGGCTCATGGTGACCCCAAAAAGTCCAATAGGTTGTCAACTAGACCCGGAACCATGCCCGGGAGGTCACAGCACAGGCTCGCATCTCGATCGCAACCATCTTGTCAGTCGGGGGAGAACCTCCTGAAGAATCCAGGGGCTTCCTGAACTTCTGGTCTTGGCTCATGATAGTGCAACTCGGTCTTGCCAGAAAACCAGCTTCTGCGTCTTTTGCACCAAGAACGTCCGTCCACAATCAACTAACTATTGGAGGTGCAAACGCCGGCCCAAGGCTGCCAGACCGTCTCATCGCTCACACCCTCTTCGTGAAGCCCAGCATTCCTCCTCATCGCCAGATCGATACCCTCCCTTAGCATATTCCAACATCTTCAAACCTGCCTACACCTGAGCGCGGGCCTTTGGGATTTGCTCGGTGGTCTTGCGTGAGAAGTCTTGCTTGATGAATTTTAGGCCCGGATTTGTACCGTTGAATCGGAGACTAGAGGAAGTAGGGGGTGCAGCAAAAATGCAACCCGCCCTACACGTGTGGTCCGAATCTTGCGTGGTGTACTCGAGCCTTGCTTGGCTTCGAGACAAGACTTCTCCAGCGGATCCAGCTCGTCTTCGCATCCAACATGGAGGCATCTATCCCTCCGCCAAACCCTCCCAAGGCTGCGCGGCGCGTGCTACACCGAAGTACGGCCTCGTGTCAGCAATTCACGCAACGAATCGCTGGCGTTAACGGCAGCCTCACCAACCGGGCGGTCCTACGCCACGGAACCCCCATCAGCCAACGCAGTTCGTACCATCGCTTTTCCAAGAACACTACGGTACCTCACTACCCGACGACTACAATTATACGAGTTCCTTCCAGGCGGAATCCAAGCCCTTGGCTGTTAGACCGGAAACCAGTTCATTCACGCCAGCACACTGCGTACCCGCAGCGCCATGCCCTCACTCAGCCATTGGGACTATTCATCGAAATAGCTCGTCTTGTCTCGTCCCATCAGAAGGTCCCATCAGGACCATTCTGCTGGGCCTTCCTCCTGTGGACGAAGGTGACGGCATGGCCGCCGATCCCGATCGACACTCTTGGTGCGCCCCGCGGCACCCGTCAGTCTTGCGACCGCCTCCTCCTGAATCCCTTCTGTGACGCCTCGCCACTTGCTCGCCGACTGGTTCGACAGGCCTTGAGTTCTTGATTGCTGGTGCGGCTTGATCGACTGATGGGTAAGGAGGGCGTTGAACATCTTGCCGACTATCTGAGAGAGGCGGCCGTTTTGTTTCAACTGGCCAAATCTGAAGCATCCGACAAGGGACCGTTGACTTGGCTGGCCGATAATCCGGTCAAGTAAACATCACTGCGATCGCGATGCATTGTAATCTACACGTAGTTGTCGTCAGATCAAAGCCGGGACTCCCGATTGCCAGATCAGGCAGGGCGGGCATCATTGTCTTGTGCCGTAAGATGCAGTCACTCGATGGTATGCCGAAGAACGCTTGATGATTCAGATGTCGACTCTTAATGCTTGTCGATGACAGCGGCAAAGATGTTGCTATGCATAGGTGTTGACTTCGAGGGCCTTTCAGCCCTCGTCTGGAATTCCCGCCCGCGTGGAGGCGCGTTGCGAGGCTGTCCTCGAGTTAAGGGACCTTTCCAAGGGAGCCGCCGACCGCAACGCGCGGGACGTCAAACCCAGCCCGGTTTCTTGGGCTGCTTTCCCTTTGACCGACCATTTCCTCCTCCCAAATACCTGGATAACAATAGATGTCTTCCATGGCCTCTTCAGACAATTCGTTTCAACCTCTCAGAGGAGTGGTTGCATCAAGGCCACCCCCAGATCGACCAGTCCGGTGCGTCATCCCGCGTTACAAGCGCCCAGGAAACCCCGCCCTGATGTCGTGCATCCCAACAACGGCCGTCAGACACCTCGCCTCCTCCTAAAAAAGGGTCGCCTTGCGCAAGCCTTCCATTCCGTTCCATGGCAGCCACGGCCGCCTCATGAGACCTGCCAGAGGGCGATTGACAATGGGCTCGGAAGTGACGTCGAAGGCAACGGGGCGGTCTTGAACCCTTGGTGGCTTGAGGGATTGGGGCCACGACATGGCTTAATGTTGTGCGCATTGATTCCAAGCCAGACGCTCGCGAGATTGAGATGTGCACATTCTTGCGTCAGTCATCCTGCCCCAACAAGCACCTTGCCGCGTTCGCGTTTGCGTCCGCTGAGAGTCGAGGGATGAATGGGTGACCAAGATGAGTGCGACCGCGGTAGAAAGACAACAATCACTTCTTTGACACCACTCGCATTGCTCCATCCCAATCTCGATGCTCGCGCATCGAGGACCAAACAGCTCGAAGTCGGATTATCGTGTTCGTGGCGCGTCAATCGATCGAGATGCAAGGTGCATTGCAATGGCCTCTACTCGCCAATAATGCCATCGTGTTCGCCTTTGAGTCGCTGGACACGCTTCTGCTCCCAGTTGTCGATGTCCTTCGCCGCAAGTCGCTGGTGCAGTTTGTCAGCATTGCTTCTCCCACCGTTCCTCCTCTTACAGAGCTTCTGCAAGGCGCGGCTTCGAAAAACTCACGTAGTATTCTTCCTTCATGTCGACCTTGCGCGCTGACCGGCGGAGGTTCAGCTCCTCGTCCCTCGTTACCTGGCGCACCCGTCTGTCATGCTTCTCGTAACGGATGGCCGTGGCAGGCGTCAATACGAAGGAGCCGGCGATCATCACGGCGATGAAGGGCAGGCCGAATAGCAGAAACGGCCGCTTGGCCAGCTGAGCCCGATACTTGGCTGCAAAGGTATTGGTGTCCGCCTTGGACGGAAACTTCTTGTTGCTGAAGACAGCCATGGTCGGCGGATTTAATCAGGAGATAGAGCGATGAGGTCAAGCAATCCCGCGGGTACAGGCGATTGGCGTGGTCTGGTGTCTGAGGCTCGGACTTCTTGATAGCCCAACACAGTGCCTTTCTCGTCGGTAGCTCTAGTGGGTTTCGTCAGTGACCTCAATTGTCCGCAGCAGCTGTGAAGCACAGAGTGGTCTGATCTTGGGAGATGGATGATGCGAAAAAAAAACCAAGAGATGGAACTCCAGCCAGACGCTGACAGTTTCCCGGAGTTTCCCAGGAGACTTTGAGCTCGGATCCAAGGAGGCCCACCTCGCCTCGACTAGCTTCTGCGCACGTGCCGCACAGTGCTGAGTCTACCAAAGGTTACCAAAGTTCCATTACATAAGCATCCGAAAGGTGTCTTGCTTTTCTCCTCTCCCACTGTGTCTTCTCGTTCTCATACTCGTTGGCTAGTTCATACTCATCAATGCACCCTTTCTTATGCGGCGCCTCCTGTTCTCACCTGAACTTCATGACCTCGGCCGCCGCCCTGAGGCGCAGTGGCGGCCCGCGTCGGTCTATCGATGTACTGAAGGCAAGGCAAGGCAAGGTAATCCGTGTTTCTCGTACACTACAACGGACTCAGTGTGGCCCTCTCCGGAACCCCCTTCCGGCCCGCGAGAGTCTCTCCTTGACTTCATCGCTCTGCCTAGCCCAAACGGATGAGATCATCGAATCACAGTTTGCCAATATGTCAGGGAGCTCGTAGTTCATCTTCCTCGACTTACCAACGGGACAGTCGACGTGGAACCCCTCCAAACGGTCTCGACCATGGCCATCCCGCATTAATCGTCGCCGGAGAGAGGGTCCCCGTTCTCCATCGTCTCTCCAAGCAAGGCTCAACCCGCTGTTCTGCTCGCCGGGAACGCCAACAGTCACCACAAATAGCATGCGCCTTACTTGCGTGCGTGAGGATGGGCCCGCTCCCTCAAGAGACGCACACGTACACTTCTCAGCCACCACTCCGTCCGTACTTTGTGCTCCGTACTCTACACTTTGTTCTCATCTGAAACCCGGCACGCCTAGCAAACGCCCTTCGTCCCCAAATCCCACCTGGCCACGCCCAGCGATGTTCCCCGCAAACCTCCCCAGCAGTGGCACGTCTTGTGTCTAGTGTCGCCCGTCCTAACTGTTTCTCATCCTCTCGAGCCGCCATTGCTAAGCGGCGCTAGTCGCAGTCACTGCCCGCTGCAGCGAGCAAGCTCCACGGACTGTCACAAACACAAACATGCGCTATCTCGCTCAGGCTGAGGGCCTTCAGCGCCGGTTAACCACCTGGGCACACAGTACCGGTAACGACTAACAAGGGGACCAGGGAGAGGAGCGAGGGGTCGCTGGGTTCCCGGGAAGCTGGAAACCGTGTTGGACGAGCATTGACCACACAGGAAACTTGGGCCCAATTCCACACAGAGCAGCACTTGTTCCAGTGGACTTAAGCTCCGTCGCCTCTTTTTGCGACACATGGTGCCCAAAGGCAGGTTTGTCGAGGTTCCTACGCCAAGAGATGGCCGGTCCATCCCCTCCTCCCCTGCAAGGCACAGTGAAAGCTACTTCGTCGGATGAATTGTGGGCTCGGTATTTGATGCTTGTCGGGCCACAAGCCGACTGGGGGAGCTCCTGAAAGGGGCAGCCCTGGACAGGTGTCACGGCCTCGAGGCTTGTTTCGTTTCGTTGAGGCGGACGACGCAAAGCGAGCCAAGTACCAGTGGCCTGCTGCTGCTGCTGCCACCGCAAAGAAACTTGCCGGACTATCCAAGAACGTGTGTTTATAAATGGGACCTTCTCCAGTGCCGGCGTCTAGGCGGCCGTGGCGTTGAGAGGGGGGGCATGGTATAAGTTTCTCCCAAGTCCTGCCTTCTTTCATTCCAAGCGTCCAAAGCGACTTGGCATTCTTTGACATCCCGCGAACATCAAAAAGATCTGCTCCGACTCCCATCGTACCCCAGGCTGGTCCATCCCTTCCAAGTTTCAAACCCCTCCCTCCGCTTGCTTGCCCACGTTTACCATCTCGACGTCCACTTGGAATCTCTCATCGTCTGAATCCTCGTCCAACAACTATCACAATGGGTTACTACTGCTCAAACTACTATGTATCTCTCTCTTTGCATGCACCTTTGTCCGGCCTGTAGCTCACGTGACTATCACACAGGGCTCGATTCACTGCCACAACACTGTTTCACGCTTCGGCGACAGATGCCATCTGTGCGCAGTAGGTGCCCTCCGGCCGTGAATGCGTCTATCGCCATCTGACATCTCATCGCCACAGGCATCGAAAAGAGGCGCGTCCATCAAGGAGGGTCTCCTCTCCGAAGCCGAGCGATGGGGGTCGTCGACACCGCGGTCCACCACCCTTGGTGATCGCCGGGCCGAGCGGAACAGCCGGCCAATCCGGGATTCGAGAGTGAAGAATTGAAGACGAGAAAGAATACACAAGATTACAATGACCAAGAGAAGAAAGGAATTTTAGAGCGAGCGAGGGAATTGACCAATCGGCGCAGACTGGATCACTGAGTATATCCACGGGTTAGGAGAGCGGCGGCGGCGGTATGTGTGGTACACAGGCGTTCAAAAACCCAAATTCGGACCCGCGATGCGAGATGGTCCAAGCATTCTTCTTTCCTTTAGAGGACACCTCGGAGTCAGGCCTACCCGCCATGCAACTATCATTCACATGACTAGATAACGACAACACGAAGACACCTAATTTACAACTCATCACTAGTGTGCGGTTACGGGAAGACATGGTGTAATGCTACTGCATTTCACTCCCGGCCTTTTGTTTTCCCTGCTTGACCAGACGCCAAACTGCTAACACGCTGTATTGCGCAGTAAGCATTCGGAGTTTGTGCCCGACAGGATAGCCTATGTGACTTTGGGGTGCAAACGCTCCAAATTTACAGAAACAGCCTTTGCTTCAGCCGTGACAGGGAGTCGCAATCTAGGTTAAACCAAGTCTGCGAATCCGAATTGCATAATCGAGTAACGCCCGAGCCGTATTTCCAAATCCAGAGACCCGGAAGGATGGTACGGATGCCACGTGTCACGAAGCAAGGTGACACTAAACAAGACCAGCTTAGTCCATTCTTTATATCTGAAAGAAAAAAAAGCCTCCCCCGTCTCAGTCATCCAGCTCAGATGCTCGCCAAACCGGTCCAATTGGCAGTAAATGCCTCTCCGCGACGCAGAGCTGAGCTCGGGAGCTCGAGTCAAAGCACACAGTGAGAACTCCGAGGTGTCGGCAACATCTTGTCTGATCATGGCCCCAGAGTTCAAACGATGACAGACGGGTTTATAAAGGGTTTGTTTCAGAACCTGCGGCAGATCCACGAACAACTCGCTGCTCCTCTTCAATCTTTCACGTGATTCTCCAATACCCAGCTGTCAGAAATCTCTGTTAGACGGCCCGAACAGTTTCCACTCGCCTCTACCGAGGTTAGATGAGAGATCGCCATCGGAATGAGTTGAGACGATCACGCCATAGCCAACCTCAAGCTAGGCCATCCAAGATGCCAGATCTCTCTCTATGCCTCTCAGACTTCGGATGGAGCTTCTAGCCAATGTTGACCTGATAATCTTCCATCGGGGCGATATCTGGGAGGCTTATCAAAGCGAACAAGAGTGGTGAGGCAAGCTTCATGAAGCTCGGATCTTGGGGCCCTAGCGGTCCGATGTCCCAACTTAATGGGCCATCCTTTCGGGCAAGGCGAAAAACATCACTGGCTTCTCACACTCGATCGTCACCTGGGCTTTCCCATGTGTGATTTTCCTCGTACCGGGAGCGATCTTGTCAACACGGATGCTACGAGCCCCCCCGGCAACGGGTTGTCTGATCGTATAAAGAGACAGATGGACAAGTTGCAAACTAAGAGCTGGAGGAGATGACGACGACAATGATTGCAGCTGCTCTCGAGTCAGCAGACACATGCAGACCGGACAGTTTTTGAGTCGGAATCTTGGCTCGACAGTTGGCATGTGAAATGGCAGCTCTATATCATCATCCCATCTCAGTAGAACGCCCGCATTGCCACGTGATGGAGTAGACCCTAACACATATGCTGGTTTCATTCTCAGTCCATTCTCAATCTTCAGTAACCCGGCTATCTGACGTTCATCTGCAGCCTATTACACACTGAGCGTCTCAGGTCATAGATCTCCGCTTGCTGTTTCGCATTATAATGTACTAATAATATCAACTTGCAAGATATCTCCACGGTCGTTGCACTCTCCTTCATTACCGGACTCCAACGTTGGTTTCGTCCAGCATGACAACATCTTTCTTGGTCTTTCACTCACAATCGAACCCTCTTTACACCATGACGGTCACCAGTAGCAGTCTCGTCTGCAGGACGCTTCGTTCCAGCTGGTATCTGCGCGAGCAGGTTCTCGAGTAGAACGAGCTCTCGATAGACTTCGTCGCCCAGCATCTCGGCCACCATCTCATCCCGCAATGGCATGAGTCGAGAGTCAAGTGCCCAAACAATATGTTGCCACGACTCTACCGCTTCTGCAAACTCTCGTCCGGTCTTCTCCACAACCATGGTATGGGTCCGTTGCGTTTTTTCCGTTTTGATGTTGAAATACTGCGCCCTGCTGCCAAAGGCATAGCCACTACCATAACCGCTACCGCTGCTGTCGGCTCGAAGCTGGCTTTCAAGGTGGTCACGGGTCTGTTTTCCCGCTTGGTATCTCCAGACTTTTTGATCGGGCGCAACGAGGAATGCATTCATGGCCTCGCAATCACGGCATTTGTGACCTAAACCGCCGTAGTTGTTGGGGCACGCACGTGGTTTATGAGTCCAGCCCCGACGCTTCGGTGGGTTCTGCGGGACGTTTGCATAGAGCCCCTCGCGCAAAATGACTTCAAACAAGTCCTTGACTCCTTGTGTAGCCGGGATGCTGTGCTCTTTCAAGGTCTTGATGATGGGTTGGAGGAGCTGCGGAACAACGTCTCCGCCAACTTTCTTGGGATGCCACTCCGCCTTGGTCCACACCAGTTGGTTGCAGCATGCTTCCAGCAATTCTTTCCTTTTCTCAACGAGCCCCAAGGTTAGGCATTGGTCCACAAGGTCAACAAAATCTTTAAGAGGCCCGGAGCAAGGCGGTGGATCACGAGTCGGTGGATCACGAGTCGGTGGCCCACGATTCGATGGGCCACTGCCGGCTGGCTTCGGGAGCATGTCTGCTCCCTGAAGTAGCAGTCTCGGAAAGGCATGGTGAAGAACGTATTCAAACAATTCCTTCGCGATAGCAAACTCGACCTGGTCCCTCTTGACAAATACGAAGCGAAGAACTCCATAAATAAGTGCACGGGTGCCACGAGAGGCTAGTGCCGGTATCAAACTGTGGAAAGGAAGCCCGCAGTTAGTTGCCAAACAGTCTTAAATTCCTTCCAAAATGTGTTGATCAGGGTACGGAAGGGTAGATTCTCCATACCTCGACATAAGCCACTCCTTTTGGTCATGCTTTTCTCCTGTAGTTTTGACAAAGAAGAGATGTTCGCCAATGTCGAAACTGGCTTGAGTCTTGAACTTGTCACTCAGCTTGGACTCTCCCCACTTGACGAACGAGTCTCTAACAACATTATTCGTAAAGACCGGTGTGAAATCTTGTATGATGCGCTGTACACTTGCAACAGTGTCTGCTTCTGCTACATTTCCCACCCTGACGAGTTGTCAGCATTCAATCGACGTAGACCTTCCACCTTGATGTGGCTTTGAGGCTTGGAAACCCCCAAGCTGTACAGCATCAGCAAAACTCACCACTTATCCCACTCAATAGACTCCGGGTTGTTGCCAAAACGCTCCTCGATGAAGTCACACGCTGTTTTAATTGCGCTGTTATGAATATCTTGGATGCCACTTTTCGCCGCCGCCGCCATTGCACTTCGATAGAGTTTTCTATCTTCCAAAGTCAGTGCCCAGTATACGGCAATAGGGGTAATTGCTTTCGAGCTCCCTCCAGACCCCAGAGCCTTCCGTATGACTTCGAGCACCGGGGGTCTTGCATGCTCGTTGACAGTCTGATCCTGCATAAACTTGGCCATGTCATCGGCGACCATCTGGACCATGTTCTCTGTGTACGAGTTTTTGGACGAGCCATAATGGGGGACTTGGCTCATGTACCGATGGACGCTTTTCTTCTTGACGAGAACTGCAACCTATATTTAATAAATGATCAACGTTGATGCTCTTCAAGTTCAAACGCTTGCTGAATCTGAAAATCAGATCCAACAACATGTGAGTACATACCGTGTTATGATATCGGTAAGTGCTTTCAGCTCCCTCGTTTCCAGTAAACTCTCCTTCGTCCTCGCTGTCGGGATTGCCTTCCGAGAGTTTGCTCAGGTCCAGAACTTCTTCGTCGTCCGGCATGCCCCCAAAGCCAACCGGCTTGCCATCATAGGAGTAAAGGGTCTTCATGTCGTTGTATGTGTCTTCTTCGTCGTCTCCGCCGTAGCCATAGTAATCTGGCTCGGCACCTTTCTCGCTGCGCGTCAGTTGCGCGAACAGGAGGTAAACGCCGCATTCAGATGCCACTTGATGTAAAGCCCGGCAAACAGCTCCATCGCGACCTTTTGTGTTGCGCATTGACAAGCTCGCCTCGGAATACTTGTGCTCAAGGCGGTGAATGAGCGTGTTCTTTTCAGGGAACAGCCTTTGCCACTCAAGCAAAATCTTTTTGATCTGCTGGGCCTGCTGTCCAAAGAACCCAGCAGACTGCTTTTTAGACCCGTTCTGCACGATGTTGTATGTTAGAGCCAGGCGGTAGCCTGCCTCCAGCTCCTTAACCTCATGTGAGACGTCAGAGTACCATGCTAACGCGGTCAAGTCGAACCTTGAGGTCGGTGCCGTCGAGAAACTGCGCTCGTCAGAGCCGAAACTGAGATGAACATCTCCGCCCAAGTGTTCTGATGGTAGACAGACGACCAGCGTGCCCACCATTCCAGGTTCTTTCTCAGTATCTTTATGGCGCTTGAAAAAAGACCCCTTCTCGTAGAGCAGCAGCTTGTGAGGCTTCAAACTGATATTCATCAATCCAAGGCCACCAGCGGACCCAGTGCCAACTTTCACAAGGAAAGCGGACCATTCGGGGTTCAGCAGCTCAAACTGGCTATGTTCGAGCTCCCAAGTGTTCCGCACCGAGGTGTCGACGAGAGTATCATCTCCTTTGCCAAAAGGAGCCTGTTTGCATGCTGCCTTGATCAGTTCCGCATGGCCGGGGGTCAACGGAAGTGGAAAGGCGGGATGCCCCTCAATTTTCAACGCCGGGTTGGTGAACGAGGTGTATCGTGTGAAGGAGGCGAAATCACCGACGGATTTGATGCCTTTCAAGCACTGCCGCAGCGTGCCTTTCCACACGTCATAATTGGTATTCGTCGGTTCATCCCCAGAGCTAATTGACTCAGGCGACGAGTAGCTCATGGCTACTGAACAACGCTCTGTAATCAAGATCGCGGTGATTAATTCCTTCTTTGAATGCTTGATATGATGATTGTTCGTTCTGTCGAAAGGAGAACTCCAAGACCGTGTTGGTGATGTTAAGCCTTGCCGACGCGACGGAAACGCGTTGTGGTAAATGGTGTGTTGGGTGGGGGTCAAGGTGTTAAAGTAGGCAATGCAGCAGCTTAACCCAGAAGATTCTGCCCGCCAAATACGCAAAACGCGATGGCACGTGCATTTAGCACCTGGCAAGCGGCCAGCCAGCAAATCAAGGGAATTTTCTAGACACACAAGCCTTATAGTAACAAGAAAATCCTATGAGGTAACGTACTTTAATAGCTGGTACACATACCCTTCGCCTTGATATAACAAGTAAATCAGGACGTTGGGAGCAGCTAGTGTTGGCTAGTCGGGTGTGTCAGATTTACAGTCAAGCGCATCAGCAGTAGGCTTAGCCCCGCTTATCCGGGAATATCAGCTGCTGACTAGAAATAGCGGCCACATCCAACTAGGAATAAAAGTCAAGCCAAGTTAACTTTCCCCTTTACACCTTGGTCCCTTTGTTTTTATCACGCATGACAGGACAAGGCAAAAGCAGCAGATTGGTGATGCGAAAGTTTAGGTCGGACCAGAAAACAACGGTATCACCATGAAGCTTAAATTTAAGGTACAGACCACACCACCGGACAAACAGGCTCCCAGTCGGAAGGATCAGGCCGTGACGTCTAGACTCACCTTTGTCAATATTGACTGCCCAACGCAAATCAAGAGCGCTACCACTCAGCGCAAGATCCGTCGTCATGTCATGAAGGAAATTGGTCGTTCGAGAAGACGGGATGTGGTTCACCATCCAAGCACAGGCCAAAGCGCCATCACGGTGTCAAGATCTTTACCGCGTTCTGTCCCGTCCTACTGGGGCGACGTCAAGGTCTGCATCAACTTCAAGCGTCTCTTCCGAGCCATGGACATGGTTTCAGGAGGACTTTTGGCCTTGGCGATGGCCGACTCAGCTCATGAGTTTCGCCAGAGGTTGGACATGGACCTTAATGCTACATTGCAACAAAAACGTCGGCCAGATCAAGCAGGATCTCTGGGCGAGATGAAGCAATACACTGAGTCACTCAGTCTCGTCCGCAAATCTATCGTCGCACCAGAAAGTCGGGTCAGTCGCCATGCCATCATTGGCACCATCATTTGCCTAGTGGTTTTTGACGTAAGAAGGCCATACCCCTATTCTTCGCAAGACGCTCGTGTACTGACTGGAGTAGATGCGTGTCCGCAGCCGCGAAAGGTGGACGATGCACATGAAGGGGCTGGACAAGGTCGTTCAGCTTTTTGGTGGCACGGAGGCACTCGACTCGTGCCCACCCGTCCGCCAGTCGTTATTCATGTGGGAATCTACCTACCTCTTCCTCTTCATCATGGGGGTATGATCTTTTTACTGACCAGTCGTGTGCTTTTGATAGTATTGATGTCCTTAGCTCACTGATCGACGACGCCCCTCCGCAATTCCAGCTACCACGACAGACATGCGTGCTGCCCTGTGCCAGACAGTCTTACCTACATTCTGCGCAAAGGCTCTCGGTATTCGGTGAGATGTCCAAGTCGACCCCGTCGCTCGACGAGACCGCCATCGTCACCATGGACAGCGCCCTGAAGTCCGCCTCGCAGCTTGCAACCCTGCTCAATGACGCGTGGAACGCAAACAGGATGACTCTGGACCTGCTGATTCCCGTATGCAGGCTTGCGCACGACGTCTTGTCACTCCCGAGGATGGCGAAGTGCATCGGCCCAAGCGAAAGGGCACAGCAAGCCACACTGCGAATGACACCGGTCGGTGCTGCTGCGGAATTGGTCCGGTTATCCGTCCTCGCTCTGCTGTCTACCGTGATAACCACAACCTCCGGCGACGATCTGTATTGCGCCGCGCATCACAGCAGCCACGCGCGGCAATTTCTGGTGCAAGTTGACACCAGAATCTGGGCTGGGTGGGCAGAGCTGAAGCTGTGGGTGCTAGTCATTCAGACGTTAATGGAGACAGGACCAGTCAGACCTTGGCTCATGGACGAGATCATGAAGACCATGACATGTTTATCGCTACATTCTTGGGATGGCGTGGTATCTTGTCTGCATCAAGTAGCCTGGGTGGAGAGAGCGGCCATGCAAGAGATGGCACAGCTCAAGTGCGATATCGAGGCGCGGCTGGCACACAAAACTAACGTTTGACGACAACACTGACGGATGAGAGACTTGCTATGTGAGTCCGCTGATGATGGAAACTTTTTATATAATCATGTTTATTCTTGGCTCTGATGCAAACATTGTAGTCGTTCTAGTATGTGAGTCCCCCATTGACGCCAACGTACTGGCCAGTGATCCATCTGGATTTCTCGTTGACCAAGAGAAGTACAGCATCACCGATATCCTCGGGGGTTCCGGCGCGGTTTTCGGCCCTTGTCAGGGCGATCTCCGAGGCCATGAGCTCTTCCTCACGTCCCTTTGGGTATATGTCCGTCAACACCGGACCAGGAGCTACAGAGTTGACAGTGAGGCCCTTGCTCCGGCCAAGCTAAGAGAAAGGTAAACAAAGTTAGCGATATGCGAGAAACAAGCTCCGCCTCCCACATCTTGACGGATTACAGAGCCATCTGAAAGTAGAGGCCAACAATCGTGGAAAATAACAGAGGATGGAAACCTAGCATACGTACCTCTTCGGCCCAAGTCCATGTCAGACTGTCCAAAGCTGCCTTGGACGCCGCATACGTGGAAATCTTCGCGTTGCCCTTTTTGGCATTGGTGGAACTGATGTTGATAATACGGCCGCCAGGGGGCATGTGTGGGACAACGCCATTAACCATGTAGAAGGGGCCAAGTACGTTCAGTTGGAAGACCTTGGCCAACTCTTCAACGTTCGGCTCGCCGGTGATTGGGGAGAAGAACGCGGTGCCGGCGTTGTTGACTGTCCAAAAAGGACTCAGTTTGACTTGCGCGAAGAACCATCCATAGGTTACTGGACTTCATACCTAAGATATCAATGTGGTCCGTCTTGAAACCCTCGAGGGTCTTGTTGACAAGATCCCGGGCACCTTCGATCGTGTCCACGGCAGCTTGCACGGCGATGGCCTGCCCGCCCGCCTTGCGCAAGCTTTCGCAGACGTTGGCAGCGCGGTTCTTGGTCGAGTCGGAAACGTAATTGACGACGACAGAGGCACCGTTGCGGGCGAGGGCGAGGGCGATGCCTGCGCCGATGCCATTTTCGCGGCCGGAGCCGGTGACGATGGCGACTTTTCCCTCGAGGCTAAGAGTGTCGGCCGTCATTTTCGCTGCGAAGGGGAAACGAGATTGTAGGTTTCGTATATAGATTGGAATGTTAAGAATGAACAGTCGATTGTGCCTATCTGAAGAGAATAGGAGAAGAGTCGTTCTAGGTTAGGATTTTCAGCATACTATTTATACATTTTGGTGCTGAGCACGGCAACCTTGAAAAGCACCCAGAATAATGAGGCCCGGCTGTCGGTCAGTTCATGAAACTCGAGCGCGAGACCAACATTGTCCAGCATCGGCCGAACAGTTGATCCCATTGGCTGAATCTGGTGTTGGGGCTGGCTCTTTGGTGAGACGGGAATCCTCAGCATACGCGCATGTGAATTTGTTCTCCATTTCAGAGGAGTGAGAATAGAAATTTCCTAATTAGGAAAACGGTGATGCGTCATTTGGCGGCTGCATGTCGGTGTCAGTGCGGGGCCGGGCACAGTTGAGCCGGGGCCGGTGATAGTTGACATCTAGTGCCACGGAATAGTACGGTAAGTCTGGAGAGCTAGGAGGTTCGACACCTGCTTTTTCAAGCCGCCGTTATCCTTATTAGTGTACCAAGGGCAACATATTGGTCGGTATGGCCTCATCGGAGAATCATGGAGCTGAGGGGCGTCTGACAGAGTGGGAATCGGGTAGTGGCTAATGCATAGTTTGTAGACAGGGATTCGCCAGTGAAAGCAGCCACCGCTCGGCAAGAAACTGCTTCCCTTACCGAATAATGTCTCTTCTTGTTTACCCACCGTTGCCCCGATGACGAAAAATGTCCGGTAAGATATCTCCAGCGGAGCCATCACTGACGCATTCAGCTGTCGCTATCTACTATAGTACATCTTTTCGATCTCTCAGCCATAGTGGAATTGCCTCCGACCATTGCTGCGGGTTTGAATAGAACAACAGCTCAGCTGCCTATCTCCCCTCACTAGACTTGGCTTAGTCAATATTATACGATGAAGATAATCATTATACTATACTAGGCTCACAGCGATCCGCCTCATTCTACTAGTCAAGCAATGTCAGAGGTTGCCGTCTTTCATGACTATCCCTGACACTGCCTCTCTTGCCGCACTTATGCCGTTATGAAATCATATTGTAAATTGGCAAGACTCGTAATAGCCAACGCCTAGCAGTAAGGAGCACCCAGACAAGACATGAGGTAAAATGATAAATGAACTTTCATAAGTCACACCACATGAAAGCAAGTATGAACATGATGAACGGGCCGCACATGATGGCAGGAATGAATGCTGTTCAAATTTGGGTGTAAACAGTGACGCTCTCTAGGAGACGATGTGCAATTTGGCTTTGGAGGCTTGCCGACTGGTCGCCAACGTCAGTCCGCTGGCCAAGGCCGCAAGAAATCCTCCCAGAATTTAATAACAACGCCTCAGCTTGAACTATATTATACCAATCACCTGATCAGTCCGATATCTTTCTTCTCTTTTTATTTCTCCAGCTCTCTGGTTTGCAACGTTACATGTAACACAAACGTGAAAACATAAGACTTGGTGTCTGGTAGGTTGAAAACAATGGCTGAAGCTCTATGGTGTCTGGAAGCTTGTGTTGTTTGCTTGAACGGAGTTGCCTGGTGTTCTTTCGGCTTCCAACAACCGTATGCTAGGACCACTCAAAACCAATGTCGCATTCTCATATAGACGTCGTGTCACTGACTTGGAGAGACTTCTTGGCGTCGTCCACGAAATTTTGCTTAAGATGTTTTATCAAAGGGAGTTATTTACTTGACTGATAGATGAGGGGGCCTGTCTGTGTGGCACGGTCACTTCGACTAGAGCCTATAGGGACATGAGATGTCGTCAAACAGCGGCTAGTTAACTCGAATGAGACATGTTTTGGTGCTTATCCATAAAGGAAGACTTGTATAATAACTTAAATTTGGGAAGTAGTGAAGATGATAAAAAGCCTAGAGAGATGACCTGCCCAAAGCTAGTTATTTCCCTTAAGCCTATTAGAATCACCAATGTTTCTTAAGTGTTTTATGCTCAGTATTACCCATACAACGGACAATTTGACAGGGAACCCCTACAAAAGTTTAAAATTAGCAAATTGATTCTTGGTTGGCGGTTTAAGATGAGTCCTCTGTGTAAGCCCTGAAAGTTTCTAGAGTGTCTGCACATCTGCGAAGCGTAACTCGTCAAGTGAGCCCTGGTTCACTTCAGCCGTCCTCAACGCGTCCTTAGCATTCCCGAGTTAACCCAGATAGGGACGCATCTAAGTTACTCCAAAGATCGTGGGGATGTCCAAATACTCTCCTCTCCATAAACCTCATCCCGGACGCTACACATGTTCTTTAACTCCTCCTCGGAGCCAAACAAAACGCTTACAAACACTCTGGCCTCAGTACTACTATCCGGCTCCGAATGAACTGGCGCATCATTCTCTCCCCATGTGAACCGCACGACCTGGCCCGCGCGGAGCTCGACTAGCGGAACCCCCTCCAGTAACGCAGCCAGCTCTGCGCGCTCCTCATCCATGCTGCCGTGCTGCGCCTCCACCTTGTGCACCGCAGCGTCCACCGCCTCCGACGGGTGGATCATCCGAGTCGGCGGTCCGAGTAGCGTCACGGCATATTTTGCATGCGGTCGAGGCGCCGCGCACACGCAGTCAAACATGCGCCCGTCGCGGTGCCAGCGAGGCGTGATCCATTCATCAGAGGGCCCAGTGATGCGAACGCATAGCCAGGTTGAGTGGGTGCTACTGTCTTGGTCAGGAGGACTGGTTTCCTGCCGAACGTGGGCCGCCGAGTCGACAAGGAAAGAGGAGAGGGCCTGGACGAGACCGTCTCTGTTGGCAGTGCAGTGTTTGAGGATGAAATTGGAGGCGGAGTCGGCGAGGCGAGAGATGGAGAGAGGGCCGTAAAACCCGTATGTCCCTTCGCGCTTAACGCTTGTAATGGGGCTACAGAAGTCGGAGGGCGAGGGGGAGATTGTGAGAGGCTGGCTGGGACAAGACATACTGAAACCAGCCGTCTATTGTCTGCGATAGAACTAGGTCGTTTCTTAGAGATGAGTTGTGTATCATCTGTTAGGAGAAAGTTAGGGTTTGTTAAATGGGAAGTCCATGAGTATGGCCTACGTGAAGAATCACTGTGGGATGGATAATTATTGTCTTGATTATCTAGAACGTTCAAACGGCAGCCTAATGCGGTCGCAGAGCGGAAAAGGCTGTTCCAACCTCCATTTTCACCCCCTGCTTCCGCTCAAGCAGGCTGACTCACGCTCTGATTTAGGTCACATTTGCTCACATTGGAGGGGTCAATCACTTGAAAAAAGGCCTTGGGGGTCTTGCAGTCGCAAAACTGTGGACAACGTTACTTGTGGGAGAATCTTTAACAACTCGAGAGTGTGGGGCAGAGATGGGTTTTCATGTAATTTGGCGTTGTTCAAAGATTAGAATCAAGCATTCTCTCTCTCTCGTCACTTCGAACTGAGTCACATTCTGCTAGGTAACTGTAATCATTTCTTGGCCCCTCTACACCAGTCACCTGCCTTGGTAGAAAGTACGACCGAATACAATTCCTCAAACTCTTATAACGTTCAGGCGGCATCAAGATAAAGGGCAGTTGGTGTGAAGGCCTTCATTCAACATTAATCTTGTTATTAAGGCGCTCTACCTTGTCTGAAAAACTATATGCAAAGTCGTAGATGTATGTACTATTTTTCTTGCTATACTTTACAAACGTAGAGTTTGTTGAGTCGGAAATTTCTCACGGGTTCTCAGAGACCGAAGGCTTTCAATAACTCAACAAAGGGCACTGGATTCGAATTTGCCTACCATTCACTCTCTGATGTAGGAAAACGTTAGGCAGACTGAAACCTCGTCGGCAGATTTTATTTTGTGAACGCACGTCCACTTCATGCACCACTCCTCATAAGAAATCACGCAGCCTGTTGGGGACCAAACATCATCCCAGTATCGAGGCTGAAGCGTCCTCCAATCGGCGTCGAGGGTCTGGACTCTGCGGTTAGGCTGCGCGTCATTCAGCCCGCAGACTCCGACAAAGCGCCTTGGCCAAACATGGTGGGTAGGTTGCCTCTTGCAACAAGCAGTTGCAGGAAACCTGTGGTACTTCAGAATGTCGATGACTGAACGCAAGAGTGGTATGCCGAGTGGTTTGGGGCGTAATGTCGGCGAATCGTTCAAAGGAAGGTGGATATGGCCTTCTAAATGTCCGGTGTGTGTCCTCTGGCTGGTCTACTCCAACGTGGTAGGGTTACACTACATCTTCGAAGCCCGCACGGCAGACTCCTTATCTGCAACTAATAGCGATCTAGTGGTCAGGCGGTCAAATTTGAGGCTCTGGATGCCCAATGATAGGAGTGTCCCTACCTCCAAAACACTCCTCCTGTCTCTATGGTCAATGGCGGGTTATCTGCTGGAAGTAGCTAGTCTCTTGGCGGGAAATTTTTCCATTTATTGCGCCACAGTCAGCTTGTCTGCCTTCAGAGGACACAAGTCTGCCTAGCATTGTTCGTTCAAACTACGCACCATTTACTGACAGAGGGTGCGGTACACAACTGCAATGGAAGAGAGCAGCTTTTCCAGCTACAACATCAAGAAGGGCGTACTCAAAGATTGGTTGAAGTGGAAGTACCCTGGAAACAATGTGGATGTTACGGTAAGTTTCAGATTCTCTCAACGTTACTCTGAAAACTGACGTTGCGTTGAACAGGTTAAAGACGCCGATTTCGTTGTACAGGCCCCAGAGAAGCTAACAGCGGTATTCTTCCTTGACTATGCCACTGGCCTGAACTGTAACAACTGACTTTGAGCCCATGCAAAGAACGATGTAGCACACCTCAAGCATAAAGACTCTTGGAACCCACCTTGACCGGACTGATTCTAACCAATGATGGAAGGTAGTCATACGGTTACGCGCATTGCGAGGAACGGGCAGAGAAGTTGTTTGGATGGTCAAGCGGCTAAATACAGTTCCGAAAGATTTTTACAATTCCAAAAAAGACTTCATTCCACGCCGTGACCAAATCTCTTATGCTTCACAAGGGGCGAATGTCTTGAAGTGGGTCGGGCGAGGCTTTCGGAGCCTTATGTGTGCACCGCATAGACCATCTTTGGGGCAGAGATGTTACTTACAACTTGCATCTCAGCTCCTGCAGCGCGGGTGGATATCAGCAGGAGTGTTCTCATAGGCCTACTCGTAAGCGTGTAATGTATCTTCATACGTCTTTGGCGATCCCCACTCAGAGCCTCGCAAAGCTGACTTGGGTTTAAGACTAAAAGAGCCTCGCATCCGGCAGCTTGATCAGTTGACCCCCGTCCGGCTTCACACACACATGCGCCAACATTCACCATCTCTCTAGCAATTAGTTTCGGCCATATGGTCATTACTCTTATCACCCCAAACTATCCCCGAGCTATCCTTGAGAACCATCAGTAGCCCCGGCCCCCAACGCCACAATATGCAGCGACTCAACCCTCATGACCAATGGGAGGAGAAGTGCCGCAACCATAATCGGTATCCAAAGGAGCAATTCAAAAACTTACAGCCTCATGAGGTAATCCGGGTTGAAGAGTTGTTCGAAGCTTTTGATCGAAAGCAGGAGACAACCTTCACAGAGTCCGAAGCCAGAATGGATTTCTGGGAGACTGGTAGACAGAACAGTGAGCGTAACTTTGTCTAATACACCTTTCGCACCACTAAGTTTTATCCATAGAGTTCCCGAGTTCAAAAGATACCAAAACCGTGGACAGTGTCGAGGCACTCCAACGGCATCTCAACCGTGCTGAGGAAGATCCTCATTTGCGCCACTTGTATGCATAATAGAATGATGTCCAGTATGTAGAGAGTAAGATCTGACTCAAGCGTGCTCTAGGTTCATTGGCTGCAATGACTCCCGGTCAGCATTGAACTGCTCTGCGGAAATGTTCAAGTACTCTTGTACTTACCACCAGGTCGATCCATCATTCCTGGAATCAGTCTTCACGTTCGGCAAACAGAGCGAGCCTATTGATCTCTGTCTTGCTCATTTCATCTCAAGTAATACCTTGGAGAATAGCCAGCGAGCATTACCGCCACTGCCCAGACTCGGAAGATCTGGCCAAGAATTGCAAGTATCTTATCTTCTGAGAACTATCGAGCGCTCAAACAACGGCGAAGGTATCTGGAGATGGCAAGTACGACAGGCTGCAAACTACCACTCCTTTGACGTCAAAACGGGACGCGCTTTCTGGCTCACACTTAAGGCGAATGATCTTCTCAAACAACGAATCAAGAGGTCTACACCTTACTTAAACGTTCCATCTGAGGCAGAAGTAGAGAAATACGATGTGTCTCTGTATTTCAAGGCATCGTTAGCAACGCATCTGGTGTATCTATCCTGGTGTGACGATGGTTGGCGTGACTTCATCAATGAACTTGAGGATTTCATGCGTAACATAAGTAGGCCAGCAAGCAACGCTCGCATTGACGACCATATCGGTCCTGAAGTCCAAAGCCTGGCGGTTTGGCCAAAACCTTTGCGTAAGTCGACTCTGTCGAATCGTTGGTCAAGAAGCGAAAAGGCCAACACAAATATTGCTGTTCAAAACGCCGTCTCTGCTTCTGCAAGGATAATCCGATCGTTCAGGAATTCCATATATGGGCCATCGAAAGAAAGTGCTCGGGATGTTGAGCAAGGCGTGCAACTTCAGCCGGTTGCCACCAATACGAGCAAGACCTCGCTGGGCGGATTAGACCCCAGGGCTCCCTTGACAAGTTGCGCTTCGCGAATGTACAGACTCTCTACAAACTTTCAGGGCTTACACAGAGGACTCTTCTTGTTCTAGAACTCAACATAGGCGTTCTGAAAGATGTCTCAAACCACTACAGCGACCTGACGGAAATGGAAATTGCAAAGTCTGCGACCTATCAAGGCATCATCAACAGCTTTCTGACTGAAGTCAAAAAGATCAGGAGAAGACTTGAAACACGACGCAGCCAGTTGCAGTGTCTTCTGACAAGTCTTAACCAAAGTGTTCAGATGGTGAGTAAAAGGTACATGATCTTCGATAAATCACCAAGCTAAATCTTTTAGTACGAGTGTGTTCTGCAGCAACGAACAAACCAGATCAGCAACACGTTCGCAGAAGTAATGCATGGTATTTCAGACAAAACCTCTAGGGAAACAGCTTCGATGCATTTTATCACGATTGTCACCCTTATATTCCTTCCCGCTACTTTTGTTGCGGTAAGAGAGGCTTGTCCGCAACTCCTTATATCATTCTGAACCTCTGACACCTATCAGACTTTTTTCCAGAGCGGGGTGTTTCTTTGGTACGAAGACACGCCGCCGGATATGAAGGAACCGTACAAGTACCAGGCAGAAGGCTTCCGGCTTTTTCTTCAGGTCTGTGGTCCCTTAACGACAATCACGATCGGAACATGGCTATTGTCTTTTGTCAGGCTAAAGCGAAAGGCTCAACTTAACAAATGAATAGATTTCTCTAGACTCTTCCAAATTTTTTTGTGGTTTTCTTTCAGAATTATTTAAATCAATCTTTTACATGGAAGCCTTTGGCTATATGTTAGGCGTAGAATCGAGGCTTAGGGTCTCAAAACGTACATTAAGAATGGGGTTGTTTTGGAACGTTCTTTTATTCGTTTATCGTGATCAACAGAAGCAGTCCTTGCTACGTAATTACGGAGCTCATTTACCTTTGCTCAACTACCAAAACCTCTAGGTCTGTTCAATGCTCCTAATCTGCAGCCTGATGCGGTTGCAAAGCGGAAAGGCTGTTCCAACTTCTCTCTTCATCCCCTGCAGCCGCTTAAGCAGGCTGGCTCGTCTGCTGGATTAGGCCATAATGCTGACACTTGAGGGTCAGTCGCCTGGGAAAAAAGGCCTTGGGGGCTATGCAGGCTTGCTAAAGCTTTCATACCAAGTCACTGACCAGGATTCCAAAGCGTTATGATAAGCCCGTGGTTACAATTGTGGCGTTCCTGAGTGTTCTGGGCTTAGGCAGCCACCCTCAGTTACAAGAGAAGCTCTACACACCGCCGTAACCGTCATATGGCCGCTCAACCAACGGTCAACTTTTTCACCCTTGTTGCCGTATTCGGGGAGGCAGCCAACCCATCAGCTACATTTAGGACGCCTTGCAGCCTTAAGGTGCCTAGTAGTCCGCCATCGAACTGCAACGTTGCGTAATAGGCCATCATTAAAAGGTCAGTTTGCGTTCGCCTGTACGAAGTTTTGATGATCCAATCTGCGCGAACAGATATACTTATCCCATCTCAGCCTTGCACAGTATTCTCAAACACTAATGATTACTTTCTGATCTACAGCGTCAAGGACGTTCCACAGCTGTACAGTCCGCCTCTTCAAGTCTTCGGCTACCAAGCTTATTCAATTACGTACCAACTTGACCTCTGTAAAACGTCCTCACCATGTCAGTAGAACGAACAGTCGACGAATTTCGGAAATACATCGACTCATACATCATAAAACACGGCTGTTATGGTGTTAACGGATTTGACGAAGGCGGACGTCCCTTCGTTCCACGGTGTGCTCTCGAAACGTTTTGGACGCGAGAGAAAATACTCGACGCTTTTTGCGATACAGATGAAAGTGAATGGGTCAAGCAAGAACCTGGGGAGATCCTGGAGCATTATCTTGTGATCTTTTCTGTTCTCGTCGCGATGTCAAGACCAAAAAGCATTCTACTTTTTACTAAAGAGAACCTTAGAGATGTCAATCTACCGCTCCGTGCAACGCCAGAGTCGTATAAAGAGGACGCCGAAGGAGAAAAGGTATTTCCAGAGTTCAGAAAGACCCAGTGGAAGTTTTGCCCGATGTTGTTCGACTTGAAGTCAGGCCAGAAGCCAACCAAGAGGAATTTATCACCACTTCACATTTTGCCCATCTTGGCGAAGGAAAAAATCAACTCAGGCGCAGATGAAGACAAAGACGTGTCTGTGCTTTACAAGGTGCAAATTCACCCTGATTGTACAGAGTTTAAAGGATTTGTAAGTCGGTCAAGCCATGGTGTGTACAATAACCTGACTCTTGTTCCGAAGGTCGCGTTCAAAGAGTATCGAAAAGACGATTACGAAACCGAACGATTATATGATAACGAAGTTGACATGTATTCGCACCTGAGAGAAAACTCATTCGATCATATAATCAAGTATTATGGGTCTTTTGAGCGTCAGGGTCGGCGTACCATTGTCTTGGAATATGCCCAGGGCGGCACATTGTTGTCCTTTTTTGAGGACCGGCCACCACCGTACACGAATCAAGATCGCGAGGAGTTTTGGGCCAATATTTTTGGTCTCCTCAAGGGGTTAGAGGCCATACATGACCTCACCATCGATCATAATCACTCGGACAACACATGGCGATTAAAAGGGTTAGTCAATGTTGATTTATCCCCGGATCTGACTGCTGTAGTCTAACACACATGGAAACTGCAAAGCACCCTTCAAGATCTTCGACCACAAAACATTTTAGTATGTGGAGATCCGAACACGGACGGATATGCAGCACGATTCAAGTTCGCGGACTTTGGGACAGGTCATATACGCAAGATGAGATACAAAGGCATCGACCGGCCCGCTATAGACCAGAAGGGCAACGGGATGTATAGTAAGCCAAGACAAACAGGACTTGGTCGCTTCTCAGCTAACAGTTCTGCCAAAGGCGCCCCAGAAGCATGGCGTGACAACGATCCCGCACACGGCATTTGCGCGGCGAGTGACATCTGGTCGTTGGGCGGCATTGCAAGTGAGGCTCTTGTTTGGTCAATCTGGGGTGAATGGGGCCGCAGGCGATACCAGGAAGCAAGAGTGAAGGCCACACAATCGACCAAACTGGAGGACGGATACCATGAGGGAGCATTCCACGATGGAGAATGCGTTCTAAAGACCGTCAGTCAATGGCATGACAACACCATTGCAAAGGCCGACGAGACAGCCAGGCTGCTGAGCAGTATTATCTTGAACTGGATGCTTGTAGCAGAGCCACGAGAACGCAAAGACGCTGCAATTACTCACTTCGAATGGTCGAAACATACTATGGCAGGCGATGGATACGATCCAAATCCAACTGCCGCACGCCACACGGTCGTAGACAAAACGAGCAGTGCATTGGAGCCATCAACCCCACGCCAATTGGGCTCTTCAGGATTCAATGACGATCCACCGGACTCAAAGAAACGAACCATTAAGTCCACTGTATGTAAGGCAAATTCCCATGAGTTGGGTTCTCCGCGTTGTTCAGAGACATTCCCGGTGTCTGGCTCTTCGTCGGAAAATGCTTTGGGCTTTTCAACTACCGACGATACCCGAACATCTCACCAGCTAATTAATGACATTCCGTTTCGTCCATATGACAACAAACATAGCGGAGAAAGCACAATCACTTCTCGATCCAACTCAAACAGAGAACTGACTCGATTAAGGGATTCACTGAAACATATCGTCAGTGAAAGCACCTACTCATCTCCCACGCTGGCCCACCTGGATGGCGACTCTTTCGACGACCGGCCTACAGACTCTTCGGTCCCTTTGAGCCAAAATAACTATGAATCCATCCGGTATCTGAGCCCAAATTGGGGTCATAGAGATAAGTTCTGTGCAAATGGACGTCTCAGTCGCGAAGTAACTTCTCACGAGCCTAGGCTCAAAGAAGGAGAAGCACCCTATCCAGGAGGATCGTTTTCCCTTCGCGGATTTACTTCCTCTGTAGATCAAACACATGTTCGGCCCAATGATTCTTGCGAGTATCATTCAAAGGTTGAGGAAAGTAAGATCACCATTGACGACGTCTGGAATAAGTGTTTGAGATACAAGGACAGAAAGGGCAAGGGCGGGAAGATAAGCCGTTTTCTCAGTAGAAACTCTCGCGACACAAGTCCGCTTGATAAATTCCCTGCTCTTCAAAAAGCCCTCGACATCGTGAAGGGGACTGTAGGTCGAGAACAGGTATGTGAGATGTGCAGTATGATCAAGCCCTCAGCTAATGAAACGAACTCTGTAGATCTTTCTTGTTGATGATTCGAAGTCAATGAGCCCACACAGCGAGAAAGTGGCCAATACTTGTCGTGTTCTCAGCTATTTGCTCAAACTCGGGAAGGTCGACTCGGACAGTACTTTTGAGCTGCATTTCACATCATCACGCAAGTGTGTCAAGACAAGAAACAGCAGGGACCTCGAAGACGCAGTGGTCGACTGCCCTTTCTCGGAAGAACTTTGCGATATGGAACCAACGCTTAGTGAAATTGTCGATGCCGTGATTCAAGACGGCAAACCTGCCAGCATCTATGTTCTTACCAACGGGCACTGGAATCTTGGATCACAGTATCCTCTTTGTAACGTTGATGGTCCTATTCTTCGACTCATGAGGCACGGACTAGATCAGAATACGGCGCGCAACCGGGCGGTTCTACAGTTTATCCGCTTCTTCAAATCCCCTCAGAGCTTGGATGATCTCCATGGGAAAGCCCATATGGACTATCTTGATAATGATCTTCCGAAAAAGTTGACAACGTATGACGATCGGTAAGGACTCCGTAACCGCCAAGTCCCGTATCCTCCAATGCGCGTCACACGCTGACCAAGCCATCAAGCTCTAACAGAGATATCGTAGATACTTGTGATTTTGATGCTGATATTCGAAAGATGCTGATTGGTGCGGTCTCAACTAAGAACGATTGGAAAAATTAAAGGAAGCGGCTGGGAATGGGTTCATAAGTGAGTTAGAAAAGACAAATGTGGGTTGCGAGTAGCCTGTAAGATACGCTCAATTTGTGTACTTTAAATCACTTTATTACACTCAACAAAGCATTCAATACCATAGTGAGACTTTGTCGGAAGACTCCCAATGCCTCACTGTGCTCGATCCCTCGTTCTGTTTGATTCAATACTTGAAAGTCGCATGGCTTTCACACACCAATATTGTTCTTTTGTCTTGTTGGTTTCGGAACAGCTTGAGAGTCAGACACGTTCGCGGGTGAGTTAAGTAGGTATAGCTACGGAATTTTCTGACACTACCTCGGATATGATCTCTAGTTAACACGACTGAGAATCGGCTCCTGGACAACTTTTCTATAGATTACTATCTAGCAACTGCATAAATCAAATTGTTTCAGGAACAGGGGAGACCAATCACCTTCATCCTTGAGATCCGTTGATTCACTTCGCCTAATTTACAACGACCACGGACGCGGAAATCATGAAAAATGAACAAGATCGCATTCATAGATCTGTCCCAACTTATGCGTAACAGATATATCCCACAACACAGGTCCAGCAACCTCTGCCAAATCATGTCACGGTAAACGACTACCACAGATCATCCCAGACCTTTGATATACATGCGTCTGTTACTTCTAGAGCAGATAGTGATAATACACATGCGACAAAACTGGCAGCTACAAGGTGTGTTTCGTTAGCATAGAAAGTGGTCACAGTATCAAAAAATACAATGTTCTCGTTAGTCGAAACCCTGCAACTGGCTCCCTGTTCGAGAGCGCATATTCTCTACTATTTGTACCAAACAGCGAGCTCGAAATTGCGCCCGGCAACTCGCAGATCAACTCCATTACTTTCGTATCGGTCATTAAAGTGCTCGGAAAGAGAGTCAAGCTGATGCTGCACGACCAACATTAGGGGATGGTGGAATCTCATCCGGACGCAGCCCCAACGTTAGCCGACGGATTCCTGGTGTGTGCCCCCAAGCTCGTCTTATGCAGGTCCGGGGGCCGTTCCGGCACGTGGACCCGCACCCCCAGCTTGCGCCATCTCAGTTTCAGGGGCCTTGGAGTGTCCGCTTGTTAGTCAGAAACTCTGTAATCATTGCAGCTCACCGCATGAGAACAGTGCCTCCCTAACACGCACCTTGAGGGGTCTTCGCTGACGTAGCGGTTGTCCCGGGCATCCATCGGACAGAGCTCCCTGAAGCTCTATCTCAGGCACCCGTGACCGTGACTCGCCAACACACAGCTCAGCAGGCGCATTCCCAACCCTCCCACCAGAGGCAAAGAGCTGCTCAAGCTTCGGCCTTCTTTCCTCCTCTCATCTCTGTTTCCTGCTCTTCGTATCATCATCAATTACCACAAACACACACCACACTCATGGCGAAACACCGTTCATCACCAGCAATGCTCCGGTCATCCCCCCTCCTCGTAGCAGCAGCGCTCTGCCTGCCCCTCACATCCGCTTCCCAGCCTGGCGCTGCCTCTCCCGTCCCGGCCCCAATGCGCGATCTGACATGGGGCCAGCTCAACTTCCTCCACACGACCGACAACCACGGCTGGCTCGGCGGCCACCTCCTTGAGCCGCAGTACTCGGCCGACTGGGGCGACTACGTCTCCTTTGCCGAGCACATGCGCCGCAAGGCCGACGAGCGCGGTGCCGATCTTCTCGTCGTCGACACGGGTGACCGCGTCGAGGGCAACGGCCTCTACGACTCCTCGAGCCCCAAGGGCCTCTTCACGTACGACATCTTCCGCGAGCAACCCGTCGATATCCTCTGCACCGGCAACCACGAGCTCTACCAGGCCGACGCCGCCCAGCGCGAGCACGACATCACGGTGCCCAACTACCGCGAAAACTACATCGCCAGCAACCTCGATTACATCGACCCCAAGACGGGCGACCGCGTGCCCCAGGCTCAGCGGTACCGCAAGTTCAAGACCAAGAACCAGGGGCTCGAGATTGTCGCGCTAGGGTTCCTCTTCGACTTCACGGGAAACGCAAACAACACCGTCGTTCAACCGGTCGAGGACACTATCAAGGAGGAATGGTTCAAGAAGATGCTGCAGGAGGAGAAGCCCGACCTCTTCGTCGTCATCGGCCACGTCGGCCTGCGCATGCCTGAGTTCAAGGCCATCTTCACCGCCATCCGCAAGGACAACTGGTTCGCGCCCATTGCCTTCTTTGGCGGCCATGCCCACGTCCGCGACGCCCTCAGCTTCGACAAGGACGCATTCGCGATGGCTAGTGGGAGATACGGTGAGACCATCGGATGGATGTCGATCGACAATATCAAGAGGGCCAAGTCCGCCTCCGCCGCCGACGAGATCTCTGCCGAGGCCGCGCCAGCCGCCACCTTCACGAGGAAATACATTGACAACAACCTCTTTGGCCTCTACCACCACACCGGCCTCAATGAGACGACCTTCCCGACAGAGCACGGCAAGAACGTTACCAAGATGATCGAGAAGGCCCGCAAGGCGCTCGATCTCGACTACAAGTACGGTTGCGCCCCGAAGGACCTGTGGGTGAACCGCGCCCCGTATCCGAGCGACGACAGCATCTTCACTTGGCTCGAGACGCAGGTGCTCCCGGATGTCGTCCACAAGAAGGACCGTAACGACATCCCGCGCCTGGCCATCGTCAACACGGGCGGCCTGCGCTTCGACATTTTCAAGGGCGCTTTCACGAAAGACAGCACCTTCATCGTGTCGCCGTTTACCAGCACTTTCAAGTACATCCCTGACGTGCCCTACGGCGTGGCCAAGCGCGTCATTGACCTGCTCAACAAGGCCGGAAAGATCCTTGAGGCGACGCATGATACCCGTTTCATGAACATTCCCGAGATGATGTTCCCCAAGGACGATATCGTCATGATGAAGACGGAACAGGACGGCGAACCCCGCCGCCTCGAGCTCCGCCAAGAGCCCAGCCAACACCGACTGTTCGATGAGGACGACAAGTCCAAGAAGCCGGACCTAATCGGCGGATACACAACCAAGGATGACATCGGCACCGACGGCGACGACACGGAGCACTCGTCCATCAAGTTCTACGAGGTCCCCAACTGCGTGCAGACGGAGATCGACTTCCCCAAAGAGGGCGAGCCGGAGAAGGTGGATGTTGTCTTCATCGACTTTATCCTGCAGTGGATCATTGTCGCCCTCAAGTTCAGTGGCGGCGACTACAGCGAGCAGGACGTGTTGACGTGGTCCGACGAAACGCTGACGTACAAGATGGGCGAGTGGATCAGGGAGAACTGGAAGGGAGACTGCTGAACGGACTTGGCAGAGACAGGATTGTCTTTTATGGCTCAAGTTGATGTTTAGATAAATTGGGTTCGCCGAGGGTACATTGGTTTTGGTTATTTCGATAGGAGTTTTTGGATCGATCTGGACCCCTCTTTTTTGTTTTTTTTTTGCTTTTCATCAGGCTGCGCATACATTATCTGCCCTAGGCTCACTAGACCAGACGCACATTAGGCTGGGGGATTGTCGGTATGAGGTGCGGATATGGGATCATATGGGCAGCATGGAAACCAAACATTGTAGATTGCAAACAAGACGGCATAATGGGACATCATCTTACCTTGGCTTTCCTCTCAGATTGCAGCTCGGAACGGCGCCGAGGCCCAGATCCGCTGTCAGAAACGGACCTCCTGTGCTTGTTTTGCGGAGGGGACACTTGCTCGGTTCGGTCGTCGACGGACCTGTCAGTGTCACTCGCTCTCACCTGAAGCCCGAGTCGACCTCGTATCGGGCCTTTCTCACGCGCGAACAGACACCGTCCGGTTCGCATTGTCTCAACGGCAGAGTTCGTTTTGATGTTCTCCTCTCGTGCCAGCGTCTCCTGCTTACCCGCGGCGCACGGCAGCGGCCGCGAGATGAACCAGCCACGCTGAGGCCAGATCAGACACAGATTGCTGACATCAAAACAGGCCAAGGCGGCTGGCTCTCGGGCAGCTGTCCCCGCAAGGCGATCGTCGAGGTCTGCAGAAGAGTCTGTTTTCCCTCGTGAAATCCCCCTTCCCCCTCTGAAGTGAAATACGACGCCCGGGCTGGCGCGGTGATCCAGTGGCTCGTGGCGCGGATCGGTTTTGGCGTGGCATCGGCGGCGGGTGACGCTATTGACAGACAGTGCTGTCAGCTGAAGAGGCTACGAGACTCGGAGCCAGAGGCTTGGCAGCATTATATAGGGTCAAAGATTCAAGGGAGGGGACGCGGCCGCCTCCTATTGTCCATTGTCTCCTTCGGTTCTTTCTTTGCTTCCGCTGTTGAGCTGGAGTCGAATAAGAGATGGAACTGTCGAAGACAACTGATGCATATCGCCGCCTTCTGAAGCGCGCGTGGGGGGGTATACCACGAGTCGACGACCGAGCTCGCCAATTTCCTATGGAAGAAGCTTACTTTGAGATGACCGCCGCGAGAGAAGGATGGACGATCCCGGCAAAAGGCCTTTTTATTTTGTTATCTCCCCCTCGGCTCCATTGTCGCCGGAGCGCACACGGGCCCTCCGCAGCAAACAATACGAAGTTGCGTCCTGCTCGTTCGCTCGTAGATCTTCATTGCAGTTCGGGCACGTTTTGACGTCAAGCCGCTCCACCTGCGACGGAGGATTTTCTCGACTGAAGTCAGGCAATCCATGACCCTCGCTTCCACATCGGCATCGATGTTGACCCTCGTGGTGCGCGGCTGCGTTGCATTAGGGCGATGGGGTGGAGGAAGAAGCGTCCCATCGACTCCATTTGCGTTGCTTCGTTGATGGACCGCCGCGGCAGCTGCTGGTAAACCTGGACCAGAAAAGTTTCATGTCGAAAAAAAAGCCCTCTGCTCTCATTGCTAGGATGGAGGCTGCAGCCGCCCCCAAGGAAGCTCTGCAAGCTAAAAAAGGGACTCTAGTATGTTTAGCCAGGGGAACCCCCCTTTTTTTTCTTCTTCTTCGCCGGTACGTACCGTTGGTTGGGCGTCCTTTTGTTTCCTTCTGATCGGCCCTCCACTTCGCTAACACATGCAGCCTCTGCCCCCTGCCTTTCTCCCCCCCCCCTCCGATTTGGCACTTGAAGCTAATGTTTGAGCCGTCAGGTACGGTGAGTATCGAGTAATGTACCCTCCAGTTGACCAGAGCCTGGGTGTTGATTGTGCAGCGTAGGCTGCATGTCGCTGCAGACAGGCAGCATGTGGTAAATGAGACTCGGAGCTCTTGGGATGGAGCAAAGCATCACTACAGAAACCCATCATCCAAAAAAGAAGAGATGAGCCTGGCAGGTAAGAGTGCGTGCAAACACCCTTGATCCCGGGCATCCCGTTCAGGTGGTATTATCCGGGGACGCCCTCATCACATCTCGCTGTTCGTCCCTTATCGTTGGCCCCAAAGAGCGGCAAAGCCGTCGTCACGAGGTCTTTCGCGCCTTGCTGCCAGGGGTAAACGGCATAAGGCTCGCTACATAGCAGTGTACACTATGTCTGTGTGTTGTCCTTGTTTCCAGGGGTCCTCGTCTACCCGGCTCCCTTTGCAGTGCAAGGGCAGGCCATGCCATCCCAACTTCGTCACAATCGCCGCCGGGCGGGCCTGGGCGTATGTGTGTGTGTGTGTGTGTGTGTGTGTGACTTTGTGGGTGAGCGCCCGCGAAGCCTCCTTGCAGCTGCAGCAGAAGGATTCGATTCTCTGCCCCCCTTCTTCCCCCCTCGACTCTCTGGTGGCCGTCCTTCCCCACTCGAGCTGTTGACGTGCGCGCGTGGAGGCCCTGCCTCGAACGACATGAGTCTACGTCCAAGGGGGTATAGTCTGAGATTGCACACACGTTCGCCAATACGGCCAACAGTGCCGGCGAAGGGGCAGGGGGGGCTGCCGCGGTGTTGCGCCCCTCGCCGGGCTGCCATTTCATTAAACACCAGTCCCAAGAGGGAAAACATGCCTGGTAGACGGCCTGTTCTTCATCTCCACACTGCACTCGGTCGTGGTCCACCCCTCTTTTTGGCGACAGCGACGAAGCCGCCATAGCTCGGCCTGCTCCGGACGAGGTCCCCGTCACAGGCCAGCGTCCATTGACTTTTGTTTGCCGTCCGTCCTCGTCCGGGCGGTTCACGATCCTCTGTTGTCTCTCGCTCTCTCGACTCCTTGCTGGCCGCCTCCTCCTTGGTCCGTCTTCAAAGGGATCGGTCTCCGTCTCATCGCTCTTTATTCATAGACAGAGAGCGACTCACCACTCGTTGCTTTTCCACCCGAAAAAAATCCAACCCTCCCCTCAACCTTGTCTCGACCCAGTATCAACTCCACCAGAGCTCTCTGCCCTGTCCACTGATCAGGGCTCCCTCTTTGGGACGCTTGCTGCTGCTGCTGCTGCTGCGCGCCCCTGAACCTGTGACGGATCATCTGTCTTGGGGCCACGAATAAGGATCGTCGCCCTTGTCCATCACCCCCAACCGCATCCTCCACATCTCGAGCGCTGTCACCCGGAAAAAGTCGCGACATGGCCCGTTGGCAATAACCACTGCCGCTCTTCCACTTCCCTCGACGCCTCTGCTTCCTGCTCGGTCCCATTCCACGCTTCCGGCAGCTCGACATCGGAGCCGTTGCCCGCTCCATTCGCTCATTCTCCAAACCCCCCGTTGGACTGGTTCTTCATTTCCTCCAGCCGAAACTCGTTCGATTGTTGACCTGGTTGTCCATCTTCCGGGACCGGGCCCCATATTCTATGCATAGCTCACAGCCGTTTTATGCCCTTCATTTGTCCCGTATGCCCCCCCTCACCGGCCCCTCCACTTGGCTTCATGGAACCGTGAAGCTGACCGCTGCAGTTGTTAATACCCTCTTAACGCGACCATGGTGTCTTTTTTCGGGTTGAAGCTCGGTGCTGACAAGAAGAAGTGCGTTACCCTTCTCCTCTAGGGCATTTTGTACGGAACTGACTCTCCATAGGAAAGCTGAGAAGGCAATTGAACGAAAGCCCCAATGGAAGAAGGTTGACCAGAACCTCCTCGGCGAGGGCCAGTTCTTTGGAAAGGACCTTGATCGACCCATTCTCATCAATGGCTCCCGCCCCGGCACTGCCATGTCTAACAAGAGCTTCGCCGCCAACTTTCGCCAGCCGAACGCGCCATATCTGAATGGCGGCTCATCCTCGCTGGTCGACCTTGGTGCACCTGGCGGCGCCAAGGGTATCCGGCCTATTGGGTCCGAGGCTAATCTGAACATGCGGTGGAATAATAGTTCGGTCACAAGTCTGCAGAACATTGCAAGCCCACCGACCATCACCGGTGGTAGCAGGCCCGGCAGTAGACCAGGGACCCCCAACTCGGCCGGTCGAAAGGTCTGGGTCAACCCTCTCGACGTCCACTTCGTTCGTGACAATGCCGGCTCGAGAAGTGACGGTGCTCTCAGCCCGGCTCCAAGTGCCGCGCCGAGTGGCTATCACTCCACGACTAGCCTGTCCCCCCTTCCCACTCCGACCGTCGCCAACGCACCCCGGAGCCCGCTTGGCCAATTTGAGTTCAACCTGAACCCGTCAGACGCATCGAAAGATGGTAAGCTGACTCCCGCTCCGTTGTCGCCGACCAAGGCGTATCCATCTCCGCCACAGTCCGTCAATGGCTCCCTTCCACCATTGAGGACCGATTTCAAACCAAAAACGGCCATCAGCACCGTCCGTGAGGTACACCGGCAAAGACCGGCCGCACTCCCCTCTCCGACCGCGTCGACAGGACGCTGCAGCGATGAGGAGCAGCACTTCTACCCCAGGCCCATCATCCAGAACGTAGCAGCAAAACGAGACACACTTACCATTATTACGCCTCGACGACAGAGCTTCTCAATGGATATCGACGAGGATCCGACTGCGCTCAGTTTTGGTCCGCAAGAAGAGCAAAGTCCCACGATCCCAGCGAGCCCGCCGCCGAGAAGCAGTCGGAGGCCGTGTCCTCCGGAAATGAAGAATCTGCCTCAGCCGCCCCGGGATACTGGTCTTCCGCCCCCAAGGCCGCAACAGGTACCGTTTGAGGGGCCGTTGCGGAGCCCTGCTCGACCTCCCGATGATTGGATCAAGGCCAGACAGCGGATGGGCGCGGATGCGCGGGAGAGAACGAATTCTGATGCTCGCGACCGCTTCAACTCTGATTCCCGGGAACGGCCGGGCCCGGATAGCAGGGATAGGAAAGACTCTGATGGCCGCACTCGCGACGACCGTCCTCCCCTGCCGCCAGGGTATCTCGGCCCTCCGCCCACGTCGAGAAGGGTGGCGCCAGGTGAAGGCGAACGCAGCTACGGTATCACACCAGCGAACCGGCGTCAGCCCCCGCCGCCCGTTGAGCTCCAAAGCAAGGCGTCGAACCAGCAGTTCCGGCCGCCGGGCTGGGATGACCGCGATGTCCAGCAAGGAAACTTTGCCATGATCTCTCCTCGCATGCAGCCGCCCCAGCCGACGACTCCGATCGGCTTGATCCCAGAGCCTTCGAGCGATGCGAACTGGCCGCTGCCGAGCCCCTTGGCAAGCCCGACGTTCGGGACAGGCAAACGGCCGCATACACCAAGCGAGAGGTCTGAAGGTCAAATGAGCCCTGGACCGGTGCTGCCCCTGACCCATGGTCTCGAGGGAAGCCGGGAAGCTAGACGGCCCGACTTTGGATTGAGGGCGCCGACAGGTATTGCGGACGAGTTCCGCGTTGGGTTCATCTAGGCACTACGAGAGCCGGTGGGCCTGGAGGATTATTAGGAATGTCTATAGCATGACATATGGAGTGAGTTTATGGAATATCTTGGGGCGTGCGGGACTGGCGATCTAGGGGGGGCGCAAACATACCACACTGTTTTTGCTTGGGAATGAATATTTTGAGTTTCGGCTGGGGAAAAGAGAATGGCGGACGGGCAAGGTGGGATGCACATTGGAGTCCGGTTCATAATTATCCAATGATAATGTAATCAACCAATTTGTGGTCAACTTGGTGATGGCCCCCTTTCGAGACGTGTTGTGCAAACCCACGCGGTTCTGACCCTACCTGTCGATTTGGACTTTTCTTTCATGGTTGGGAAACCACTTTGCAGCAGTCATAACGTCTTACGGTCTTGGTAAGAACCAAGAGTTTTGGAACGGTAGGATCACGATCCGTCGGACCTTCGGAGTTTCCGTCACCTGGCGGATCTGACGAGAAGACAGGAGCCAGGATGTCACGGGACTCGTTTTGAGAATTGACGGAAGCACACTTCGCTGAAGAATTATGATGGAATTGCACGAGGAAAGGGAGATCCTTTTCATACGCTTTCTAGCAACCGCAGAGCTGGTCCAGGCTTCTAAAAAAAATTAGGATCAAGGGATGGGAAACGTCACTGCCCACGTCGCAGAGCCCCCGAGTGCCGCTTCCCATCTCCAGCATCCCGCCCCTTACCGACGTCGGCGGAGATGAGCCCCGGGTGTTGGGCCGGCCCCACATCCGCGTCGCATCCCCTGACGCAGGGTTTGTGCCCTCTTTCTCACCCACGATATGAGTCGTCATTTCGATGCACTTTACGAAGATCGTGGCGGACATAGCTCAGTTGGGAGAGCGTCAGACTGAAGTCAACTTCAATCACTTAATCTGAAGGTCGTGTGTTCAATCCACACTGGCCGCATCTTCACTTTTGGTTTCTCTATTGATTCTGATTATCTTTTTTGCACATATCGCACTTCGAGGCCTATTGCTTGCTATTCATTGCATACATAAAGAACAACTACCTGTCAATTGACATGCTCGCTTGAGAAACCATCTCAACACTTGCAATTAACATAATGCATTGGGAAGGAATACTCTTACGATATCCACCATAAGCCGCAGTTATGTCCCATACCGGCGCAAAGCCCGGGCATGGTAAACCTCGTGGTCGTTTAAGCATGTCCTTCTTGTAACAGCTTGGCTTGTAGGAGAAAGCGAAAAGGAAGAAACGATCTACAAATCCTCTAACATGGAAAAAGCCCACATTGCGGCGCCTGCATTGCGTACCCGTAGATCGCCTGCGCTCGAGGCGGCTGGGCTGTCACAGCATCGGTGGAAACAGGGGCAAAATGCGGGGGGTAAGAAGGAGCGAAGCAACGTCAGAAGAAAGTGGTTGACCAGCACAATCGCGATTCGGCGCCTTGTTTGGTTCTCCCGTCGGATACGCAGCAATGGTCGAACTCGCCGAAAGGCTGGGCAAGGGAGCCAAGAGGCGGAGACAGGGTTCCCAAAACATCTCCCGCTACATGTTGACACTGCACTTTGACCCAGGTGCCATGGACCCAATCGGCGGGCCCAGAGAAATAGCCATGAATTGAAGCTTACTATATACATAGAAGCACCTCGCCGGTGTGGGGACAAGCATCATCCGCCAGGGCCGATCGTCAGGGGATCGGCCGAAATGTTTGCTTCCTTACCTGGTAAACCTGACTACGGTTCTCCATCATCCGATTGGAACTGGATCAATCCATGGGGCAACACGTCCAAGCCTTCGTCAGAAGTCTTCAGACGACAGCAAGCCACCTAAACCTCTAATGTTGCAAAATGCCTGTCGTGATATGGGCCAAGATCGGATACCGAGCGCCTAGCCGTCTGATATGTCAACGCGGGCATGGCCGGCTGCATCCTTGGCCCCAGACGGCAAAGACCCCGAGTCCTTCGGTGAGAGCTGGGAATGCGAGTATAAGGGCGCTGGTGCTCTCGAGGGAGCCGCACTGCTTCTAGTTCATCCTCAGTCACTCTTCCTTCTCGAGTCTCTACTTTCTTTCTTGTTTGTAAACTACTTTCCAGTGCTGTGCACTCTTCGGTTGAGCCAAATTCCTGTTTTCATACGATAGATACATTTCACTCGACATCCGTCCTGTAGTCTCTCTTTCCAACGAGCAGGGCAGTAACCTTTTTTCATCAAAATGCGCTACACGGCCATCACACTCCTTGCCATTGGTCTTCTCACAGGCAATGCTTTGACAGGTTAGTTCCCACTCCACCCTGGCCAAAAAGTCGTCACCGGCTCGGCCTGCAAGGAGTTGAGTATCCCTCAAGGCTGACTCGTTTCCTTCCCTACAGCACCAAGTCCTCAGTTTGGCGGCGGCGGCGGCGGCAAGGGCGCAGGTGCTTTTGGCGGCGGCGGAGGAGGCTTCGGCGGCGGAGGAGGCGGTTTCGGCGGTGGCCAGAACGGAGGCGGCTTCGGCGGCGGTCAGAATGGAGGCGGTTTCGGAGGCGGCCAGAACGGTGGCGGCTTCGGAGGCGGAAACAACAATGGCGGAAACAACAATGGCGGAAACAACAATGGCGGAAACAACCAGGGCGACCAGGGCGACCAGAACAACCAGAACAACCAGAACAACCAGAACAACCAGAACAACCAGAACAACCAGAACAACCAGAACAACCAGAACAACCAGAACAATGGTAACGATGGTAACGATGGTAACAACGGAAACAACCAGAACAATGGTAACGATGGTAACAACGGAAACAACAATAACAACAACGGGAACAACGACAACGGAAACAACGGCAACAACAACGACGGGGACCAGGGGGGAGACGCGGACGCGGCGGCCGACTTCGTGGGCCTGGCTTGCACCGATGGAACCGGCGCCGGATCCTGCCAAGCAGACGGCCAGTGTGATGTCAACGGCGATATCAAGGTTGTTGAAGGTCAGTGCGGTCAGTAATTTTGGAGTATTCATGTTAGGCTGGCTGAGTAGCCCAGTTTGATGGACACAGATGCAACGGGGTCCACTCCGGGAGCGGTCCGACTTTGGTGGTTAATTAAAATAAAACTGAAATAAACTGTCCCCAAACAAAACAACCCATTCTTGAACACGACATGTTCGTACAGTGGTCAGAGTCTTGTGTTGTGAATCACTATATGTAGCCTGTAGGCGGATGAGCAAGGACTGGGTTCTAGTTCCTAATCTTTGTTGTATCGACGAGGTAAGCCGCAAGTCGTTGTTGATGTACATTTGGTACTAGAAAGCCAACCCACAAGGGGTCCGAGGTGCCATTCACTGTGTTGTAATACACAATCCCATTCTTCAACAATTTGATTGTCCGCTCAATGTCTCTACTTAACGCGGCGCCGAATCCGAAGAGACTGGGTTTGCATCAACCCACAACTGCTCAAGGGACTTGATAGCTCCCTGACCAGATATTTCTTCGACCTGTACCACTTTTCTTGCTAACAGAACCGTACCTCCTGATAAAAAATACAAAATACAAAAAAAGCATGTGCTGCCTCTACCCACACCGCCATGTCTGCTGTGACTGCAACCGCATTATGTCCTCCAAAGACAAGACCGACTGGTGTGAGAAGCGCACCTGATCCGACCCAGCCCCTTCGAGCACGCCGTGGCGTACTGTCCTGACGGCATGAGGCTGGTTCACGTCGACTATAAGGTTATGCGCTGCGTGGCTTGCCATTTCGGTCAGCCCAGGGCGAAGCGGCTGGTCGATGCGCCTTGCCATGAGGAAGACCGCCGCCAACAGCCTCGATTACCGGAGCGGCAACGGCAGCGACGGCGAAGTCAGCGTGATGAGCCACTGGAAACAAGCGATCATAAAGAATCTGAAAATGATGCTCCGGGCTTGTTGCAGGGTGTCGCCAGGTACGTGTGCAGCGTTCTCGGGGAGTGGGTGCCGGCGCTGTTGGGTGGTGTTCGGGTTCAACCCAGCTATCCAGCCCACAATCGTTCCTGACGTCGATGGTCACAACAAGAAGTGAGAAAATCAAAGATTCAGTAATTCCAGCGCTTGTTATTAAGCCTGTGTCATCGTAAACTCGGAACCCGAATTGAAATAGAGCATTCGTAGAATTTTTCGCAGTCGCCCAGTATAATGAGCCTACGTGATGATGTTCCTACTCAAATCATAAAGGTAAGCGTAGCTGAGGGTCCATTTTGAGCCCCGTTTGGTTTGAGTGCCATGATTGACAGTTAATAAATGGAGAAAAAGGCTCAAATCAAGTATCAAACGGCCTCATCATCGATCGTCAATGTTTCCTCTCTTACACACACGAGACAAATCTACTTGCTGACTCCCTTCTAGGCGACGAATCTATCAACACTGTAGACTATCTTTCTGCCTCTCACGCAATTGAGGCCACCACTTTGAATACATCGGCGTCAAGAGCAGCAGAAAGCAACCTCCGCAAGTGGTGGTATGGCAATCGTAATATTCGTCTTGATATCCTATCTCGTGTCTGTCTTTTCATCCACTGGATTTCGATCACATTGTTCCCCTAGCATTTGGAACAACCGCCTGGCCCATCCAGGCACCCTCCCCTTCCCACCCCTTCGGACGCCACACGTGAAATCAACTAAGCATACGGCCAGTTCTTGTTCATCACGATGCAGCTTCCGTTCGACGACGATGCAATGTCCTTATCCGTCAAGAACACGCAATACTTGGCTACGGCAGCTGGGTCCAGCCCCGTCTCGCCGCGCTTGTACTCAGGCATGGCGGCCGTGACTTTTGTCATGCCGGCCTGGTTGACGCCCTGAGCAAAAGCGTCCATGATGTTGGTCGTGTCCATGCCGCCCAGCAGCAGCGCCACCGAGTAGATGCCCTTGTCGCCGTAGAAGCCCGCCGTGTTCTTTGTCACGGCCATGACGCCGTGCTTGGACGCCGTGTACGCCACGCCCGACGCCAAGCCGCGGTAGCTCGCGTTCGAGCCAATGTTGATGATCAGCCCGGCCGGCCCGCCGCTGGCGCTCGCCCCGCCCTGCGCGAGGAACTGGTTCACGGCGTGCTTGCTCGTGAGGAAGGGGCCCGTGAGGTTGATGGCGAGGACGCGGTCCCAGGTGTCTTTGGAGCAGTCGCCGGCCGGGTCGAACTTGTCCATGACGCCGGCGTTGTTGACAACGACGTCGAGGTGGCCAAAGCGGTCGACGGTGCCCTTGATGAGGGCCTCCACCGAGGGCTCCGAGGTGACGTCGACGACGGCCGTGTGCAGGCGGCCGGCGTAGGTGTCGCGGTGCTCCGAGGCGACGGCCGAGACGCGGGCCTCGTTGATGTCGGCGATGACGACGTTGGCGCCCGTGGCGAGGTAGGCCTCGGCGATGGCCTTGCCGAGGCCGCCGCCGGAGCCGGTCACGATGACCGTTGTGCCGGGGAGGGTGGTGGGCATCGTGAGTGTCGAAATGTGTGAGTGGTGTGAGTTGAGCGTTGCGTGAGACCCGCGTTTAGACAATACGTGTAATGATGCGGGATGACACCGTCAAGAGTTGTTCTTATTCCTCGAAGCTATGAATAGAGAGGGATGCTGGTGAGCTTGGCGGACTGGTTTGGCCTCGTGGGAGTGAGAGTGAATGGCTAAGGTTTACTTCAAGTGAAACTATGGAAGAGCCGATGCCAAAGTCATTGACGAGAGAAGCTCCCCGAACAAGTTTATGTACCTAGAGCTCTGCATCGTCGACAGGAGGGGCGGTTGCGGGGCAGATTCTGCGGGGAATGGGCAGCCTCGATTGGGCGCTGCCTCGGCGCTGTTGACGTGCTCGTGGAACTCTCGCCGCTAGAGAGGGTCACCTTTTTTCTTTTTTTTTCTTCTTCGACAGAAGTGACCTAATCAATCGTATTCGGATGGGCATTCGATATCGGGGTCTCTGAATCACCGGTCCTCTCGCCTTCTCGCCCACCGCCCCTCCCCCCCACAATGTTTACGACCATTCGACTTGCCGGCCTCCCACTTGCATGATACCACGAGGGCCCGGGAATCTGGAGCTTCGATGGCGGGCAGTACCTCCCGTGCCGCACCGGGGTCCGGTCGGCTTAGATGTTTGGTTGGTCTGGCGGGCATGGGATGGACGGATTGGGTAGGTAGATTGGGACGCATTGCTTGGAACAGGGCGCTTAATTACTGCATCATCTCTTGTCCACTTAGATGGGAGTTTTCCTTGCGTCACCTCTTAGCCGCTATAGGGCTGAGTGTTGTGAAAAGTCCCGCGTACTGAGCATCGGCGCTGCATTCTTCGCAACTTGAGCAAAAGTTCAGAGGCTTAGTGTATCCCCATTTCGGCCTGGTCCCCGGGACAGCACCTTTCCACGGCGGTGACAGGCCTATGTATTGTGCAGCGAGCTACTGCTTGCAAGGTCGTAGCGAACGTCTAGTTGATAGGATGCAGAGCAATGCGAATACGACGACCTATCCATCCATCCCCTTGCCCTGTGCTCGAATTCGTATTCCCTGCTACATGTGGGTTCGTGTGTGTGTATGTTGATTATTACTTTTAGGCCTGTCGTGCTCGAAAGTTCGCGGTCCAAGGCTAGGCCGGAGGAACAAAGTAGCTGGTTAGGTAGCTTTCTGGCAATTGTAAGCCGCAGGTTGTGTGTTTTGACCACCCGAGTTTAATCTTTCTCCATCCACCAATCGTCTGTTTTCGAGGCGAAATGAAGGCTTGGGGCTATTGGACATGATATCCTGACCTCGATGATTCTGGGACCGCTGGAAATGATCTCACAAGTAGTTTCCGCATCCTGCTCGCTACTCGGGCACATAGGGTGGGTGCAGTTTGTCATTGTTAAGTTGGGTGCAGAAGCCCGTACGCGACTCTATTTAAGTGTAATTAGTGGAGAGAGAACGAAGGCGCTTACTTGGTTGGTACTTTCCAAGCATTAGATCAAAAGAGGAAATAAACAAAAGAAAACCAGTTTTTTTCAATCTCAAAAGAAACTTCCACAGTTCGAAGATACCTACTGGGTGGGGAGGAAGCGCCAAAAACGAAGATGCGGCCAGTGTGGATTGAACACACGACCTTCAGATTAAGTGATTGAAGTTAACTTCAGTCTGACGCTCTCCCAACTGAGCTATGTCCGCCACGATCTTCGACAAATTGTTTTCACTAACACATTTAAGAATGCTCGCGCAGGTATGAGCCCCCTACCTCAACACCTCTTCAAGCGCCATATGCTTGCTTTACCACGATGTGAACGCTACGAGAGACCCCAACCATATGGTGGCAAATTAAGGTGTTGCTTCTCAATTATTGTTGCAACAATATCAAGGAGTTCGCCAAACCAAGTTTGCGAGCCAACCCGTTCCCACGGAGCCCAGCGCATCCAGGTCTAGAAAGACAATGTAGATGCTCACGCTTTTGAATGCTTTCCTCTGCCCACATAATATCTCGATATCCCGAAACGCCGTGCTCAATGCTATGAAATCCCAGAGCGCTCACGATCCCTGGCGCTAAACCACCCTCCTGCCTCAACCATCGTCCTCCTGTACGAGTCCGACCCTTCTATCCCTCTCCGCCCTTAGATGCTTGTCCTCGCTCTCCAGCAGCATCTTCTCCTCAACAAAGGCCGGGTCGCTGGTCCGGAATTTTTCTCTCATCGTACCAGACTTCGCCGTACTCTTGTTCACTGAGGTTTGTGAAGACGCATCTCGTGGCGGAAGCGGCGATGCCGGCCAGGGGATCCGCTGCGCCCCTTCGTCGCTCAACACTGATGGCGTTGTAGTGTATGAAGCGGGAGCTATTTTGCGGAAGCGTCCCGATAAGGACGCGCCTACCACGACGGTCCCCTGTTCTGCCTGCGTCTCCGAGATTTCTGGTGCCTCATCCTCCTCGAAACCTTCAAAGCCCTCACCGGCGGCACCCCGTGAGGCTTCCGCTTCCGCCTTGAGCGCGTCCGCCTCTTCTTTGGGCACCTTTTCATCACTCGGAGCGAAAACATCCATAGAAGTCAGTTTCATCAACGTCATCCGCCGGTGGGCCTTTACAAACTTCCGCATCAGCAGAAGCTCATTCTCCTGGAACGTCTGATAAAATTCTCGGCTGATCATCGCTGCGGTGTGCAAGTCGTCTACGCTGTCGATGCTGCGTAGAACCCTAAGACGAATTGCGTCCGTCAAAACGCTCTTTGCTTCCCGCTCCTTGCCAGGGTGCTTGAGCCCTTTTTGCAAAACGGCCTGCGGCTGCTTGGACCGATGCCTAGATAGACCCCAACCATGAGCATTTCTGCTGATATCGTACAGCGTCAGGCCCGAGACGCTATTGTAAATATCATTGATTGCAGCCCGGAACTGCGGTGTAGGATCGCAGACCCCGCCTTTATGTAGTACCTGCGGAGGGCTGGCGATGGTCCGGAGCAGGTCAACGAGCTGGGCTAGACTCCTGTGAGGCGCCTGTTGGGGGTTGGTCAGATTTCCGAGCACCGTTGGCTTCATAATTGTGGAGAGGAGCTGGAGTTCCCTGTAGACGAGCATGAGCCAGCCGAGGTTTGTGGCATCGCACCAATGGCTTCCTTTGGGACACCTGGGGGGGCTGCTGAACACCGACGGCTGGCTAAGAGTTGATGTTTCCGCAGACAATCCCGGGCTGGGAGAGCGGGTCCTAAGTTGCGGCAGGCTGAGCACAGTCGGTAGGCTTGGTGCATCATCTTGCTCAACGGCCTTCAACGGTGGGCGTAGATATTCCTGTACTGTGTTCACACAGCACGCATACACCTGGGCCATCTTCGCACCTCTCACTGCCCAGATCTTGTCCTTGATCTTCTGCGGCCACGGCTTACTCTGCAGTTCCTCTTCATTGACAAGGTTGAGAATGGCAGTCTTTGACATGCGCATGAACAGTTGTCGAAACCCGAAGCTATAGCTGATGAGGAGCATTCCTCCAGGCATGTCTTCACTGCCTTTATGAATCCACTGCGGCAGCCATCGGTGTTCGACAAACAACTCAAGAGGCGAGGTGCATCGATACCGTAGACAGACCTCTGCGATGGCAACGAATTGCTCAAAAGATACCTCCCGTGGAACTTTGTCATTGTGCATATGTGCCGCGTGGAGGAGGATCGTAAGAGCCTGTTCCGAATCGTGCTCCGCATGCGGCATGCGGTACAGTTTCGCTTCGGTTCCGTCGTCGCAGATGTACGGTGTTGGTGGGGGTGGCAGCTGATCAGTTACATCTTCATCGTCATGAATCTCCATATGGCGGTGCTCGGTGAAAGTTCTCTCAAAGATGGGCGAGGTTTCTGCGAGTAAAAATGAAGACACTCGGAACCTAAGAATTGGCATGGACTCGGCTCCGATATTCGCAAATTCGAGAATGGCGTCGCCTCGGGGCGAGACATGGTGCTCTTTCACGAGCCTTTCGTCGGAGACGCCTGACTCTCCTAACTGTAGGATGCGAGTGATGTCAACCAAGTCTTGCTTGACCCGGTCATAGTTCTTGAGCCGTATAACGTATCGTGGGAAGAAGTCTGGGCTCGCAGAGAAAGTTTTGTCGATGCTGGTCTTCCTCATCTGTTGGATGGCAGCCGTACGGAACTCTCTGTTCTGAAATAGGGATTTCACCATACTCGGTGTGGCATCGGGCTCATAGCTCTTGTAAGTCTCAGAGAGCGTGAGCTCGAGGGCCTCTAGTAATGATTCGATGCACTTCTTCCAGTCACGGACAGCCGATAAACAGATTTCGCGGGTTGGCACGGAACGTTGCCCGGAACCCTGCCCTGTTGTTACCTCCGAGAGGCTTTTCCCACTAAATGAAGATCGAGTGTCGAATGTCGTTGGGCTGTAGGGTACGTCGAGAGAAGATTCCCGCGATATCCCTCTGCCTTCTGTGCTAATCCTGTCCGCCTGTCCACTGCCTGGCGGTACAAGTGTTGAAGTACGCAATAATGAACGACATAACGGTGCGTGGTCTTTGACCTTCGCATACTCTTTGAAGGCGGCGTCGGCGTCCTTACCAGAAAGCGTTGAGCGGACCCGTTGCGTCAACTGTTGAATTTGGCGAAGGTTGATTTCCGAGTCGTTGAAGACGATTGCGGAGCTGGAGTCGCGAGACGAGAGCCCGTCGGGCGACTCGCCGATTTCGAAATCGCTGCCGTGTTTCTGTTGTCGGTTTGTCAGCATTGCTGGCCAACTCGAGCGGCCCATCACCGTCGCCATCGCAGTATGCTTGAGAGGAAGCCGTGGGTGGGGAGATAAAGCTGCAATAGGAGCAGGTAAAATACAGGGAATGAAATTCCTACCGGAAGCCTGTCATCTCTGGTTGAACCAACAGTCGAGATTTTGCGTAGCGCATTGCTGAATCGTCTGATCTTGGGCGACGTCGAGGCAACATCACTGCGGCTGCGTTGGCGTCCCATCATACTAGCTGCGAGTCAGGTACGAAGCAGGGGCAGCGTCCGAACCGAGCAGTCGAATACCAGGGCCGACCATATCCATCAACCATCGAACAAGAGAACGTCACAGGTAAAGAAAAGCTGGCGCTAATCAAACGATCTGCTGGGGACAATGGCTTTCAGCAGACACGAGGAGCAATATGGGTGGTGAGAACGCAACAGACGACTATCAGAATGTGGTTCATAATTGCAGGTGGTGGATTACTTCTGCCTAGAAGAGATGCATCCTGGAGGAGAGGAGAAATACGAGACCGACTGGGGTCCAGGTGGAAATTGCCTTTTTGCCAAGCAGGGGCTTCTGTGTGTCATTGGAGGCTGACCAGTCTAATAAGGCTGATTGCGGGGTTTGTGAGAACGCGGTGATGACGTAATCTTGATTTGCATGAGACCCTTGGGATCCCGTTTCCCACTAGTAGGCAGCATCTTTGACGATGGCCTCAGGAAGGGCCCCTTTCGCGGAAGATTCAAATCCACAGGGCGCACGTTGTTGTTTTGGCTTAAATATCTCATCAAGCCGGTCAAATACCCTTGCTATCATGATACCAACATTACGAGCAGGGAGCATGGCTTTAGATCTCTTGCGACAGCTTCCCCCGCCACTCAACTCACATCGCACCTGCAAGCTTGGCAGACACTCATTGGCTTTGCAAATCATGTCTTTTAACGCTTCCCGTCTATCTGCTTACACTGACACTAGTCATTGATGTCTTTTTCCGCTCCTATAATGCGGTCATGCTGGCTTCTTCTGCTGCCTCTCTCCAAAGAGACATGTCCAGCCTTTCCCCGCCAGGGTATTTCATGACAATCGCAGCCGTCCTAGATACAGCTTTGGACCATCATCATCCACTCGCCGTCTCTTTCCCCTCCCTCTCCATGTACCTTTTTTCCCCATGGTATGACTCTGTTGACAAAAGGAAACTTGATGACGCATGCCTGAACCGTAACCCATTCCGAAGACCGTTGCCGCAGATGCAATGAGACAAACAATAGACCCTGCCGCCCGAAATAACGCAACAGACCCCCCATGCGATCTTGATCGGTGAAAATGACGACTGAGCATGATAATGGCCTCTCCGGTTTTGATGCTCGAGCTAACACTCCGGGTCGCTAAAAGCTCGACTCTCTTCTCCCTAATGCGATTCGTCGACATGCCAGTGCACGATAGGTCTCGCACCCGTTTGCTGGTCTCTTTTTCCGTTTTCGAGATCGATTGGACTCAGCCGTCGTTGAGCAAGGCTGACCAGCTGATAGTTAGAGCTGCGGAAGGTGCTTGTCACAGCGCCAACTCCATCCTCGCATCCAATCCACCGCTACCAGTTTTTGCTATATCTCTTCTGATGACCGTCCATAGGCGTCAACCCGACAGCTACGCATAGCGATACCCAGCTCCATCACCTCTGCATTGTTGATGCTCGATCCAGAATACGAGTGTCCAACATTTGTCCATGACCAAGGCGACGATGGAATACCAGCAACTTGTGCCCATGCGATTCTTCGTCACCCAGCGTCATATCCAAAGAAACCAATGCTAGCGTTTTGTCGTGCACACATGTCCACGGCCGAAATGCAGACGAGTTTGTGCCAGTCCTCTCGGCATTAGCCACCCTTTCGGTCCGCCTCATGCTTAGGCGGCTGCTCGCTTGGAACGAGGCTGTTACCCTGGTTCTTTGCGTCCGCGCCCTTCTTGCGACTCTTGGTAGCCTTTTGCCACGTACCCTCGGCGCCGTGGCTTTCGCTCTTGACGCCTCGCGTATGACCATTCTCTCGAATACCGTTAATCTTGGGTGATTGAGCTGGAGCCTGGCTAGAGGTATGTGACTGCGACTGAGGTTGTGCTGCTACTTGGGCTGAGCGCTGCGTGGCTGTTGGCAGACGTTTTGGTGACGCAGCCGACGCCTGGGCTTGTTTGGACTGGTTCGTGTTCGATACCTTTGTTTCGTTCACTTTGGGTCCGGGAACAGGCGGATCAGTCTGGACCTTAGGCGCGGCATTCTGTGGGACGAACGATGACTGGTCGGCTCTCAACGGGTAATCGCCCCTTCGTATAACGGTAGGCGAAGGAGACCGGGTCTCGTTGATCGGCGAAAGATGCTGAGCGTCGATGCTCAACTGGTGACCGTTCATCCTGTTGTCTCGTGTGGCGAGATCAAGTGGCGCTATAACCCCGCTTTGCTGCCTCGACATGGCTCTCTGGCGGACAGACATCTGGGTGCCATTGACGACTTCCGGTTGCACCTGCGTTTGTGGGGCCCATGCATGCTGGTTCATCGACATCAGCGCGATTCTGTCGCGGAAAGAGGGATCGTCGACGGGTCGAGGCGCAGAAGCAGGCGAGGCTGTTGCTGCTGCGTTGGTGGCGGACGACGGAGTAGTGGTGCCGTTGACAATCACTGGAGTCCGCTCAGAGACCGGAGTTTGAACCGGTTCAGGTCTGGTGAAGGACTGGACATCCCCTGGTCTGCAGAATAGCCACTGATCCCAAGTCCTTGAACCGGTAGTGACTTCTCCTGGGAAAATTGCCTTGATTCATCGGTATTGTTGGAATCAACAACAAGTCCTGCGGGGTCGTAGCGTTGTGAGGGTGTAGAACTCGTTCGCAAAGATGATCCAGTGCCGTTGACTACCAGAGGCCGGGAGGCCGCTCGATGTCCGTTGACATTGGCCGCAGCGGCTGCTTGGGCTGGCGCGGCTGCGGTGCCTCCCGTCGAAAAGGCGCGAGCATGGCCCATAGGAGATGGCGAGCGCGATGTCCTTCGCATTCTGCGATCCAAGATAGTCTGTGGAACTTCGGTTGACAACCTCCGACGCCCCTGGGCTGGCTGGGTCGTGTCACCAAAGGCAATAGCATTGGGGGTACCTTGCGAGCGTGCCGGACTAGATGCATCTGAAACATAGTATCCCAAGTAAGCTCCTTCATCAGAGGCTGGTGAGTTGCTCGCAGGACGCTGGGGGCCTCGTCGTAATCAGCATCGTCTGGAATGAAGCTTGGGATCGGAACCCCATTCACCTGTCGTGCAGGATTCGCACTACTGTTCGTCGGCGTACTGTTCCAGGATAGCCTTGAGTCTGCTGTCCCGTAGGAGCGGAACGTGAAGCCGGTTGCGACTGCGATCTCAGCGAGCTTCCAGAAGTCGAAGCGCCAGACTCTGTCGTCGCCGACGATCTCTGAAGTCCTCTGCGGTACTCTGGAGTAGTCGTTGCCGTAGTGGCCGGCGACGACGGGTAAGCAAACCCAGACTGGCCGTAGTAGGCAGCGGCCATCGGAACGCCGTACACGCTGTACCAATCCTGAGGGCCGGCGATAGGAGCACTGAGTGGGGGGTTGTCGAACGAGTTGGTCCTAGGACGTTCCGAGCCCTGCTGCGTTGTCGAAGACGAGCTCTGCATCCTTTGGGCAGCATGCATTTGGGCAGCCATCTGAGCCTGGACTTGCTGATAAACCTGGGATTGAGTGTAGAGCTGGAACCGAATGTTATTTTCTTGCTGTAACTGGGCGGCCATGGCTGCACCTACAAGCGCGGGGTATTGCTGATGTGACTGGGCCTGCTGCGCGTACCATGCGAGTTCCTGGGGAGTCATGGCCACCGAAGGCATGTACATGGTGTTAGTATCATAGGCCACGCTTGAAGAAGCCCTCCGGTTCGAGTTCGTGTTCCGATGGAAGTTGTTCGAGTGCCGTCCGCCTCGGTAGTTCCCGCGTCCCCCTCTTCCAGAGTTCTGCTGGGAAGAACTGCGGATCATTACGGGTCGCGCTTGTGTCGGTGGTCGTTGGAACGTCGGTGTTTCTTCCTTGGGGTAGACATACTTCTCGCAGCATTCATCCAGCTTCCCTTCCGAGATCAGGTTGAAAGCTCGCCGCAACTCCAGATGAAGCCCGCGGAACGAATACTCATCCGCAGTGTTGCCCAAGTTGCGAATAGTGTTGAATGGCTCCTCCACGCACAAATGGTTATTAATGCCGATGTGCCATCCCTTCTCCTGCTTTGTCACTTTTCGCCCGAGACGGATCGAAATGGCATTCTTGTCATAGTCGAACTCGTGCGCGTAAAAGCGGAAGAACTGAAAAAGAAGTTCGCCAAGCGAGGCCTTGTTCTTGTCGCCGAACCCACGTAACTTGTCCAAGTCGTCCGCAAACGCGCTTTCTGGCCCGCCTCTCTTAGGTAGTCGTTGGTGCTGTCGCTGGTGAAGCGAGGGAAGAATCGGAGGGTCACGAAGTTGCAGAAATCCGATGATCAGACAGATCCATGTGTAAGAACTGAGGGTGCCACCAAAGGCTGCTTCAGTCAGCAATTGTTGTGACGCAAGGAGAAAGCACACGAAGAGACATACCCGCATCGTTCACAATCCTCTGACGCGTCCAGTACTTGACGATCATGGCCAACGGCCGCACACGTGGATCTATTTCCACATATGTCCGGACCATCCTCGTGTTCTCCAACGCCAAGGTGTTGTTCACATTCATATCGCATGCGAGGCCGAGTTCGGGATCCCAAATCTTGACGATGGGCACTTTCGCGGCGGAGATGCAGACGACCTTCTTCATGCCCTCTGTTTGGGTTTGGTTGATTAGCGAATGATGGGGAATCAGGGAGCATACGACATACTTCGCGCCAGCAGGTCCGCGATTATGCAGACCCCTTCCAATTCCTTCCACGGCGTCGTGATGCATATGTCGACTGTTTCAGAGAGTTAGCGTCGAGTTCACCAGGAGGCAATCAATCAAGTGAGGTAGTCACAAACCGTCCGAGTCGTCCGAGCACAGCAAGTTGCCAGATGAGCCGAAGAGATGAACGCGAATGTCGTTTCCAGGCCATTCCTCGTTGAATATCCTCTCCAGCTTGACAACAAGCTTTTGGCGGTTCTCCTCGACTTTCTCGGTCGGCGTTAACCGGTCGTACAATTCGCGCATGTCTGTGGTCAACTTTCGTTCTTCGTCTTCTGACAACTTGCTCTTGATCTTGTCAAGACTTATCCGCTCCAGCTTGTCGCTCCCTATGCTATAGGGCATTCTCCTTTTCGAGTTCATCTGTGAAGTCTCATACTGGCAACCACCCATGAGTCGCGGGGGCAGAGGCCGTAGGGAGGGGAGGTTGCTATTCGTCTCGGAGTAAGCAGAGCGAGGGGAGTGGTTGTTTGTGGCAGTGGGCGATGGCTCTCGCGACTCGAAAGAGAAGTTTCTAGCATGTTGTTGAGGAGTAGAGGGCATCGAGTTGGAGTGAGACTGTCCATTACCGGTCCGGGCCGCAGGACGAGCGGGGAGGGGATGTGAAAGCTCCGGTTGTTGGGATGACTGCTGCTGCATCTTGGGCGGAGCGTCCTTGCCTGTTATGACAGCGCGGTCGCCTTTGTCTTTGTTCTGCACGGCTCTATTCCCATGGCCTCCTTGGGTGCCCTTGGTCGTGGGGTTGTCCTTGTTCGACACCTTGGAGGAGGATCGGGACCGCGGGGCCGCCTGGACCTGAGGGGTGGCCACCGTCGTCTGAGGAAGCGCTTGGGGTTGTTGCAAGCCGCCTCCTCGTCCGGGAGAGACGAGATTGGTGTAGTGCAGCAACTGCGCCTGGTATACGGAGGCTTGCTGGGGGAAGAGAAGGGGCCAGAAGTCTAGCTGGGCCGGGGCGCGGGAGGAGGCGTCGGAGAAGTAGGAGGCCGAGGTCGACGACGCTATCGTGGGTGTTTGAATCCAAGGAGACGTTGGATAGGTATGCTTCGATTCTGTTGTAGTGGCCCGACTTTCCATGGAGTGAGACCTGGCTCAACTTCCGTGACGAGGACGAGCGGGAAGAGGCAGGTGCAGGCGCAGGGCGACAGCGGAGAGAGATTGAGAGCGAGATCTGGTAGCAACCAACCGGGACGTCGCAAGTGGAGCAGAGCTGGCAATGAGGAGGGAATTCGAGGGTATCGAGAAATACGAGAAATCAAAGGAGGCGGTTGTAGGAACACGGTCGGGAGAGGTGGTCACTATTCGAGGGAGTCGAATCTCTTTCTCTCTGGCTCCGAGTCTGTTTTGCGTCGGCGGATGCGCGTGCGGACGAGGGGGGAATCTGGGTGGAAGAGGGAATCGGGAATTTTGGGGAGTCGTTGAGCCGTTGAGCCGTTACTGGCGCAGGTGAAATGCTGCTAGAGACGTTCGAATGTATCGAAAATACTCATTCAGGTCCAGACGCGGTCTGGGTTGGTCGGTGCAGCGAAATTGTTGTGGCAGAGAGCACTCTCCTTCCTCTTTGCTGTCTGCGTCGTTGTGCTCTGGGGAAGAGAGAGGAAATGTCGTCGACAGCAGGAGGCGAAAGAAAGGGTGTGGAGTTTAGATCGGGGACGTTGACCCAAAAGCGACAGGAGTGGACGGGGGGGTGCCCTCGGGCGGTGGACCGTGAAATAACGATAGGGGGGGGGGGGGCAGACACAGAGACAGAATGTGGAAAGGGTCTAAGGGGGTAAGGTGCACACCACACGTAGTTGCCGCCACGGGGTTCTCTGTGAGGAATTGTGTTGCTGAGTTCTGCCGCTTGTTGGCCAAAAGCAGAGCAGAAACAAAGCAAGATGGACAAGAGACGTAGCAGGTGTTCCCTCAGGGAAAAGCGAGAGGGTTGAAAAGAGGTTCCGGAAGAGAGAGAATGAAAGTAAAGTGTGAAGGGGAGCGTTTCGTTTGGGGGTGCAAGGAAGGTACCTCAGTCCAGGGAAGGTAAGGAAGGGTGTGGAGGAAGGAAGTATCTTAGTGTGGTTATGGCGCATGTACATGTACTCCTTTACGCGAAAAGAGTGCGGCACTGGGTAAGAGGCATGTAGTAGGTATTTTTGGGGGGAGGGAGAGGCAAATGCTAATGAGGTTAGGTACCTCGAGGGCTAATAGGCCGAGAGCGGGAAAGTAAGGCAAGGCAAGGCGAGGTCAGGTCAGAGGGAGGAGGTAAAAGCCAAAAGTAAAGGTAGGGGCAGCTCGTGGTATGGATTGTTGGCCAGTCGTGTCGGGCATGTGTGTGCGCGTGTCGGGGACTCGTTCGCCCAGAGGCTGCCGGCTGCACTGTGAAGATTCAGAGAGACTGGTAGGGACGGTAGCGCCTCTCTTCCTCGGGGGAAAATAGAGTGGGGAGGAGCTCGGCGGGAGGGGAATACAGCAGCAGCAGCAACAGATCCGAGGGAGCGAAAAAATGCCAGTGAGTCCAGTCTCCGCAGGGCCAGCTAGAAGGTAGAGTGTTTTACCTAACAGACGAGGTGGGCAATGTAAGAGTAAAGTGGCCCGAAGAGTTCAAGCACGGTGCAGTTCGGCGTGACGCAGCGAGATTCGGCGGTATAATTGCTGGCGGGAGAGGTGTCCCATCTAGTTGATTGCTGCTCTGCTAGTCTCGTCTGGTGTGGCCCTGACGCACTTAAAGAGGAGGGCAAGCATTGAAATAAAGCAGGTACGTCGATGCAACGTACCCCGGCAAGCTGCCTGCGTACAATCGGAATTCGACAGCAGGTGAAATAGGACCAGCACCAGAAGCTACAATAGCCAACTTACCGGACTGGATGGATGACTGCACGATGCCGGGCCAAACCAACCCAACATCTCCAGACGAGACCACCCCGGGATGCAGGTTGGACTCGATCTCAGTAAGCCCAGTGAACAGCCTTGAGATGGAGGTCGTCCAGAGATGAACAACAAGTGGGTTCAAGCCTGTGTCAGTTGGGAGCAAGTGGCCTTGGTCGTCATGCCATGGCATCTCCAACGATACTACGGTGAAGAAACCAAGGAAGAAGGGAAGGCACACACTCACACCTTCCATCCTCGCCAGATTGCAGATGAGGTAAAGAAGATCGGTAGGCAGGTAGGTAGTGTTTGGGTTTGGATCTCTGTATCTGTATCTCTCCTTCCCTACCTAGCCACTGTCACACCCAACCCCAGTCTCCTCCCTCCCTCTCGCTCCTGCCGGAATTGACGCTGACGGGCACCTTGAGGAGCCTTCTGCGTCGACGCGTCTTATTCCCCCCCTTCCCGTCGATAGGCAATCTTGATAAATATGGGAATTACATTACCGACCCGAGTAAGGAGGTACATTGCCTTCCCTGCCATCCCTCTGCCCTGCTGCGAGGAAGTGGAAGCTACGGTCATCTGTTGTACCCTGTCGACATCCACAGTGCATGCACGGAGCGTGTGGGTAGGGGCAGCAGCCGAAGTGGGGAAGACGACACGCTTTGGACGCAATTTGGGGGCAAGTGGAAGGAAGACACGGAGGAAAAGAAAGAGAGCGCCTGTGACTACGAAAGTGAGAGAGAGGGGTGTCATTTCTCAAAAGTCCCCGCCCATGTCCCATCGCCGTCCTGGCGAAGTCTGGCCGTTCGACACTCATTCCCACCGTGCCTCGTCGCCGTCCGCCCGCCCCAGCCCTTCAGCGCATTCAGTGTCTTCTGCCCAGGCCTCCAGGGCAATGTGTCTTTGATAGAATGGTACGTATTTGCCAAGACTAAGTTGTGTTTTTGCGAAAAGAACTTGCGAGCAATGTACCAACGCCAGTCGTGTAATTCGGGCTGCGTACAGGGGATTAAGGGGTGCAGACAGGCGCCACATGCTGCTCTGGCCATTGCTTGTCACTCGTCCTGGAGTGCCGTAGGTGCTTGGGCTGGGCCCAGCCGGTTCCTTTCTCTGTCAGGATATGACGTCGGAGGGCCGGCTACATGTGGCTTGTCTTGGATTTGGAGTTGTGTCTTGTAATGCAAAAGGATTCCCTTCTACGCAGTAATTGTTTGTGGTTCCCCAAACCGAGGAATTTGCTAGATGCTAGAGAGGAAACTTGAAAAGAAAGTAGGGTTTATGCATGTGCGCTCGCGCTCTCTCTCTCTTTCTCCCTCTTCTTCTCTCTGTGGCTCGGCAGGCTTATCCCGCAGTGGGGGAAGTACTCTTACATTGGACTCCACGACCATCGACAACTCAGCAGTGCGCTGGGGTGTCGCCCCGGTAGAGACCATGTATTTATTTCCTTAGTAAGCATGTGACGCCCGCTTACATGCACTTTAAGCCAGTATTCCAGTGTGAGGCATTTGCCGTGTCCACCCGGGGCGTGGAATGGGCCCTGCCCTCCTCATGTCAGTGTCATGGTCTTTCCCGCCTCCCCCTGCCTCCCCATGGAAGGAAGAAGGAAGGACTGGAACCGGAGCATGTGGTCAGGTACTCCGTACCTGCCTCGCCTGTCTTTCGCACCTGCACCTGCACCTGCACCTCGCCCTGCCATGCACGTTCCTCGACCGCGACCGCGACCGCGACCACGGACTTGCTTGCTTCGACGGGGGGGGGGGGGGGGGGGGGCCTCTGGGACGCGATGAAGAATGACGGACGGGACGTTCTCCATGCAGTGCACAGTGGTTGTCGACACAGAACTTCCGACTTCTGACGTCGGTTTGATATTCTTTTGCCGTCTTCCTCCTTTTCGGGCCACAACCACCTAGCCGACCACCTCGTGCTGTGTTGTCTCGTCTCGTCTTGTCTCGCAGCCTGCCGCTTTATCCTCCCTCCTATTTTATTTCCACACGGTTATTTCCATTTCCATAGTTCCCGTGTCCCCTGCCAGCATCATCTATTTCCACCACCTTAAAATTATCAGGGTCCCGATACTATGGCCACCTGAATGTCCTTCCAGAAACCCAGCAGGCAGTGGAGACTCGCCATACACATCCTAGCTAGAGGACACACAACAATGTTTACCGAGACCGTGTCCGGATATCACCAGGACTCGAGAGGCCCTGTTCGGCAAAGCACTTAGACGACCCCCGACGAGCACGCCCAAAACTGTCCAGAGCCGAGCCAACAATGGACGAGAATCCATCACGCTACCCCTTTGAGCCCCTAAAGACCCGTTCGTGTTTTCGCGTTACCTCTCCGCAGTCACCCCGTCTTTCTCGACCGGCTTCTCGTAGTCTCCGATTCAACTCCTCCTGGAGGACATGGACGCTCGCTCTCTCCGCCCGCCCCCTTCTCCATGCGTCTCGCCTATGGCCTGCCATGGCTATTGTAAGCCCAAGATTCAGAAGGAGTGAGGCTCATCCTTTCCGATACCCGTTCACCGATTCAGTCATACGTCGCAACCCCGAAGGACCACGCCATAAGCTCAGCAGCCCACCCAGCTTCTTCAATGTTCCTCATCCTCATCATGTCCGTGTGTTGGGTCGGCCCACCCATGGCCGTATTTGCTATGCCGAAGACGCTGCTGCAGCACCATCAACACCCAGCAGCAACCCATGACGGCCGCAGCGGCACAGCATCAGCAACGGTAGGCACGCTCAGCAGCTTACAGCCCGAGATGCCGCCCCGCTGAGAAGGCATCGGCTCCTTCTCACTCATCATCCAGAGACCAGGACTCGGAGCCACAGTCATGTTTCCCCATGCAGGCGAGACGGCAATCGCCTATTCGCTCGTCTGCTACCCCCTCCTCCAGGGGTCTGGCACAGTTGCTTAAGCGCCTCGGGATGGTCGTCACATTGCTCCATCGCGGCGTCTGGCAAAACTGCCATTCCCTCAAATTAGATTTGCCAAATCTTCGGGCCACGGGTCGGAACTGCGAGACGTGCCACATTGCATGTGCCGCCCAGCTACTCGGATAGTTCGAGGATGTCGCTCCATATGGACTGGGCCATCAATGCGAGACATTCTGCTCAACTCCGATGCGGTTAGTCGAGCCTAGCACTTTCCCCAATTTTGATGATTGGCAAAAAGGGGGAAAGACGTACACTGATGACCGCCGGAGGCAACTCACGACATCTATGAATCCGACCAGCTATCAAACTCATCTCTATCCCGAGCAACATATCAACGGAGGACCCCTTGGCCCGCGAGTCCCTGTGCTATGCTCGGGACGAGCCTTTAACCTTTCGGATGGCTGGCAAGCACTTCTTGTGCGACTACTGTAGCTATGCGTTGCTGTGCTGGAGTAGGGCTGATGGGGTGCAATCCTCCGCGAGCAGACAAGCAAGACAGGCGAAATGTCTAGAAAGTCAGTCAAGAAGCTACCAAGCCTTGGCGGCTGAGTTGCTTATCCTCATCCCGTCTTCCAACCTCTAAACTCGGACTTCCCTCCTTTCATCGCACAGCAGAGACTTTCGCCCGATCTTTTGTTCGGACTTGAAGTCACGCTTCGTACCTACAAGAGGGCACAGCCCGTGGCAGCTTACTTCAAGTCCAACCAACACGCAACACAGCCAACCAAGACGACCATCGGAGTTCGTATACCACCGCCACTGCTGACTTGAGCGAGGGGTTCGTCTTACCGCGACTGTGACTGCAACCAGATGAGCAATGTGTTTCTTGATGCAGGCTGAAGAGATTGTCAGCAAGTTGCACATTTCCTTGCAGCTCAACCGTACTTTCACCTAACTACATCGGGGACTTGCCACCCTAGACCGTGATGATGCCAACTTATTGCTAAGGCTCTATATGGCGACACCCGTTTTCAACGAAAAGTTGAGCCAGGACTCGTCCTCAATCCAGCGGTCCCACCTCGGCGAACTAGCCTATAGACATCACAGAGCCAAACGAACCAGATGTGGCCCGCTGAAGTGTCACAATAGCCCTTGCGGCTAGCTTTCGTGGAATGGCTGTTGCGCACCCCGCAAGGGCACCTGACTGGATGCCATCGCCGACGTCATGGCTTCACGTCGGACAGCCTCCAACGCATGCATTAATGTGATTCCTCACACACTTTACTCTGGTCCTCAGCTAAGGCTGGGCAAACTAGGCATGCACTTGTCACTGATCGTGAGCTTGCAGAAGACGTACCTCTTGACACCCCATCACGGCGGTTATGCCACTCGACTTGATTCTTTGGTATCCTCTTCTGAAGCCCACACAGACAGTCTTGTGTGATGAGCGAAAGTGCGCTCACAGTAATTCGCCCCAAGACGCAATGCAACCCTCCATTAGATGGCTCCCACCGCGGGGCGCGGGAGACGTACGACCTCTTACGGCGAGCGATTGAGTGGACCTGACTTAATCCATTGTTCACCTCAATCTTGCGCTGCGCAAACGACAAATGTGTGATTGGTCCCGTACCGGTATCACTATCCCCAGGACAGCAATGGGTGGTATCGTGGATTATCACCTACAGCCGTGTTTCCCGTCTGTGTTCTCCGAGAGCACCAACCAAAATCAAGTAACCGGTGCCCTTTTTCAGCTCTCTCTCTCACGGGGTATAGAGTTAGACGGCAGGAACGGCCACGTTTTTGGGGCCGTATCTGATGTGCTGGTGGACGCGAATTGCTGCATCTGGACTGGGCACGAAGCGACGGCCACTTAGAAGACACGTTCTACAGTCCAGGCATCAGCCACCCGTACCACCAAGCCGTTCGTCTTTGAGTTTGCCAACTGAGACCTCTTTCTCTCCAACTGTACGACGTACGTCCGCAATCAAATGTACGGCGGAAGACGATCCGTGAACGCTTCCCGTTCCCCACATTCCCGCCCTCCGTCTCCCTTAATTCTAGGGCGCTTGAATCAACGTCAGTTCCACCAATCTACTGCTAGGACGGAGATGGGGAAGAGTCAAGCCTCCTACTTGGTCGGGGCCAGTGCCAAACGCTCCGATTCACCCAAACAAACTATCCTCCGGAACTTGGCACATTGGTCCCGGCATCAGCTTGCCGGTGGTCGACCGCCGAACCATTTGCTCGAAATGAAGCGACCACCGGCGAGGCACAACGGAGCTCAAGAGGGCACACTGCTTTGGTCGCGGCAATGCGCCACGCGGTCCGATCAGGCAGAGGCAAAGAGGGACGGTTACTTTTCAGTCCATGCATGGTCCTTGTCGTACAAATGGACCGTTACGACTGGACAAGTCCATGTTTCAATCAGCGATTTGTGTCTCTGGATCAAACTCCTTGACTTGACCAAGACCAACACAGTCGATCGAGCGATTCTTATGACATCTTCGATGACGCGGGAGTCGAGAGCACACTGTGGGTAAGCCTTTGCCCGCATTCCGCCATGATCACCAGCGCACAGTCCGACCACTTGTGACCTTTGCTCTTAGAGACGGCCCAGCGCGGTAGGGAGTGAGGACGACGCCTCCATCATTTAAGGTTGAGTGAGATATGCCGAGAGTCCAGACGTTCATGTGAGTCGTGATTCGATAAACATTCATGCGTTTCGGCGGAGACTGGCCATCCGAAGAATGAAAGTCTGCGTTCCACAACGCGCGCGCGCAAGCATGTTGAAATCCCATAGTTCGAATCTCGAATCGTGCACGCTTCATGGAACGTCCATTGTCCCCACTTCACTTTGCTATTATTGTCTTCGTACATGTGTCTCGATCTGTGGCTTTTTCCCTTCGGCTTCTAGCCAAGGGAAAATAACAAGGAGGGTGTCTGGCGAGGTTCACCTCGAAATGCCAAACGTGCCGAGGTCGTACAGTCTGGATTTTTCATACATTTTAAGACAGACTCCTGCATCATTGATTGCAAGCGAAATAGCCGGCATTTCGGCGGGTTTTTGGTGTGCGTGCGTTGTTGTTCCAAGTCTCTGTGCAAGATCAGAGGCATTGGGCACAATACCAGCACCCTGGAACCCGGAGAGGCGTTTGCAACACGACAAGGACAGCCGGCCGACAGCCGGCCGGCCAAACCTCCGCACAACATGTCACCCAGTCGGAGAGATGCCTCTTGAGTTCAGGGGCAAGCAAGGAGGTAGGAGGATGGCCAACGCCGGCCAGCGGGCTTCAGCCTTGCGACATGGCTCTCCTGGGGTTCGGCCAGGAGCTCAGGGTCTTCGCTAACAAAACATGCGACATCCCCTGTATCGAAAGTTTCAGGAGCTCGCCGGAGCTTCTCGCCAGCCCCCCTTCACGGTTCACCACCTCAGAGTCCGCAGAATGCCGCGGCCGCAGCCGCCATAAGCATGCCGGCCACAGTTTCCTCTCTTTTTTGCTCCTGCTTCTTCTCATTCTCTCACTGCCACCTGCTGAAGTTAGTCTTGCGTTTGCATTACACCTGCACGGCGTCTAAACCCACTTGATCCTTGCCCGCTCGTTGCTTCTTTGCTGCGCTGCTTGTCCCCGCGAGTTGCTCTTCTCTGCTTTGAGACGCCTCCGGTCTTGGAAGCTGACTACATACTGCCTTAACGCATTACCGTTACCCACACGGATCTGTCTCCTTGCGACGGGATCACCATCATGCTGTCAAGCCTAACAACAAAGATCGCCCTCAAGAAGGTCGGGCTGAATAGCAAGAGCTTCGACTTCAGCGGAGGCTCAACGGGCACGAAGAGCAAGAGCGGTTCGAACAATGACGAAGCCGCGGACGAGAACCCGGGTGGCTGGCCGGCGTGGATGTCGATGAAGGCCCTGCCCATCACCGTGGCGCCATGGTTCTCCCCACCACCACCGCCGGTGCCCGTGGCCGAGGTCCCAAAGATCGGCGATCTGGCCCCGTTGGACCGCGATAGGAAGCTCGAGTTCGGACGCGGCCGGCCCGTTCTCGTCGTCTTCCTCCGCTGCGTTGGCTGTGCTTGTACGTTCTTGGCTCTCGCCACATCTACTCCCCCCACCTGTGGTCGTATTACACTTCCGAACACGCAATGACTAACACTTCTCCTACCAACAGTCGCCCAGAAGACCTTCCTTGCGCTACGGGCTCTGGCAAACAAGCACGCAGGTACGCTGACATGCATCGCCGTGTCGCACTCGTCGTCCGCCGCCACCCAGAAGTGGATCGACATGTTGGGCGGCGCGTGGAACGTCCAGGTCGTCATCGACGAGGACCGCGCCATCTACGCCGCCTGGGGCCTGGGTCTGGGATCCGTGTGGTACGTCTTCAACCCGACGAGCCAGGTTCAGGGGTGGAAAGAGAAAGGTTGGCTCGGGGAGAAGGTTGCGGGTGCGATCCAGCGGACCGGCACGGGGGCTGGCGCGTCGAGTCCTACGCCTGTCCAGAGGCGAGGGACGGGGAGTACTGGCCAGAAGGGCGCCGTAACGCCGGCGGGCGGTGCAGCGGTAGGGGATGAGGTAGAAGGGCCTAGCACAGTCATGGGCAACAAGTGGCAAACGGCGGGTGCGTTCGCGGTCGATGGGAGGGGGACGGTCGTTTGGGGCGGCAAGGCGTTGAGGGCCGACGATCCAATGGACTTGGAGACTGGGGCCAAGATCCTGGGCATGTAGACGCCGCCTGTCGTGTGAGGGAAAAGGTTACATTTGACTGTCTAGGAGAGACTGGTTGAACAAACTAGCGTTGGTGAAGTCTAGGTTCGGGATCAGCGTGTGTTTGGTTGGTAGCGGGTCTGACGAATGGCATATCTAAGATGAACCTCCGATGAAGCATGACCGGGCATGTTGGTCTGAGTTTTGAGTCTTGTGTGGTTCCTGTTGGATTGGTTGTTGTAAGGTGACAGCAGGCGACCATAGCGGGGTCACTTTTGAGGTGTCTCGCTGATATCTGAGGGTTCATGGGCGACTTTCTTTTTTCCCCGGAGAAGACGTCACAGAGCTGCAAATGGAATAAAGAAGTGGAGGCCGTGGTGTCCGAGGACAGCGCCAACACGGAGACTCAGTGCCGTCACGGAGGAGATTTCAACGCCAGTTGAACCCAGCCCCCGAGACCTTGAACCCCGGTATCCACCAACCCTGACTAGAGGCGAGGGTTGCAATAGGCAGCTAAGGGCCAGACGATGAAGGTCTTTGTTGGATGTGGTTAATATCGGTACGGCCAACACGAGGGAGGCAGCTTGTGCCATGTCTCGTCTTGATCTCCTGAGCGGCGCACCAGCGGTCCGATTCAAGGTTGATTTCCAATACCCCGCTCAGGTTCAATATCGACTGGAGGCCGTGGGTCTGGAGCCCGAAAAGGCGGCGCGAGACGCCTGGCGTGGCGATGTCGAATGGGCAGTTGGTCCAGTAGGCGGTCGGCCACCGGGCGTCTCGTTGGCCGTTGGGACCGGCCTGCATCTCGCCCCCTCCCCGGGGCGGCCCGGTCCCACTTACCCGGTTGCTATGCCATCTTCTCCTGCATGTGAAGCAACGAGGCGCATGCAGCCTGGAGGCGGAAGCTAGGAGCAAGAAACCTGCATGTGCAGAATGGTCGGATCGGTGCGAGGCCGTTCTAACGAGCGTCTTTCTTGCGGCCCTTTCACTTACAGCTGAACCATGGCCTCTTCCGGTTGGAGGCCGGTTGAGGTATCGTGACTTCCTTCCGGAAGATGTCGCCTCCACGAGACCAAGGTTGCCAGGGCTACAGACACGGGGTGTTCCAACGGGAACCCCAACGCTGCTCACATTGGCCAAAACCGATGGCCAATCTCGGTGGGCCGAGAAGAGGGGGTAAGATCTGAAAAGGTAGGGAAGGGCGAGGAGCGACGACAAGATCCCCGGTGATGGGTTCCCGCCCTGCGTACGTCAAACGTCACCTGGAAAGGTGCGACAGCCCCCCCCCCCCCCCCGAAAGCCCGCAACCACTCCCGTCCCAAGTAGGCGCAACCACCATGATAGGTTGGGCGTCCTCGCATCATCATGACAAACCGGGCCCAACGAGACGTGAGGAGTGGAAAAGGGGCGGCGCGCCGACGAGAAGCAACATCCACACGGGAAACCTCGAGAGGAGGGGGGCTTCCAAAAGCGAGCCAAGCTTTGTTCCCGTCGAATGACGTTGGAACGGGCCTTAGTTGGCGTATTATCACCTACCTACGCACACTCTATCCCAAACCAAACCACACGAGCTGCCGCCCCGCGGGCCGAGACCTCCAAAACGGAAAAAATGGGGGTGGCGGTCTTTTTGGCCGATTCAGGGGGAAGGGGGAGAGAGGGAGGGTGTCTAAACGGGGGTGGCCCCGCGGAACCTCCCGTGTAAGCCACACAACCCGTTTCCCGCCCCAGCCCGCCGCCGCGCCGCCCGCCGCCGCCCGAGATCACCGTGCCCGGATCGCGCCTAGGCCAGTGTGTCTCTCTTGCGCGTCTTTCTCCCCCCTACCCAACTTCCCCGTCCACGGTCCGTGTGTCACTGTCACATCTCGTCACATCGGCGTCCGAGCGGTTGAGCTGCTGCCGATAAGAGAGCGGGAGAAGAAGAAAAAGAATCCTGGCTGCAACCACTTTGCTGATGGTGTGTCTACACTTTTTTTTTTAATACTTTTCATTTATTTGTTCTTGTAGCATGCATTTTATTTCCGGTTTTGTCTCTAGGCAAGAGGTCTCCCACACCAAAGGCTATCCCCGTTGGCCCGTCCGTCACACGTGTTGACATCTGCTGGTTCGAAATGCAAACGTTGGGTCCTACGGCCCCTTTCACCCGTCCACCCAACTCTGATCCTTCCACGCTCGCTTGGTTACCTCTGCATCATGACATCCGACGCGACGTCGAAAGTTAGGGGACAGACTCAAGGTTCGGGCCTCCCAGAGGGTAAACACAGAGCAAGCCAGCAGGCCCTCCAATCAATCATGATGATCGTGTCCGTCCGTGGTCAACATCAGAAAGCGCGCGTTGTGCGGATAAAACAAGACGAACTTGGGGGGACCAAAAAGCATGTGTTTTTTTTCATTAAGTTGCTGCTCCATCCCGAGCAAGCGTGCCAAACCGAAAAAAAGACGAGAGAAAGCATCCCATCCGTTCCACCTCCAACGCAATCCCATATGATGATCTATTCCGCATCTTCCTAGCAAACCCCTTTCTTGATGTAGCCAAGCTCCCTTTCATTCCCAGATCGAAAAAAGGCAAAAGGACCCATTATAGCCCGATGCGTTCCGGTCTCCCAGAGCCATCCAGAGTTGTGGAAAAATGGAAAGGCAAAACTCCCTCGACGCAACCACCCGGTCTGGAACCCCCCAAAGCAAGCAAAGGAAAAGCCCCCAAAAAAGAGACCAGAAACACCCCGTACCCCAAACCCCTGTTTTTGTGATTTTGTCGCCATGTGATAAAATAGAAAATGAGTCGTCTTGTGTGCTTGTGCCAACTCCCCGGATGTGCGTTTCCCAGTCCCAACCCATTCGAGAGTCAAACCAGATGTCGGAATCCACGCCCACGCCGATTGTATGCTCGCAAATCGAATCATAGGTTGCCCTCCGACGCTTTTGGCACCCGAAACGTCCCATGTCCAGCCCCGAAGGGACAACTGACCCCAAAGAACAGAAAAAATATCGCCCTGCTCCGTGTTCACCGTCGCCAGAATGTCCCAGATCATCCAAAGCAAATCCCAGACACTGTGATATCCCCATCACAGCTTGTGGTCAGAACCCGGAAGCAACTGTTTCCCCCTCCGCGCCCTTTTTTGCCATGCAACTCTTTTCCCCTCCTATAGCAATACTGTTCGACTCCAAGGTTGCAGAATGCGGTCCCTGCAGATGATGGAAAAGAAAACTCCTCAAAGATGCCTAAAGACACCCTCACTCCGAAAACCGTGTCGAGCCCGAGGTATATATCAAGTTTTCCGTGACCGAGGAAAAATCAATCGAGACCGAAATCAAACTGAGAAACCACCACACACAAACCTCCTGTTCATCAAATCCCTTGTTCATTCCGTAGTTGCGCCGCGTTACAAATCCAAAAGGGATGATGTGGGATCAGGCATCGCAACCTTCTAGCCCCAGACGCTAGCAGGAGGCTGGCTGAGGCTCGAAGACTGAGGACCCCACACACCGTTTCCGCGACCCCAGCCGCCAGGAGAGGCCAACGGGGTAGTGGATCTCTTCGAGGACGAGGTCGAAGCTCCGCTCGGAGTTCCCGAAGGTCGCGTGCCAATAGGAGCAACCGTCTGTGCCGGCTTGGACCCAGCCGGGAGCTCCTGGCGTGGCGGAGAGCCACCAGGCGACGAGTTGTTGGTGCGGGCCGCAGCCTGGCTCACAGCCGACTCGAATGCGCTCTTGTTGCTGTTCGACGCGTTGGGCTGGGGGCTGGTGGTGCTACCACCACGAGAGCCCTGGTCAGCCGGGGGTCCCGCGATGGGACCGGGGCCGACATCAGTAGCAGAGACGGGCGTGTGGGCGTCACCGTGAGGAGGCGGGCCGCGAGTGGCATCGTAGGTCAAGGGCGACTGTCCACGCAGGCTGGATGGGCCGCTGTGGGTCGGGACGCCGGGGCGCACGACTCCGTTCTCATCGACGTAGCCTCCCTTCTCGGCAAATTGGCCCTCGCCGTACAAGGCGCTCCGCTGACGAGCAATCAGCTCACGAGTCTCCTCCTCGGACATGGCCTTGGCGCCGTAGGGGATGTCAGAAACGAGAGCTGCGCGCACAGTTGATTAGCATGGCTTCCTCGGGGACCTCGAGATGCTACGGGGAAGGGGATGGACGATGATCTTTTCAGGAAAACATCTTTCGACAGTAACATGACGGGGCAGCAGGATGTGCATGATGGTGAAACCCCTCGGCCTGAATTATCTATTTTTCTGCATTGCTGGTTCCCCCCCTGGCATATGGAGTTTGTGTGTGCTATACAGAAGAGGGCGGCCTACTTCGTTGGTATTGCTGCTCAGTGTGCAGGTTTCGCAGCTCCCGCTCCCGTTGGGCGGCCATCCTTCTCTTGGCCTGCATCATCTGTTCCGCGTCGTTGGAGCCACGGGATGGCTGGTGGCGCTGGGAGGCGTAAAAGCTCTGGAGGTTCGAGTTGGGGTGGCCTCGGGCATCATCGAACTGGTTGACCGAGTGCGGTCGGGGACCGGGACCGGCTCCGGCTCCCATGCGTCCAGCTGCGCAAAGCAAGTTAGCGACGGGATAGTTGCGGTGATGCCCGCCAGTTGCGAGCAGACTTACTGAAGTCGAGGGATTTTCTGGCGGGACCATGGCCGGCGGGACCCATCTTGGGACCACCAGGGGTTGGGTACTCACGTCGACCGCCCATTCCGTACGACTTCCCGCTCTTGGCGAGATTCTCGTATGCACGATCAACCTCTGTAGGCCTAGCAGTCAGTGTCCGTACCACATCTAGAAAATCACATCGTCAGCTGGGCCTTCCTGCGCGCGACGCATGCCGGACGCGGGTCCTCGAGCGAGGGACGGGCGCCGGGTTCCTGTCTGCCACGCGCTGCTGAAGATTCGAGATAACCTACCCTCGAACTGGTAGAAGAATGCGAAGTCGTCCTGAGGCGTGGGGCCGCTGGCACCTGTTGGCGAGAACCTCGAGTCAATTCCGGCGTCTGGCTTTGCGATTTGGTGCTGTTGCGACAACTGGGCCGACTCACCAGCACGGGCAGGAGGCGCTTGGTGTTCCCAGTTGTTCTGGCCGGGATTGGACCACTGCGGGTTGTTCTCGTAGTAGGACATGGTGATGGAGGCGATGTTTTGACAGTGTCGAAACCGAGAGATCACGGGTGTTGTCCGGTAGGTCGGGTCGGGTAGGCCGCAAGTAGGTCGGAGCGGATGCCTGTGGCTTTACGCAACAGGTCGAGAGATTAGTTGATAGTTACTTCTCACGGCGACGTTCGGGACCAAAGGCGCGGTTGAGTAGCCTTGGGGGAGGAGACGGTGTCGCAAAGGGATGGGTTGAGAGACGGGCGCCGTGGTGTCAGGGGAGAGAGGCCAACAGGAGAGACAGGGAAAATAAAAATTTGGGTAATGGGCGGCGGCGCGGTTAAATGTCTCGCGGCTTTTTTTGCGCAGGGGTTGCAGCGGACTTGACAGGGAAACCACTCACCAAAAGGGAAAAGAGGGACGGGGGGGTGTTCTCTTTCTCCAAGTCGTTGTTGCGCAGGCTCCAGTCAACGATCAACGTTTTTGTTGTTTTTTTTGGCAGGCGGGAAAGAAGAGAAAGGGCTTCGGATTCGGATGCGCGAAGGAAACTCTCTATGCAATAGTCCCAAGAGCAGTCCGATGGGAGGTGGCGGGCGTCGACGTGTGCGTTTTGGGTGGTGGGAACCAAGTCGGGTAGCGAGAGTATGCGGAAAACGAGACGACGGCGAACCGGCGGGTCGAGTCGGATGTATATGCGGATCGGCTAGGTCTTAGGACGTTGCGGCCAGGTCGACTGAGCGATGTTGGTTGTACCGAAGAAATTCGCTAAAAGGATGGTGGTTGTTCTTGGAGTTGACTTCAGACCGTGGCAAGACGACGGAGAAGCAGCGATCAGGGCAGGGCAGGGAAGGAGCCACAAAGAGAGTGATGATGATGACTTGTGCGTTTGCTAGTGCAACCGGTCCCGGGTGGCAGGAATAAAAAGAGGCGAGAAAGTAGGAAAACCCGGGAAAAAAGAAGTGGGAGGACGTGTGTGAGGGAAGACCGTGGCAGCAGCAGCCAACCCGACGAGGCCAGCCAGTCAGTCAGTGAGGTACGGACACCTTGGAGGACTGGGCTGGACGACGTGGAGGGTAACCGCTGTAGATGGAGACTGGCTTGTGCTGGACTGAGGTGTACCTATCGAGACTGACTGAGCCGACTTGTAATTGGGGGGCTCGACAGCGAAGTCGCCAGCCAAGGAAAAGAAGTGGAGGAAGGGGGGGAGGAGAATGCCAATGTGAGGTAAAGGTATCCGTAGCCAGGTAGATAGGGTGAGGTAAGGTAGGGGCAGCAGGAGAAGGGGAAGGCAGGGGGAGGGGGGGGGCAAGAGGGAGGGAACGAAGGAAGGTAGGTACCAACCGGGAAGGTAAGGAGCACTAGCAGCGTGAGAAGGACAGGACGCTGGGGCAGACAGACGAGGCCAAGCACCACCCGCGGACACAGGCGCACGCCCATGCCCCCCCCCGTCCACGTCCACATCCACACCTACGTCGGCGTCCTCTCACACATGCGTCCCAACTTCCCCATCTACGACTCATGTACTAGTACCTCGCTCCAGTAAGGCAACGTGCCTTTCACCGTGTGCTGGGCCACCATACGGTCTCTCTCTCTATTTTGGGCAGTGTGCTGCGCATGCAAAAAATGGCAGCAACATATGGAGAAGCGGAATCGGACTAAGGGGGTGTGAGTCCGTCAAGACTGTTGCGCGGGAAAGAGCGGCCTGGGACTTGGACTGGGACTGGGACTGGGACTGGGACTGGGACTCCAACTCGAACTCGAACTCGAACTGGAAACTGCAGCTGCAACTGCGACTGCAACTGGGACACCGACTGGGAATCTGGGACGAAGGGGGGCAGGGACGACACTCGACGCTCGACACTGGACATTGAGCGGGACGCTAAGGCAAGAACGTAAACTCCAGAGCCGGGAAGGACCACGGCGGGGTGGGGGTGGCCGAAGCTGAGGGAGGTGCAGTTGTGGTAGGCAAGGTATCCGTACGGGGGGTACGAAAGTTGGCTCGTTCATCTATCTCTTCTATTGGGTAACCCAGGTGTACTTGACAGTTTTGATGTCGTCTCCTCGCATCGGACACATGATGTCCAACAATGGGCCTCGAGGCCCGGAAAGGAGGCTGTCGTCGAAGCCGGCATGGGATACAGTTGCACCTGCCTTGGATTCCTCTGACCGTTCTCCCTTTCCCCCCGTGTCCTGGAATTCTCAAGGTGCCTGGCGATTACTCGCGGACGCCCAACTCCGCCCGAGGGAGACTGCCGCAACACGGGCAAGGCGAGACGACATGAGACGAGACACTGCAAAGGCACGTACCGGAGTTGGACGCCATACCTGCGGATCGCAGTCGCAGCCTCTGGCCTCTGCCGTCTTGATCGGGTGCTGCCCTAGATAGGTAATGCCGATGCCCACCACATTGGCCGTGTGAGCATTTGGCGCTGCTTACTCAACCATCCAGCGTCGAGACCGATGATGCCGCGGCTGCTGGGCCGCTGCATCTTGCAACGAGGGAGGCATCCAAACTGAAGACCAGGCGCAACGCACACTGCGCGACTGCGCGGGAGCTACATGCAAGTAAGGTAGGTAGGTTAAGTATGGTATAGTACTATACACCTCAGAACATGTATCCCGGTGGAGTGGAGGGTAAGGGGACGAGAGTCAAGACGCGGGGGCGTGTCGCCAGGGGAAAAGCCGAGGGAGCTTGTGGATGGGAACTCTCGTTGCTAGTGACCTGCTCCCTGCTGCTAACCATTCAGCACTGGACACTCACAAATTGTCGTCGTTGTCGTCGCCTCGTCGCACATCGTACGCCGTGGGGATGGAGGATTTGATACCGCGTGGACAGAGACGCCGCCAGTCCAGCACAATCTCAGAGTGCTCCACGGCCCATCAGCAAACTTTCTGGCGAGCCGACGTACATGGTACATTGGGACTGGGGCTGACTCTAATATCGACAAGCGATCCACTCGATATTGGAAAAGCCCGAGAATGAGATTGGCAACTGGAGATGAAAAGAGGAACATGTATCCTCCTTTTTCCTGTCCTGCTTCTTGGGGTTACTTTGTCCTGTGCAGAGGCTCCAGCCCTATCTACATAGCGACAGAGCCTTGTTGCAGCTTGCCGTCGTTGATTCAGGTTCCTATCTGCTATCCACAGTTCGAGACGCCCTGGCCGCTCAAAGTGAAAAAAGGAAGAAAAAGACATTTGCGACGACAGAGACACACATGCCCCAGCATCGTCAGGATAAAAAAATCCCCTCCACAAAGCACAAAAGATTGGGGAGCAGGTACTCCCATGGTCCCCCATCAAAATCTCCCTCCTTGTGCTAGCGCCGTTTCGACTTCACTGTGCCGGTACCTCTGTGTGTCTTGGGTTCCCGCCCGCGCCGTTCTTCTTCCCGGGCATTTCCATCAACAGCTTCCATCCCCTGTCGTCCCCTTCCTCCTCCTTCTCGAGTCGTCTCAAATCTTTTCTTTTATTCTTTCCAAAGTCCTGAGCTGGTCGCGAACATCAACAGCATTGTCAGTTCTCAACCCAGCATACGGACTGTACAGACGAAGATCAGGCATGTGCCAACACGGCAGACATCGCCCTCACTCCGCTGCGGATTCCGTCTTCGGGGATACGGATAGCTCACAACGTTCGTCACTGCCTCCATCCACAGCCGAAAAAGACAATCTCGACAACCCGAAATAACGACTGCGCCGTTCGTGGACCAATGCGTGGAGAGCATCCCTGCCAACCACTTAAACCTCCTGTAACCCACCCACCCACGCTAAGCACCAACAAGTACCCCATGTACCTTGCCCTTTCCGCGATTGCCAGTGCCATCACCAGGCCAGGCAAGATACGTACCTAATCCTCATCGTCCCTTCCTTCTCCACCCGCCGATTACCAGCACTGGCATCGAAGATATCGCAAGGAGAGGCCCAGTGGCATCTGTATTCCAAGCTCCCAACTCGCGAAGCTGCGTTGCTTGCGATACAAAATTGCCCATGTCCGTTCGTCTTGGTGGATAACACGACTAAAATTTCCGGAACGGGTCCATCAGCAGCAGGACGAGTAACGAGACAGGCTCTTGCAGATTCGGGCACAGGCAAACATGTCTTTGATACTCTCGCACACAACACACACGACACTTTCGTCGCCTGCAGGACACACGCTCTCTCTCTCGCTCCCCTTCTCCGTCTCTCCCTTTCTTTCTCGTTGACCCATGCATCATCGACCACACCATCAGACTACAAGCCGCTTCCAGCTGGGCCAGCTCGCGATCCGCCCCTCTCACACAGCCTGTTGCTTTCTCCACGCCAGATTGCAAGTGATGCTTGCTTCGTCACTTCTCAACTGCCTACCTACGTCTGCAGTTCCGCCCAATTGCCCGGTCATATTACTACTCTACACCAAGTTCATCGAGTTGCTCACGTTCTATGAGATGTAGGCGCTCCGTTGCTGTACCGGTGTGTTACATACTTCGTACCTAAAGTATACGTTGCTTTACCTCGCTAGACCGAGCAAACTTTCAGCCACCATGCAGCAGGCTACCCTCGCCGATTCCGCCTCTCTACTTCGATATCCCCATGCCTATCTCAAACATTGATCCCCAAAGGCAAGGCCGAGATCTTTCTCGTCAACTGTAGCCTGGCATACGAAGTGGATCGCAGATCTGCTCTTTGCACGTCCTCGCACGGAAGGCAATCTAGCACCATTCACCTTTGGCGAGCTTGCAGATAAACCCCTTTTCCCCAATATTGCAAATGGCAATGATACTCATCAGGCTCATGATTAGCAAGTACGTACGTACAACGCCTGCAAGGCCCCAACGGAGAAGCACCGTGTCGGTAATCAGCCTCCGTGTCGCTCTCTCCTCGGACACAGCTAGCCCCAGCGGCTACTCACAGCTTCGGGGCCAGTAGTTACGTCAGCTGAGGCCGCAACCCGCTTGTGCAGATACGATTTGGCCGGTTAACGTCTCAACTGGTCGCCCTCCATCTTTTTAGCTACGTTTCTCTGCCTCTAGGGGCCGCCTGGGTCCGACGTAACCT